GTAGGGGAAACTGATCCACTCGCTTATATGATCCACTCGCTTATAATATACGTTACAGGGAGAATCAATGTAATGGCATTTGTGAACCAAAACAATTTGTGTCTGAAGTGCCTACCACTACTACGTGTGCTGAAGTCCATCTAGTGACACCTATCAGCACTCAGGGACATTGACGAATCTCAGACCCAACTTCACCTGGACCAAGGTAGTCGTACCTTGTACTTGATATATGCAGGTGGTTGGTCCGTGTTGAATTACTACTAGGGTCTCACCACCCACTTAAGAAATCCAATAGAACTTGGAAGACGACACAGCAACATAATTAGGCTTTTCAGACCTACTTAATACCTGGTTGAATCCTAGTTCGTGATCGTGTATTCAAGAACAAGCATTCAAAAAGGTCCAATGTGTTTTTTCCTCAAAGAACCAGACATAATGCTGCCATGAATGACATAAATACAAAGTGTCGTTAACCCATCCATGCATGTCACCATTTGACGCTTGACCCGTCGAGCCCCTGATTATGCACAAAGCCCAGGTTATATCCAACTCCAGCACCCACCCCATTGCCCAACACCGCCCAATCGCATGCTATGCTGATATATTTTATCCGAGTACACCGGCCCAACTAGCCTTAAAACACGGTTCCATCGCTGTCAATGAGAATCGGTGGCTCCTTCGTATTAGGTCGGCTGACCTCGGCAATTTCTCTGCCTCCCTGTTGCGAGCGTCAGCATTGCTGAATTCAGTACGTTTAAAAGTATCATGGGGACATACCTTCCAGCTCCCCGCCTCTAGCACCTGCGCCAGACTGAGTTCATTCCCAGCCAGCTCATTTCTGAGCGCTTTGTTGACCTCCGTGGTTAGGATGTCCAAGAAGCCCACCGTGACGCCACGCCATTCCACAATCACATCATCGCCAGGTTCAAACATAGGGGCTACCTCAACCCCCCCAGTGCCCGTTCGCTGAGAATACTCCGTGTAATGGCGCAGGCCGCGCTCTTGGTCTTCGGCCTTAAGCGTCAGGACGCCAAGGTCCACAAACAGACCGCCGTTCCGGTACTCGGGCAAGCCAGTGAGCAGTTCCTGCCCTGCAAATTGAATCTTCATGAGACTCTGCATCGGTTGCATGAGAGAGTACGTGAGCCACTGGGTAAGCTTATGGAACGGAAGAATGCTCTCCCAAGCCTCTGCCTCGTCGGGTTGTGGCATCGAACTGCAGGGCCACGCGTCGCCAAGGGAGATGCCGTCGATAGCCGTCCGGGATGGTGGCCAAATTGGGTCGAGGCCGTTGGTGAGAACATTCCAGAGCACTGGCATCGGAACAATGATCGAACTCGAGGCTTGTGTCGATGGGTGTGAGAGGATGTGATCTATTCTCTATGATTAGCGAAATGCAGGTCGAAGCAAAGCGTTGAAAAGTCCCACCAAGCATATTTCCTGGCCGGCCGTCGTCGCCAAAAAATTCCTTGTTCTCCAGCGCTCTCCCGAGGCGGATGAGGAGATGGGCACGGCCTTCAACACCAGCCATCTCGTTTCCAGGCTTCGATTGCAACCCCTGAGCGAGCCTCTCGACGGTTAACTGCCGCAGACCCTCCCTGTCCACTTGATACTTATTGTCCGTGCCGGAGAAGAGGCCCTGTCTACCATGTCAGCCGATACATTTTTGCGTAGTAGTTTAGTATGTGAAGTCACACGTACCGTTTTGAACATGTCCAAGGTGGCAACGGCGATGCCCTCTGACCGCCTGTACACCCTCCCGTTCTCAGGGCTCTTGTAGCTCCATTCCGTCCCGGCGCCCGCGTCGAGCAGCACGCTGACCAGGAAAAGATCGATTAGGCGCTTGCACTTCTCCGTGTTGTCTATATGCTCGGGAAACGTGGCTAGGAGGTGGGCAATTCGGTCGCGCCCACCTACACCGAAATGTTGGTACCGGCCGTGGCCGGGGATCGTCGTGAAGGGGGCATCATAGTCACGCTATGGATGTCACACGTATTAGTTACCAGTTCGATTACTAGTAAACGGCAACATCGTGTCAAATCCTAGGCGTGCTCGAGGTCCTTCCTTACCTTGATGATGTTCGCAACGAATGATACGACATCAGGAAACTTTTGCATGTCCACATCGAAATGGTTCAGATCGTTCCTTGTCGCCTTTTCCGTCACAATTCTGGATCGTTCCCGCACAGCACCCAAGCTGCGCAGGTACCCAGCTGGGTCCAGTTGCGGATCAGGCGACTTCGGCATCGTGATATTGTACGTTGGGCCGGGAGAGAATGGGGTGAGCGGGGTACCGGAACCGCCTGTGCTTGTGGTGCCGGCAGACGTGCGGTGCAAAATGCGGGAACTTGTGTTGATAGGAGTGATGATGCTTGAGGATCCTGATGTGAGAGACGATTTTGAATGGGAACTGGAGAGAGGTGCTGGCGGGATGCTCTCCGCCTTCGGTGCCCGGTCTCGTCTGGAGAAGAGGCCCATGTTGGCTGCGGCGAGCTGTCCGTGGAGTTTGTCCGAGTGGTCGGACGGGGGCGTCCGATCGGCAGGTCGCGGCGGTCTGCAGGTGACCGGGTTGCGATTCGACAGCGGGGACTGCGAGAGCTCTCGTGACTCGGTGGGGCGGGTGCGAGTGCTCCCTCGACTGTCGCTGGTCACGATTGGAGGGCGTGGCGTTGACTCTGATAGTGGGGATGGAAAGGGGATGGTCGGGTTGTGGCGAGCATTTATGTCCTCTGTTGTTCACTGGTGGATGTGCTGATGTCAAACGGCCGCAAAGAAGGGATACTGGCTTTTGGTCTGCGTCGTCGGCGCGGCTAATCACGGTTGGTGAGTGGATGGTCAAGCAAGAATTGGATGCGGATGCGGGCTTGCCCTCTGTTTTGTGGTTGACGAGCCAGAGCACATGGATGTGGGAACCAGGAATTTTATGCGGCAGGGGGCGTGCTGAGAATGCTTTCTTGCTTCGACAGCAGGGGAAGGTCAACAGCAGCAACAAGAATTGGACGGGACAGAAGGCGTGAGGTCGCAATGGAACGAGGCCGTGGAACCGTCCTCTGTGCCTTCCATCCGCATCACGGATCGGTGGAATCCCGCCGGGGCGAACCTGGAAGTTCGGGATCAAGAGGGGCATGGTGGGGTCTCTCTGGCCCGCCCTTGCACAATTCCTATCTTCAGGCCCGGGCGCCCTTGCCCAAAAGACCCGCACCACACTGCTGCATGCAATGGGAAATTGGAGGGGAAATGCATCAACCCTGGCTCGAGGAACGCACTTTCTCTTCCCATCAACTGCGAAGATCGATCGATGAAAGCGACTGTCGAAGTATCTTGTTGGATCCAAATTCTTCTTAGACGCATCGTACCAGGGCGTATTTACTACATTACAATGTCCTATCCACCAAGCTTTCCATTAGTGAGCTGTGAGGTGAAAGTTGGTGGCTTTGTTTTCATCGCCCCCGGGATTGCTCCTCGGCCTCACGCCCTTCACGGAATCGTCAACATGACTTCTGCTAGGTCTGCGGTCTTGTCTCTCCGCGCTGACGCTTTTGTCGATATGTTTGTAGCTCGGAATCGCCGTTGCTCCCGCCCATCGCAGCCTCGACGCCCCGCAAAATTCAACAGGCGATGAGCAGATCAACAAGAAGCGCGCTTCAACTGGCGCTCTGTCCTGGCGCCCTGGGCACGAGTTCAGGATTTTTCCAATGGGACGCAAGGAACGAGAATCCTGGCGCTGGTGGCTGGATAACTTCTGACGGGCGCGAACCTTGTCTTTTCGTTACCAGCGAGCCGGAGTTCGAGCAAGCCAGCGCCCTGGTCGATGACCTGGCTGGGTCGCGACAACGCCGATTAGCGATGCCGAGATGGACTGATGTTCAGCGGTCGAGAACCGCTCAGAGGATATCCCCCATCAAACCAGAATCGCAGGCGACAACTTTATCCCTGCACGCTATGGCCGGCAAGCATTCTAGTTGGGTTGGCCAAAAAAGGCGCCGCGCCTGGGCCACAACGTGGTGAGGATATCCCCTGTCCGAAACCATGGCTTTCCTGCAGGTACGGCGTAACCTCAGCCCTCCATCTCAGGAAGCGCCGGGGTTGATGCGATCCTTCCAAAGAGCCATTGCACGACGGCTGCGAACAGGTGTTGTGCCTGAATTCAGTCGCAGCAGATAATTGATACTTCAGCAATATTGACGAGAGCCAAGCGCTGCGGCTTGTCTACTTTCGTCACTCGGTGACAAGGGGCCTCGGAAAACAAAGCCGACATCGTCCAGTGTGCCCGAGTCCAAGATCTTGAGAGATGGGAGGTCGTTGTCCTCCCTCGACGGCGTTGGACATTCACGTCACCCGACGCACGATTGACATTGGGGCGCCCCATTGCGGACTCTCTGACCCGGATTGGGCATTCCAATGTTTTTGTGAGTCTCCGAGGGTTGCTTATTGGATCGTAGCCCATTTTGTCAGACCACATGGAATCGCCAGCGCAACACCGTTTGCCCAGCGGCGATTCCCAGCTGGGAAGGCACTAAGCTTCGGGCGTCCTAGCGCTGGAGTAAAACCGAGACGCCCAGCCCACCCACCAGCTTGGTCCGGCGTTGCACGCCCTGGCGGGTGACTAATCCGTTGGTCTTCAACAAGCAAATCACGTTAGACAAGACAGCAGCGCCGAAGCTTTGTTCAACGGAGACCGCCTTCTATCAATCAATACCGGTGTTCGCACTATGTACGAAGACTCTCCGCCTCTTTTCCAAGTTCCTCTTCTGTCGTTATGTGTCGGAACCTTCGATCAGCTGAAGAATGATCGAAAGCCAGGGAATCTCCTGGCAGCGGGCAGTATGGCCGGTTCCTCGATTCCTTTGTCGTGACGTCTTTCCCACTCCATCCCACTAACCATGTACTTCCTAAAACTCTGTCATTCCTGAAAACTAAGCGGCGATCAACCCCCAGTACGGCAGTCGATCGCTAGCCGCTGGTTTGAACAAACGCTGCTGTCAACCTCGATCAACAAAGATCCTCCCCTCGACTAGAGGATTTCTGCCCGGCATTCGCTCGAGTTACGGTTTGCATATCGTCGATATGTTAGCCAACTAGAAGAGGGCCGATTGCAAACATGCTCCGTATTTTGCTCTCGGCGAATGCCTTGTTTTACCACGGCAGGGAGAGTCAACCTGAGCACGACGAGGCGGGCAGCCTCTCCACAACCGGGAAGATCGACACATTTTTGGAGTTTGTCACGATTGCGGGGCCCCGTCCCCTGGCTTTGGTGCCTTTACCCATCCGAGGTGCATTGGAAACTGAAGGCAAATATTGAAAATTGGCACTCTTCACTCTCCTGCCGTCTTTGCTTCTTGGTCTCGAGATCATCCCGCCTGACCTGCATTCTGAGACAAATCCTAAACTGGCGAGATGCAAGAAACCTAAGTCATGGGCAGTACTTCCTAATTCACATCCGGAACAGCGGGGATTCTCACATCGTGCCTCTCACCGTCCAGTCCCTCTTTGACCTCCCACCACACCAGTACACTACGGCCGTCAATCACCGTCATGAACGGACGGCTCTCCAGGCAGATCCTCATGATAGCCAGTTATACACTAGTGCAGTGTACCTGAATCATGAACTGCGACCTCACTCTGAGACCTGCATTCTGGTCTTGCCCCAACCCGATTCCGGGGGTGTGGCACACTACTACCACAGGCCGCACGCCATGCCCGTTCTGTCGTTCGACGCGAACCCGAACGGACTAGTTAGCACTTTGTCCCTTGCCCCCGTGAGAGTTGCAACCGGCGATGTATGATCAATTTGGATTTCGTACTAGTAGGCGGTGCCGCGTGAGGGATCATCGTGCTATTTGTCAAGGGAATCAGGCTGGAGAGGGAAGGTTTCACATGCAAACAAGACTCGGAAAGCCGAGAGTCCGGAAGGGCATGAGAGATATCCCTTGGCGGGGAGCGGTAGAGGACAACTCGCCCATTTTCAAGCCGCTCTCTCTCGCCCACCATCTCTCATTCAACCCGCTGTCCTTCCTCACCGCCTCGGAAGATGGTAGCCGCAAACACGGAGAATCAACGCCGATGGGCTCTTTTTGAGCTATGTATGTAGCCTTCCTGCATCCTCATCCACTCTACGGCACCACCACCGACGGCAGCGCTGGGTGAGGGTAACCCAGAGTGAGTGAGTGAATTGCAGCCATCTAATGCAAATGAGTAGGAACGAGATGGAGATGAGGAAAAGATAGAAAAACAAGCAATATCAACAATATCAACCAACCACACTCCGTGTCAGGCCAGCCACCAGGTATCTGCCCTTCCTCCGCTTCCTTTCTTTCTTCCCTCCCATCTTCACCGCAGTCACCCATATCTACCTTTTTCGTCTCACCGAAAACACCCCACTCCTTTCCATACCCCTCTTTCTTTTTCGCCTCAAAAACGAACCAAGCCAAACCCAGTCCACAAAACCCACGGCAAAATCGTCAGCAAAGGGTTTGCGTGACTAGCCATAGAATACACAGTGATGTACATGAAATTCCCATCGGCCCCGTAAAAGACCGATGCGCGAGATGAAAAGCAAAATGAACAGGAGACAATTACCCTTGTGTGAAAAGACCACGGGATAGAAGACAACGCAAATGGAATACATAAAGCAGACAAATGTAAAGTCAAGAGATCAACGCCTCTGTGTGCATCCATCTGTCGACCCACCCACCACTCACTCCCATCTCCATGGTGGTTTCCCCATACGCCATATAGACGAAAACCATCCTTCCATCTCCCTTGACTTCCACGCCCCAACGAACCATGGCGCAAGGGAACCCCGAATGCATAACGTAACGTATTGCGAAAAGGCAAGAAGCAACCCAAAAGACGACCAGTGCAGCACGCGCCAACTAACGTCTAGAGCCACCCGGGATGCGAGTACGAACCGTCCTACGGTTCCTTCCTCTGGTCCATCCACGCAGCCGCCTCGCCATCAGCCTCCCCTTCACCCCGGCCGCCGTGCTCGTCCAACAGATCCGCAGCTTCATTTGATGGCTGCGGGGCCTCAACAGCAACGCTGGCATTGCTACTGCCACTGCTGCTGCTGTTGCTCCTGCTGGCACCCGCGCCAGCACCGCTAGTCTTCTTCCGACTGCGACCAGGATGATCGGCACCATCGTCATCATCGTCCTCATTGACAAGATCCACAAACATGCTGTCGTCACCGTCGCCTTCGTTCCCAACACCAATGCCAATGGGATCGTTGTCCCGCGCCGCAGACGACGGCGCGCTAGCACGGTCACGGCCCTGGTGGCCGCCCCATACGGCGGGTCCAAAGATCTCCTCGGCACGGCGTCGGCCGGTTTCGGTGCGGGAGAGGATTTCGAGCACGCGGGCTTTGCCGCGGTCGGTGGCGAGGTGCGCGTTGAGTTCTTCGTCGTCAAAGGTGCCGCGGAGAAGGCGCTCTTCGAGTTCGTGCGTCGAGTCGCCGGCGACCAGCAATTGTGGGCTAGGGCCTGCGCCGTCCCGCATGAAGAGGGTCGCGTGGCTGGCGGATGGGTCGATGTCCATAGGGTCACCGCGGAGCATGGAACTAGAGCCAGACGGGCCGGGCTGGTTGCGTGATGGCGACGCGTCTGACCCGGCCGAGGAGTGGGCGTGGAGGTTGCCCGCCAGACCCGGGCCCGAGGGTTGGACTGAGGAATTCCTCTGGAAGAAGGTATGGGGCGAGGGGCCAAACCCGGGGCTGCCGACCATCATAATGGAGCCTGAGGGGGCTGAGGCAGCGGCCGCAGCGGCCTCCGCATTCATCGCCTTGCGCTTCAGACTGTTAGCCTTGCCCTTGACGTTCTCAGGGAGGTCGTCCGGGTCGTCCACGCCGTAGTGGGCCAGCATCTTCTGTAACTTGGTCGGCCGCGGCTTGCGCGTGCTCTTAGATACTTCCAGGACCGGTGGGGGCTCCGGGGCTACGGGACTCCATTTGTGCAACTCCTGGCGGAAAAAGTTGGTCTCATAGGCCAAGAGGATCTCGGCGCCTTCAATCTTGCGCAGATAGAACCGCTGGGTCTCGGCTTCCGAGGCTGTGGCCATGATCGGGTTGCAGTAGCCACTGATGTGATTGCGGAAATCGGTCGCGTTGTCAATGATTTTCTTGAGAACCTCCTCTTCCTCGGGCTGGAAAGGCAAGTTGGGAATCTCATCCTGCCAAGACAGGAGATCCTCCAGCTTGGGGCGAGCGGCATCACGAGGGATCTTGACACGCCAGTCACAGATCGGGCACGTGTACTTGTCATCTTCCTTGACCTTACCACGGGCGATTTTGAGACACTTGCCGTGGTACCACTCGTGACAGAGCTCGCACTCAATCATCATGCCGGCTTCGGTGCGGCGGCAGATGCAAAAGACCTCGCGGAACTTCGGGTCTTCCCATCGGCTGACCTTCTCCTTGTCCGGGCTGGGCTCTCTGGACGCAGGCTCCGCAGGGACACGAGGCTTGTCGTGGACGATGTCAAAGCAATCGAGGTTTCGATCCAGGACGTAATCCATATGGCTCTTAAGAATATGAAGAGGGGCGTTGGTCTTCCCAAAGAGCTTCTTTCCCTTCCTCATCCAGTCCTCGTGCCGCTTCTGCTCCTTCTCCAGCTCGTGCGTTCCGGTCGGCTTGGCCTGCAGCTCCTCGATCTTCTTCATGACCTCGGCAACCTCAGTGTACTTTGGCCGCTTCTTGTAATCATGTTCTTGCGATCGTTCGTTGAGGTCCATGATTTGACGGTGCGCTTCACGTTGTTTATGAAGAATTTGGTCTACCGTAGCCATGGTCTGCGGGGAGACAGGCCAGGCATTGGCCTGAACCTGGTCCGCCAAAGCCTGGAGTTGTGGGTAATGGATGGAATCGGCGTTGATGAGTTCCTGCACCTTCTTGTCCCACATGTGACCAGACGCCAACTGCTCGTTGTAGAAAGCGAGGTGGTCGTTGTAGACCGGCACGTTAAGTCGGCGGCCCTCATCAAGAAGTTGTCGGACTTCGTCGAGCGTCATGATCGTGGTGCGGCTGCTGCTGGCTTTCTCGTTCCACTGCAACTGATCCATGAGTCGGGTCAGCTGATCCAATTCCGGGATATCAACGTTGAAGCCTTGGCCTTCTTCCAACAGCTTCTCTACCGGGCCTAGAGAACGGGTCTGAGGGTGTTCGAGCAGCTTCTTGGCGTCCTCTTGGAAGGCTTTGATCGCATCGGCACGCTCCTGGAGCTGCACAATTTCTGGGCTGTCAAACCCAATCTGCTTGGCTTCGTTGAGAAGACGATAGATGTCCATGACGCTGCGCATCTCCTTCTGTTCATGCTGAGCGTTTCCGATTGACCTGCGCGCTGCCGTCTGCCACACCTTCTCGTTCTTGCGCCGATTCTGCTGTTTCCGGACCGTGTAGTTTGTCGCCTCTTCGACCCAGTGGTTGCAACGCTCGACGAAGGCCTTGAGCACGGGAAGTGAGGGTAGCTCGAACGGAATCTTCTCGCCTTCGGCCAACAGCGCCCGCAAAGCCTTTAGAGACGGCGTGTCTTCTTCGTCCAAGAGTTTCTCGTATTTCTCCTCCCAAGCTTCTGGGACCTGTGCCTTATCCGCCACTTTCTTGCGCGTCGCGGCCATGACTTCATTCGACTTGCGGTAATAGAGGGCATGTTCTTTGCCAAGGATTCTGTCAGACTCTGGCATCTCACAGCACGGGTGATTTCCTGCATGCATGAGACATAAGACCTTGCCCGTTTTAAGGCAAATAAATCTTGACAGGTAGGTGAAAGCTTTGCAGTAGAAGCATCCGTACTCCTCTTCCGGAACATCGGTATCATCGATCTTTAACGTCATGAGGCACTCGTCATCACCCTCCCCGCCAAACACGCACTTGTGATGCTCGTTGGGGTGTTTTGCATCGCGGTGCTTGGCGATGAACTCGTGCTTTGCGATGAAGTCCTCTCTTTGAGACAGCTCCCGTTTCTCAACCTTCTCCAGCGCCGGCGACAGCCATTTCGCTGTCTGGATGGTGAGTCCCCCACTTGTGACACCCTCCGCCGCGGTCCACAAGAGTTCGTCGTGTGAAAAGCATGGTTGACGACGAAATTGCTGAAGTCTCTCAACCCCCGCAAGGCCATATGGCTCCCAATCGCACGGCGCAAAGTTGACAGCCTCGTTGAAGTTGAAACCATGGTTGAACCCGGCATGGTAGGCTTGCGGGAAGGTGATGACAAGTTGACCCGCACGCTGGTCGAGAGCAAACACACGCACGCCAGCCTTTTGCAGTTGCTCCGGTGTAAGCAAGGTCACCAGCTGGAAGAGCAGGTCTGGCTGTGTCTCGAACAACTCAGGAACCGCCTCGCGCATGGCGTTCTCAAACTTCTCAGCGTCGTCGCCCGGAATCCCGTACCAGGTTTTCGTGGCGCCAAAGTGCTGGTAGTTGGCCGAGTAGGAGTAATGGTCTTCGTTATGCCAACAAAATGTCGAGAAAGTCATGCCGACATACACCCATGGGACCGTCATGCCAGAAATATCGGATTTGATGTGCCGGAACAGACTGTCCGGGTGGAGCGGGAGGACGTTTAGATTCCAGGGGTCGGTCGCGTATGGGTTGTCGGGGAACTTCTCAATTGTGGGAAAACCTGAGCCGTGTGTAGTGCAGTGAATGTCAGCGCCGTACTCCACCGTCACGGTGTCTTCAATATCAGCCACCAGGCGCCAGAATTCTTGCTCGACATCATCTTCGGTAACGGGCCGGTGGCAGTTGAGAACCGGATCAAATGGCATCTTGTCCGAGAAATATTGCTGTTTGAACTGGGCAGCTTTCTCTTGGAACTGCTTGAGTGAGTATAATCCACCTTCTTCGAAGCCAAATTGGCCATCGCCAACGAGGCAACGCGGGCAGTTCCACTCGGTCTCCGGCTTGATCTTGAGCGGAGGATCCAGGCAACTGCCATGGTAAGTATGGTCGCACGATTCACACGTCAGGAGGAAACCCGTCCCCATATAGCCTTTGCCGCATTGCTCGCATCCCTGACCGGGGGCTGCAGATTCGTCTCGGGGGATCCTGGGAGGGGCAGAGCGGAACAGAGACATGTGTGAACCAGCAACTGTAGGTATCGTGTCTAGAAAACGTACGTCAGTACCTTAAGAGAGGCAACAAGCCGCCGTTAGTGCCAACATCTCTCACCTTTCTTCAGCCTCTTACTCCGACGGCTCCCTGAATCTCCATCATCGCCATCGACCGGCTCCTTCTTAGCCGCCTCCAGATTCTCACAACTCATTTGCCGCTTCAAACCTGAAGGTCCTAACGCAGAGGAGCGAAATTCGGGGGTGTTCTTCGCAGACACGGCGGGCGTACCGTTCGGCTTCGGCGTTGCCGGGCTCTTCCCATCTGACACCGCAGCTGATGGGCGATTGACACTCGTAAAGCCTGAATTGACGGAGGTAAATCCACCGGAGTTGACTGCCGTAAAGCCGGATTTGGGCTTCGCAGCGTTGGAATCGGACATCGACACGTCGGCGTCCGCCTCCCTAGTGTGGCCATTGATCGAAGCTCGCAGGGCCTCCGCAGCTAGTCTGGCGGGAGACTCGGAGCCGACGCCCGCTGGGGTAGCCACGTTGGATCGTTTCATGGGGCTAGGCGCAGGGCTAGGCGTCAAAGGACCGCCGTATTCGAGCTCCAGTTGCTGGTGGACTCCTGGTTTAGCGATCCGCAAATATTCCTCATACGGGCAAAGCCACTTCTGGTACGAATTCTTGAGTGAGGTAGACAAAGAAGACATGATCTTCCCACTGTAGCCCAAATCACGGCCGATTTCGGCCCATTTCTTGAGTTTGCAGACCTTCTCAAACCCACCCCGGGCCTCAACAGCCTTCTTTAAACGGTAAAGATCGAGCGGCTTCTTGTCAACGTACGGCCATCGTGTCATATTCGTCCCTTGCTGTTTGTGAAATTTGGCAAGAGCATCGAGGTAAGTCAGATTCGCACGAGTGCCTAGACGGTTAGTTTCAGCGACAGGATTTGAAAAAGCTTTATGGAACACCTCGGGTGGAAGGTAGCCTTACTGCCTTCAACAGAGTTCAACTCTTGTTTGCGGGTGCGAAAATGGAAGCGCTGCAGGAATCCTAGTGTCAGCTCTACGTGCGGACCAGCCATACCCTCTACATATCTCTAACGAATACCACCTACCTCTGTGTCAATAGCAAAGTCGGGATTCCAAGAATCTGGCGGAATAATTTTGCAAATGCCATACTGCCGTGCCTCCGCCGAAATCTTGGTGATGTACTCAAACGGCTCCTTCCATTCCTCCTCGGTCGGCCGATATGAAGGCGCTTCCTGCAATCCGTGCGGCCGGCTCTTCCTCTTGACTGGCTCAGGGCACGCGTTGGGCTGGCCCCTTCGCTCGACTGAAGCCAGGTCCAAGGGAGCGTTGGTCAGGGAGCTGAGGGGAAGCGGTGACTTCGTTGACTGGGCTCCGTTGGAATTGGAGTGGGACGCCTTTTGCCTCATGCCATTTCCAGCCATTCCCGATGGCGCCGTCTGTGGTGATGGTCTCATGCTTGCATTGGGAATCGAGCTCCGGGTGCTCCTTGCTCGAATTGTGAAGCGTGACAAGAAGCCTCTACAGGGGCCGGGTCCGCGAACGGTCGAAGTTGGTGTTACTCAATGGCACTGGCGGCTGCCTGTCGCGGAATCGGCTCGCGGTGGTATCTCAAGCGCTAATTCGGTCGGGGTGTGAGCATGTCACAGTGCCACCTGGTGCATTGTAGCGGGAGAGTTCCTGGAAAAGTAGGAACGGCGCCGGTCAGAATATGCGCAGCAAGCAACGTGTGCCTCACACAACTAGTCAGCTCTCCAACGAAAAGATACATACCTCTCGGGCTTCTGCAGGATAAAGAACGTTGAGGCTTGGGCCACCCTCCTCGGACGGATGCGAAGAATGAAAGAGATCGAGCGAACACTGCTCGTTGTTCTGGCGATCACGGGGAATTTAGACACGCCAAGCCGCAATCGAGATTCGCGGGTTTGCCGGTTAGTCGGAATCAGACTCGTGGGTAGGGAAGGCGGTTCGGTGTCGGAAAGATATATCGTGAAGGGTGAGTATGGGTCAGTTCTAGGGAGAACAGTCGTGAGAATTGTTACAAACCGCCCCCGGGAGTGTGGTGAAAGAAGGAAAAGGAAGGCGGAGAACGGGGGTCTCTTGAGCGTGTGATGGAGTGGGCGGGCTGTGGGTGAGAATGGACATGGGGCCGAAGACAGAAAACACCCCAAGGAAAGCGGCAGTGACCGGGGTGAATTTGGGAGGCGCAAAACCACACACCCATGCACCCGACATTCGACATTCCGTCGGCACCAGAGTGGGTCTGCGGGGGTAACTTCTTGGACGCAGGCCTCAGCACTTCAACCTCCATGTTCAAGGCAGAGGCAATGCTCACCACAAAAAAGGAATTTGGCCATCCACCATCAAGAAATACCTCTCGGCATTGGTTTTAACACCTATCTACACAAATCATTGCCAATCCCGCGAGACCAGTCTTTCGTTCTCCCAAGCTCCTATCCCGTGCGGCTGTGCTATGATTTCCATTTCTGAGCGCACAGCACCGCACCAGTGGGAACGGATGTGAATGCCCCGTCTCGTGAAGGGGAATCCCTGCATCTACGCTGCAACATACAAAAAGATGACTGCAAGATGATACAGATAACCGTTAAAGACTGTTTACCTTCTCATGCCCCGCCGAAGCCCTTGTTTTAGTGTTTTCTTTGCGATATCCCTGACATCTACCGTGGGCGAGTTTCTTGCTGACTGATCGGCTGCATCTTGCGAGGTCAGTCTGGTGATATCCAACTTGACCCTGATCAGCCCAAGCAGACAATGCGCTTGTTGGACGAAAACGGGGCTGCCGGTCCGTACAAGCGCAGAATCAAATGCACGAACCAAAAACATATCTATCTTAGCCGGTGCATCTTATCCTCCAACAAAAAACAAAACCAGGCTGAACATGATCAAGGGCCGAATGCGATCAAGAAATCGAAAACGGTGCAAGTGGGCTGTGCATGTGGTCTTGGTCCTCGCACATTGAGTCTAACCCAAACCGAGCATCCACCCCAACCTCAACGTCGGCCCAACATGTCGCTGCAAGTGCTCCTTGCTGCAGCCTACCCAAAATGAGCGAAGGTTTGGGTCTGATATTGGCAAGGCCCTGGTCGGGCTTGATTGCCCAGCGCGCCAATCAGCATTGGCCTGACGTTAGAACAGCATGCCTGTGCTGACGGATCGCTCGTGCAACCCTCGGCAGGCAATTTCCAGCTCCGACTTGACATCTCTGACGACATGAAACGGCCTGTGGTGATCGGCTTCAGGGATAGGAAGCGGACAATTGGTCCTCCAGGAAAAGATAAAAGGAAAAGGATAAGAAGACATGATAGGGAGAAGTTGACCAATAGGCAGCCAAAGTCCAAGATCAATTATTTCAACAAAACGCCAGGGTATCTCTCCGTCCACCGATGCTCCCGAACCAACGCCAAATGTGAGCCGTCCAACCTGGCCCAAGACCACAGAATAAGAAAATGGCCCCTTACCCTCAATTCTTTGCGGCCTTCTTTGCGGCCTGCCTTGTCGTCCGCTTCTTCTTCTCCTTCAGCAGCTTCTCAACCTCCTCCCCACCTCTCAGCCTTAACGTCAACTCCCGCATCATCTCGCCCCACTGCACCTCGCCTTTACACTTCGGGCACCGTCCCTGGATCGGCACGACCTCATCCGTCTCGCCAGAAGTCCGAAGAAAGTGTCTACCCCAGCAGGTAATATGCCCAACTCCGTCACAACCCTCGTTCGTGCAAAGCGCCTGTAGCCCCTCGCCCGTCTTCATCTCCTCGTGACAGACAACACAGCGGCCCTGACGTTCAAATTCGAAGATATCCCGCCCCTTGGCGACATATTCCTTCATCGGTTTGTAGTCCAAAGGCAGGGCATGTATTCCCCAGGGAGCCGGCGCCCGTTCTTGCTCTTCACCCTCTGTCATCCCGCCATCCCCAACTGAGCCGGCATCATCCCCTCTCACACTACCACCACCAGTTATCCCCCCGTTAACCATTCCCTCCCCAAAATCTGTCACAACCCTCAACTCTCGTTGCTCATCACCGCTCACCTCAGCGCACCACTGTTCCCACGCCGCGAAAAAGGGTTTGTTGAAAAAGTGTACTCGTAAGGGCCACCGGGCAAAGCTAGGCACACATAACAGCAGGTGCAAATTCGAGACGATCGAATCGATCGACTTGGAGGGGCGACCGGTCCGTCGGCGTTTGGACTTGGTGCGGCGGACCGTGGGGCCGGCGAGCCGCGAGGATGAGGGGATATGCGTCGAGATGTGTGGGTTGGTGAGTGCCCATCTGTTATCGCCGAGTGAGAGGTTAGTACTGGAGTGAGACGGAGGCTAGCAGAAAAGCTGCGGTGGGTGGGAACGTACTCGAATTTCAGAGCCGCCACCATACTCGGGAAACCTGATACTAGCGTAACCATTTCCCATGGCCTCAGGCTGGCACGGGAAGTGCGGGCCGCACCGCCCTTGACTAGCCCATTGTGCTGGTTCAGTCGGCGTGGCGGGTTCGGCGTGGAGCCGACGTAATAAGAGGAATGCCGGACGGTTGACCGCAGGACGTAGACGGTGTATAGTGCTGGGATCGGTTTGTGTGATGCCGACATCGTTGGCACATCCGTGATGATATGTATGTATATCGAGGTGGGAGGGGCCGAGTAGTTGTTGCGGGCGCAACGATCAGGTAAACATCCCGCGACAGGACGAGGCAGGGAAAGGCTGGTGAAGAGCCTATTTAATACGCAAAATAGGTAGTGCAATGATGAACGGCAGTGGGCCGAAGACCATGTTCCTGGTCAAAGTTTGTTTACTGTGTATCTTCAGTTTTGGTTGGTGCTACGGTGACGAGAGCCTGCATGTGCCCCGCAGGTACGCGAAACAGTGGGCCGGAGGCTGCTCAGGGCTGAAAGTGGGGCATCATGGCCTGGAATTCCATGCGGCCGGCACGTGAACAACGCCTGGATATAAACCAAACTACCTGCTCCGTTAAAACAAACAACCATATCGACCTAGCGCAAGCTTCCTCAGGTGGTATCTATTCAAACAAGCCAGAGATGGATGGACCACACGAATCGTACACCTGAACATTCCCCCCGCCACCCCAACGGCTCACAACAACCCCTGTTTCTGCAAATCAAGGTACACCTTCTCCGGCATCACGTTACCCTCGGCGTCCTCCATCTGCACCACTGCGCCGTCGTCAATATGACCCTTGTTCTGATCCCGTTGAATCTTGTCCCAAAGACGCACGGCCTGCTCGATGGAGGTGATGTCGCGGAACAGGTAGGTATTGGTAATCCCGAGCCGCTTGAGGTTGGTGATGTGGTTCGTCTCGTTGAAGTGCTTGTCGAAGGCCCTCCGGCCACGGTAGACAAAGTTGCCACAAATCTCGCATGGGAACTCTTGTCCCAGGCCGTGAAGCCTGTACAGCCAGAAAGGAATGGGCTTCCCGTCCCAGGCCAGCGGCAGCTTGAGGGGGTTGTAGAACTTGTCGTCGCCCTCATCCCTATCCTCGTCCTCTTCCTCCCGGTTTTGCGGCCCAGATGTCATGTTGTAAAGGTTCTCTAACTCTTGCTGCCGTTCTCGTTCCGTCATACCTTGTCGCCTCTCGACGTTGATTCGCGTGTCGTCCCGCTCGATGTTCATGGCGCCGGTCAGTTTTTTGACGCGGAACTCCCTCTCCGCAACGGCTCTCTCCTTGAGACGCTGGACTGATGTTGTACCAGACCCGGCACCATCCTGGGACTCCTCCCGCTGCGCAAACGCCTCGGCCGCCTTGACGTGTTTCCGCCCTGTCAGGTGACCATTGTAGACATTCCTGTTCTTGAACTCCTTTTCGCATGCTTCGCACCAAACGGCATCGGGAGAGCTTAGCGTGCGCGTGGCCGCTGCTGCTTTCGCTGCCTTGTCGGTTTCCCACCCAGGGACTTCGCTGTGCTCCCATGCCGATTCGAAATCTTGCTGCCAGGTCTCTAGTACTTGATCGATATTCTCCAACGGCCGCGTCCGACGCATGAACCCTTCCAGATACCCCATCAGATCGCCCAAATACTTGAAGTACGGGTCCGTCAATTTGTCCGCCCGCTTCAACCCCCCAAATCCCGGTTGAAAATTGTCAAAAACCTCGAGGTACTGCAAATACCCCAGGCGCTTCGCGTTCGGAAGGTTCAGGTAAGAGTCGTGGCAGTTGTGCAGGTCGAAGAATCGTCCGTACGCCTCCTCGCCCGAGAACATGGTCTCGACAAGGTACGGCTGGTCATCGCCTCCCTTTCGCGGTCGGTACCATTGCTCCGAATTCTCGGCTTGTTCATTCGCATATCGCGCGTGGTGATCCCTGATGTTGGTTACTTGGCGGTAAAACTCGTCGAGCGGGTCGCCAGTGCTGATTTGGAAAATCTCTTTCGATCGAAGCCCGGACCTGTCCTCGTAGAGAGGAAGAAGTTCAGAGGATTGGCGCTGGATTTGATCCAGGAGCTGCGATACTTCGTGATCTCGGTTCAAGCGATCGCGGATCTAATAAGGCGCAGTTAGTTTGGGCAACTTACTCAACGTGGGTGAACGAAAGGGCCGTACATGTTTGGGTTCCTCGCTCATGCGATCGGCAATACCCTGCTCGAGGCGCTCGAGGTCCTCATGAATGTATCTTTGATCTTCAAGTAACATTTTTCTCCTAGGCTCACTAGACTGTAATAGATGTGCGCTGAAGAAAGTGGCAGCCGTTTGCAGGACACCAAGATGGGCGGATGGTGGTGGGTATCGAAGGTCTGTCGCTCCGAACTTTTCTTGGCATTCAATTGCTTCTGCGAAGTTGCGACGCCACGACGCGTCTGGACCGTGCAGCTAAATTGCCGGAGTTCAGCCGGTGTACACCCAAGGGAAAAGTTGCAGATCCGCCGCCTTCTGCATTTCGCATCCAGACAGACGCATCCACACACCCTGCCGTCCACCTCGACACCCAAATTCGCCCGTTCTTCCAGGATCAAGACCCAAATCGACATTGTAGCAAACCGCGACGATGGCTGACAGAGGGATCGACCGCAAAGCCGATGAGAAGATTCAATTCTCCACCTCGAAGGAGGTGACGGTCCACCCGACCTTCGAATCGATGTCATTGAAGGGTACGTCGCAAAGCAGCAAAAGAAGCCCCACGATGCCCATCCACTAACGCCGATGCCCGGATCTAGAGAGCCTCCTTCGTGGTGTCTACGCTTATGGATACGAGTCGCCGTCCGCCGTTCAGTCTCGCGCCATCGTCCAGATCTGCAAAGGTCGCGACACCATCGCCCAGGCCCAGTCCGGTACGGGTAAAACCGCCACCTTTTCCATCAGCATGCTCCAGGTTATCGACACGGCGGTGCGGGAAACACAAGCTTTGGTTCTCTCCCCAACCCGCGAACTTGCGACACAGATCCAAAGTGTTGTGATGGCGCTCGGCGACTACATGAATGTGCAATGCCACGCTTGCATTGGCGGAACAAATGTAGGCGAGGACATTCGTAAACTCGATTACGGGCAGCACATTGTCTCCGGAACACCAGGACGTGTCGCGGACATGATTCGCCGGCGCCACCTGCGCACTCGTCACATCAAAATGCTCGTGCTCGATGAGGCCGACGAGCTACTCAACCAGGGCTTCCGGGAACAAATCTACGACGTCTACCGTTACCTACCGCCCGCGACACAGGTGGTTGTGGTGTCCGCTACCCTCCCTTACGATGTTCTCGACATGACCACCAAATTCATGACCGACCCCGTCCGCATCCTCGTCAAGCGTGACGAGTTGACGCTCGAAGGGCTCAAGCAGTATTTCATCGCCGTCGAAAAGGAGGACTGGAAGTTCGACACGCTGTGCGATCTTTATGATACCCTCACCATCACCCAAGCCGTTATCTTCTGCAACACCCGGCGGAAGGTCGACTGGTTGACCGACAAGATGCGAGAAGCCAACTTCACGGTCAGCAGCATGCATGGAGACATGCCACAAAAGGAACGCGACAGTATTATGCAGGATTTCAGGCAGGGAAACAGCCGAGTGTTGATATCGACAGATGTCTGGGCTCGTGGTATTGACGTTCAGCAAGTCAGCTTGGTCATCAACTACGACCTGCCAAGCAACCGTGAGAACTACATCCACCGCATCGGTCGCTCGGGCCGTTTTGGGCGCAAGGGCGTTGCCATCAACTTCGTTACTAGCGAGGATGTGCGCATCCTGCGTGATATTGAGTGTACGTTAGCGCTCACCCTCCAAAGCCAGGCCCTGACTAACGTTTCCCAGTGTACTACTCTACACAGATTGACGAGATGCCAATGAACGTCGCCGACCTGATCTCATAAGAGAGAGGCCCGTACGTCGTGGCAATTGAAGAAATTTGAGAGGCAAACATGGGTCCAGATCCAGTCCACTGTACGTCAGGTACAGTCATAAGGTTGTGGGAGGAAATGGGCACGGAAAGCCAAAAGTAAGGTGACTCCTTACTACAGAACTTCGCCCGATCTTGGACTAACAGAACCCAGAGGATGGCCACCCCCAAGATTGTACAGCCGGAAAAATTCTGTTTTAGGCACTCCAACGAGTTATCCTAGCCGCCTCTCAGCATCAATGAATTTTGTATCCCTACACATCATTCCATTCATAAAGGCCGGTCAGCTCGGCAGGTGACGATTTCAAGTGGCTCAAAATGCGTGATAAGATAATACAATATTTGAGACCTGACATTCGCTCTGCGTTTAATGTCGAGAACCCAAAACCGGTGCGCCATTCCTACTTGCTTGCCTCTTGTGCCCATTCAGTCACAGCACATGAACGGAGCCAAATCCTCATGGTCCCCCATTTCAAGACCGAGTTGTCCCAAAACCCTCGGCCTTACGGTTTGGCTGCGGGATCACCAGCCCTGATTCAACGGGGCCAAAGCGAAAGACTAGACAATCTGCAATAATTATCATCTTTCCGACCGAGGTTTCCTCTCCACGTTTTCCAGCCTTGGAAGATTCGTTGGACCCCCCCCCCTCCTCGAACCCAGAGCCGCCTTGTTTCTTGAGCGCCACTCAAGATCTTGGAGGCCCTTAGGGACGTGGTTGAGCCAAACATGACACATCCCCCGCCTAATCTCATGGTCACGGCCACGGGGCGGATAGTAGGACAATAAGGCAGCCTGCGAGCCGAGCGGTTTGGAGAGTACGTACGGCATGCTAATGTCTGAGTGTTGAGTATGGCCATGAAAACAGAACTGTCCTCGGGAGGGGGCCCAACATGTGGGTCTACATTGGTGTTCTCAATAACTGTCACCTTTTCTTTGCATTCGGGTGGCCTCACAGTTGTGTAGGTTTTATCTGTTCGACAATGCGCATGATTTTTGTCTGGGCAATGGCAGAAGAGTCTCCAATCGAATAGTTGGCCCAGCCAACTTAGCTCCTATAATTGGCGAGAGGAGCCAGATTTGAGAGGCATCCAAGGTCCAACACCAATGTAAGCGGGAGGGACAGGCAATATCAAGATCAAAAGAATATAGATCCGATCTCTCATCCGCTCTCGTTCATATTTTTTAACCACGCAACCAAATTTCAAATACTTTGTGGCAGAATCATTCACACGCTCTCCTCCTTCACGTACCGCCACAAACACATTATCGCCAGAGTCCAGACTCGACCCGCCTCGCCTCAAGGATCAAATGGTCGCCTCTGAATTCACACCGCTAGTCGACAATTGCGGCTGGGGCACCAGGCGCTGGCCAGGCCGATCCACATATAAGGTGAAGGTGTCAGATTGCTGGAAGAAAGCGTGTAAATTCTCCAAGACCTATGTCGCAGACAAAAGCAGCGAGGCCTACCTTGCGGTTGAAGTTTGTTCTCTGAATCGCCTCCACATCGCATGTACTAACATTAGTGATAACGGAAGAAGATGTTGACTTTTGAACGGGGGAGCATTGTATAACCCAGAGGATGGAACATATCCTAAAAATGTTTCTCGAGGAAGATGGCTAGGGAGTGGTTTGTGCTTTCTTGCTCCATGATGGCGTTACGGGTTTCCGTGAGACAATGATACAAGCACACTTATCCCTATTTTTGTTTGTTCTTGTCTCCTGTATCCGAGGTATGGCTTTTCCCACCCCTTTCCTCTCCATCGCTCATGGCCCTGCTCCCACATCAAGGCCGCGACTGACTTGAAGGAGAATGAATCTTTGATTCCCCTAAGATATATGATCAATGCTTCTCCCGGGTAGGTGAATGAATAGTCGTGGCATGTTTTCACCTTCCTTGACCATTGACCACTGCCCACAACTAGCTTGACTTCAAGGTACCACAGTCCACAAACTCCTGTGGCCCGTATCCTTTCACCACATGGTTGACTGGCAACGGAAACCACCAGGACAAACAGTTTAGACTTTAGATGAGATTTAACCTAATTATGGGGACATGTCAGGTTGGAACTTCATGTGACACTCAATTTCAAGCAAACTCGCGCGGTTTGCCCTAGAGGATTATTACTTCGGTGCCGAGTTCAACTTTAATTCAATGTCGAGAATAGGCAAGTGAGACAAAAGAGGGGACGTTCGGGAAGATTTAAACATAATGCTTCCTTCCTAGAAACGTAATGTTGAAACGTAATGATGAAACCGGTTCGCATTCGAGTTCGTCATAACCGCCAGCTAATTAACGACAAAAAAACTAGATCGGCGGGTTTTAGCCGCACGCCGAGTTCCACGGACGATGGCACCTAGCCAGACTAGATACAAACGTTGAGGAAGTGCCCGGTTGCTCCATTGGTGTCCTACCTAAGCTAGAGGGAGGCGGGAAGGCGGTCTGTTTGACTTTGTGGTCGTGGGAAACGGAAATGGCGCGGCTGAAGTGGGACATAACTAACCTTTAAAGGACTTGGCCCTGCCCGCGGATGGGCATTCTCTTACTATTTCTAACGTAGTGTTGTTACGCCCGAGTTGTGTTTGTTTAACATCCCTCCCTCATCTTGAAGTCTCTTGCTACGCGTTTTGAGTAGATCAAATCGGGTTGTTTGCCTGTGTTCACCCGATCCCGTTATACTAGTGTAGCCCGGCCCACGACGCTCGTGAATCTTCCCTAACCTTGTAAATTAACCGTGCTCTGCCCGTGTCGTTCCCGCATGGCGCGCCATATTCATGCGGTTTAGCGCTTCTTCCGCGCCCTGATAAGTGGTTCAATCAGGTATTTCCCGCGAACGAGCTATCATCTTGCAAGGAAGCTGGGACGGTAAGCTCGCACGTAATTGGAGCTCTTACTCATAAGGGGTGCGAACTTCCTAACACGGCAGGTTCGGCTTCCACGGTAACGTTATGGAGTGAGGATGAGCCGTGGGCGTCAGGGGAGGGGGGAAACGTCAGCGACAGGTCAGAAAAAACAAGCTCTCAAGGCTGCGCAGTTAAGCTTTCTTGGGAGTTCCATCCGCCCTGGGCCGTCCTCCTTCCTTTTGCTGGGCGTCGCTAGGCATGCTAGGCAGGCGCCACGCGCTGGGGCCATCCACGGCAGGCCCGGCCGGCTCCAGCGCCCGGATTGGTCAATTCGGTTGACAGCATGCGTGGCTCCAGCGCAACAACGGATGAACCACCACAATCACGTCGATCTGGGCCGAAAGGGGAAGTTGGGAAACCATTCAGTTCATCCGAAATTCCCCCTGGCGGCCGCGGCAACAACAGGAGCCAAGTGGCCCAGTTGTTGCACGGCCGTCGCCCATAAACACCGGGGTTCGCTCCCCGCTTCGTTCAATTAGCTCCCTCTTCCCTCCAGTGCCCTCAGCAGTCACCAGCCGGCACCAGGAATCGCACCTCACCAACATCCTATCTCTCCGGTCGCGATCATGCTTCACAAGCACGCCCTTATCACCGCGGCCCTCGCGGCCCTCGGCCAGTGCGGCTCGTCCGTGTTCGAGTCTGTCCCCGAACAGCCCCGCGGCTGGACCCGTTTGGCCGACGCTGCGGACGACACGCCGCTCAAGTTGCGCATCGCTCTGCAGCAGCCCAACGAGGCCTTGTTTGAGCGTACCCTCTACGAAGTGTCGGACCCGAACCACGCCCGGTACGGTCAGCACCTCTCCCGCGACGCCCTTTCGGCTTTGCTCGCCCCCCGTGCCGAGTCTATCTCAACCGTGCGAAACTGGCTCAGTGACGCCGGTATCTCGTCCGACCAGGTCAAGGAAGATGGCGACTGGATTGACGTCAAGTTGACGGCGCGCGAGGCCTCCGCCCTGCTCGAAACCGATTTCGGCCTCTGGAACCACGACGGCAGCAACGTCAAGCGTGTCCGGGCCCTCAAGTACTCGGTGCCTGACGAGGTCTCTAAGCACATCCGTATGGTGGCTCCCGTCGTGCGCTTCGGCGACATCCGCCCCGACCGCAGCCAGGTCTTTGACGTGGTTGACGCCCCGCCGCAGGCGAAGGCTGCTGCGGCTATCCCGCCCCAGGACCTGGATGAGGCGGCCTGCAACAAGACTATCACCCCGGAGTGCCTGCGCGCGCTCTACAAGATCGGCTCGTACCAGGCTAAACCCAGCAAGAAGAGCTTGTTCGGCGTAGCTGGTTACCTCGAGGAGTGGGCTAAGTATGACCAGCTGGAACTGTTCGCCAACGCGTACGCCCCGTACATCTCTGACAACAACTTCACCTCCGTCGGTGTGAACGGCGGCGTGAACAACCAAAACAATGCGACTCAGGACGATATTGAGGCGAATCTGGACATCCAATACGCCGTCGCCATCGCGTACAAGACACCCATCAACTACTACATTACTGGCGGGCGTGGCGAGCTCATCCCTGACCTTGAGTAAGCCAATTCTAGACTCATGATGATTGAACCGGTCACTGACAGCCTTTTAGTCAGCCGGACAAGGACGAGGTATGATTGATGATCCTCCAGCCCAATGTAATATTGGCAGTCCTGTGTACTGACTTGATACTAGAGCTCCAACGAGCCGTACCTCGACTTCTTCTCCTACCTGCTGAAGCTGAAAGACGATGAGCTGCCCCAGACCCTCACCACCTCCTACGGCGAGAATGAGCAGTCCGTTCCCCCCAAGTTCGCCGAGACGGTGTGCAATATGATCGGTCAACTGGGCGCCCGCGGCGTGTCCGTCCTGTTCTCGTCCGGAGAGTAAGTTGGATCATGAATCACTGAGAAAAGGACGGAAGACTAACGAACGTGATCTTCCAGTACCGGCGTTGGCTCGGCCTGCCAGACCAACGACGGCAAGAACACCACCCGCTTCCTGCCCACTTTCCCTGCGTAAGTCTCCTCGATCAAATACTCGCCGAAAGGCTTATGTCTGGGATTAACAACCGTCTCAGTTCTTGCCCATTCGTGACGTCTGTCGGTGGTACCCGCTATGTCAACCCCGAACAGGCTGTCTCCTTCTCCTCGGGCGGTTTCTCCGACCTCTTCCCCCGTCCAGCCTACCAGGAGGCCGCCGTAAGTGGCTACCTGGACAAGCACCTCAAGAAACGCTGGCACGGCCTCTACAACCCGGCCGGCCGTGGGATCCCTGATGTTGCCGCCCAGGGCGTCGATTACCACGTATTCTCGCAGGGCAAGGATGTCCTCGTCTCCGGTACTAGCGCGTCGGCGCCCATGTTTGCCGCCCTCATCAGCCTACTCAACAACGCACGCCTCGCCCAGGGCAAGCCGCCGCTTGGTTTCCTCAACCCGTGGTTGTACTCGAACAAGGTTGCCAGCGAGGGTCTGACCGATATTGTTCATGGCGGTTCCACCGGCTGCACTGGTACGGACATGTACTCGGGTCTGCCGACGCCGTATGTGCCCTATGCTAGCTGGAATGCTACCCCCGGCTGGGACCCTGTGACCGGCTTGGGTACGCCGCTCTTTGACAAGCTCCTCAAGCTTAGCACGCCAGGCATCGACATCAAGCTGTCGCTCATCGGTTCCTTGTCCCTGTGAAGGGATTGAGTGCGGCAGCAACCGCTGGTGTGGACTTGGGAGGTCAGCTTGTGGTGTGAATCATGTAATTAAGTCATAGAATCAATGGTGTTTTAATACTGCCTTTTCTTTTCTAGCCGTCGAATGTCCGCTACAACGATGGTTGACCGTAATAATGCGGCTTGGAAGTGAAACCTGGAACTTTCGTTCAGGAGGGATCCGAGGAAGAGCAAACGTTGGAAAGTGATCTAAGTCTCAGTCTGAAGGGAGCCACCTCAATACTTGCTGAAGACAATCGTAGCACTATCTCTGTTTGCCCAACACTTCAAGTCTCGGCGGTTCCCAAGATCCTAGCCAGCACCAAGCAATATCCCTCCACGGCAGACACAACCGGTAGTTGAGAACCGCCTCAGCCCTGGTTGGACAGTTTCCTTTCGCTACCTCGTTACGGGATGCGATGAATCTATTTGCGCCTGCATGGGCTTCTCGAAGGGGACGGACGACAAGGCTCAGCATGTCGCGTGACACTTCACCACGCGACGACACCTGGCTCGACCTAGCTCGACCTAGTAAGCCTTACGTATCGTCAACGGCTTTTTCCGATAAAGGGCCGAAAACAAATACGCAAAACTAACAGCCTGGAAGAACAAACGACGCCTGGTAAAACGTTTTTCAGAGCCCCTGGTGTTTTTCTCCTCAATCCAGGTTTTCTTGGTATCATGATGCGGCTCCAAAACCTTGAAGAAGGTAGGGGTCGGGTTTTGGGGATTGAGGGCGATGGAAGCTTATTGGGCGATGGGGTGGTGGGATGCGGGGGAAGGAGCCGATCGGCAATTGGCGAAAAAGGCCGCGGCAATGGCAAAGGAGGAAGGTGGGACCACGGAACCTAAACAAGCACCGAAAGGCCTAGAACTGCGTTGTGGTTCGTTCGGGCACTTCTTCCCTCTGAAGAGCTTACACTCCGCTAATACTTTTTCTGCCTTTCTTGCACAGGGTATGAAGGCATGGGACCGGGGCTAGGTTTAGTCGCGGCTAGAGAGGGCTGGGCGGAAAAGAGCTTTTTTTCGTCCGACTTTTTCCTTCCTATGATACAGGTACCAGGAAACAAGCACCCTCGGCATAGCCTTCGACATCGGACAAACCGAGCTTCGTCCGTAGTTTCATCCCATAACCCCGGGCCCGGTTTTAGGTGGATTTTCGGGTTTCTCGAAATGTCAGGCCGCAGCAGCAGCGCTAACCCGCCGACTCCTCTCGCCCCAGGATCAGGATCAAGGTGGGATTGGAGACTTTGGGGTCGACAACGAGAGTTTGTTGCAAGGCTACCCCAATCTGAGGCTCCTTCAACATTACACTACACTCTCGGTGCATCAAGCGCAACCTTAATGGTTGTATCCCGTGTGGGAGGAATTAATTTAAAAAGTGTAGATAATTTTCAAACTCATGGATTCCAAGGCTATTTCCAGCATTCCACGTGCAGCTATGTAGCACGCTATCGCCGACCTGTAAGATCTCGGTGAAGACGGAGAAATCACATCTCTGCTGCCAGTCCATACCAAGACCTTGGCAAATGCCAAATTCTCGTGCCGTCTAGGCGATGAACGAGACCACGGATTTCTCCGGACTTGTTTGTCTCCGCATACCGTCCAACAGGTAATTCTTTCCTCGTTCGATTCTATCTGGTCTGGGGCCCCGATTTCCTCTCCGCAAAATATGAGAGAAAAAGACCTGTGGGGTTTAACCCCGCACAGCATCCTTGCCATTGTCGCATCAGGGTGCGGCATCCCCAAATAGGGATTCGTCTCAGGGTGTCATTCCTCCTCACAACACAACACCACCTTGCCCGGCGGAAAACATGACAGGACCATTCACGCTGGTTGTTACTCAGCATGGGGGAGAGATGGGGATGACAATCATTGCCCGGAGCGGTGAGCGCAAGTCGTGCGACCTGTGATATCCAAGCTTTTTGTGAGACCCTTCCCCGTTTCTTGGCCCTGCTGCATCATCGGGCTTCTTGACTCTGCATGTTCGTTCCATGCGCATCATCCGGGCATTCCACGGCGGTACATATTAGACGCCGCCCTCCTAGCGTGATTTGGTTGGATTTTTGGGGTGCCTATCCTCCCTTCGTTGTCTCCCCCTCCTCCACCTAATCTCCTCTGAATTCACCGCATCTCCGCCCGAACACATCACCAGCAGCAAAGGGGGGGAACCATGGAATCAACACACGAGCCGGCGGACCCCATCGCAAAGGGCGTGCTGGCCACGGCCAAGCAATCCTGGAAGGACTTATTCATCTGGAAGCAGCGCGTCGTCGTGACCAACGAGCTCGGCGAGACCAGCACAGAATGGGCGCGTCCCGTGCCCCTGCGTAACCCAGTCAGCCTGATGCTGCAGCTCTCGTTGCGCGACTGGCTCTTCTTCATCGTCGGCCTGGCCGCCTGGACCGCCGATGCCTACGATTTCCACGCCTTATCCATCCAGCAAGTCAAGCTGTCAGAGTACTACAACACGACCGTGACTAATGTGTCGACCGCGATCACGCTGACGCTGCTACTGCGATCAGTCGGCGCGGCCATGTTTGGTCTGGCGGGTGATCGGTGGGGACGCAAGTGGCCGATGGTGTTCAACATGATTGTCCTGGGTGTGCTGCAGATCGCGACCATCTACAGTTCGACGTTCCAGCAGTTTCTGGCTGTGCGCGCGCTCTTTGGCTTGTTCATGGGTGGAGTGTATGCTTTTCCTCTCCAAACTTTATTTTCCTCTCGAGCGCGCGCTGACTTTCACAAAATAGCTACGGAAACGCCATCGCCATGGCTCTCGAGCACAGCCCGCCGGATGCTAGAGGTCTTATGTCCGGTATTCTGCAGCAAGGGTACTCCTTCGGGTATGTTCTTGCAGCCTGTGTCAACCTCGGTGTCGGTGGCGACCCGGAGAGCTGGAAGACGGTGTTTTGGATTGCCGCCGGATTATCCATCGGTGTCGGTATCATTCGTATCTTCTTCCCCGAATCGCAGCAGTTCCTGGAAGCGCGCAAGCACGGACATCAGCATGTTAGCGTCTCGGATTTCTGGAAGGAGACCAAGTTGATGCTCCGCGAGGAATGGAAGCTGTGTGTCTACAGCGTCATCTTGATGACCTGGTTCAACTGTAAGAGATTGTTTCATCGTCACACTCATAACGGTGCATGTGCTAACGGTTTACGCATCAGACTACAGCCATACCTCCCAGGACAGCTACACGACCTTCATGCTCACGCAAAAGGAACTCGACAACTCCGGTGCCAGCCGCGCCAGTATTCTCATGAAGGTCGGCGCTTGCGTGGGCGGCACCATCATCGGCTACATCTCGCAGTGGTTCGGCCGCCGCCGCACTATCGTGGTGGCCGCCCTCATGAGCGGTGTCCTCATTCCGGCCTGGATCCTGCCCCAAGGCGAGCGCGCCCTGTCAGCCACCGGTTTCTTCGAGCAATTCTTCATCCAGGGCGCGTGGGGTGTGATTCCGATCCATCTCAACGAGCTGTCCCCGCCAGCCTACCGTTCCTCCTTCCCCGGCCTGACCTACCAGCTCGGAAACATGATCTCGTCGCCGTCTGCACAGATTGTGAACGCGATCGCTAGCAGCCACTTCGTTACCAGCAAGAGCGGTAAGCTGGTCAATGCCTACGGCCCAACCATGGGGATTGCGACGGCCATCATTGCGACTGGTATTGTGGTCACCACCGCGCTTGGCCCAGAGAAGAGGGGTCGCGAGTTTGAGAAGGCGTTGCCGGCGGGTCTGAACGTGGTACCGGAGAAGAAGGTGGATGATTTGGAGAGAGCTGAGTCGAAGCCGACGGCCGCCGGCGCCGAGAATGTGGATGAGAAGAAGGAGGATAAGATTTGATGTAACGGGCCGGGGGTTGATGCCTGGGAAATGAGTGCTATGAGAGACAATATACCGATCGGTGGCTTGTATACTTGGATATGAAGTTGCAGTGTTACTGTCCAAAGCACAGGAAAGAACTTGATGATAAATATACCGCAGGGATTCACATTCAAAAGGCACAGTGTCAACGACAAAACATAACCCACTTCCCCTCTATCACCTTCCAGCCGGGTTCCTGAACTTCTGCCCCCAAAGAAGCTTCCTCTATGATTGCGGTTTCCATCACCTATCCCGCATCTAGGTACCATCGTCACGATTACCCACCTCCACGTATCTCTGCCGATTGACTACAGGAGGCTATTGCTCTAACTTCCAGCGAATACCCATGTCCGTATATTCGTATGTGTAGTTTAAAATATACAGGCAAAGAGGAAAGTATGTCGAAGGGGCTCCACCCCTAATCGGGACCGTGAGCCTTGAGCAACTTACAGACTCAAATAAGCTGTAGTGAAGGAGGTATATGTTACACGCTAGATGAGATAATGTGCCATAGTCCAAACGCTCTCTCAGGGAAGACATATTAGCAGACCTTTTTATGACCTTTCAAGTGTCGGTTACTTTGTGCTGTTACGAGTTCTATTCCCAACTCCGGAGTGTCTTTGTGGTCCCCTAACCTCATCTCTCATATATCTTCTTCGTTCTTCCCCTTTTCTTTTCCATCTTCAGCATTGCCCTTCTATTTTCTTCCTGTTCCCTCCCGGATTTCGCAGACCATAACTGGCCGAGCGGCAAAGCTCAGCGCCCAAGTCGACCGGCCATGAGGATGTACGAGCGCTAGATATATCCAGGATAACCAAGGCAGCCGGGATGACTTCATCCGGCACGGGCCTTTCGGTAGCAGTATATGGGCTGCGGTAAGCCCCCGATCCCAAAGCCCCTGAATCGCAGGTACTGGTTACGTTGCCATTGAGAGCATGCTGGCACAGTTGACGTACCTAAACCAACGATACGGCGCACAGGGAAACCATTTCACGCTGCTATTGCCGTGCGCCTGGGGGTTTTCGCCACATCCGCTCCGCTCAGTGAACCACCGCCAGTTCCTATTTCACCACCACAACGACGGCCGCTGGAATGCGATCGTGGTGCGGGCTGCTCTCTGCCGATAACGAGAACGCAAGACCCTCCGCGGTCACCTCTTTCCCGTCGCGCCCAGACTTCAGTTTGTCGGGGGATATAGTCTCTGATTCATCCCCTTGACCCTTCTATTAATCTCCTGTACCCCCTTTACTGCTCAGATTTTGTTCTCGAAGAAAATTGGAGGGAAGTTCAAGTGGACGGAGTTATTGTGTTTGCTCTCGCGCGCGGTTCTATCCTTGTGGACCAGGAAGAAGCCCGCGTTTTGCTTCGCTACCGGCCGGGGAAACTAGACGTGGCAGCGGCAGCGGCAGTGGCAGCGGCAGTGTCGTCCAAATTTGGCTTTCTGTCGCCCGGCTTGTCGCTGGGGATTGTTCTTTTGGTGGTGGTACTAGTTGGTACCCACCTGGCACAACCACCCCACCAAATGCTCGCCGAACACCATCTCCGCAAGCTTCCTCGGGCTCAGCGGAGAATATCAAGACCCATGAGTTGGACGTCATCAGCCCGGAGACGATGGCCCTCGAAAAAGATAGGTCTAGGGATGAAGACATGGTGAATATGGCCCTGGTTTCACTTCTGGACCCGATCACCATCTGTTCAGGAATCAACCAGCTTGGGGCCAGACAAAACCTATCGTGGCTCTTGACTCGTCAGTCATTTCAACTCGGTCCGGCACACAAGCCCGTGTGCGAGTCGTCTTACGCGCCTATGAACTGGGCCAAACCAAGTACTATGTGGCATATAGCCGTTTGGCTGGCACGCGGATGCTGAACCACGCGGTCGTGATATAATTGCGGACGACGTTGGAAGGGCATCGGACGTGAAGGAGTTGGAGTTCAATTCCTTGGTTTGATGTCGGCGTATTTTTTAGGGACTAGCAGCGTCTTGCCATGGACATCGTCATCCATAGCGAGTGAGGCAGCAGAAGTGACACAGAGGGCACGAAATACATTAGAGAGCGATTACCTCTTCATTGAAATGACGAAAGAGTACCTGATGAAGCGGTACATCTTCGGCGCATTCTAGTCTGCCACAGCAGTGGGCCGGACCAGCTCAATTGGTGCGTGTTTCTTCCACGGCTGATACTGCATCATTTTGAGGTTCCACCAACGATGCTCCAAATCGCTCATTGATCCATCTGAGAAGGACTATTTCCGGCCTGAGCCTGCTAGCATAGGTAATACGGGGGATTGCAGACTTCCTACGGGCCGAAAATATGTCCTTAGAAATTCACTTCACGATTCGGGCAGCACTTCCTCTCTGCGCTCGGAAATGTAGATCTCTAAAAATGAAACAATCGACAGATTGATGTCCTGACGACAGTGATTAACGACGGATCTCTTTCTTCTTAGGGCATCCATGGACGCCAAAGCACCCGCGCCACACATGCATTGCCGATTGAGGCAGCAATGCCATGGCTGGACACCTATAACTATCTGAAGAGGAAAGAGGGAAAAAAAAGAGGAACAAAATTTTCGTGGAGAGTTGGCGTTGAAAAGCCGTGTTAAAAGTGGGGCGTAGAGCATCCTGTCTCACGTGCTTGGAGCCGCACGCTCCAGCCAACTGCCAACCAAGAGCGGCATTCGAATCGCCGACGTTGTGATTGGCTGCTGAAGCCGAGGTGCCGACTGGCCGGGGTTTGTTTCCGAAGCGCAACTTCGTCAGTCCCGCCGGCATCACCATTGAAACCTGAAATCTCGCATCACGACAGCCTCAACGCTTGCTGGTTCGGCTCGTTCCTTTGTCATCAGCCCACACGCCCACGCACGGAGAATACAATCATGATTGCCCAACGAGCGGCGACGACGACGCTTCGCCGAGGTACGCTTGGCTCTTTCAATTGCGGCACTTCATAGCGGGGGACCAGGACGAGAAGGGGAGGGTTCGGGAATGTCGAAGCATACGACGAGCTAACAATGCATTCATTACAACAGTGGCCGGCAAGCCGAATGTCTTTTTCACCGCCAACGTTGCCCGGCTAGCCACCCAGCCTCTGTCCACCACCCAGACCAGGTCCGTTACCTCCTGATCGAGTTCCCCACCAAACAAAATATCACACCCGTCATACCACACCACCCACCTCACCCAGGCTAATATCCCCTTCCTCCCAACCAAATAGGCCCGTAGCAACCCAACCGCACCTCACCCCCGCCGACGCCAACGCCATCCTCGCGAAGCAGCGCCTCAACCGTCCCGTCTCGCCTCATCTCGCCGTATACGACAAGCAGCAGACCTGGTTCGGCGGCTCCATCTGGATGCGCATCACGGGGTCTCTCTTCAGCGGCTCGCTCTACGTCTTCGCCACGGCCTACCTCGCGGCCCCGCTTTTGGGCTGGCACCTTGAGAGCGCCTCGCTCGCGGCCGCTTTCGGCGCGCTGCCTGTGGCTCTGAAGGGTGGGATTAAGTTCTTGGCGGCGTGGCCGTTTGCGTTCCATGCGATTAATGGCGTGCGGCATTTGCTGTTTGATATGGCTAAGGGGTTCCAGAGGCAGACGATTGTGAAGAGTGGGTGGTATATCTGGGGCGCGTCGATCGTGGGGGGGTTGTACCTTGCTTTCCTCCTTTAAATTTAAGCAGGGGAAAAGAAAGGGAACTGCTTAGGGAGGAGATATTGGAGGCTCAACTCGGTGGGTGTATGGATAAATGGAAGGCATGGATTAGGGGCTGGGACGGCGGGGCATAGGGAGGTAGCGGGTCGGTTGGGTTATGCCATCGGAAAACTGTAACCCGGAGATGAGGGAAATGTTACGAGGGGCAAGAGAGGGGTAGACAGGATGGAACTGCATGTATGGACTACGCTGTCACCAACACGAACTGTTTCTTTGTCAGATAAACCCCGGGCCGAACATCAAGCATACGGCAACAGTGAGTTGAGAAATGTGAGGTATCGATGGTCGCTTGATGACGCCCGTCTTGCTTTTCCGAAATAAATAAAGCCCAATATTCGTGTCCCAGTCCTAAGTGGACGGAGCATAAGCAGTAAATAATAATAGAACTCATCCATGTCCGCCGGATAAGGATCCCCTAACGCCAAGTGTACCTCACTCTCCCTGCCGAAACGCCATGACCGTGCCTTAGGGTATCGGACAGTCAAGCCGAAAACCCTTCCTTACCTATTCCAAATGCCGTACCTCCAGGATCGCCCTATTCAACGTGTGATTCCTTAACCGCGCAACGCGTTGACCAATAATGGGCCCAACAAACTCCGTAACCTGTTCCGCCTCCCTCGACAGTTCCGGTGCGCTGACTCCGTTAGCAACGGCAATACCAGACCCACCCACCAGGCTCTCCACCCCCTTCATAATCCCGCCCACTAACATCTCGAGCTCCATCGCGTGGGACTCGCCCTTGTCGGATAGCGGCTGCAGCACGGCGGAGTCAAAGCTCTTCATATTGGGCAGCACCAACACGCGCACGGCTTCCGGGCCACCGGCGGCAGCGACACCACGCACAGCACCAAACAGCACAGCGGGCGAGCGCGTCGGATCCAGGAAGTGCTTGAGACAGGTGCGCGTCAGCTTGGGCCGCAGCAACGCGTTGCTCGCACCGTACTTGCGTGCGAGGATCTCCAGCAGGCTGGCGGCTAGCTCGCGCAAGTTGTACTGCTCACGCAGGGTGTCGGGTGAGTCTTCGGATGACGCCCCGCTGCCGTTGCCCAGTTTGCGTGACATCAGGCAGGTGAGGACGGGCGCGGATAGGGCGCTGGCATAGGGGTCGAGGAAAAGGTTGGGATTTTGGATGACAGCCTCGGCCAGCTCCATCATTTGGCGGAGGATGAAGAGGTCGTCGAGGTGGTGGGTGACTTGGTTGGTGACAAAGTTGACAAAGTAAGGGAGTAGTTGGTGTAAGCCAGGATCGGAGCGAACTGATTCGAGGGCGGCTTCCCGAAGGCGGCTCTTTTCTTCGTCGGGATCTTCGTCTAACACGGCGGCTTGGATCTTATCGAAGTAGAGGATCAACTCTTTGCTGATGACGTGTTTTACTGAGGGTCGGAAGGATACATTGTCGTTACCCGCGAGAGCCGCCAGGGCTGGGTTGGCGCCGGGGCCCTTGGGTAGGAGGTCCTTGGAGGACGTCTCGGCGGTTGTCGGGTTCTGGGGGATAGACGGTTGGACGCCTTCAACCGCGAGCCAATGGGCTGTAATCGGGATGCCAGGTCAGCAACGGACATCCAAAGCAGAACACATCGAGCGAATTAGAACTTACCCGTAAAGCTCATATCCCGTGGTACCTTCGGAAGAGGGGCATTGACCACCTTTTCAAAGTCGACTTCTTCATCGTCAATGTAGAACAACGGTTGGCCGGGCCCGAGGCTGGCCTCGCCGTATCGCAACGGCCGGGTGGACTCATAGCCATACAGCGGCTCGACGTCGAGCACCTTCAGCGCCTGAGACATGTCCTGAACGGTGAGGGTGGTGCGGTTGGCGGCACGCATGAAGCGCAGCGACTCGATGATGACTTGGCCGATGCGGTATTCGACATCTTGGGCGAGCACGCGGAGCGGTTCGTCCGAGAGCGAAATTCCGATCGAATCGGCAACGTCTCGCACGTTGTCAGGGTTCCAAAGGAGCTTAGGGCCATCGTTCGCTGCCATGTTTCCATCAATGACCCGCAAACCGGTTGCGGCCAGGTGGGCGATGAGGCAGAGGGCGTTGGCAGTTTTGGAGGTCGCGAAATGGTTTGGCGGTTTGATGCAACCCGAAGAAGCGCTTGCATTGGAATGGTTCAAAGGTGCCGAATCAGCAAATGGCAGGCTGAGAACATGGTGGGGCTTCCAATCGCTCCAGCGTCCGTGCCCCACAAGAGCTGGCCATCCACAATAACGTTAAGGGACGGCTGACTCCGAACGGTTCCTGAGCCCAGCTCACAGGGCTGTCACCAGGGCAGCTTTTCTCGAAAGCATCTGAACCATTCGCAACCACACTCTTGAAAAGCTTTGCATCAAACCACATCACCAACACATCCGAAGAGCCTCCTTGGGCTTGACCGACTATTCCTCTTCACATCCCCCCGAAGGGCCGGACTGCGAGTCCAACTCGAAATTTCTTTTTCGCGGCCCCCAAGAGCCCCCAAACTGCGTGTTGGCAAGTTCCTCCACACCACCCTCGCGCAAACCCGGTGTAAGAGCAGTGCCACAATTGGGCCCTCGCTGAAGGGCATGAACGAGTGACTTTTCCCTTGAGGCCGACATGCCTAAACTAACGGTGTAGCGCACTGCTATGGTAGATTCACAATGCAAAATTCCGATAAGTCCTCCCACCCCTGATCACCGTATACTCAAAACAAACATGCATCACGACGTGTAACTCGATTACCTATCGTACCTCATTGCCAGGATTGCCAATTACATCGATATACAATGTGTCGCGATTGTAATCGTATTACTGGTTGTTGTATTTTGGACAATTCAATACCATAATTGATAAGCCTGGCCGAGAGGTGTAATAATCGATGCTTGTTTAAGTGTACGATGAGCAAGCTCGGGGGGAGGGGGACTGATCAAGGCTGGAGCCAAAAGTGGGTGTGGTGGTGATCTCCTCGCCTCTTGCTGTGTTTCTGGAATTTGCACCGTCAATCTAGTGAACTGCATCGTCGATTTAGGCGGTTCGTTGGAGGTATTCCGGAGCCGCAAAGCCGCGTTTGGCAGTGTGGCTTTCAAGTCCGTCGTCGCCTTCTCAACTGCATGGTCGCCTTTCAAGCCCGCAGCCTCCACTAACTTCACGCCCTCCCTGTTCAGCCCAGATGCCGGGTCGGCCCTTGCTTGCTAGCTGCAGGGCGTGTAACATGTTACACACCCATCTTAGGTAGGTAATTCACACTGGCGTCATGAGTTTCCACGCGTCGGCTGCGTGTGGTGGTGAATTCCAGTTATTTCGGGCGATGTCACGCGCAATTTCGCGAACATGTACACTAACCGTTGGACTCTGGAGAAATGTCGGTGTGCAAGAAAGATGCCGTTGTCTGCCCGTGGGCCCGTGGCTCCTGGCCAAACTCCTGCGGCCGTCCAAGGCTGGAAGAGACGCGCACCTTGATTGGTTCTCTTTTCCATTCGAGGTCAACTTCGAGTCTGCGACCAATTGCACCAAATCTTAGCGTCTCGCATGCTTGTTAGCCTTGGTACCTAGTCGAGACTGGGGAAATTCTTCTCAAAATACTGTATGGACAGCGTTTTCCAGTCTTCACATCAGTACCCGGCTTCACCAGGCCTGGTGCCCGGTCGGGGAGGGTGCCACCTTGCATAATGGTGTGGTAACTTTGATAACAGCTCTCCAAAGTAAACTCGCTAGAGTTCCGCTGGCAAGGCCGCTGGCAAGGCAACAAGTGGCAAGCACAGCACACTGAGCACAGCCTTCGACGGGACCCAGGTCACCCAACAACATCAGTTGCTTTTGCGGCTCCCAGAAGGTGCACTTTTTGTCTGCCATGGGACATGGGTTTTTCTAGATTTTGGAGTTTCGTTGTCAGATGCCACAGGTGGTTTGAGGGGGGCTAAGATAACTCAATGAAGTGTGATATTATATATAAAGCGCCCTCGATAACAAGACCACAGAATCCGTAGTTCCGCTCAGTAGCGTTCCGTCATCGAGTCAGTTTGCCTACTACCTTTACTCTCATACCCAAATTACCGCGTATATTACAGTTGGGGGTGTTCACTGTTCAGTCGACATGGTTCAGCAATCGGTGGCCTCAGCGGCCCTCAGCCGCAGCGGCGTGGCCCCTATCTCGCCAGCCTTGCGCCCTTCCCCGAAGCTTTCCTTTCGCAGAAGACCCCAGTCCTGCCCCTCAAGTCCAAGTGTTGTCAATTCCACTCACGTTCCCGTTGTGTTTAACAACTCCACCATCTTCAACCTCGCCGAAGGCCACTTAGATGCCCGCCCTGGGAGTGCTTTGGGCCATGTTCCCCGGAACTTGCCCGGCCCTATGGCATGGGCCCAGGGAGCACCCATCGATTACTCCGAGGCCGAAACACATTCGGCTAGGTTCTGTCTGGGCGGGAGTCTTGAAAACCCCCAGTATTTCCCCCAGGCTCCATCGGCGGACCGGCAGCCCTTCACGATTGTGGCTGGCGACCACGGACCATATTGCAACTATGGCTATTATGCCGCTCCACGGTCCGATCGCAGCGGTTACCTGGGACAGAACGAGCATCGACAGTCGCAGAATGACGACAGCCACCCTGCGTCGGACGACGGTGACGCTGGCTCAGAACAACAGGACGATAATAATGGGGACGGAGACGAAGACGACGATGAGGCTCACAACCAACAACCCTGTAGCGGTCCATCCCATATAAGGCCGTTCAGCTGCCCCTTCCGGAAGAGAAATAAGAGACGATTCAACGTGAGAGACCATCCGAACTGCAACAAAGAATTCCGCACCTACCTGGATGTCAAGTTCGTACACCCTCAACTAGCCCCCCCCACTCACCTCCCCTTCTTTCTCCCCCAACAAACAACAACAAACACCAGCCGTAAACTGGGAGATCATTGTTTCAGATGTCAAACCTTGAAATACTTTCTGACTGGGATTTTGTTCTACAATAGGAGGCATGTCAGAACCGAGCACCTGTTGCCAGCGCACCATCGTTCCCGTACCGAAGAACAGAGAGCTGCCAGAGATCCTGAAGACGGCATTGACGAGAATATGGTAGCCAAACTGATCGAGCGGGAGCAGAAATTGAAAGTCAACACTTGGGAACTGTTGTGGGAAAAACTGTTTCCCAATGACGATGTCATACCCAGTCCAGGTTTGTGCATCGCTTGATTCAAAGACGTCATGCCCAATGACACCCCTTCTCATTAACCTTTGTCTCCTTCCTGGTCTAGACTACGAACCTTGGATTCAAGCAGCGACGATCGAGTTTGATGACATCGCCGATGTGGCGAGGCTTCGCGCCAAAGAAATCTTCCCTTGTCAATTTAAAGAGAAGCTACAATCGCAGCCTTTGGGCCCAGATACGGACACAATTGTTTCTCTTGGCACCGAATTAGCAGACGATATTTATGGGCATTGTCTTGCTGAGTCCCGACTCGAGTTCGACGCAAACACGGCGCCTCAACACCGCAAAAACCAGCAGACAAAGCAAGCGACAGGTGGCCCGTCAAATGCGGGTAACAAGAAAAAGCCGAACGATCCTGACCGTGTAATGGGCGGGCGCGTGTTGAAGTCGACAAAAGCCACCCAGTCCCGAGTCAGGGAACCTGGAGCCTTTCAACGCATAGCACCGAGACCGATGGCGAGCAACAATTTTACTGAGCTTACTGAACCTCAACCTCACCATCATCACTCGCTACCCAGTACCACTTCTGCGTCACAGTCAACACATCCACTCCCCGCTGCCCCAACCCCAGAGCATAGCTACTCGGGACCCCCCGAACACCCCCCGATTGCCATCACCCCGACCTGGCCTCCCCAACCCCAACCTCAACAGCAACACCAGCACCAACAGGCCCCAATTGTCAACAACCCGGCTTTGCGTCACCCCCCCCCACCTCAACCTCAACATTTTCAACTGTCACAACACCAGGTCTTCGCCAACACGCAATATGATCCCTATGCTCCTGCACAGAGGAATGTGAACTACCAGATGCCGCCTTCTAGCGGACCGCCGGGTGGAAGTATGGGAGGAGGTCGAGGATGGCCGGGTCAGTAGGGGCCTCCACTCGGTTCGTTGGTTGGGTTACCGTTGGACTAGGTAATCTGAAAAGAAAAAAAGGTGTTTGGCAGTTTGCTGGTAAGTCAACTATGGCTGAAGTGATGCTTCCTCATTGGTGTGCTTCGCTTGTTTTAAAGCTAAAGCTGACCATGCAAAGCAGTTACGTCCTTGACCTAGTTCTTGGACGTCTCGTAATATTTTGTTATTGCTCAAAATTTCTTAAATCTTTTCCTTTCTTCTTGGTTCCCTCTACTCCCCTCATCCTTTACTGTCCGAAAGTTAAAGACTGTCCTTTCCGCTGTTGTTTTTGATTTGTCTGCTTTTCATTTCATTATTTCCTTGGCTGCTGAAGGATCTGGAAGTAAGATGCAAAGACAAAAAAATATTAACTAGTGTGTTTCGACGAGATTGGTCACATCATACAGTTCGATTTGCTTAATCAGGTAGTTGCGGTTGGGTGAAGAGCGAATCATAAAATCTAATAGGACCCTGTCTTGTTTTGTTGCATGAGCTACCTATGCCAAACAAATCCCCGCTTCCAGGTTCTCATGTGAGCCATCAGCCATGTCATGCCTTCCCTCCCCAGTCCGGCCCTGAACCCGTCGCCCCGCCAAGCTGCCGGGCTGTGATTCCCGGTTATCGGCACGTGTCCCGCACCGGGAACTGCCGCTCCGGTCCGATTTGTCGCTGTGGGGCCCCGAAACCAACCAGGCCCAATTGGGTGCTCCCATCCAAACACCCTTGAGACCGCCAAGCACGCCATTCGCTGCTGTCCTCTCCCCTTGCCGCAGCATGACCACGCCTTCCTCACAGGGGCCCTTGTGGCCTCCCCCAGGCATTCCATGGGCCTTTGCACCACGCGACAACTTTTTGCTTCTGTCAAGGCTTGTGCAGCGTGTGGCTTGCTGGACTCGACTCCTTTTTAACAGGACAGTGGCCCCCCCGAAACAGAGCGCCGTTTTGGATCGTCCAACAATCGGCTCTTTTCCCCCCTTCCCTGCTTCGTTGTAGCGTTATCTGCAGCGCGGCCCGTACCGTCATTCTCCGATGAGTGACCGAAATGGCAAGCGGCCCGTCGTTGTGGTCCTCGACCCGCCTTCTGACGATGATGAATCCGGGAACCGGATTGTTGCTGGGGGCGTCGCAGGCGACTCGGCCCCCAACTCTTCCAGGAGAAAGATTGGCGCAGCTGGGACTGTGTTTTTGATTCTCAACAAGATGATTGGAACGGGCAGTAAGGCTTCACCATCCTGAGTTCGGAACTTCTGGTGAAACCCCCGCCTAACGAGTGTTGTTCCGTCGCAGTTTTCTCAACGCCATCGGGCATTTTTGCTGCCACGGGCTCTGTGGGAATTACTTTGTCGATGTGGGCAGTCGGTAAGGAAGCCTCGCACTGATTACTCATTTAATTACTCCTCATTTCTGCCAGTTATTAACTTGCATCAGCCGGCCTCCTCACCCTCTCCGGCCTGAGCGTTTTTCTTGAGTTCGGCCTTGCCATCCCTCGATCAGGGGGAGAGAAGAACTACCTAGAGCGAGTGTACCGTCGACCGCTGTATCTCGCCTCGAGCGTCTTCGCCGTGCAAATCGTGTTGCTCGGATTTTCCGCCAGCAACTCCCTGGCATTTGGCCGTTACGTGTTGTTGGCTACCGGCCACCCGATGCCGGACGGCTGGATCCCACGGACGATCGCCGTATGCTGTGCCACCACCGTCGTTCTCCTGCACGGCGTGCTCCCGAAATGGGGGCTCGGGCTCACGAATGCTTTGGGGGTCTTCAAGGTCCTCGTTTTACTCCTGATTGTCTTCTCGGGGTTTGCCGCGCTCGCGGGCCATCGTATGGTTCCGGATCCCCATAACTTTGATGACTTCTGGGCCATCGAAAAGGGAGATGGATATGGTGTAGGCGGGGCCTATGCCTATGCCACGGCCATGCTCCAGGTGGTGTACAGCTACAAGGGGTGGGAAAACGCCAACTATGTGCTTGGAGAGCTGAAGAACCCACAACGTACCCTCAAGGTCGCCGGCCCCCTCGCGGTGATCAGTGTCACTATCTTGTACACTCTCGCCAACGTCGCATATTTTGCCGCCATTCCGAAGGGGGAACTGGCCAAGTCCGAGGTCATTGTTGCCGGCCTGTTCTTCCGGAACATGTTCGGGGACAGCGCTCTTGCGCGAAGCCTGCCTGCGCTGGTTGCGCTCAGCAACATTGGCAACGTACTGGCCGTCAGCTTTGCGCATTCGCGTGTCAACCAGGAGCTGGGGCGAGAAGGGATCTTGCCGTGGAGCAGGTTTTGGGCTTCCACAAAACCGTTCAACACGCCGGCGGCTTCGGTACGTGTTATTGTTGATCCCACAGAGCATTTCGGTATTGTGCATTTGACTAATCATACTAACCGTACACAACAGCTCTTCCTACATTGGATAGTTACTGTGACTGTGCTCGTCGCACCTCCCCCCGGCCCTGCATACAACTTTATTGTCAACTTGTAAGGTCCCCATCTCACCACATATTTTCAGTGGCTTGACTAATCACCACTGTTTAGATACACGTACCCCAACGCCTGGATGAACGGATTCGTTGCCGCGGGGCTCATCTACCTGCGGTTCAACAAATCAGAGAAATGGACCTCGCCGTTCCAGACATACCTCCCAGTCGCCGGCATCTATCTCCTCCTCAACATCTTCCTCGTACTTGCGCCCTTTGTTCCACCATCCGGCGGCTGGAGCGCAGACGGATACCCATACTATGCTTACCCCCTGGTCGGCCTGGGAATTCTGTTTCTGGGTGTGGCATACTGGTTCTTCTGGACGAGGACGGGTAACCACTTGGCGACTAAATTGGATGTTGGTACCAATGGGGAGAGGAGAAGCGATGATGGCAAGTCGTTTGAAGATGAGCGTCCTCTGCTGCAGGAGGCGGAGGAGTCTCTAGTGGGTCGAGGGAATGGTGCGAGGCATGGGTACACGAGGATCGATGGGTAAATTTGAATTTGGGTGTCGCATTTTAAGGTATATCTACATATTAGAAGGCATGGAGTTCTGGTATGTTTTTGCGAGTCATGGCCACCTGTGCCTAGATGACTAGAGGCCATCTAGGATGATTTAAACCTGGCGTGGGCATAGAGACGTTCGTATAGTAGATTTGTGCCAGGGGTTTTCATATCACATCCTCTGCTATCTCCAACATTCTCGGATCAAGGTTTGTTGTAATTATACAAGCTCAGACTGATAGAATCCTGGGATTCTGCCCGTTATCCCCGCCCACAGTATCTTTGAACCCGTCCCCTTCCTAGACTGTGCAACGAGGCCACGACACAACAAATGTGCCAGGAACAGGGTTCAGCAGGTTCGAAAAGTCCATAGATTTCAAGATTAGATATTGAATATTAGCAGTCGTAGTAGTGATAACTTTCTTTCCAGTTTCTTAATCAGCATAAGCTGCCGAGGAGAAGTCTAAATCTGTGCGTATTCCTTGATGTCGTTGTATAGAATAGCTGACTTTGAGTCAAGGTAATAGTTGGATATAGTATAATTACAGCCCCGGTCTTTGTCTTATTGTTGGTGAATATGTATTATCGTGCGTGATTACCATGAACACTTAGAGTTCATGCCAACTTGTGCACACTAGACCCGCCGGTCCCCATGCGGAGCTCCGGAAAACTACCTTTTAAAGCACATCAAATCTCACTTGATGTCAACAATTTTCGTAACCACTTGTGTCTCGTCCTTGCTCCTGCCACCCACACTTTATGCTAACTCTACAATATCATCAATAAAGCCTTGGCTAGGCCAAGGACAATGCCAATGTGACTCACAAATCCTCGCAAGTTTACAATGCCTTTGCCAGCAAAACGACAACGCATGTTTCTCGTGTCACCGATGATCACACTATCCTCCAACCTACTAGGTAAGTCGTCTTCCGTTTTCACTCACACGTTTACCCTGTGCAGTGAACCATCACCAAACTACCACTGTAAGTACATACTCCAAGGTGCTCACACCGGAACATCACCCACAACCCGCCGCGTCGAGCACTTACAAAAAAATAGATACCAGGATCTAAGTATCTCCTCCCGCCGCCTCGATCCTTGGATTTTCGCCAAGGAAACAGAAAGAAGCCCGCCGCCATGGGCCAAAGCACATCGTCACCCGCCGCGGGAACCGGGAGCACAAAGTCCGCCCGGGCCCGCGAGGATTCCGCAACCAAGAACGGCGGGAATACTGCTAGTAGAAAGCCCACCACCAAGACCCCCAGCTCTGGGGATATTAATAAATATGAGGGGGTTAACGGGAACGAACCGGGCGGGGAAAAGGGACAAACAGTTGGAGAGGAGACGCTGGAGTTTCTGAGGAGGATTGAAGGGCCGTGGTGATGGGCTGGCAGTGGTGGTGGTCAACGTTTGGAGTTTTGTTTTTTCAAAAAAAAATACAAGGTACCCAGCCAGCCCAAATGCGATGGAGGAACACGATGGTGTCTGGGCATTGAAAGATCCTTCAAATACTAATACATTATCCGACAAACAAGTGCGAGCTTTAGCCTCGACCCGAAGGAAGATATTGGAGGCCTTGACTCGGGCCGAGCGGCCGGCTCGTTGGAGACCATGTTTATAAAGTGAGTGCTTACGCTTGTTCCATGCTAGCTTCTGAATCTGCACTAACAAATTGTATAGATGGCACTCTTCTATCCTTGGCGATGCGTTTAAGTCCCCGATGACTGTTCAGTGTTCGGTTCCAGACGGCTCCTTTTGAGCATCTTCCCCCAGCCTCTTGAAATGTTTCAGTCATAGTTAAAAACAATCAAAAGCCCCGGTTCAGAACCCGGAGGAATGGAGTACCTCAATTTCCCCGATCTAGTAATCCGTAATCCGGCAGTATAAACCCTCCAATCCGTTAATCCAGCGATCCCGTAATCCCCCGATCCCCCATTTCCAAACCTCAAAATCCATCAACTCTTTTCTACCCATCCACCAAAATCCCTGTTTCATCCCAACACGTTTCAACAACCTCATTCTCCCTACTCCCCTCCTCCCCAAAACCAACCTGACCTCCGGGCCCCAGACCCGGCCTGCGGCACAGTCCTATCAACTCCCCCATCCATCAACGGGTCGACCACGCCGGACCCTCTCTCCCGTGCCGCTTGTTAGTTAGTTAGTTGGTCTCCAACAAATCTCACGTGAAAATCGCCCAAACCAACCCGCAACCCGTTCCCCGTCCTTTCCTCGCCGCCCCCCTACCAACCGGACCCCCAGATCTGACACCCGGCAATCCGGCCCGTCGCACGATCAGTTACTGGAAAAGCGCGCAGAACACAGCAAGTCAAAAAGAAAAACCCCTCTCCAAGAAAATTTCCGTGCCGCTGGGTTTGGGGAAGATACATACATCTCTCTCACTAAATGTGGGCCAACAACACACCCGCTGCGGCTGCGGCTTGCGGGTGTCAGCAACGCGGCCCCAACAGCGACCACTTGCTTTCGGTCTTGTCCAACAAGCCAAGCGGGAGGTCGGGAAAGCAGGTGGGTGGGCCCGCCGCTTCGAAGCTCTTATAGTCTCTGCCCTGCCCGCCTTGGGTCGGGCGGGCTGGGTCTAGGACTTGGTGGTCATGTCGATCAGTCTGTGAGGAATAGTCTTTTCGTCCAATTTTTTCTTCCTTTCTTCTGTTGTGGTCTAGCAGCCGGGCCTGCACTTTTGGATTGGGGGATTTTTTATTTTTTTTTGTTGTTGTTGTTGTTTACTTTCTTTCGCTGGGTTGTTACACTTTTCTTCCTCGCCTTAGCCCATATTCTTTTCGGCTGCTGCCGCGGTCTGCGTCGTCTTCTCCTCAGTCTCGAACCCCCATCGCCGGTCGAATCTCTTCCTTTCTATCCTTTCGGCCGTGACTCTCCTGTCCGGCCTCATCATCTCTTCTCACTTCATTCTCGATGGACCAAAGACCGCAAGAACTCCAAATCATGTTCCAGGCGGTCCCGCTCAAGCGGACTCTTTCCCGCTCCTTCATCCGGATCATCCAGCGCACGTTGCCGCTTGTCAAAACAACTCGAGGGCGACCATGGACGACGAACGCGAAAACTAGGATGCCTATTGACTTGTGAAGAAGCCATCTGAGAGGATGGGATCGCGAGCGATGATGGGATGAGATCCCATGTTGTGGCTATGTTGTTCCGCCGGGATTCAACGGAACGAGCCGGGATGCGACGACCGTCGTTGACGAGTTCCGGGAAAGTAACAGGGTGATTCGTTTGTTGGCACCGCCTTGGAGGGAATCAAATGGTGACTGTCTCATCTGAGTGCAGAGCAGGGGCGACGGTTGTTGGGGGAATGATCTTTCGGTTTGCATCCTTTCTTTTTTTCATCAGCATGCGAGGAGTTCAGGGTCACGAAGTAAGGACGAGAGATGGTTAAAATGGTGTTACGGATTTTCTGATTGTTGGTTCCAACGCTGTTCAAATTTCCGGTCGTTGCATCGATAGACATAGACAAGACAAAACGCGCATGGCGGACCAAGGAGTTTGGCTTGGGTTAAAAGCGATAGAGCAGATAAATACCTATGCATTTTGAATGACATTATTCATGAAGCTCGAGGCACCAATGACTGATTGTAACATGTTTATAAGCTATTAATATTTTTGTTATAAGATTTCTTTTACTTCTTTCCAAGCTTTCCCAAAAGTTCTGTCCTGTTTTCAGGCTGCCCGCAGAACAGGGTATCATTGCTACAAATGCACTTTTTCTTTTGTGTAGGCCCCATATCACGGCCAGAATTACCCGACACTTCCGGGGTATCCTTTCATAGTCTGACAGTCGAGATAATTGTTCTCGATGAACGGTGTCGCCACCTGAATCCCGTAGACATCTGCCCACTTGTGTGTCGTTTCATTGAAAGGGAATGCGCGGCCTGTGGCTTTCCCACGCACTGCGACAGGGGCATGCTCGCCGGTGGACATGCTGGTGTTGAAGAACCGGATCATGTTGTCGCAGGAGCTGGCATTCGCGAAGGTGGGTTGGTTGGTTATGTTTCGGTAGAGCTCCAAGGGGTAACGATGACGAGATGAATGTGGCGTGCGGGCGAATTCGAGCTCGATAAAATCGCGAGAGTCAAGGCTGGTTGCTTTGAAGTAGGCGTTGCCGTTTGGCAACTGTTGATAGGCGTCACACGCCGGCTCGTACTCGGCCGGTGATACAACCGTCCCATACGCCCGGGATCCCTCCACGGCTATGTCGTTCGTGGAGGTGATGAGTTGGGCTGGCGCCCATCGGAAGGAGGAGTAGCCGTCACCCAAGAGGTCCAGGAATCCAAACTCAAACCCAGCACGCTGTTCCCGACGTTAGCACATACACGGGGGTCGAACACAATGAATGGAGAAGCTGACCGAGAAGTCGTCTATGGTGATGTTGTACGCCCGGAATTGAACATCATGGTCATGTGCGGCCTGCAGCAGCACTGGGTACATCCCCTTGGGAAAGTCGGGGATCAGAGCGCGATAGGCGTGCTCGAGGATCCTGTACTGAGATGGGATTAAGCGGCGAGCTGTCTCGAGCGGAATGGGAATGATGGCGAGCGTCGCGTTCAGAACTCCGGTCGAGTTGTTTGGGAATGACGTGGCCAGTGGGTTAGGCGGGTCGTGTGTGTGGCAGACACCCTGTACTGCTGCTGTTTCGCCATGGCTGAGGAGGAAGGAGAAGAATACTAGGACGGCGACGACAGAGACGTGAAGGAGGGAGGGTTGGAGAGCCATCTTGGAAACCCGGCTGAAACTCCAGTATGCCCGGCGAAGCTCGTGGTCTCGAGGGTGAGCCGTAGCAGCGAGCGAGAAGAAGCGCGGCATGTTAAGCGGCATGTCGGGCGACCGAGGGGGTTCATATAAAGGGCTGACGTGATGAGAAAAGGTCCCAGGCTCCAGGGATCAAGGGAATTTGCCGCCCACCCGCGCTCAACTCGAAAGGTCGCAATACGAGACCGAGGGAGATGGGGGGCGGGGGCCAAGAAGGGAGGAAGACGAGAAAAAGTAAACTGAGACCATGAGATCTCAGAAGCGTTGAAAGAGGTAAAATGTCCAGAGAAGACCCAAAACGGAGTGCGATGCGGTTGACTAACCTTTTACACGAGCACTGAGCCTGAGACTGGTAACAGGAGGGCAAGGGTCCGGGATGTGCTGCACCGCCGCTGTTCAGAGGAGAAGGACGAAGACGGCGGCAGTCTCATCAGGCGCAGGTCCCGTTTGCCAGGTTTCCCGACCGGGTGTCGGCTCACGGCCCTTTCCGACCGGGGAGTATGGACGGGGACTTGTTCACAACTCACGCGGTTTGCTCATCAGATGCTTCAACGGGGTTCATCACAAGTCGGGATCCAAACGAACCACGCGTGACCACGAGGCGAGGGAATGCTGACTGCAGTCCAAGTCTTACGGGTAGAAAGGTTGCCGAGTTTCGATCGTCCAATACATACAGATTGCGGTGGTGCAAGGAACAGATCCACTGGCCGGAGGAGGAGACGACAGACTAACCGCCACCGCGTGAACAGCGGGATGCCATGGGGGGCGCGGAAGCCCCAGTTGCCGGCGGGGAAGACTGACTAGGCAGTTGGCAAGTCGGCGAGGTTGGACGGCAAACGGGCGGCTAGTGGGAAGAGATCGGACGAAAGAGCGTTTGTTTCCAATCTCATTATCGGCGAGTCGCTGTGCTCATCCCAGCGCAGCCAAGCCCGTGCCCGTACAACGCCCCGTTTTGACACCAAAGGACCGGTCGTGTTTCAGCCTCGGATGTTGAACGTTCCGGAGGCGGCGATGAATGCCAGCCAATCGGGGTTGCCCCACCATCTCGGGATGCACCGACCGGCGCATTTCTTCCGGCCGGTATTCCGTCATCGTTTCTTTGGCCGGTGTGGTTGTTATTTATTGCTCATTTGGCAGCGAAATGTGATGAGAGAAGACTTGCTCGAGAATACGTCGTGAACGGTAGGCAGGCCCAGGGAGATAAAATGCGATCTTGGAATCTGTCCACCTTCCTGCAACAAAGTCAAAGGGGGTTCCATGACATCTGAAATTGTGGGGCATGTCTCAGGCAGGCGGTGTCCCACGGCAAATTTCACACCTGGGACTATTGACGTTTCCTTGGCTTCCAGGAGATTTAAACCTGTCAATGTCACCGACGCGTCCCTGCCCCAGAGTTGACGCTAGCTACCACGACGAGGCCTCGGATTACATAGGGTATCTGTTCTTCCATCTTTCCTGTCAAACGATCACGTGTTTTCCTGCCTTCAACCCCAGAGACGCGATCTGGAGTGTACTTCAAAAATACGACTGTTTCCGGACCCTGACGATCTGTTCCAGCAGCTGTGACGGACATGTTTCAAAATCGCACCAGCAACAGCCCATCAACACAACGACTGACAACTCGCACGGCCACGATATGCTTTACTTTAGCCGCGGCATATCACAGACAACGTTGCAGCTGAGCTACCTAGGTACCTTGAATTGCAACCGAGGAATCTTGATGCGTAGGGGTCACGTGCGCTCTATCTCTTGCCCACTGTCCGCTCCTTCCTCCATCAAAGCAAAAGGGCCTTCATAAGCCATTCCCGCGCTGCTTCTTCCCACGCCTCCCACCGATGAATGCTCAACCCTCGGATGGCGCATTTGGAGGGGCGTGGGCGTCAGAAATGGCGCCCGAACCCGAGCCCCCGTGAGTTCGACTCTGGTGATGGTCACAATGCAAAACCCGACCGCGGGTTTTCGTAACCGCCTACTATTCCTCGGCCCCCACCGGGGGGGTAGAGAGAAGTACGTGGTGAGCTTTTTGGCTTTCTTTTCACTAAAGACGATAATGAAACGAACCTGAAGAGCAAGAGTTGCAAATCAGGCTGCTGCAACACGGGCTTATTTTTGACCACCGATTGTTTATCAACGAGCACATTTCACAGCAACATCACCAATTCCATCCCCCATAGCGCAGATTCAAGCTTCACGAATGCGATCAATTTTACCCTACCGGGCACTCGAGCCACGGCCCCAGCTATCTCTCTACCAATAACCCCCCCTTACGCCTTCTCCGTCAGCTCACCACCCTCAACGCTCGCCGGGCCATCCCACTGCAACTGCGCCGGCACCTTCTTCTGCAGCACAGGCAGCCAGACGGTATCGTACAGACCCGGGGTGCCGTCGCCCGCGGTGCTTCCGGGCTCGAGACTACCGTACTGGTTCGAGTCGGTGCAGCAGGGGCTGTTAGGGCCCCAGAAGGGACCCGCGGCCCACGCGGTCCAGCCAATGTACTCTTCGTTGTCAGCCATGTAGTCGACCATGCTGTCGAGCATGTCGAGGCACTCGGTGGTGTTGGAGCCGCCGAACTCGGTGATGAAGGCCTTGAGGTTGTGCTCCTTGAGCCAGGCGGTGACGTCGGCGAGGTTGGTGGCCGCGTCCTGCGTGCAGGCCGTGTGTGAGCCGCTGAAGTCTTGGTCCAGGTATTCGTGGATGTCGATGGCCGTGTTGTTGGCCGGGTCCACCAGCTTGTGTAGCCACTTGCTGCTGGCCTCGTCCCCGCCCTGGGTCCACGCGTGCCCGCCCGTCCAGGAGTTGCCGGGGGCGATGATGAGGTTGTTTGCGCCCGCCGCGCGGATCGCGTCCACGGCGGCCTGCAGGTTGTCCAGTAGCAGGGAGCTGGGCATGTCGTGCGGCTCGTTCATCAGGCCGAAGATGACCTTTTCGTTGTCGGCGAAGCGCGCTGCGAGCTCGCCCCAGAACTCGCCGAACTGCGCGGTCGTGGCGGCCGTCGGGTCGGACGAGTTGCCGATGATGCTGCCGCTGTACGGCTGCGAGGAGGGGTCGTTGTAGCGCATGTAGTTGTGGGGGTCGAGGATGGCGTCTATCAGTCAGGCCCAAGGTGTTAGCAAGAAAGGTAAGCCCTCGTAAGCTTTCATCACAAGCAAACGGCATCGCAAGTAAACGGGATCACTCACAAGCCCCCTTGGTCGTGGTAATGTAATCGATCGACTGCTTGAAGAAGTCAAAGTGCGTCTCATTGAACTTGGCACCCAGCCCGTCCGCGGGCGGGCACATGCGCTCTAGCAAAAAGGCCACACGGTGCAGGTTGACCTTGTTCTGGTCCACCATGGTGTCAACGCCAGCCTCGTCGATGAACTGGTACTCGACGCCAAACGTGCCCGGCAGACCGGTGCCAGGCGTGGCATCGGCGCTCCACACGCCGAACTCGCCGCCAGACTGCGCTACACCGGCGTAGTAGATGGTCGCCGACGCTCCGGGGAGCAGGGCGGCGGCGGCCGTGACGGCTGCGGAGGAGGTGGTGAACTTCATGGTGGGTTGATGGCCGTCTTGCGTGGAGAGGGGACCTGATTTACAACAGCAGCGATGTCTACACAGCCAAGAAAGTAAACTTCAACAGTTCCCTCCCAAGAGGTCGGGTTATATATACCCTTCCCACGTTGTAGTCAGCTTCAAGTCGTGATGCAACCTCATCGACCACGCTGCCGATCCTTTTCCGATTTCCCACCCTCGTCGTTTGGTTCTCCTCCCGCCCCCCTCGATTTGGCCATCGCCCGTTCTTCCACGTCCCGGGGTATTTGGGGGTTGTGATGCGAGATACACTCTATCCATGACTTGTTCTCCACGAAAACCTTAATTCTGCACGGCAATTCTATGGGGCGATCATCTTGCCCGATTGGCTACATGCACAGGTTGTTGCATCGGGTCCCTTCCAGATTATACACTATATTATTGGAGATTCTTGAAGGTTAGCGGTCAGATATGCGGGCGGGTGGACAGGCGAGGCCTGCTAGCAATCCAATGCTGCGCGGGAGTTTTTCATTGTTATTCACTGTCGGGCAGCGAATAACTGGCTGGAATTGAGATTCCGGGCCGGGAATTGACAGGCTGTTGGTGCGAATGGAGGCTTGGGGACGCGGAAGAAGGACCTCCGTTTGAGGTTAAGGGGGAAAAAAAGGCTTGTTCCCGGGGCCCAATGGCCCGAGATGAAGTGTTTGCCGTTGTCGATCGTTTGTGTTTTCCGGTGCGGAATCCCGGGTTCGGGGGGCTTCTGGAATTCTTCCGTGCGTCCGGGGACTGGCCGCAAAGGTAAACGGCCCCACTGGAATGAAGACAACGTGATGAGACGTGGATGGTTTCTTGATCTTAAGTACTTGTAGGATTTGATGGCCGACGTATCATGAGAGGATTTGACTGTCAATCGCTCAAGAACTTGGTTATTCAACGAGAAAGCCGAGAACGACTAGTTTGACGAGTTATTAACGTGATAATGGGTGACCTTAGGTTTTAGGGACGATCTCATATTAGCAGCATTTTTAACTCACAAAACTGAAGTACAACCTGACTTGAGATTTAAGATCAAGTATTCCACCGTTTTTGTGTCAAACTTCATCTCATCGTTTTTATTAGACATTTGCATCCATACATTTACAGTCAACCCGCTATCATGAGACAGCTTCCCATGTATTAACCGCCTCATCACTCATCCCATTACCGACTTACGCCTTCCTCTCCGATCCCTTAGCGCGCTCATAATACCACACCGCGCCCTCCGCCTTCGCACAGCTGCTGATGCTGCCACCGTTGATATCAGCCCCAACCGGCTTGCCCTTACCTGCCTGCACCGGCCCATACACATGGTAATAATACCACACCTCGGTCAACGCAGTAAACCCGTTATCCAACGACCCCTTGCCAGCCTCCGTCTCATTGTACCGCTTGCCCGAGCAGCCCAGGTACGGCACCTGCCCGTCGTGGTGCGAGGCAAGCGTGGACTGGATATCGACCAGCGTGTAGCTGGTGGTGTTGCTGGGGGTGATATCGGCGGCCGCCAGCCAGTCGTAGGTGGGGAGGAATTTGAAGTACTGGGCGGAGACGTCGAAGAAAGTGAGGAGATCCTGGTGCTTCTTGAGGTCCTTGTGGGAGAAGCAGGACGGCGCAAAGGTGCTGAAGCAGGTCGCGTGCTTGGAGAACTCGTGCGCCCAGAGCTGGTGGTTAGGCTGCTTCTGCGCGATCCAGTACTTGTTCATCCACGCGAGGAGCTTGTGGCCTGGGTGGCCGAGCGCGGTCAGGAAGGTGTCGACGGAGGGGCCCGTGTAGGGTGGGACGGGCACGCCGTCGGGTTTGCCCGTGGTGGTGTTGGGGTCGGGCTTGGGGTCATATTGCCGGGCGAAGTCGCAGTACTGCGTCCAGGAGCCGTTGCAGAAGTCGGGCCAGAGACCGTGCAGGGTGAAGGAGTTGGCGGGGAGGAGCTGGCCTTCGGACTCGAGGCCGGTGTAGGTGTCCCAGAATTGGGTGGAGAGGACGAGACCGCCGAAAGTTTCGACTTTGCAGGAGTCGACGAGGCCGGACTCGGCTTCCGCCGAGCAGGAGAGCACCGGCTTGTGGGGTTTGCAGCCGGCCAGCGCCGTTTGCACCGAGCCGGCCACAGCGAGGCCGAAGAGGCCGAATCGTGCCATTGGAATGGTGTGAAAGGAGATGCACGCACGCAGGTGGGGACGGGGGATGGGAGATCTACAAGTGAGATTCGAGGACGAAGCTCGATCAGAACCTCCGATGCGTCCAACAGCCTTTATATTTGAAGGACGCGAACCAAACCATGACAATGGCAATCTCCTTGTGCAGCATCCACGTGGGATTTGGAGTCTGTTATCGACAATTCATTCGTCCAGAATCCTCCAATTCTTCAGCCCCCAGCTTTTGACCGAGCCATCGGCGCCGGATTAGGAAGTTGGAAAAATGGTTGCTGCGATAAAAATGGATGGTGGGTGCGGGTCAAAAGTCGTGGCAGGCACCCGAGGACCTGGAATTGTGTGTTTTGGCGACCTTGACATGTCCAATCAGTCGCTGATGAGGGGCATGACGGCGCTCGAAGAACCCCCCGGCTGACCACCTGCGCGCGGGGCAGCGTCTCATTCGTCAATTGGGAAAACAGACGCATGCACCACGGACACGAGGATACGACCTTGACGACACAGCTCTTTGCCTTGCACACGACACAACTTCACGATGTCACGATCGTGAAATCGCGTGTATCGAGTTCTACTGCGTAGTGTAGGAGCAGATATCCAACGTTCCCAGGATCAAGACACCGTTGAACGGTTTCAGGGGATTCCAAAATGACGGAGCCGGGCGATCAGGTGTTGGCTAAACCGGATTTGGGAGCTGTCATTTGACGAGGACGCCACGAAATCGAGGAGTGTTCAACTTTGTTTACTTTCCTGCATACGCCGTGTTCACGATCTTGCAGTTTCTACGAAGTAGAACTTTTATGTACGACTAAGAGCAACTGCAATGGCCCCACGAGCGAAAGCAAGCTCGAGCCAGGCCCCGCGAGGGCCGAAGCGTGCTAAGGGCAAACCCGACGAACCATTTGATGTAAGTGAAACCAGCGGAGATCCGGAGTTTGGTCAATATAACAGTTATGGCATGGTATCGATCAAAGCTGACCGTTTCTGTTTGAACGTAGTGGCGGGAGAAAGTGATGGCCGACTTTCGATTGTACACACGATCTTCTGAGAAGCTGGCCCAGAATATGCAGGCGGAAATGATGGCGTCGTGCTGGCCCACGGCGTACAGGTTCCAAGATGTTCCCGTCAAGAAAATCGTGGATGCCGTCAGAACCTTCCTCAGATGGAGATTCTCGTACCTTCGCTCCCCTTACCGCCAAAAAATGTTCGAAAATATCATGGCCGCTGTACCGGCTGAGTTTGCATCGGAAGCTGTCTGGGAACCGCCGCCGCCGCCGCCGCCGCCGAAAAAGAGTAAAACACCGTTCACCCCGTTCTCTGAGCCCAGGACAGTACGTTTGCCAAGTATACACCCTCGTTATCCAATGCCATAGCTAACATTGCCCAGAAACCCGGGGAACCGCCTAAATCAGGCGAGTTTTTCTTCGACGCCTTTACACTGGCCGTGGGATTCACTCCTCGTGAGACTACCCAACTGAAAAAAAGGATCATCGACTTCGAGGTCCTCGTAAATACCGGGCAGTGTGCAGGGGGCTGTGAGCACGACTTCCCAGACACTCCCGCATGCTTTGTCCGAGACTATATCATGGGGTACATCGACAGTGACCTTCCGGTGGGGACTGGGAACGAGGCTACTGCTCGGAGGAACGAGGTGAAGAAGGCGGTTTTTTCAGATCTGACCCCTGCCGAGATCGCCCAGTACTCTATACTGCTGAAAAAAGAGAGAAACGCAGAGTACCGCGAGGACAGCCCGACGCCACCACCGTACGACGAATTTGCGGTTCTACGCGACGTGGACGACACCCTCGATCTCGCCCCGCGCACCGAGGCCATCTACCGCTTCAAAGGCCCAGGTTACGGGCAATATTTTGTTCATTCCGTGGTCCACCCTCCCAGGCACTGCAGCCACGGCACCCTCGAGTTCCTCCCTGTCGAGAACCCGGAGCGACTTATTACCATCCCAAGCGAGATACACTACGACTGTGATCAGATCCGCGCCATGATCAAGATTTTCTTCCTTGAACGCGACGAGGGTGAAGGGGGATGGACATTGGAGAGTTTCTGCCCCGTGATTGCCAGCTCGCGTCAGGACCTGGAAAAGTTCCTAAAGCACCGCGGGCCTAAGCATTATGTCACCAGCAGGGCGTACAAGTATGCCTGGGAGTTCTTTTACCGCCGGGAGATGATGGGCCTGCCGTTAAGGGGCGCTGGGCCGGAGAGGGATAGTGAGTTGTTGCAGGCTTGGGCGGCCAAGCAGAAGACACCGGGCCAACCGGAGCAGACACAACAGACTGGGGGGAAACGACGGAGTACAGATGACACTGAGGATGTTGGGAATGGAAACAAGAGACGGAAAGTGGGTGATAATTGAGGTCTGGTCGTTTCTTAAGTGGGTTGGTGCTGAGCTTTCACTCTGAGTTTCTCTCTACACAGGTATGTAGGAGATAATCTCGTTAACTAAGTTTATCCGTATCGATGCAACAAACAGTTGCTTTTAGCTGAGACAGCTAGTTATATGGGCCAATCCAGGCTGGGTCGACGGAACATGTTTTACTAATTAGTGTCTGTAAAAACGTTGGGATCCAAGACCAAAGTGATTCACCACCATGTTCTTTGTCTGTTTGTGCGAGAAGAAAACCCCGTCTCTCGAACCCATTTCGTTTTTCCATTCACCAGAAATTAAGCCATTAGGCCTCTTGCTTCTATTTTCCAAGTGCCCGCGTCTTGTTTATTGACCTATTTACTTCCTATTCTTCATTTTCTTTTTTCCCCTTTTTTATTTTATTTTTTCTTAAAGAAAGAAAATGCCCCAAATGCCTCTCGATACGAGTCTCGCTCCGGCCGCCCGACCTCGCTTTGATCTCCAGGGGGAGTGGTATAGTTAAGACAATGTCTTTGCCGGGTTGTTGCCAACGGAGCCCTGAAAGTCTCAGTGAAAGAGATGCGGTTGGGCAAGTCGGCGGGTGATGGAGGGAGCGCAGGGCCAACGCAATATGTCTCAGATTTCGTCATCACAAACAACGCTAATGGATAAACTGACCTCGAGCTGGCTACACTTACAACACTTGCAGTGCTTACTCACAACCGGGCGGGCGGAAGCTATCAAATGTCGCTCTCCACGTTTTCACCGTCGCTACCGCCACAAGCGGGACTGTTCCTCAAGGTCGCTGGCAAAACACACCTCAGCGTTAACCCATGATAGAACCTCCCGTTTGAGGCCGATCATAACCTCCAACGATTCTATTTTTGTAACCCTCCCTTGTGATTTGATGGCCTAAATGTCCCCGGCTTAGGAATTAAAATCTTGTCGATCAGACTTGGATAACGACGACAACCGGCCGTCAGCCAGCCACAGAGTCTCTGCCAATCTGCTTTTGAGAATCCTTCGGCAAAGGCACCGAGCTGGATGATGAGAGGCCTGGGTGAGGAGTGATGTGTTTATCACGCTACGCAATGGTCCAATGAACCCAAAGCTCTCGGAGTAACCTTAATAAGGTACCTCATCTCCTCATGCAGGTAACTCGCTCACCCCATGGAACAGCTCACAGTTGTTGGCAGTGAGGTCAATCACAATTGGCGAAAGATATCCTGGCTTTCCCAAACTCCAGGGAATCCGAGCACCCACACCCTCTGTTTACTAAAGACGTTAATAGGTAACATTGGTGGTGTGTGTCCAGGAGGCGCGATGCCGTGGTTGGGATGCGAAAACCTGCGCCAAGCCCGGCCCCTGTGGCTCGCTGGGATGGGCTGGGCTGCAAAGGCGATCACCGCATCGGTTGCACCACCGTCCCCCGTCCCCCGTCCCCCGTCCCCCGTTCCCGGCCGCCCGGGACGCTTATCACATCCGGTGGCAGCTGAACAACACCTGTTTGATCTAGTGTAGTGGAGTCAATCCGTCAATCCGTTGATCCTGCCCGAGGGAAGCTCAGATGTTTTGTAACGACAAACTTCACCAGCAGATGCTCTGTTGGGCCCACACGTATGTACATCAGGGTTGTCTCTTAACTATATGTGAGTGTGTTGATCAGATCCAGAACATCCCACTGGTGGACTGATGTTACGGTGAACAGACTGCAGTGGCCCGTTTCCGTTCCCGGTAAAGGCTCTGCGACGTGTCGTGAGCTGTGATGTTGTTGAGGCATGAGGCACAAACTTGGGCAATCTTGGCACTTTGGACTGCTCATAGGATGGGAGCAGCAAGGCCGGGAAAGTGTGACAACGGCGGGATGAGCGCCAGCCAGCCGCAGGAAGGGAATACGGTGATGATCGAGGAGCCGAGGAGAGTGGATGGCCTGGGCAATATCCTGCTTTGCTCCGGTCTCAAATGGTCTATAAAGGGTGGCTTCACCCACCTCCTCCTTGTCTACTCTCGTTACCTCTACCATTCCTTCCCTATTTACAAAGCCAAACAACACACAAAACACAATCACACCTCATACAACGCCTCGATTTCGTAAAGATGGTTTCCTTTCGCTCTCTCTTCGCCGGCGCCGTGCTACTCGTGGCCCCTATCATGGCCGCCGTATCCCCCGAGCAGGTGACGAGGGGCCTCAACGAGCTGAGGCAAAAGGCCCTGACTCTCTAAAATTATGCCGAGAGCATTATAGATACCAACGCCTTTTTCGTTCTTTTAAACCGAGGCCCTTTAGCCGTAAGTATCAAAGACCGAACTCCTATTAGGGGTTCGCCGGCCAGGTAGCCTCCAGGGTCAATATTTGAGAAATTAAGATTGGCGGCACGATCGGCGCCGAAAGCTTGCTAACAGTAGGTACTATAGGACGTTGTTTCTAGGTATGAAGATATCGTCAGGACTGGAACTGTCTTTGCCCGCCAGATCGATTCTAACGAAAAGTGGGACTCTTCTGCCCCTGGCAACGACGCTGTGTTCGCTTCATTCGACGAGGTATGTGATTATTATTTCTAACCATATGTATCCCGGCTCTATCCGGTACTCCGGTCGCCGGCCAACTTCTACTAACTTCATTTGTAGTTCGCCGATAGAAACCGACGGGTGCTCGACATTTTGATTAACAAGGCAGGTCCTATCGAGAACCTGTCCGCCATTGGCGGGCGCGTCGCCACGACCCTCGACCAGGTCAAGGACACTTATCATGTAAAGCCTTACACCGGTTTCCAACCTTGCTCCTGTTCCCAAATTCCAATGGCTCAATTTAGGGGCCGAGCCTGTGTTTCTGCCTTGCCGCCCCGCGCAAAACCCCGGCCCGCTGATTCCAACCGGATTAGACTATCACCGCCAACATTGCCGCCCTCTCCGACGGGTTGACCAAGGACATGAAGCTGTTAGGCGACTCTCTGGAAAACCTCGTGACCCTTGCCATCCAGAAATACAGTGGCCGCGGAACGCAGAAGCGGGCCGAGACCTTCTCCGCTTAGATACACGCACACCTTCCTGTATGGCGGTAAGCGCGGTCCGGAAGGCTGTCCCCTGACTAGCCCCTCGTGAGGGTGCGACGACAATCGAGAGCGAACACGGTGATGGATGGTGCGGGGCGAGATACGGGATGTCGATCTGTAGCTGCCGATAGCATACCTTGATGTTATTAGAGTTGAATGAGTGATTAAGCTTGCAGTTATCAACCAACCTGATGCCTGGCCTCAACGTCTACTCAATAGCCGATATATATATCGCGTTGTAAAAGTCCACCCACACGCCCACACCGTGAGCACTTTATATTAAGGCGATAGGTAATCATCGGACCATCACACGAAAGAGGTAGAGGGCATATGAAGGTTAGGAGATCCCCTCTCCGAGCTCAATTCTGAAAGGCGGGTGGCCCGTCCCTGCAACCTACCTATTTATCTGCAGTCCAGGCCCGACTCTGTATCCCCTATGAGAGCTTTGTATGTAATGTCATTGAGGAGGCTGCGGCCTATAACACGGAGGCGGGTTGGGTATAGGTATCGAGGCGACAGCAAAAGCTGCGACGGTAGTGAAATGTATGTACCTGTGGAATAACAGAGCCGGGGACACGTTTGACCGAGGATCAGGCGATGGAGTTCGGGCTTTGGCTCGGGCGAAGATGGCACCCCTGCCTGGCCGGCCGTCTTCAAGCGGCTACGGCCGAATTCAGCCTTAAGCAAGTGACCTACGGGGCGTTGTGTTGCTTGTGAATAGTGAGAGCAAATTAAGCAAACCGGTTAGGTGGTCCCAATGGGGTAGGAGAGCCATCCGGGACTCCGGTCAGTATCATTACACCATGCCGTGTATATCCGGGAACATGGAAGGCGTTGCCAGTTGGGGATTTGGAGTCTCAGAGAAGGAACACCCCACTGGCCCCGTGCACCCCCTGCCCGTCCCCACCCCCGCAATATGGCCCCATAAATTACCAGATTTGACATTCTGCAGCACATTTCGTGCAGGCTTGGCAGCCCGCCGTTGGTCTCGTCTCACCTTGTCAAGCAGTCAAGCCATGCAAGCCATGCTCGAAGCAAGGTCGGGAGCCAAAAGAGAACCCCACGCGATGACGTCCGGTCCATATTGGCGAAGACCCATTCATCCAACCAACCGCAGAAAGTAGCGCGTTTCTCAGAATATCTGGGAACCGAGCCCTGTTCTTCGAGGCATGGCTCGACCGCGGGAACCCCGCACGGGAGACGGGAAGGGCGGGGAAACGGGGTTCGCTCGACCTAGGCCCCGGTGGTTCTTGAACCATGGTAATTCCACAGACCGTCGCGGGAACACCCCTCTCTCTCTCCTGTTTCGAGGCCCTCATGGCACTTTTGCATGTGCAACTCTGCGTAACAACACCACCCCGTTTCGAACTGAACCAAGGCCCAGTAGTCTGGTATCGTCGACACGCCACTCATGTCGTGTATCCGAGGACCATGACAGAAGACACGGTCTCGAATTCACGGATCCAGTAAAATACTAGGGTCTTAGCCCACTTCTCTCGCTCCTCTCGATCGTCTCATCTCCCTATCATTTCCACGCGCTCCCTTGTTCGCCTCAAGATTTCGGCCTCAAGACGTTGCCTCACGACAACTTGGTCCAACGGGTCACGTGTGAGCTCGTGACCGCACCCCCGATGGTCTACCTCGACCGCGTGAGCGTTCACGGGTAAGCCGATCGACGAAATGGCCAGAATCATCATGTCTTCGTCCCTCTTCCGGTCCGCAGCGGCGAGCAGCTCCGCTCGGGTCTCAGGGAGCGCCATCACCAAACGCGGCTCTATTTTGGTTTCCGCCTTCGTCGGATGCCAGCGCGCATGGCACACCACAAATTTCTCAAAAGGCCAGGGCCAGAACCTCCAGACCAAAATTGGCTATGTCAGAAACGCCCCCACCAGCCTGGCCTTGACCGTGGCCTCCAAGACACCACCATCTCTGCAACTGATCCGTCACGCCTCGGTCCTTTCCACTCTCCCCCCCAAGCAGGCATCCTTCTCAACCGAGACGATCACCACCCCACCAGCAACCCCTACCACGCCCTACGCCCAGCTTACCGTCGGCGTGCCCCGGGAAACGTACCCGAACGAGCGGCGCGTAGCGCTCACGCCTCAAAACGTCGCCCTGCTCCTCAAAAAGGGGTTCGACAAGGTCCTCGTCGAAAAGGGCGCCGGCGCAGCGGCCGAGTTCCTCGACGACGCCTACGCCACGGCGGGCGCCACGCTAGTCGACGATGCCTCGGCCGTCTGGAACGGCGCTGATATCGTGCTGAAAGTGCGCGGGCCCAGTGCGGCCGAGGCCGATGGCGCGCGCGAGGGCCAGACGATTATCAGTTTCCTCCAGCCCGTGCAGAATAAGCCGCTGGTGGAGAAGTTGGCTGCGCGCAAGGTGACGTCGTTTGCGATGGACTTGATCCCGCGGATTTCGCGGGCGCAGGTGTTTGATGCGCTGAGCAGTATGGCGAATATCGCGGGGTATAAGGCAGTGCTGGAGGCGTCGAACAACTTTGGTCGGTTTCTTACTGGTCAGGTCACGGCCGCGGGCAAGATTCCGCCGGGGAAGGTGTTGGTCATCGGCGCGGGCGTGGCTGGGCTGAGCGCGATTGCCACGGCGAGAAGGCTGGGTGCGATTGTGCGCGGGTTTGATACCCGCTCGGCTGCCCGAGAGCAGGTCCAGTCACTTGGTGCCGAGTTCATCGAAGTGGAACTGAAAGAAGAGGGGTCGGGCACGGGGGGTTATGCGAAGGAAATGTCCAAGGAGTTTATCGCGGCCGAGATGAAGCTGTTTACGGAGCAGGCGCGGGAGGTCGATATCATCGTGACGACCGCGCTGATTCCGGGAAAGCCGGCGCCCAAGCTGATTACCAAGGCCATGATCGAGATCATGAAGCCCGGGTCGGTTGTGGTGGATCTGGCTGCCGAGGCGGGCGGAAACTGCGAGAAGACCGAGCCTGGCAAGATGGTCACCTACAAGGACGTCAAGATTATTGGTGAGTCCTGTCCCCTCTCTCGCCCCTTGGAGGTCTTGAAGTGCATATACTGACCATCCCAGGGTACACCGACCTCCCCTCTCGACTGCCGACGCAGTCCTCGACCCTGTACTCCAACAACATCACCAAGTTCCTTCTCTCCATGGCCCCCAAGGACAAGGAATACGGCGTAGACCTGACCGACGAGGTCGTCCGCGGCGCCATCGTCACACAGCGCGGCCAGATCATCCCGCCTGCACCTCGTCCCGCACCACCTCCGGCCCCAGCTGCCTCTGCCTCTTCCGCTGCGGGCAAGAAGGAAGCCGAAGTCGTGGCCCTGACCCCTTTCCAAAAGACCACGCGCGAAGTCAGCCTTGTCACTGGCGGCATGGGCACAGCTTTGGCTCTGGGCAAACTGACCGGCCCGCTGTTCATGGGCAATGCGTTTACCTTTGCGCTGGCCTCGCTGATCGGCTACCGCGTTGTTTGGGGTGTCCAGCCGGCGCTGCACTCGCCTCTGATGAGCGTGACCAATGCCATCTCGGGTATGGTCGGCGTGGGTGGGTTGTTTATTCTAGGCGGCGGGCTTTTGCCGTCAACGATCCCGCAGGCGTTTGGAGCTGCGTCGGTGCTGTTGGCGTTTGTCAACGTGGCCGGCGGGTTTGTGATCACGAAGCGGATGCTGGACATGTTTCGCCGGCCGACCGACCCGCCAGAATATCCATGGATGTACGCCATTCCGGGAGTGCTGTTCGGCGGTGGTTTCCTGGCCGCTGCGTCTACGGGCGCTGCTGGTCTGGTACAGGCTGGTTATCTCGTCAGTTCGGTCCTTTGCATCACCTCCATCTCCAGCCTGGCGTCCCAAGCGACCGCCCGCATGGGTAACATGCTAGGCATGCTCGGCGTCGGGTCTGGCGTTCTCGCTTCGCTGCTGGCCGCAGGATTCTCCCCAGAAGTCCTCACCCAGTTCGGCGGGCTCGCAGCCCTCGGCTCCATCGTCGGCTTCCTCATCGGCAAACGCATCACCCCCACCGACCTCCCGCAAACCGTCGCGGCGCTCCACTCCGTCGTCGGTCTAGCCGCCGTGCTAACCAGCATCGGCAGCGTCATGGCCGACCTAGCGCACGTGTCCACCCTGCACCTGGTGACCGCCTACCTGGGCGTGCTCATCGGCGGGATCACCTTCACCGGCTCCATCGTCGCCTTCCTCAAGCTCGCCGGCCGCATGTCCTCCAAGCCACTGATGCTCCCCGGCCGTCACCTTCTCAACTCCAGCCTCCTCGCCACTAACGTAGCCACCATGGGCGCCTTCGTCACCATGGCACCCGGCTCCCCGCTATTCGCGGCCGGCGCACTCGCAGCCAACACCGTGCTGTCCTTCCTCAAGGGCTTCACCACCACAGCCGCCATCGGCGGCGCCGACATGCCGGTCGTCATCACAGTCCTCAACGCCTACAGCGGCTTTGCCCTCGTAGCCGAAGGCCTGATGCTCGACAACTCCCTGCTCACAACTGTCGGCGCCCTGATCGGCGTGTCAGGCTCCATCCTATCCTACATCATGTGCGTAGCCATGAACCGATCTCTCGTCAACGTCCTCTTCGGCGGCATCTCGGCACCCACCACCAGCGACTACAAAGTCGAAGGCACGGTAACCCAAACCACAATCGACGACACAGCCGAGGCCCTCGCCAACGCCGAATCCGTCATCATCGTGGTCGGGTACGGCATGGCGGTAGCCAAAGCGCAGTACGCCATCTCCGACATCACGCGCATGCTGCGGGCCAAGGGCGTCAACGTGCGGTTCGCCATCCACCCCGTGGCGGGCCGCATGCCGGGCCAGTGTAACGTGCTGCTGGCCGAGGCGAGCGTGCCGTATGATATTGTGCTGGAGATGGATGAGATTAATGACGATTTTGGGGAGACGGATGTGACGCTGGTGATTGGGGCGAATGATACTGTCAACCCGATTGCGTTGGAGCCCGGTAGTCCGATTGCGGGTATGCCGGTGCTGCATGCGTGGAAGAGCAAGCAGGTCGTTGTCATGAAGAGGGGGATGGCGAGTGGATATGGTAAGCCGGACACTGACCCCGTTCTTCGGCGGAAACAGTAGGCAGACGGAGATGGATGGATGCTGACGTGACAATAGCGGACGTTCCGAACCCCATGTTTTACATGCCCGGCACCCGGATGCTATTCGGAGACGCGAGAGTTTCGACGGAAGGTAAGCTTGCCCACTTGTGCTAGTGGAACGCTACGGAAAATCGCTGACACACCTTCCTTTGTAGCCATCAAATCCGCCATCGAAGCTCGCCTTAAGTAGACTGGCTAAACAAACCGTACATTTGGTAAATACGGCCCGTAACCCGTACATACGCCCATTTCTCTCTAAGCCTAGCGTTGGAGATAAGCCTCGCATGGTTTGGCTGCTTGCATGTGTCGCTCAACTTGTGTAGATGCGCGCATAGAGTTATATCTCGTTTCGTTGTGTTGGATGTTTACCTAGGGATTGATCTGTTGATCTATGTCGTTTGATGGATTCCCATGTTTGAATGCATTGTTGTTGACAATAGTTCCGAGTTAAGGTCTTGTGACACCTGCTTGAGTAAATCCGAAGCTTGTTTCCTTACAAAGTCGCACTTAGCCTGGGCGCCGCGTCCTCCAGTTGTCACTTCGTCCCCTATGTGAAAATCGGGCAGTTGTGAAAAACCCGGCAAAATGAAGTAAATTCCATTTCTTCCGCCAGTATGTACAATTCAACCATACCCCTCCATCTCCCGTCCTCACCTTACCCCACTCACCTCGGCGCGGCAAACGGCTCCCACGCCTTGATCTTAGGCTGCGTCCTGTACTTCCAGTCAGCACCCACAATAGCACTCACACCTACATCCACAAAGTGTCAACAATAAAAAATGGAGGAGACGAACGTGCTATAAGTCTTAAATGCCCCACGCGTAGCCGTCCGGTTGGGTACATGTTCCTTGGGCGCCCACGGCCGGTCGGCCGCCGCGCGGAGGGGGTCCTGGTTCGGCGGGACGTCGTTCACGTACGCGAGCCATGCGTGCCAAAGGGGTTCGCTGTGGGCGCTGGGGGCTTGTTAGTCTGGTTTATCTACCCCATATGAAGGATAAAAACGGGTGGCGGGGGGGCGTACGCATCGTAGTCGTGCTTAGCGAAATCAACCCATCGTGTGCGGACTGTGGAAGGTCAGATGTATGATCCGGTGTGGAAAGAGAAAGAAGTCGGGGCCACGAACGGGGCAGCTCGTCCTGCATGTTCTCGTAGTACTTGTTGCCGAACCTGTCGGTGCCGATCAGAGTGCCGGCTTTGGTGTCGCCTGTATTTTGGTCGTCAGTCACCGTCGTCCTCCTGATTCGGTAGCTACCGAAGCTGGTCGTGGTGTGATATATCCGTACCAATGTACTGTTGTCGGGAAGAGGGAGGGTTAGCTAAACTGTCGTAGTCGTCGGATCGGGCGAGAGGGGCTCACGTTGAGTTGATGCCAGAAGTCCTGTTCAATCATGCTGTTAGCGTCTGGTCGGTTGAGTTAGATCTGTTTTTCGAGAAACCCACCTTCAGGCCAATCTTGCGCAGATTGCCGAGGGTCCTGGTAACGGTCGACATGGTTGCGGCGGGGGTCAATCGACCGTGGGATGGTGTGAAGTTGCTGTTCAACTCTCCCAGCGATGATGGAATGCGCTCGGGGCCGCTTCACCACACCAGGAGCTCAAGGGTAGTGGGGCATTGGTTGGACGGTCAGCCAATCGCCGAGCTTGGAATGATCCCGGCCGATGCGTGGACTGCCAAGACTTTCCTTGTTCCTTTCCTTGTCTAAGGCCACTCGCGGGGCCGGAGAATCGCATTTTCGGCAAGTCCAACGTCGAATTCGATCCCAGACTTCCACAAAGAGCCACTCTCGCTCGCCAGCCTTTGCGGCAACCCCATTCCTCGCTCTGGGACCCGGCTTCTGCGACGGACATGCTAGCCAGGAGCGTGTCACGATGCTCCCATAGGCTCAGGCGCCCGGTTTCGGGCGCATCTGGAGTTAACGTTACCCCCTCCCTCCGATTCGGGTTCGGCCAACAAGCGCAATGCCGACGATTCTCGATGCACGCCGCCGGTCCGTCCTCCTCGGGACCTCCTCCGCCCATGTCGAGCGCCGGGATGCTGGCGCCCTTTGTGGGTGAGCTGGACCGGATTGCGCCCTCGTTTCGGATACATGGCTCGCAGATCCAGGTGCTGCGGACACCTGCCGAGTTCTACGAAGCACTCAAGGACAAAATCCGCGGGGCCGAGCGGCGCATCTTTTTGTCGACGCTGTACATTGGGAAATCGGAATTGGAACTCGTTAGTCTGCGTGCGAGCACCGGGCAGGCCCGGGTAGATGCTAATTAGACGGCTCCGGCAGATAACCACCCTACAAGAAGCCCTCCGCGCGAAACCTGAACTCCGCCTTAGTATCCTTACCGACGCTCTGCGAGGGACCCGTGAGGCTCCGGATCCATCATGCGCCTCGCTACTTGCCCCCCTCGTCGCCGAGTTTGGGCCTGAGCGGGTCGAGATCCGCATGTACCACACGCCCAACCTGACGGGCCTCCGAAAAAGGCACATTCCAAAACGGATCAATGAGGGCTGGGGTCTACAGCACATGAAGCTGTACGGTGTCGATGACGAGATTATCCTTTCCGGCGCCAACCTGTCCAGCGACTACTTTACCAACCGGCAGGACCGTTACCATCTATTTTCATCAAAAGATGTTACAGAATACTTCGCCAACGTCCAGGACGCCGTCTCCTCGCTCAGCTTCCTGATCCTGCCGGCCGACTCCCAAGCAGGGTTCCGGATGGTCTGGCCGGAGGACAACGCGGCGCCGTCGCCCCTGGAAGACCCTAAGCAGTTCATTAAGGAATCGACATCCCTCCTGGCCGGGCTCATATCACCCAAAACCGCCCCCCTAACCTCCCATGACACTACCCCGCTGGACAAGCGGGATACCTCCGTCTACCTAGTATCACAATTCTCCCAGCTCCTATTCCCCGACACATCCACCGAGCTACCCGCCATCACCCACGTCCTCAAAACCCTCTCCCTCCCCCAATACGCCAAATCCTCCTGGACCTTCACGGCCGGCTACTTCAACCCCGCCCCCTCACTCACCGAGCTCCTCCTCTCCACCCAATCCCACAACAACACCGTCATCACCGCCGCCCCACAAGCCAACGGCTTCTACGGTTCCCCCGGCGTATCCGGCCTGCTCCCGGGCGCCTACACCCTCCTAGCCCGGCGCTTCGTCCGCGAAGTCCACGCCCGCGGTCTCGACACCACCACTACCCTCCGCGAATGGCGGCACGGCACCGTCGGCGAACCGGGCGCCTGGACCTACCACGCCAAGGGACTGTGGATCACCTTACCAGGTCAGATGGACCCTTCCATCAGCATCATTGGGAGCTCGAATTACACGAAGCGGAGCTACTCGCTGGATTTGGAAGCGAACGCGATGATTGTGACGGAGAATGCGGATTTGCAGAAGAGGTTGGGGGAGGAGCAGCGGTGGTTGCAGGAGGAGCATACGAGTGTGGTGACGAGGGAGGATTTTGCTAAGGTGGAACGACGCGTCGGGATTAAGGTTCGCGTGGCGATGATGATTGTGCAGTTGTTGGGGGGTGCGTTGTGAAGGGGGTGAAGTATCCGTGTTGTGTATGGTTGTATGAATAGGTAGGTGTAACATCGCTCGGAAAACCCCCAGGATAGAAAAGTATTTATACCCAGGAACAACAATGTTATCAGATTAAAACATTGAGAGATAAAAACAACCTTAAAATTATCAAATATCATGGATGCCGCCGCTATCTCTAGATTTTTGTCTTGAATGCTAATAATAAAAACGCCCGAAACGAAAGAGCTCCAAATATGATTCCCAAAACTGACCCCATTCACGCTCATCGTACAACTTTCCTTCTCAAAAATTAAACCTGTGAGTTACAAACACCAAAATCTCCGGTAGAGTCAAACATCCCAACTGAGAAAGTAGCATGAAATAAGACCCTTCCTTCTCCCTTTTCTCCCAACTTCCCCATCAGCCATCCTTGTAACCTCCCAAATCTTCCCTCCCTCACGGCTTCATCAAATCAAACATACTACTAATACTCGGCATCGTCTTCAAACTTCTCCCGCCCGCACTCCCCTTCCTCAATCCCAAGCCCCCTCCTAATCCTCCTCCTACCCCCAACCCTCCACCACCTCCATTCCCTCCACCGTTGGGGCCCAGACCTCCCATCGCAGAAAAGCTGGACGCGCGAACCGGCGAGGGCTCGAGCAGGTCTTCCAGCCCGGGGGTGGTCGGTTCCATGTCGTCTTCGTCGTCGTCGAAGAAATGGCTGCGGAAAATCGGGGAGTGGGAGAAGCCCGAGAAAAGAGGAGTGGTGGGCGAGGGCGTGGCTGTGGTTGTGGCCACTGTGCTGGGTATGCTTCTGGTTGTTGTAGGGTGGATGCCGGTGAAGGAGGTGGTGGTGGGTGAGACCGCTGCTGGGGTGTGGATAGTAGTCGGTGAGACGGGCGGGACGGGCGTGGCTTCGTTGAAGAAGGCGAGGAGAAGGAGGTGTAGCTCGGCTGTGGCGGTCGGGGAGAGGAAGATGGGCCGGCTGATGCGCTTGTAGGAGCGGGGACGGAAGGTCGCGGACGAGGAAGGCGGAAGCCGGGAGGGGGACGGTGATCGGCTGATGGAGGTGGCCCGGGAGTCAAGGTGGTCTTGCTCGTCCTCGTCGTCATCGTCCTCGCCGTCGATGGATACGGGTTCTGGGGAAGAGAGACGGAGAGAAGGGGCACGGAGAGGAGAGCTGGGCCGGTCGAAGAAATCCATGGGGGGGAGTTCGAAAGACGGGAGCTCAATGGTCGGGAGCTCGGAGACGGCCGGGGGCGGAGGTGATCGTGCTCTTGCGGGAGAGACGGAGATGTGGTCCAGAGAAGCGCGAGGTTGGGTAGAAGAAACAGAGGAAGTCGCAGCAGGACCAGCCGCGGGCCGGAACCGCGATGGAGCAGCCGACATCCGTTTGCTGTGACGACGTTCGAGCTCGGCCTGCAGCGTCCTCAGGGGCTCGGGCGACCGAACCGACCGCTGCCGGCTAGGCTTGTTTACATGACGGTCAAACAGTGCAATGGCATCGGTTACGGGTACGTTGCTGGAGGTGGTGTGGTTGAGGTCGTCCAAAAGATGGGTGATTTGGGTCTCTTCGAGGTCTGCCAGCAGATCGATGACCCGATCGATGGACGAGCGTGAGCGGGTATGGCCTTTGGTCGCCATGGTGGGCAATGGGTATCTGGGACGTCGATGCTTTACGCGGAGTCGAAAATAGCAAAGGAAAATGAAAGACCCGAAAGCAAAGGAATGGGCGGGTCAATGTCCAGTGCAATTGAGCAAGAGACAACGATAGTTTATGGTGTTTGGAGGCCAAAAGGAGTGGACCAACTGCTCCCAAGGAGCTTGTTGCTTAGAGGTAAGAACAAAAAAAGAACGATTCGACGGCAGTTGTCGAAATTGGGGTTTGCAGCAGAAATGAGGATGCCCGGGACGCGCCCACGCGAACCCCAACGCCTTGTCGTGGGGTGCCCCATCGTTGAGTGACAGGGGCTGCTGATCCCCTTCGGGGGTCCAAACGGGCGGGTCATCCCAGCCCGTTCTTGCCCGCATTTTCTCCAATTCAACACCGGGCAGTTGAGGTCGGACGACGGGACCTTCCAGTTTCCATGGCCAAATGTTTTACATCCGATGACAGGTAATAATCCTTTGCTGTTTCCGCACCATATTCAATTCACCTTCATTTATGGCATCGGACGCTGCTGTCTATTCTCTGCAGACCCTTGCTCCGGATTCGGGTCCTACCGTGGCGGTCTCACCATGCCTCGAACCCCTGGAAGGACTGCCAAGTAAAGGGTCACACCGACGGCCTGCACCCGATGCCGCGTTTGAACAAACCTCTGCACCGAAACGCAAGAACAAAAGAATATAAAAAGGGGTGGGAAGTTGTTGCTGGGAGGAGACGGGACAACTATGATCTCGTCACATGATGTCTCCTTTATGCAGTGCCGATGCCGTTAACTCTCGAGCAGATGAGGATGTGAGACAACTCGTTTCAGTGTACAATAGTTAGTGTACAAGGGTTAGGGTTTTCGACGCTCCCAGTGCGCAAACGGAGGAATGTTCCCCTTTGATCAATCCCGCCGTTTAAGTCGAGTCCATTCCAGCACACACGTGGCCCATCTCGCACGAGTAATTACTCGAGGGGCTCACATCGCGCTTCTCAAGGGCAGGCCATATGGCGGGCCGTCCCGGTACTATGTAGTCGACGGTGGACACCTTGGAGTGGATTGTTTCGACGCTTGATAGGGAAGCTCTGTGAGAGGCCAGCGGAAGGATTGCCTGCCGAAAGATCCCCCAACCACCAATGCGAGCCCTCAGAGACAGACCCTGGAGCGTCACGACCAAGAGCTCAGGGATCTTCAAATCACACAGCAGCTGCTAGATTTTTTCCCTGATTTTAGTTATGACATGACAAATTCCCCCGCTTCCATCTTACTTCTTTTGTATCGATGGTTCGATAGTTATTTGGGGGTTTAAACCTACGAGACGGCTTGGCAGTTTAGTCGATCCGGTAACTCCGGACACTGAGTCGCTCACCAAATACCAACAAGTTGATCAACACATAGCTGGCCTCGCCAATCACGCGCGAGTGAGAGTGAGCTCAGCATGGCGCAACCACAGCACATCAACGCCATGAAACAAGATTTTAGCAGCCTCCTCAACCTCGGCGCATCAAGCCCTATCGCCGTGCTCGGACTGGCCGCCATCGTCCTGTTCAGCGTGTATCGCGCTCTCTGGTCGCGCAACGCGGGTAATCCACCGCTCCCGCCCGGCCCGCCTGCGGAGCCCGTGTTGGGACACTACCGGATCGTTCCACAAGATGCCGCCTTCCGGCGATATGCGGATTGGGCGAAGGAATATGGTATAGTCTCATGATCTCATTTTCGGTTATGTTGGGGGTTCGTACTGTACATAGCGTACGTGACGATGACCGGACTGACATGATTCGCTTTGGTTTTCCTTGACGGATAGACACCGACGTCCTCTTCTTCCACTCGTTTGGCACCAAATGGGTTGTTCTCAACACCCTCGCTGCGGCGACTGAGCTGCTTGACAAGCGCGGGTCCAACTATGCAGACCGGCCTCGGTTTGTCATGTTTGAGGAGTGCGTCCTCGTTCTCATTCTGCTATCCCCTGACAGACTACAGCTAACTAACACCTTCAGAATGGGCTGGTCCCCAACCCTCACCTGGCTCCGCTGGGGTCCCAAATACCAACTCCACCGCAAGGTCCTCCAACCCCCTTTTGTCAAGTCCAAAGTTGCGCAGTACACGGCACTACAGCGCCGGGAAGCACTACGGTTCTGTCTGGGGGCGATCGACCACCCGGAGGACTGGTTGACGGCGGTCCGGCGGTTCTCGGTGTCTATCGTGCTCAAGATTGCGTACGGGATTGAGGTGGAAGGTCGTGATAGTCCGTGGATTAAGCTCGCGGGGGATACCGCCCATGCAGTGGGCAAGTCGGGGGCGCCGGCGAGTTCGATTATGGATCGGATTCCTGCGAGTGAGTTTTGCTGATGGTGTGGGTGAGGTGGGTTTGATTTTTGGGAGGGGATGTGGAAGGCTGATGATGTTGCGTTTGTCACAGCTCGATATCTGCCGGACTGGCTTCCGTTTATGGAACGGCTGCGGTATGCCCATACGTGGCGGCCGACGATTCAGAATCTTACTGGGTTGCCTTTTGAGGCGACGCTGAAGACTAGGGCAGGTTTTATTTTTCTCCTTCTCTTTTTGATTTCCATAAGGATTTATAAACTGACTGCTCCAGGCCGCTGGGACGGAAAACAACTCCTTTGTGCACACCCGAATGGGACACTGGGACGCCAACAAGGCCAAAGGCCAAGTCAATGACTTTAGCCTCGAAGATATCAAAGGCGCAGCCGCCACGATTGTCATCGCGGGTAACGATACTGTATGCACCCAGCCCAACAGACCATTACCCATCACTCCCTATTCATCCACGGACTAATTTACTTTTCCCCCATAGACCGCAGCAAGCCTCATGCTCCTAGTCCTCTACCTCATGCAAAACCCATCGGTCCAACACAAAGCCCAAGCCGAGCTCGACTCCCTCCTCAACAACAAAGAAGAAAACCGCCTGCCAACATGGTCCGACCTACCCAACCTCCCCTACACCAACCTCATCCTGCAGGAAACCTACCGCATGAACCCGCTGTCACCGCTGGGCATTCCGCACGCTAGTGTCGCCGACGACGTGTACAACGGCATGTTCATCCCTAAGGGCACGATTGTGTACCCGAATGTGTGGGCGATGTGTCATGATGAGAGGGTATATGAGCGGCCGGGGCGGTTTTGGCCGGAGAGGTATCTGCCTGAGGAGGAGGGGGGGAATGGGGAGCCGTTTCCGGTGGGGAATTTTGGGTTTGGGAGGCGGTAGGTTCCTTTTTTCTTTCATACCTATTTTCCTTTCTCAGGGGGAAACAATGAGCGAGAGACTAACGGCGTACAGGATTTGCATCGGCCGGGCACTGGCAGAAAACAGCCTGCTGATCGTCCTGGCCACGATGATTTCGACACTGCGAATCGAGTGGCCCCTGGATGAGGAGGGCAAACGCACGCCGTTTGAGCCGGAGTGGTCGTTCAGGGGGCAGGCGTATGTTCCACCCCTTGTTAACACATCTTTACAGCCGAATTAAGACTAATCAACTTGAACAGGATTGTCATGCCGTTCAAGACCTCGATCACGGCCCGGACGACCACCGCGAGGAGTCTGCTGGCTGCGGAATTGGAAGCGCTTGAGCGTCATACTGAGGAGTAATTGGGAGTGCTGTTGCAAGCAAGAGGGATCATGTCTTGTCATGTTTTCGTATCTATTCTCAGCTAATACGCCAATACCCTATTTTTTGGTCCTTATTTCCAAACTGCCTTGTGTTCGATCCTTCTCTTTGGTTTTGACCCCCCCTATCTCTTCCCTCGTCTCCCTTAACCTCTCTCAGACTCTCACTCAAGCATCAAAAAAGTCCAAAGGAAACCCATCCGCCATGGCCTGATATCCCGCCACATTCGGATGCAAATGATCCCCCCCATCATACTTCCCCGCCAACTGGCTCACCATCGTCGGATCCCCAATCAACTTTGCAAAGTCCACCGTCGCATCAAACGTCCCACTCCCCAAAATCCACTCATTCACCGCCACCCTCGCAGCCTCCCTCACAGGACTCGAATACGCCTGTCCATTCCCCCCAAACGGCGTAATCGTCCCCCCAATCGTCTTGATCCCCGCCGCCTTACAATCCCCCACAATCTTCGCAAACGCCTCCTGCAACTCCGTCCCAATCCTCGTCTGCGTCCCGCTATCCGCGCTGCCCCCACCAATATCATTCACCCCCTCAAAAATCATCACATACTTCACCCCGGCCACCTGCAGCGCATCCCTCTGATACCGCGTCAACAGCGTCGGGCCCAGTCCCCCCGTCAACACGGCATTGCCCCCAGCCGCCTGGTTATTCACCCCCACCACCGCCGCACCACTCCCATTCGACGCCTGCTGCATCCTTGCCAGCAACAAATCCGGCCACCGATCATTCCCATCATCCGTACTCCCCCTCCCATCCGTAATACTATCCCCCAGAATCACCAACGCCCCCATCGTCGGCGGCGCCCACGCCTCGACCGCACTGACAAAATACCAGTGCTTCGTATTCGCCACACCACTTCCTCCCGACAGCGTGGCCGCCTCAACGTTATTCCCCGCTACCATCCACGACGTAGTCCTACTCCCTGGGTGGCCTGTGATACTCGACCCGGCCTGACCGGCTTGCGAGTACAGTGACACGGCGATGTTGGATTGGGCCGGAATAGGGGAGGGGAAGTCGATCGGGTCGGTGTAGGCTGTTTCGCCGGCGGGGATGGTGATGGTGGAGGAACCGTTGTGGAAGGTTAGGGGCTGGAGGGTGGTGGTGTCGATGGAGGAGACGCCTGGTTTACCGCTGGAGGGTAGGGCGATAGTGGCTGCAGTGATGGGTAGGGGGGTGGTGCCGAAGGTGTTGCTGATTTGGAGGCGGAGTCGGGAGGTGCCGAGGGAGAGGTGGAGGGTTTGGCGGAGGGTGGCGTCCTTGAAGGTTGCGCTGCCGCTCTATTTGTTTATATCGGTTAGTCTAGAAAGCAACAAAGAGAGTGAGGTTTGCAGCTCGGCATGGGTCGTGGTGGACGTACAAACGGCGCTGGGGGCATGTTGTTTGGCTCGACGAGCTGCGGCATGGACGTCCATGTTGCAACCCAATGCCAGTCCTCGTCCTGTCGTGGAGCTAGAGGGGTGTCCTGTGTGGGCGCGGCCAACGTGCTCGGCGACCATAGCAGCAGTGCTGCGATGGTCGCTAGGCGGGGTATCGACAACATCATGGTGGGAAATCACTGTCAAGAACGAAACAACAAGAACTTTCTAATCACACCCGTGACTTTGCTCAAATCCAAACGGGCAGATCAGTTTGTCTTGGCTTTAAACTCGTGCCATCACGTCGGTTTTGTACACACACGGAGAAAACATCACGCTCTCAACGTCACATTGCGGACATTCACAAGCCGAAAGGTTAATTTAGGTCAAGCATCAAGGCTGAATTCCATAGGCAGCCCCGACAAGAGCCTGACCAGCCCCAGCGCTGATCCAGCTGTTCATTGCGAGCCAGGAAGCTACTTCTGCGCCGCGAGAGAAAAGCTCCATTTGGATGAAGAGCGCTCGAACTGGGGCTTCAAGGGCTCCCAACTTGGTGACAATCATGGTGTATTTATCCAGCCGTTTCGTCGGACAGGACCCGCTGCAATTGGTCTTTCTGACTGGTGGGATAAATAATTCCCGGCGATCATCAACGCTGCGCCGGCAGACAGGTTTCCTGGTACTGGGTATTAACGGCCTGGTTGTTGACATATTGGGAGGTATTCCCCGCGCCAATCCAGCGGCCCAAGGGAAGTTGTAATTATTAACTTGTGGAAAGCGAGAGGATAGGACGATCTGAGGGGAACCCGTTGTTCTGAGGTACAGTACACATGTACAAGCCAGCAGTTAGCTACGTGACATGTAAGACGGGCCGTTCTTTGGAAATTATTGGAGTAGTTAATTAACATTGACAAAGAAATAGAGGTCGAATAATGAATCGAGTGGCTAAAAGTTAATTATAAATTATCCACGTCGAACCCTAACCCTCATTTCATTGCCCCTTTTTTCTTTGAAGTCTCGCGAGGCGACATAGTAATAGATCACAATGCTGTTCGAGTGGTCATATGGTTATTTCTTTGTCTATTGTAACTACTGCCAACAGCCTGTGCAGAACAAATCAACTAACGATGAAACGATGAGCTCGGCGTATTGTTCAGGATTCAACTCGGACAACTCGACTATGCTGAAGTATTAAATAAATTATTAGATTTTTCAAGTTCTCAAAGATTTAACCACTGGTTATCCCAAAAAGATTTCTTCAAACTGTTTAAAGAAAGTCATCCCCAGGCTCCAGGAAACAAATCAATTACTGGTCAAACTACTGCAACGTACACTCTACACTCACCGACTGACTTAGACAAGTCATGTTTACTATCCTCCACAACCGCCGCGTTCGCACCGGACAGGCTGGCTACGCCTATCTCTTCACCACCGAGTCCGGCACCTCCTATCTCTTCAACCGGCCGCTCTTCTCCGGATCCCAGAGCCACGTCCAGCTGGTCACCAACACCCTGACCCACGAACTAACCGTCCAAAAGGTAAGCAAGCTCCGGCCCGTCCTCCAGACCGCCGACAACCTAACCAAGGTACCCGAAGACAACGAGATCCGCATCGTCCACCTGCTCAATGACCTCGCCCAGCACCCCGTCAACCCTCTTCCCAAACTCACCCCACGCTGGACCACCCTGATCTCCCACGAGAACGCAGCCGTGACCAAGCAAGGTCCTAGTTCCTTACCACTTCGTACCGAGCACGTCCGCGTCAGCTACTGGAAACTCTGCAACGGCGGCGACCTCGCCACGCTCGCCTCTGACTGGGCCGGCGGACTAATCCCAGGCATCGCACCCGGCCATCTCTTCCCCGTGTGCGTGGTGGCCCTGTGCATCGCCCAAGTCTGCGAAACCCTCCACTTCATGTACCACGCCGGCGCCGAAACCATCTACCACGGCGACCTGCACGCCACCAACATCTTCCTGCACTTCACCAGCAACAATACATCCACACACAACCACGGTCTGCCAGACTTCTACCTCGGCGACTTTGGCTGGGCCACTACCGCCAGCGAGGACCAAGCTTACAGCGCCACCTGGCATAAAGAGTACCAGTACAAATACATCTGCACGTCTGACCTGCCGTATCCCATGGACGGGTTTGTGAAGCCCCAGCCGGCACCGGGGACTCAAGACCCAGATGAGCGCCGGCGCTGGGACGTGGGCCGGTTTCTGGAGGGTTTGCAAGACCTCATCCAGCATACCCTTACCCCATACACTCCAAAGAACAACACCAACAACGCCATCAACAACCTCCTCTCTCCAGCTCTTAACCTCACCTGGATCGACCCCAACAACCCCCACCAACCCCGACCCAAAACCCAACCCACCCCAACAACCCAGCCTCCAACCCCCCAAGCAACCGCCCTCCAAACCCTCCTCAAAACCTTCTCAACCCTCAACACCCACGAAATCACCCTCGCCACACACTCCCCCACCAGCCGCCCCCCCTCTCTCCTCCCTCTCATAAACCAAGCCCACCAACTCGCACACGACGCCTTCACAATCGAACAACACAACCCCTCACTGCAGGCTTTTCTTGCTTGGGGTCGGGCACGTGCGGCACAGGCGCTGGGGGTTAGGCCTTTTGTTTTTGGCGCTGGGGAAGGGGCTGAAGAAAAAGAAGTGGGAGGTCAGGGAGGAGGGAGAAGTAGGGGAAGTAGGGGTGGTGAGATGGCAGCGGTGAGGGAGATTAGGGTGGCGAGGGCGGAGGTGTATGGGGATGCTTGTGTTGCTGGGCCTTGGAGGGTTGTTGAGGCTGTTGAGTAGGTAGGTATTAGGTACCTCTTTGTTGATTAAGGTAAGGTATGGTTACGATGGCAAGGTACGGTGAGATAATCAAGGTAAGTATGAAAGGTGTGAATTACGAGGCATGATTCGATGGTGAGGTAGAAGGGGACAAGTAAGTACCCAATGATAATAATAATCATACATCCAAAAAACCCGTTTAATTATGCCGAACGCGTGAACAAAACTGTCCATTGATATCATGTAACTCGATGCTCATTGCCAACCTCGAGAACACAAATATAATTACCTAGTTAAGTAATCAATCAATCTTGTGCCCCGAACAATCAATCTTCCCAATCAAAACGCAACAGACGCTTCACCCCCGAATAACCCCCCTTTTGATTACGCTGATGATTACTCCTTCTCAGAGTACAAAATACCACCCTCACACTCCCACCCTCAAATCTGCTCAAAACACCTTCCACAAACCATCACCCCCCTCACTGCGGTACTGCCTTCGACCCGCTAAGGCGTATCGGGCACCTCAATAATCGTCGTCATCGATTCCGGAAGGGAATACCGCGAAATCGGAACCGACTGGATTCTCGGAAGCGGCGGCGACAAACGCAGATCCCCCGGTACGAAATCCTGCAGCGTAAGCACTTTCTCCTCTGGCAACTCGGGTGAGTCGGGTCGAGGCGGCTCCTGGGTTTGCCGCGAATGCTGTCGGAGGGATCGTCGGACCGGCTGCTGTTGCTGTGGCTGTTGGTGTTGTCGTTGCTGCTCGGTGTACTCTTTCTTGCGCCGAGTCTGGAACTGCGTCCCAACCTGGTACTTCTCCGGACGCGCCGGGTGGTTGATTTGACCTACCGCTCCCTTCTGGGATGCTCGCTTTTGGTAACTCGAGGCCGTAGACTGCATGTAACCAGGCACCGCTCTGCCGTCGCCAGGACCGTTTGGAGTCCGGGCGGCCCGAGAGGAACCAGAATCCCAGGTCTTCCTGCGCTGGGCTCTGACTGCTTCGGCGGCCGGGCTCGATTTGTCCGAACCGGTGGTAGCTTCCGGGGTCCTGAGACGAGTGCTGTGTGGTGCTGTTTTCCGGATGCGAGACGAAGACGTTAATTGCATGTACGACTTAGTAGGGCTCGTCCTCTGGGGCCCGGCCGGTGTAGGAGATTGGGCGGTAGCGATCCGGAGTTTGTCTAGTTCGGCCGCAAGTTCCTCGTTCTTTTTCCTCAAGTCCTCATTCTCGAGCCGAAGTGCCTCTGTACTCCCCATGGGTCTGGGGGGATCTGCCATTCTCCATGAGGGATCCGCCATCCTCATTGAAATGGGCACCGAGAGTGTGGTGGAGTACGGCATGGTGGGCGTTAACACCAGCCGGTGATGAGATCAACGATTAAGTCCGAGAGAGTAGGGGTTGGATGCGAACAGGGCCCAGTTTGGGTGTAGGCCAAAAGGAAAGACTTGAGAGAAAAGGATAGGAATTTATGGTAATGGCTAGGAGATATATGCGGAAATTCGGAATCAGCGTCTAATTCTTTGCTAGTTGTCACATCATCACGCATGCGCTAAGTTCATCTACTGTTGCCCCATCACGGAGGCCAAAACACTACCAAATGCAAGATTGGACATCCTGCAGAAGCTGCAGAGGAGATTCCATGCGTCTGATGCGTCTTGCCGGTGCTGGTATGTGCTGTCCTTCGCAAGAGGGAAGGGGTGGCCCAGCATCAAAGCAGGTTAAATCGGGAAGGCAGTAATCATCCCAACCAAGCTGCGGAAGAACCATGCATTCCCAAAGCTAACACCTCCTCTCGTTCCCCTTACGAAACATACTTCTGCAATCTACAAGGCGTACGTAATTTCTAGTTCATTCCAATTCGTTAACATGAACGTCAATTCCAAACACACCTAGCACACATTTCCTGGTCTTGGAATTCATATCTCATCCAACATTCAATCTCATTTTACATCCATTTTTCATTCCCCAATTCATAACCCCCTATAATCACCTCCATCACGCCGCACTCCCCGCCTTAAACACCACCTCATCCTCCCCATCCTCCCCCTTCCTCTCCTCCGCCGAAACCTTCACCCCTTCCAACCCACTCTCCAAGCCACCCACACCCCCTTCACCGCCACCAGCGGTACCATCACCAGAACCCGTAGCCGTAGCATTCTCCTCCTCCAACCCCCCACTCTTCTCCAAGAAATAGTCCACCACATCAAACTTCTCCCCAAAACTCGCCAGGTCCAGCGGCACGTAGTTCTTGTCGTTGGCCAGCGCCACCGACGCCCCGGCCTCTACCAGCACCTTCACCACCGCTAGGTGGCCGCCTAATGCGGCCCAGTGTAGGCCTGTGTTGCCGTATTCGTTGGGTGCGTCTAGGAAGGCTTGTTTGCTGTCTGCGGGTAGGGGTGGGCTGAGGTGGGTAAGGAGGAGGGTTACGATCTCTGGAAGATGTGTTAGTATGGTGTGATAGTGTGTTTTGTATGAGAGAGGATGTAGCAGACTAAGAAAATGGTAATGGTGAAACTCAAAAAGTTAAACCGGGGGGTGGTGGGGTATGATAATGAGAACAAAAGTTGATGCATAGAAAAATATGGAAACAGAAATCACGGGCAAAAAAGAGTTGAATAACGACCGAGACTCACCCAAATGCCCATTCCCCGTAGCCATATGCAAACAAGTCGACTTGCCCTCATCTTTAGCATTTATGAGAATCTCAGCCGCCGAGACCTTTTCCCGCTCCGAAAGCGACGAGAGGAGCGTCGTCAACTCATCCTGGTCCCCAACACGAGCTGCATACAACAGGTCGTCAATTTCGTCTTCTGTTAAGTGTGGTGCCATATTTTCCTCTTTCGGCAGGGCGAGCGGGGGTCCCGTCAATGTGGATGTTGATTTTGGCGGGCAATTTTTTTTTTCAAATCATCAGAAAGGGAAATCGCGAGTAGTGAGGACTTGCCCAAAACTGACATCAACGGCTGCCAAATTTTTTGGTGGTTCATTGTGACCCAAACAGTGTGGAGTGTATGATCGATAGGTATTGCGCACTGTACTCTTAGAGAGGACTGGAATATTCCCCATGAACCCTTCACTAATTTTTGAGATAAGCGCCTTGCAGTAAGTTATCTGACACCTGGAAGCTACTAGATACCAACTTCCACACAATTCTCTGGCTGTAAAAGGTGAAGTTGTCCCATGTCAAGATTACATTGTGGTTGTCACCGCTGTCGTGGGCTGTAAACCAGGAGGGTGCAAACAAACCGAACGAATATCGGAATAACCACTACTAAACCAAGGGACCATAAAAGCCCTCATAGCCGGTGTTAGCCGCCTGCATTACGCTGTTTGTATGATAGAAAGTTTGAAACCGCCCTTCTGTGCCTTGTATCCGTAGTGGATACACAGAACAATCCCCGGAGGTACTGGCAGGCACTAGGTTGTGTAAGGTTCTTCTCGAGAATTCCATGCATGAACCTAAACATATTGCACAGACAGGAGGACTTAGAAGCTTTTAAAAAGTATAAATACGGCCGTCCCCCCAAGCTGAGGAGTTTCCCATTCTGCTCGATTGTCTCATCGTACCAACAAAAAATCATCGTCGTTATTCGTCGATATACTATCACTCAAACTCAAAACCTACAACACAACAACAACAACACTCAATTCGCTAGCAACGTTTCCTAAGCGAAAGCTTTGGAATCATCATCCCCAAAAACACCAATCTCAAAACCCCCTCTTACCACTCAAAATGGCGCGCTCTTATACCAAGTCTAAGAAGAACGTAAAAGCCGCTGAGACCCCAGCGGGTTAGTCCCCCCCCTCTCTTTACCCATCCCTCTTACCCCTGTCCCAGTCTTCCAAACGTTGTAGGACTGACAAACTCCTCTTTAATAGAATGTAAGGGTGTCATCACACACAAATACTGCCGTGAGCTTGACACGGCCAGTTCCGGGAGATCCCACAAGGTTCACCGGTGCGCGGCGTGTCTGGCTATCAAGGCGATGGAGTGTAAATCGCCCGGTGGTGAGAAGGGGAAAAGGAAAGGGACACAGAGGAAAATAAAATAACTCCAGGGGTTGAGCGAGAATTGAGAGTCGGCTACCTGCTTTGTAAATGGCACGGACAACAGGGATCTAGTAACTAGATGAAAGTTGCACATAAATAAACTTCTTCTTCTAGTTCACAAATTAGGTTCCTACTTCCTAACGCTCATGAAGATATTACCTTTGGCTTTTTCGACCGAGCCTATGAGTAAACATCTTGCATTGACGAACACACACGAAGTCACAATTCTTGTGTGCGTCTCATACAGTTTAATTGCCGCTTTCATTATTTCATATATTTCATATCTCCAGATTATTACTGTGTGAGAACTGTTTAACCTCTTTTCAGGACAAGTGCATCTTTGAGGTCTCTCCTCCCCCCCATTTTTTTCCCCAGGAAATATAAACTCTGTTTACTCAGGCTCAGAGAAATTAACGCTCGCTCACGCTTTCCGATTCTCCCTTCTCCAAACACCACCGGGTGAGGGCAACAACCATTAAACCTAAATCCGCACTCGACCCCTCCCAGAATACTAGGACTGGCGTCAGGATTTATCAGCAATAACGATAGACGACGCCCCCATTGAGCTTATACATAAATTGAACCCATTCCTGCAACGCCTTGAAGCGGGTCGGTGATTTGACAACACCTGATGGCCACAAAATCTTGGTACCAAGGGGTTTATAACTAACAAATGCTAGTGATTAATTAATTTGGCATCAAAGTTGAAACCATTTTCAACGCGACCAAGCCGAGATGCCCTTTCCCATCATTCATCCCAATGCCGTCTTTGTTTTACAGAACTCGAAATCGGAACTTCATCCTGCGAAATGAAATTGAGCTCACAGCTCATCCGTTGGCAGCAAAAACCACCCCCTACTCACCCCTTGACCTCTCCCGGCCCCGATCAGCTTCTCATCTAACCACCCAGCGAGATCACCAAAATTATCCACAGCCTGAATTTCTGCCTTGACATTGAGCATCAGCATACGCTGCAGCTCTCTTATCTGTCCCATTTCATCATCTCCGGGTTCTTCAACGTTAACAATCTCCTTTATAACATCCACAGCTTTCTTTCTGTCTCCTAGAGTGAGAGGCAGAACGGAATCACTCGGGCCCCGTGTAACCTCAACCCGAGCTCTCTTGATGCGCCTCTCGAAGGAGTTTTGCGAGCCTTAAACGAGTCAGCGAGAGCTATGCTGATATCGAGGTCCACCACCTACCGTCAAGCGAGTAGGTCGCGGAATCCTGGCTTTCGGTTTCTTGGCTGTGACCCTGACTGTCGTGGCTAGATGCATTGCTGTCTGCTGATCCGTTCGGTAGGACATCGTCACTAAGAATCCCAAGCCACCGGAGCCGTGATGACGTGGCGTTTTCTTCATGGCCCAGTCGCTTGCTCCCATATTTATAGGTTCGCATGATGGCAACCCCGTGTGGGTCAAAGTCAACCAGAGCATGCAAAGCAAGATTTGGCCGGGCCCTTTGCAAGAACGATAGGAATCGTCGGGTGGCAAGATCGGGAAACCCTTTTGCCTGCATGACTGACATGTAAGATGAATGCTCATACCATTAACCAAGGGCAGAACTGCACACCGTTATGAGGACTCCATGACCCGCTTGAGATGCCACGCAATACCGTGATGCGGCCAATGTCCGAAATGTAGCCTTGTATCATGAGTCAACTCAGGCAACCTGAGGCCAGTTTCATATGAGGGGAAAAGATCCGTACCTCTTTTTCGACGACCAAAACCCACCTCACCCCACGGAAGTCAATTCTCTGAATCAAACTCGCCGATGGAAGCAGCATTCCCTTCCAAGATTAGTGGATGCAATTTCAAATTAGCTAGTCGAAGACACATACACTGTCGCCAGGGGCGTCGCAGCAGTGAGTAGAACCATCCCGGAGAGTTATGTTTATCGGTCCTGATATTAAGCCCTTGGCTGCAGCAACCTATAGTATTCCCGGTTAGCCAATCATGGCGAAGGCCATAAAGAGTTTTGAGGCTTACAATGTTCAGATCTTCGCGGCCAATCCCAAGTGTAGAAGCGAGGTTATCTACCATCACATCTACAAAACTTTGAGACTTGAACAAGCCGGGATTTTGGTAGTAAATATTCCTGTAACTATTACCACCCACTAATCCGGCTTTACTTAAAGTGACTCGTGACAAAGTCAGGCCTTACCTTTTTGTAATGATGTTTCCGGAGAGCAGAGCCTGATGGGACATTTCAAGGATACGAAACATAGCCTCTAGAACAGTGCTCGAGTTAATGGGGGACAGAATGTCAATGGCCAGACATATCAGGAATCCTACCGAATCGCTTTGCTTCCTGGATCGTTCGACCTGGGAATCTGATTACGTCAAACGGCTCTCTACTTTGCTGAGAGGATGCACCCTTCTGCTCGTTCTGGGGAGTTCGTGAGTTTTGGTACGGAATTACGAGCTCCTCTCCACTATCGAGTGCATCGACAATAGATTCAAACAAGTCTTCAATACGAGACAAAGCAGACGTTTGGCCTTGGTGAGGTACCGGTGCCTCGTCGGAGTCGACGGTCCTTGCAGGTAGTACTCGTTGATTTACCCTCGAACGAGTCTGTGATTTCGTGACGGGGTCACGTCGGGCCCCTGAAGCTGAAAACATACTTCCGGATTTGGCAGATCGCATCATCAGAAAAAGCATTAAAGACGCTTGTGTGCAAAAAACTTGGGGGTCGTGTGAAACATGTCTTGAAAACTGTGTCTTCAATCCAAATTCAACTCCAGCCGTTTGCACTTTCCTCGTTCGTCTCCAATCCAACTGTGCTGCGTTTGCCATCGTTCCTTCTCTAACTATCCATCGTCGTGTAATCAGCTGGTATAGGTTGTCGGGGCCTTACCGACACGGCACGGAAGGATCCGACATTGCTCGCGCGGGCCCAGGCCCTGCCGACATGCCAAGAAATATCTTGACTGTGGGGGTTACAGCGGCCGAATGGTGTGGATTCAGAGAGCTGGCCGGTGTGACAGGGAAAGAAGGGCCGCTTGATCAGCGCTGAACTGTCGGGACTGCAGTGATTGGCGAATGCACGAGCAAGGGGCCATCAACCACACAAAAAGTGACCGCCCGCGCTGGCCAACGGATCTGGACGGTTCCCGAACAGCTCACAAACAACCCAACGACACCTAGAATGGCACGAAAAAAGACGAACGGAGCGAGCTCCGAGGCTAGCTCGACCATCGAGAAGGATTCAACCCGGAAACGCCTCAGCAACGACGCCGACCACGACCACGCAACCAAGCGACAGCGGTCAGAGCTCGAGGAGAAAACCGACTACTCGCGATGGCGCATGCGGGATGACCACGGCAGACATACATGGCGTTACTTGGAGGACGATGAAGCCGCCAAGGATTGGCCGCAAACCTATGCCGATAAATATTACTTGGGACTTCCATTGGTGAGTGCAGGAGCTGATCATAAAGTACGGGAATGGCAACCGGAGACTGACTTCGTACCCTTACCATTAGGGCCTCCCCGATCTTCCGAAAGCCAAAAAGCCCCTTGACGCGGTCCGAAACGGTCTCGAATTCTTCGAAAAGCTCCAGCTTCCCAGCGGCCACTGGGGCTGCGAGTATGGGGGTCCCATGTTCCTCTTGCCGTGCATCGTTATCTCGTGGTACGTGACGAAGACACCGATTTCTTGGTACTACGCCACCGAAATCAAGAACTACTTGTTTGCCCGCGCGCACCCAGAGGACGGCGGTTGGGGTCTACACATCGAGGGCGAGACTTCCGTGTTTGGGACGTGCCTCAATTATATCGTGCTGCGGATCGTCGGGGTGGATGCGGACCACCCCGTGATGGTGAAGGCTCGCGGGACACTGCACAAACTTGGAGGCGCAACTCATGGGCCACATTGGTCAAAATGGTGGCTTGCTATCATGGGCGTAGCCAACTGGGATATTGTGAATCCCGTTCCGCCCGAGTTATGGCTTTTGCCCGACTGGGTTCCCTTCGCCCCTTGGAGATGGTGGATTCACATTCGGCAGGTATACCTTCCCATGAGCTATCTCTGGTCTAGGCGGTGGCAAGCCGAAGAAACCGATTTAATCCGTTCTCTTCGCAAGGAGCTCTTCGTGGAGGACTGGGCTACTATCAACTGGGCCGCGAACCGCAATACCATCCACCCTCGGGACAATTACCACCCAAAGACTTGGTTGCTCAACCTGCTCAATTGGATTCTCGCCAATGTCTGGAAACCCATCTTCAGAGTGAAGCCCATTGTCGACAAGGCTGAGAAGTGGGCCATGAAGCTAATTGAGATGGAGAACGAGAACACCGACCACCTGGACCTGGCTACCGTATCCGGCCCCATGAACCTCGTCGCGCTTTATGCCCGTGACGGCCCCGATTCGTATGCCGTACGCAGACACAAGGAGCGGGCGGATGAGTTCCTCTGGGTCAAGGACGAAGGTCTTCTCGCTAACGGGACTAATGGCGTACAATGCTGGGACACGGCCTTTGCCATCCAATCTATCATGGACGCCGGGCTCACGGAGGACCCACGATGGAGGCCTATGCTCTTCAAGGCTCTTGAGTTCCTCGACGACCAACAGATCCGCGAAAACGTCAAAGACCAGGACAAGTGCTACCGCCAACAGCGCAAAGGTGCCTGGGCGTTTAGCAACAAGGATCAGGGCTACGCTGTGAGCGACTGCGTCTCCGAAGCCCTCAAGTCGGTCATCATCCTCCAAAAGACTCCAGGTTTCCCCACCTTGATCGAGGACCAACGCATCTTCGACGCCATCGACACCCTCCTTACCTACCAAAATTCGAACGGCAGTTGCTCCTCATATGAACCACCAAGGGCAGGCGACTGGATGGAGATGCTCAACGCAGCCGAGGTGTTTGGCCGCATCATGGTCGAGTACGAGTATCCCGAATGCACAACCGCGGTGGTGACCGCGCTCTCCCTTTTCCACAAGCACTGGCCGTCGTACCGTGCCGCCGAGATTGACCGCTTCATCGCCCGCGCCGTGGCCTGGATCAAGACCAACCAGCGGCCACACGGCGGCTGGTACGGCAGCTGGGGCATCTGCTTCACCTATGCCACCATGTTCGCGCTTGAGAGTCTGTCCAGCATCGGCGAGACCTACGCCAACAGCTCGCACGCCAAACGTGGTTGCGATTATCTCATCTCCAAGCAACGCGAGGATGGCGGGTGGTCGGAACACTACAAGGTACGCTTCCCATCATCCCCCCTTTTTTCCGTCTTATCCATCCTTGCTAATACCTCCCTCCCCAACACATAGGCCTGCGAAACCGGCGAATACGTCGAGCACCCAGACGGCTCGCAAGTCGTCATGACAGCCTGGGCCCTCATCGGCCTGATGAAGGCCAACTACCCCGACAAGGCCGCCATTCAGCGTGGCATCCAGCTGTTGATGGAGCGCCAGCAGCCTAACGGCGAGTGGCTGCAGGAAGCCATCGAGGGTGTGTTCAACAAGAGCTGCATGATCTCGTACCCCAACTACAAGTTCACCTTCCCCATGAAGGCGCTGGGGATGTTTGCGAAGAAGTATCCCGATGAAGCGGTCTTGTAACAGGCCAGAGGCGAGAAAGGTGTTGGCAACTGGTGTGTGGGCGTGGGTGTCTGTGCGTGCGAGAGTCGAGGGGATCGAGACATGTTTAAGTATGAATGTCTAGTACGTGCAATGAGTGCTTCGGATATGGTACAGCGGGGCTAGGAATAATAATAATGTAATTCGACTAGACGGACTAGGCTGGGTACTTTGCGTCTGGGCTCTGCTCATCTTCGTCGCTGATTTACACATGAACCATCAAGCCGTCCTGACAAGTCAGGCATTTGCCACAAATAATGGTGTCTCAAAGTTATTCTCCATCGCTAACGCATCTACTACGTCGCCTACAGAACATACACAACAAACAAAGTCTTCTCATACTTCAACACGGTTCCTTTTTAGGTCATACCATGAACCATCATGACACCACGCGAGGTGAGAGATAATCCACCTCAAAAGACATATCCCATCACACGCCTCAGTCTGAATCCGAGTCCAAGTCCAACCACGACGTACCCACTCTCTAAGAAGAACTCGCCTCATCAGAGTTTGCCGTCCGGTTCTCGTCCCTAATGGCCTTCAGCTGGCCGCTAAAGTCCCGGTTGACCCACTCCCAGTAGCTTGTCCAGACCTGGTTGGATCCGGTCGGGCCGGCCGCCGCTTGAGCACCGCTGGTATTGAGAGCCGACTTGTTAAGTTTCTCACCAAGGAGCAGGGTGAGACGCAGGACCGACTTGTTGGCCTCCGCTTGCTTCTCGATTTCCTGCTTCACAGCGTTGTCCTTGAGCTTGTGCGATAGGGTCTTGCGGAACCCCCCTGCAATCGAGTCGAGACGGCGGACCGTCTCGTCGGCGTCGAGGTAGACCAGTTTCGACACCATCAGGTTGCAGAGGGCGCGGATGTCGTTGTCGTCTACCAGACCGGCAACGATACGATCGTAGAGGTCGATGATGCTGACGCGCGAGAAAGCCGTCTCCATCAGCGCATACAGCGTCTCGTACGCCGCCTACATCAGAAGATAATTAGACAAAGTAACCTGAAGTCAATAGGGGCAAGACCACATACCTTTCGGACGTCCAACCCATCATCAATGATGTGCTTGAACGGGCCCATTTGCACCTCCCGGATAAGCTCTGGCTTGACAACCGTCTCGGTCATGACAAAAGGCAACAGCTGGTTGAGGTTCCCTAGAATCAACTCCGGCTTGTTGTGCGCTGCTGAGGTCAAGGTCGACATGGCATGGCGGCGGATTTCAATCTCCTGGTCGCTCAGCGCTGTCTTCAGCATATCAACCAAAGAGAGCTTGAGGTATGCGTCGAACGCCTCGTTGTCGTCAGGGAGCGTGTATCGGAGAGCTTGCACTGCGATGGCCCTCAAGACCACGGATTTGTCCTTGAATAAGGCCTAATAAAACGTCAGTGTCAAGAATTGTAGAACCAAACACCCCGGGGATTGCTTTACCTCCAACTTGGGAATGTAAGTCTTGGGGTCAATGATGGCCATGCGCCCAACGCACTCCGCGCAAACGGCCTTGTTGTCCTCAGTACCGCTAGCCGCAAGAATCTGATCCCAGATCTGAGTAGAGAACTCGCCGATGTCGGTCGAAGAGAGAGCGACCTGCTGAAGGATCTCCTTGATGGACTGCAAGAGCAAGTACTGTGTACTGCCCTTCTGTCGAAGCGACTTCAGGATGATAGGCAGGTAAGAGGAGACATTGCCCGCACCAGTGCGTCCGAGAGCAACAGCTGCCGCGAGCGACACCTTATCGTACTCGTTGGTAAACTGCTCCAGGAAAAGCGTAGGCGGGATCTGGAACCTGCTTCCAAGGCGCAAACCGGCCTCTCCTATGACGGCCAAGGCAAGGCTGCTCCGAGCCTGGTCACCAGAACTGGCTTCAATTTCTTGAACAAAGCTGTTCAGAGTAACACCGGCTGAATCACCGCTGGCAACAAGAAGTGTACCTATTACCTTGCCGACCACAGACGGATCGCCGCCGACACCGACATCCTTGAGGAGCGCCACCATCAAGGGCTTGCCCTGGCCCGTCTGCCCGGCCTGTGTGACTAAGACAAGCAGAGAATCCAGGACCGTTCCTATAACGGTGGTCTGGAGCAATCTACTAAGAGCACCGATGAGCTGCGGGTTGATGACGACGCTGGGCATCTCTTGCGTGAGACGAGCGAGGGCAAGGAGGCCGGGTCCAAGAAGCTGGGCATCGTTATTGTTAATGACGGGCACCAATGCATCCACCACGCTCCGCACGGTGGCCTCGTCCAGTGTGCCTTTGGTAGCGGGAGAGATTGTGAGATGTTTCAGAGCCATGACGCTTGATCCACGCAGCGATCGGTTGGCCTTCCGCAGTTGAGCCGCCAGCTCAACGACAACCTGGCGTGTCCACTGGGGGTCAAACTGAACTGCTTCCGCGGACATGGCGGCGGCTGTGTCGACAGCACGCACGGCCGCGAGCCTGGTTGTCTCATTCTTGAGCCTATCGAGGAGGCAAGCAAGAGCCGCCTTCCGTTTATCGTCAGCAAGAAGACTTGTACCCTCGGCGCCCGTTGTACGGGCTAGGAGCGTGCCGAGAGCATGAATAGCCTTCTGACGAACTTCGGCGTCCGCATCATTGGCAGTTGCACGATCAATAGCTACATCGTAGAGCTTCTGCAGCTCTCCCTTGAACTTCTGGGCCGTTAGGCGAGAACGCGGCGGGGTGATGGCCTTGATCAACTCCTCGGCCGTTTGAATCGCCTCTCCAGAGATTTTGTAGAATCTGTCATGGGCGACCACAACCACACCGGCGACAATTGCAGAAAGAAAGGGCTGAAGCACAGCTGAGGAGTGGTTCTTGGAGATATCGCTTGTCAGGCGAAGGGCAGCGATCCTGAGGGTAGTCGCCGTTGCGGAAGCACCGCCACCGGCCGACGCCAAAGACGCAGAAGTGGATGCAGCACTTGATGGCTTGATAGCCTCAATTACCGGTCCGATAATCTGGTCAAAGTAAAGATCGAGGCCTCCCTTCTGCACGCAAGTAACGTCATCCAGAAGCTTGATGCAGGCCTGCTTTGTCGGAATGAGCTTTCCCTTGAGCAGCTTGGTCAGGGATTTGACGATAGACGGCGTGAGGGCGGCCAGGTCTGCGCGCGGTCCGGTGGCGGGGGGCTTTTCTTTAGTAGGCGAGGTAAGGCCAGTGCCAGAGAGATCAGTCGGGGCCAAAGAAAGTGTGAAGGAGGCAGGCCCGCCCGCGCTACTCTGGCGACGCCTTTTGCGACTGGCGGGTGGCTGGCTCAGGTATTCGCTCTGAGCACCATCGATAGAAAGAGGGATTACACCCTCGCCCGTCTTTCGAACAAGGAGGGCCATTGACGATAACACCTCGAGGCGCACATTCTCCTCGCGCTCGTTGAACCGCTTGACCAGAGCTGGGGCCACCGTGCTATAAAGAACACCACTGTCCAGAAGATCGCCGCTGCTCCTAGTCGAAATGATGGTGTACAGGCCCTTGGCAGCGCAGCGCCGGACCTTCCAGCTTGCGTCGTCGTCGTCGTCAAACCCTCCGGCAGCCTCGAACTCATCGTCTTCGTCGAACTCATCTTCTTCTTCGTCCTCTTCGTCCTCCATCTCCTCATCGTCGTCGACCGCATAGTTCGGGTCAAATTTCAAGTATCGGAGGCAAGCTTCGATGGCTTCGTTGGTAAAGGGGCGCATTTGTGTCGGACAGGAAGAGAGGAACGCCTCCAAAGCGACTAGCGCGGCTTCGCAAACTTCGTTAAACTCTAATGTTGCCTCGCCCTCATTGATATCCTCAAGCTGTGCCTGTAGCTCCTCCTCGCTCAGAACACTGAGAACAAGGGGTACCAAGTCGGGCAAGTGGAGGCCAAACCGATAAGGAATCGACCTAGCCATAGAACCCAGAACCGTAATGTACAAGCGGCGGGTGGAGTCCTTGATTTGGGATTGGCGAAGCACACTAGTAGCCCGCTTGATAAAGGCAGAGAGAAGATCATCAGAAAGGTAGTGGGCGAGCATAGAAATCGCAACCACCGCCCTTTTCTTGACAACTGAATTCCCCTTGTCCTTCTCAAGGATATTCACAACAGCGTTATGGAGGGCCTCGATTTCGAAAGATTGAAGCATGGGCCCGAAGCAACGAACGACTTCAATGAGGACATCGACCGAATCCGAGCTTGGGTCCTCGGGGTCTAGCAGACTAGAGCTAGATCTGCCCCCCGAGTTCGAACGGCCAAGGAAACGCGGTATGAGAACCCGGCTAAGACTGGTATACGCCTCGCTAACGTCCCTGGCCGGAGCGACACCTGGCGAGGGGCGAGGTAGGGCCTCGACCACAGCGCGAATGGCCATAGACGGAAGAGAGTTGTCGACCGAGTTCTTGAGCTTCAAACTGCAAAGCTTCTCCATCATCGGTGCGATAAGCTGCGGTGTGATTTTCTTGACTAGCGGGCCGAGACTGCAAACTCGGTATTAGACAAAGCCTAGATAGAATATTCAAGACAGCCGACGTGTGGTGACATACACCTTGATTGCCTGGTTCTGGACCTCCCCATTCTGATCGTCCAAAGCCCGAACGACATGATCGACGGTTCGGGCCGCTGTGTTGTAATCGTGGTTCAGAAATTCCGGTTTCGCAATGTTGAATACCGCCAGCAAGTCGCTAAGGGCCATAAACCGGAAATCGGGGTCGGCATCGGTAATCTTGGATAGCAGCTGGGTGACCGTCTGCGGGGTCGGGTGAGCCGGAAGAGTGGTCGCCATGACGAGGAGCGGTGGGAGTCGATTTGGCGGGACCTGCGCAAGGTAAAATGAGTCGCGATACACGGAGTCACCACAGTAGTCCTGTAAAATCGGTCGTGTCAACGCGGTAGCAATACAAATTAACTTGATCGATCGCGGGGCTCACATACCGAACGTGCTGACACGCGGATACTAAGTCTGGACTCCAAGAACAACCTAAGTTGTAGTCTCCAAAAGTAAACAGTCTAGGTTGCGTAAGAACCAACTGAAAAAATATTAGAAAGAAAGCTTTCCGGGTTGTTCGCCGCAAGAAAGCGTGGCAGTTGAGATGCCTCCCCCACCAAATGATCAGGCAGCTTCCAGGTGCCGTTCAAGTTGTGGTGGGGACAGCTTCTGTTTGGCGGGGCACCTTCCCGCGGGGCATCTTCCCGCGACTTATCGACGCTAAGCCCAAAATGGATGTTGCGCCAAACCAACACAAACGAGCCCCATTCCAGATCTCAACAAAGCAAGCCCTGCCGGCAAGATCGCACACAGGGACTTTGGGGGTCCTCTATGTATTCATTGTATTTATTTGAGTTTCCGACGAGGTTTCTTGGTGCGTTGCTGCGTTAGTGCTGCTGAGAGAGCCTACTGACCTAACCGGCCGAGAGGAGAAGGGGGTCCATGGCAGCAACTGTTTTTCAAACACAATCGGGCAGAGCAAGACAAATAACGGAGGATATATGTAAACCAACGCTGACTAACCAATTCCGGCCGCTGTTGGATTCAAGTTGCAAAAGGAGGATGTTGAATCATGATCAAACAAGCAGATTCGGGCTTTCAATAACATCTGAAAATGGATGCCTCAAGGGTGTATGTGTTGTGGAGGGAATTTTGACAACCGTACTGGGCAGAATTATTCCGAAGAGCTTAGATCCCTGCGCATTACGACTCAACGACGCCATAGAAGTGGTCCAGGCTCTATCACCTGCCCCTCGACCGTACACTAGGAGCCCAGTTATTAAGTCATTCCGGGAGCTATGTTTGGTTTGCCTCATCTTCTCCTTACTCCAATTCTTGTATGTTAACTTGTTAAGACATTTGTATTTACTTTGGATCGAAATATTCATCTACGTTACAGCCAACCATGATTCCGAACAGAACTTGGGTCTTCCGAGTGGCTTCCCAAACGGGCCGTGCTCAACTGCGGCGACCCATGGGAAGAAGGGGATATGCGACCGTCCAAGAACGAGTAGCCCTTTCTAGTACCACGACGTGGTGAGTTCCCTGTGTGTCAGTTTGTCAAATTGTTGGGGTGAATTCTAACACAATCAAACCCCGCCCGTTTCGTAGGCAGATCGCAGCCGTTACAGTGGCAGTCCCTGGGCTTTTATACCTGCGGAGCGCACATCCACATGGTACTGGCGAACCGAGACATGGGGAGGTGGACCCCAAGACACGGAGACGAGCGAACAAGCCTGTTGTCGGAGGAGCTACTGATATCGCGACTGAAGCTAAATCCACTGCTTCCGATGTCAAAACAATTGCTGCGGAGAAATTGAAGGAGGGCATTGAGAAGACTCAGGTTCCTGAGTTGGGGAGCACCAGCGGAACAACCCCTGGAGACACTGTGGCTCCATCTGCTTCGTCTTACACGCAAGGCACATCGGCTCAGATGGGCAACGCAATCAGAGACGTAAGGCACCAGAGATGGTTCCGTTCGCTTAGTAAAAATGCTAACCAATCTTCATGTATGCAGCAAGCTCAAAACCTAGGCAATAAGGAAGCGTCCCAGCCAGTTAATCCGACATGACCATAAAGATACTCTGAGGGGTGCTTCAATGCAATTAGAGAGATTGACATACGAAGCGGGAAAGTTTGGTTTGATGACCCGCAGTACCTACACCAAAGCTTGTTGATGTATGAAGCAGTAAAAATTGAGCAAAAAGGGAAAGACGCTGGGGAAAAAGAAGAGAAAAGAAAACGACTCTTTGGACACAGTTCCATCGTATCCTGAGGCATTGTGTCCATCTACATCATCACATCCCACTCCAATGTTCTTTGGGGGTGTCGGACGGCGGCGGCCGAGAGAAGAACCTACGAATGTTTCTTGTGGAACCCGACCCTGGGTTTCTCTTAACACCTAAGGTCGCTCCAGCACTGTACGATGCCACAGTACATGTACTTACCTCCTGTGAGGTCAAAGTTTAAAAGGACAAATCGTTAAAGTTGAACCTCTTATTACAGGAAAATAGCAGATGGGCATCATACGATTCCGTGGTTTACATTATCTGCCTTGCGAGGGAAGAGAGTGCGTCTACAAACGCGTATTCTGCGGGTAATCCGCAGCGTATTCGGCCGACATGGAAGCTGCGAAACTCTAACCCCGCCCCCGCATTGCGTTCCACCGATACCCCGAATATTAATTTTTTGCCCCGCCATCCATCGGCTGTTCTCCGTTCATACTAAAAGTCATCGAGTCAGCCGAGTATTTACATTCAATCCGAGAATCGAATTTGTCCAGTTTCTGTTCTCAGTTTTTCCAACACTATAAAGTTCACTCATTGTCGATAAACTCCCCCCAAAACACCCCAAAACCACGCCAAAAATGGCAACCCCCACCACCACCATCCGCATCGGCACGCGCCGCTCCGCCCTTGCGCTCAAACAAACCGACCTCGTCATCGCCACGCTCCAGCGCGCCCACCCGCACGTCCGCTGCGAAGTCCACGCCACCGCAACCATGGGCGACCGCGACAAGACCACCCCTCTACCCGAACTCGGCAAAGGCCTGTGGACCAACGAGCTCGAGGCCCAGCTCATCGAGCGCAAGGTCGACGTGATCGTGCACTCGCTCAAAGACGTCCCGACAACGTTACCGGAGGGTTGTATCTTGGGTGCGGTCACGGCGCGCGAGGATCCCAGGGATGTGGTGATCTTTAGTAAGGTACATGGGGACAAGTATTCGAAGCTGGTGGATTTGCCGGAGGGCGCAGTGGTCGGGACGAGCAGTGTCCGCAGGGCGGCGCAGCTAAGGAGGTCGTACCCGGGGTTGGTGTTTCGTGATGTACGGGGGAATATTGAAACGCGGTTGAAGAAGTGTGATGAGGAGGGGTATGATGCGATTATCCTTGCGGCCGCGGGATTGTTGAGGCTGGACTTTGGCGGGCGGATCGCTCAGTACCTAGACTCGACCACTGAGGGCGGCGGTTTGTTGCACGCCGTAGGCCAGGGTGCGCTGGGGCTAGAGATTCGGGAGGACGATGAGCAGCTGAAAGAGCTGCTCGGGGCGGTCAAGGACACGCCGACTATGACAGCGTGTTTTGCGGAGCGGAGCGTCATGCGGACGCTGGAGGGAGGATGCAGTGTGCCGATCGGCGTGGAGACGGCGTGGGTGGAGGAGGAAGAGGACGGGGAGAAGAAGAAGAAGCTTCAATTGCGCGTTGTAGTGGTTAGTCTAGACGGGAGACGAGCTGTCGATGGGGAATCGACACTGGAGGTGGCTACCCTTGAGGAGGCGGAGGCTGCGGGCACGAAGTTGGCGCAGAGGCTGGCCGGGCTTGGAGCCCAACAGATATTGGACGACATCAACAAGGGGCGGGACTCGGGTGCAGCTCTCAAGGTTGGCGACGTATGAAAGCTCAGCTGGCGAGGAGAGTCAGACCCGTATCATGATGGCAGATAGACTGTAATGGCTGTGCATGTGGGATGAACAATCCGCGAGCTTTTCGCCCAAGTATTGCAAACCGGTTGTCTTCGACTAGGTACGTCGGACACTGAGCCAAAAGTTTTTTTGGCCCCGTACCAACTCTCTGCATTGCTCATTGTTGAACGCCCCCTCTAAATCAGATCCGTGAACCGAACACCGATCCCCCCAGCGGCCGTTATGGTACAAATCCCTATTGGCCCTCGTATCTATCAGGTTGAACTGTCCGAAATGATAGTGATGATGATATCCCTGTAGCCTCCGTCCCTTCCATGCCCAATCAACCACTAACCGCCGAGTGCCATGCAACGACCCAGCTCCTTCGTTAGACCGGTAACAAGTCCCATCGCAACCTTGCCCCAACTAATCAACAACTTTTCCCCGGTACAGAAAGTTTTAGTGGTCACCCTGCTCGGTGGTGAACTCCTTGTACTCAGCCTCATCCAGCAACCGCTCGAAGTCCTTCAAGCCCTGCTCGCTGACCTCGATCTTGGCAACCCAACCACCGCCATGGGAGTCATCCTCAGCGACCTGATTGATGGTCCCCGGCTTCTCCTCCAGGACCAAATTGGAATGGATAATCGTGCCGGAAACAGGAGAGTTGATGTCGGAGGCGCTCTTCACAGACTCAACGGCGCCGATGGGGTCGCCAGCCTCCACCTCCTTCTTCTCCTCGGGAAGCTCGACATACACGATATCGCCCAGCTGGTTGGCGGCGTATTCGCTGATGCCGATAACGCCTGTCTTCTTATCCGCGGAGAGGTCGATCCACTCGTGGTCCCTGGTGTATTTCTTGATAGCATCTAGAATTGTAGGGAAGGCCCGCGGAGGGCGTAGAAATATTAGCGCCTAGATTTGCCTCTGGTGTACATGCAAACATGAAGACAAGACCCAATCCGATCTGAGGGGGAGGGGGTGAGAGGGGTCCTCACTGGCGGCGGTCACAGAAAACGCGCGGGCGCCGATAGCACGAGGGGTCGAGTTTCGGGCAACGGCAGAAAAAGCCGTGGGGCGGGCTGCCCTCAGGCACCGAGCAATTGAGGCCATTGCAAAATAAAAATCCGCGTGGAGGTTCCTGGCGACTGTGCGAGAGGAGGAGTGCGGACAAGATGTACACTTGATGCAGATTTGAGGCGCCGACGACAACGACCGGAGCGGCACAAAAGATACCGGAATAAATCGAATGACGCCCGCAGCAAGCTCCGAAAGAGTCGAAAAGCCGGCAATCGCCGGCCAGCTGGCCGCCCACCAGTCAGGGCTTGCGAATGAGGGCCGAGCTGCCGAGCTTACATAAGAGATCTTCCCGAAGCTCTTGTCGGCCTTCCGTTTCTGGGCCTACAGTGCGTTCCAGAGTGAAGGACCGTGTGCCTTGGCCAACAAAGGCAACTGACAGGGACAAGAATCATTGATGACAACATGAAATGTGGGAGCAACCCCTCACGACAACAAAGATGGGAGATGTGGAAAATGATGGGGGGTTTGTGTGGTCGGCTTTATGGGGTACCCTACATAGTACACTAACGTTATATTTTGTCCGAACGGCTAGCCGCGGATGCCTCAAGCCTGAGACCATCTCATACTATGTATATACAGGGAATATTATCTTTGAAAGTTGGGATACATTTGCTTTTTGTTTACACCCTTTTCCCATCTACAAATGTGAGTTGGCGGTCAAATGGTCTCTAGTTCGGCTACACCAAATTCAGTTCCTTCCCTCAAATGCTTCATCTCCCTTCGCCACCAGATCTAAACCTCGCCTTTAGCCTGCGTCAGTGTCTTGAGTGGCTCCCTCGTGCTGATTCCCCTCCAAACCGTTGATCTCCAGTTCGCGTCGCGCGTGTTGTGCATAAAGGCGCGTCTGCAGGCTGTCAATTCACTGCACACACTTGCAGGGGATACTGCCAGTTGTGGCACTTTCTCGGCCGGGATTCGCTCCCTGTTCGTGGCGCTGCCCAACCCTGGCTCGAATTTAGCGGTCGAACGACCACCAAGCAGCGGGTTCCTGGTTCCTTCACTGCCGCCCTGCTTTTACTAGTTATTGCACTTACCGGCTGGAGGCACGAGAACTTGCTCGAACTCCTGCACTTCCAAACATTCTATTCCCTGGCTATTCTCGGTTTATCGAGCCAGTGCGCAAAGTGTATTGCTTCAACTCGTCCGTTCCTACAATTCCTCCGCCCGGGCCGGGTGACTAAACACGCAATTAGCGGGAACGAGACGAAAACACGGGAAGTGGCAGAAACCGACCATAGGTAGAGGCCCATCGATCCGACCCGGCGAACCCCCACCCGATCGATTATCCAGCACCTACGCCTGACGGGTGAGATTCAGCTGGCATCACCCCTCCGTCGAACTCCTTGAAGCTGTCATCCGGCCAACCCAAGCGACCACACCGCGCATCCATTCGCATCCTCTGTCCACTCTCGGCCTTCAGACGAACATCATCCGAACTTCTACACTTTGATTCTAGCGCATTTTAACGACACCGCAGCACCGATTGTGGACCGGCCAACCCCGTTGCAAACAAAACATTCCAAAAACCAAACCGGCACCCTGGATCCATCAAACTTCTCGACGGGCGCCACGCCCCTTTTCCACGCTCCTGTGGACACCATGGAGCAGGAGCAGCAGGCCATGGCCCCTCCTCTTCCCATCATTCCGACCACCGGCATAGCATCCGATGCCCCTCTTGTTCCAGCGGCAGCAGCAGCGCAGGTCCCACTCCCGCATTCATTGTCGCCCCCGTTACAAATCGACTCGCACGACGACACCCTCAGCAGTGCCGGTACCGTTTCGCACCAAGCACTACCAGACCACAACAATTTCCACGAGCACAACGGTTACCATGAACAGCCCCAACACCCCATCCAATTCCAGCCCCTCGACCACAGCGTAAACAATTCTCCACGCTCGTACTACCCGGCCGATCAAACCGACAGCGAACCGACCGCCCGTTATGCAACACCGCCCGTGGCGGCGCCTGCTATATCTCGCCCATCTTCCGGGCTCTCGGGACAAGGCGCCGGGTATGGAGCAGACCACGTGTCCAGGGCAGGGAGCAACGGCGCAGCGGCCGAGTCGTCGCAGGCGCCCGGGCGCAACCATGTGGTGATCAAGGTCGGCATGGTGGGCGATGCCCAGATCGGCAAGACCAGCCTGATGGTCAAGTACGTCGAGGGCAGCTGGGACGAGGACTACATCCAAACGCTGGGCGTGAACTTCATGGAGAAGACGATTAGCATTCGCAACACCGAGATCACGTTCAGCATCTGGGATTTGGGCGGCCAGCGCGAGTTTGTGAACATGCTACCGCTGGTGTGCAACGACGCAGTGGCGATCCTGTTCATGTTCGACCTAACACGGAAGAGCACGTTGAACAGCATCAAGGAGTGGTACCGCCAGGGCCGCGGCTTCAACAAAACGGCCATTCCTGTCCTCGTCGGCACGAAATACGATCACTTTGTGAACCTGTCGCGCGAGGAGCAGGAGGAAATTTCCAACCAAGTATGTCCGGCCGAGAAAGAACGCGCGGGAACCGCAACCGTTCTCCTCCGTTTTGTGCTAGGTTTGCTAACCATTCACTAGGCCCGGCGCTTTGCCAAGGCGATGCGCGCAGCGCTCATCTTCAGCAGCACGAGTCACAGCATCAATGTTCAGAAGGTACGTCCGTTGCAGCCACCCCGTCTGTGTTTGTCCCATCGACTTAGGTTGTGTCTAACCGTCCACAGATCTTCAAGATTGTACTCTCCAAGGCCTTCGACTTGAAATGCACCATTCCCGAGATCACCAATGTCGGCGAGCCATTGCTCATTTATCAGTCCTGCTAAAACCGGCTAGTCTAGCTAAGCTGATATTGAACAAACCTCGAACGGCTAGCTATCTCAGTGTAAGGCCCGAATCGAGTATCCTCCGCGGATTTTATTATCCACCAGCGGCACAGCCTGCTGGAGAGGAACAACGAAGCAGCACAGCACACCCAGTGCGACTGGGCCACATCTGGTGTTCCAGGGAAGCCCGGTGCACCCACCCAACACGCGCGGTGTCAACCCATCGACGGCCCGCAGGAAGGGCTTAGAAAGAGAATGTTCCGCGACACGCCTCTCATTTACTGTTTTCCTTTTGTATTCCGAAGCAAACTAAGAAGCAGGCAAGAGAAGGTATCATTGGCTTGCTGTGCGTCAGATGCGTTGTAAAGAGAATTTTGAAACGGAATGGAAGGAAGGGGGCTGGGATTGGCTGGGATTTGGGGAACCCGCATTCGAAAAACATATATCTCCCCACGGTTGCGAACGCTTGGCAGAAGGATATTACGCCGAAGACCGAAGACCTCTGTGGGTTGTTTTGGTTGGCGTGAGCAACGTAGGCTGAGGAGTGTTGTCTGTATTCCAGGCTTATAATTGTTAAATCATAAATCTTGCGTTGTGTTGCCGAGAAGAGTCATAGTTGTTGACGTGGCCATTGGGCGAACTAGCCATCATCAGATCCCAGATTATGAGAGTCATCACCAGCATGTCAAAGGCGTGTACATTCAACACAGTCACGACAGTTCTCATTCATCCCATATAGGACTTGCTCCTTCAGGGGAAGCCTCACCGTAATACATTACAGGTATGCTAAACAAGTAATTCTACGGCCAGCCGTGTCCACGCGATCTTAGTTGTCTTTGTGGTCTTCCAACTTCTAGGCCGAGCTGGTCTGTGGTTTAAACACCTCAACGTCTGATGCTAATTGTTGATATGTATGTACGAGAGGGCCTCAAGATGGATGAGACAACACTTCAAAAGACAACTTTGGCAACTTCCTTGTTCTTTCAAGCTGCAGGTTTAAATAGTTTAAATACCCCCTTCTAAGTGCGTAGAATCCTCGTTTCGTTTTTCTTTACTCACCAAGATCAACACAACCACAGAATGAAGCTATTTTCAAGCTGCCGATTGACAATCCCCTTGCTCGCTGCAGGGGGTGTACTCGCCAACATACTCAACACCCCGAACACGCCAAACATACCGAACATACTAGGATCTATCAAGCCGCTCCTGTCACTTGAGCCTTCGTCAGGGGTTTCAACGCGGACAAGTACTACTTCCCGCTTCGTATTGCCAACTACTAACACCACAGGCCAAACGCCCCCTGTTTGCGGTGTAGGCTTCACCTACTGTGGGTATATTTTGCGTGATCGTAATTGTATGTACTACCACTTTTCCTTTACTTTACTACTCCGTATCAACGACGGAAAGTTTTAACGAAATAATCTCTAGACTACAACGAGCAAGATATTCTCACTGCTTACTGCGCCGGCCACAACGACAACTGTATCAACGGGACGACCCGGACTGATCCCTTCCAGGCGCTCTACATTTGTCTCCCAGTGAGCCCGAAACCTTTTGAGGCATCGACTGGCTCATATCGGAAGGGAGCACCATCCACAGCAGTGTCCCCTGAGCGAGACGAGCATTGGCGATCCCCGGATCCAATAGCCACGTCAAATCGTCGTCGTTATCTCCCCCCAAAGCGTCGTTATGGGCCCATCACACCAGTTTCTGAGGATGAGCCCTGCCTTTTGACCGTGCAACCAAACCTGGTCCAGGAGATGATGTCCAACTCTTCGACAACCGCCACGGCTGTTTCCGAAACACCAACCTCCCTCGTCATTATTCCGGTACCATCTTTCCCAAGACCACAGGGACCTCCAAGGACAACCCAAGCTATACCAACTTCTACCACCCAATCGCACAACACGGCTTATACGTCACCAGATCTATCAGGGCAATGGACCATTATCCCATCCAGGTCCTCAACGCTCTCTCCGGCATCTACTTCTCCGCTGCTTGTCACCCAACCAACGCCCGGCACAAATCTGCCCTCCTCATTCGTCTCCATCACAATCCCCAGTTGGAGCAGCAGCGACAACGGTAGTGACATCAGCAGCAGTAACATCAACAACAGCAATAACAGCACGGCCGTATTCCCGTCCCTGACATCACCCCCCAAACCAGATCACAACACCCCCGCACAAGCAAGCGACACCTCAACGTCGACCCCAGCCTCCGGTAACAGAATTGAACTGCTCTGCGCTTGTGGCGTCCAATGTCTGGATCCGTCTGGCGACCATATTGGCCGGTGTGAGGGGGCTTGTTTTTCTTGATAAGATAGGTAGTTCGTTGGTCGGTTGGTCCTTTGGGAACCTCTCTCGGGGGTGTTGATATCTCTTTCTTTGGTTAGTTTGGTGGCTTCTGAATGGGCGAGGGGGTTGTCCCTTCCTTTCGGCTTTTCCTTCTTTTGGGGGGTTGGAGAGGAGGCTTAGCCAGCCAGGCTGGTGGTATGACTGGAAGACACAAAGTATGGAGAGGGAGCTCATCATAGGTAGCTTGGGATCTCGAATAGTCAAGGGAGTAGGTACGCACCGGGTGCGTGTAAATACCGCCCGCCAATTTTCAGCGGTATCCCACCATCAAGCTTTCCAGAGCCGAAAGGAGACAACCCAATGTACACGAGCATACAAAGCACCAGAGTGACTACCTGCTTCATCAAGTTTCTCTATCTACGGCACAAAGCCCCTATTCTGACAATCCCCGCCCAACCAACGCCACGTTCGATAACCCCCGTCATTATCTTAACCCCAAACCCGCCTCCCCGCGTCCCATTCATTCATTCTTTCCGTTTCGCTCATACATGCCGTAACGTACGTCTGTCTAAATCTTACAACTCGAGTCCGTTTACCCAACGAACCCCAAAACTCCTCCACCCCTCTGCCCATACCGCCAGTCATCCGTTTTCCCCTGTAACCCTATAATAATCCCGAAGGCGAGAAGAAGAAAAGAACAACCGGAACAACCCCCTTCAATCATCCATCTCCCCCTCCCCAATCAACCGCCCCAAAATAAGGCTCTGAATCACCAGTTCCTCCCCTAGCGTCCGCACTCTCTTCACCGGCGGTTCAGCCGTCGCAAAACTCGCCGCCGCCGACGCCCTCTTCCTCTTCCCACCCCCGCCCGTTCCGCCGGCCCTAGGCGCGGGACTATATGCAAAGAGTGCATCCTCATAAGCCTTGCCATCCACATACACCCAGTCAAACGGCCGGCCGGCGTCCTCTGCCGCCTTCAGCTCGGTCTTGGCCGCCTCGACGTTGTACACCCTCGTCAACGACGCGCCGAGCACACGGGCCAAAAAGACATAAGCGACTTTTTTCCCCTCCAGCGCCTTCTTCACCACCACGAGGATTCTGCTCCCTTCCAGCAGTTTCTCTCGCGCGGCAAAGACATCCACGAGTCTGGCGGTAGCTGCGTCGTAGGGTGCCAGGCATCGCGAGCGGATGGCGTCACCGAGGAAGGCGGATTGGCCTGCGCATAGGAGGTAGGGCGTCCAGTCGACTAGTTCGTTTCGGTCGAGACACGTGGTTACCCAGCGGGCTGCGATGCAGGGTAGTCCGAGGGCGAGGGCTTGCATGTATTTGGCTTTGCGGGAGTGGCCGTCGGCGATCAGCGCAGTGAAGCCGGTGACGCGACCTTCTGAGGTGAGCCTGATTTCAGCTTCGAGGTCGGATGTTGAATTCGTCGACACCGGGCTGCTGGTTGGGGTGCCGAGGGAGACAGCTTCGAACAGTTCATCGAAGCCGTTCTCGAGAATTCGGCCTCCGGCTTGTCGGATGCGTTTCTGGACCATGCCGGAGAAATCGGTTCGGGAATTGTACTGGTCGCTGGTCTCGCCCGGCTTCCTTGCCTGGAAAGAAATAGCGAATGCCATGTTCTTAAAGAGCTTTTGCTCCCGCTGGGTTGACGACGGCCTTGTAGCTCCACGGCCTGCCCTGGAGACTGACCGGTGTATGGACAGCCGGGACACACGCAAGCTCTGTTCGAACGTAGGCGTCCCGGATAAAGACCGAGTTAGCTCGTCCGTCGAATTGGAATCCCGTCTGTTCCTCCTTCGCGACTGCCTAAGGCTTTCACTGGATACAGTTTTGAGTTTGGGCAACCTCTCATGCCCACCGCGACGCTTCGACTGAGCAAGGATAGGCGAAGAGCTGGCGACAATCGTTGACTCGGTCGGAGAGCCCGGCGGAACGGATTTTGCAATCCCGGATGCATCACTTGTCTCGTGGGAAGGGGTCGAACCCAGATTACTAAGTGGTGATGATGATGAGCTTAGCACTCGTGGGCGGCCCCTTGTCGGTTTTCGCTTCTGGGCTCTTGTGCTGATGGCCGGAGGAGAAGACTGAAAGTTTGGCGTGGACTTGTCCTCAAACTGATATGGGTCGTTAGATGGGGGAGGGCCCAGCGAAGGATCAACTCTTTTGCTGGTTGGACTTGTCTCCAGAATCGTATCTTCGTGTGCTACTCCGTTGCCTGGCCCCTGGTCTGGCCCGGGGGCTGAGTTGGTCGACGGATGTGGAGGCTCGGGGGCAGCTGTAGACGTCTGCGCGATGGTTGGTACCTCCTCCTCCTGCGGGTCGGACTGTGTCGAGTCATCGCCAACAATGGGGCGAATTTGCGTGGATTTCGGACGGCGATCTTGGGGCTCCTCTACAGTACCGAGGTTATCGGGGTTATCCAGGTCATCAACAACCGCTTCATCCGCTTGCCTTTGGACAACAGCTGCATCGGTCTGACTTTCTCGCAGGCGTTGACTTGTTGAGGGTACTTCGACGTCGCCATATTTGATCGGACGCGGAAAACTGATGGCATCTAGGTGCCTTAAAGCTGCTTCTTTCTTCTGTAACGCTCGTCTGCGCCTCGACATGGAGTCCGGTGAATCTAGTTCATCTCCAGAGCCGGCACGCTTGGTTTGCGCCGTAAAAATAGAACGCCGTTCCTGTGACTTATGCATGGGCTCGTATGTTGCCATAGGCTCGGGAACCGATCGTTTACGACCGGGCTCATCGTGCGAAGATTCGGGTACAACGGGGGTCTCGGCAGATGCAGTACCGATAGGGCTACTCTCTCGGTCACCGAGTTTCGACGACGCAGTGCCCGGAAGGACCTCGGGGCTAGATGTGATGGCGACCCCGGGCGAGGAACGGAGACCACGAGCTTTCAGTGGGGATGAAATAGCCGGGTTCGAGGAGATCGAGTTTCCCGGAAACTCGGCAGGCGAAGGCCGCGATGACGTGGGACTAGCAAGTTTAACGGGTGATGAGAACTGCGTGCCGCGAAACAGCTGTGACATCGAGAGAAGTTCGGAGCGGCTGTTCCGGAATGGATTTTGCGGCGGGCCCGGGGTTTCTGGCCAGTGCTGGATTGGAGATTGTGTTGCCTTCTGGGGCTCTGGATGTCGGCTGTTGATAAGACTACCCAAGTCCACGTAGCCGGAATCATCTTGGCCCACGAACCCTGCCTTACCGGTGTCCGTGATGTTGGTGAAGTCAAATCGGATGCCAACGTCGTCGTCATACTCCTCCTCCCGCTGTTCCTCTTCTTCATTGTGGACGTTACCAACTCCATTGCGAGCTAACGAAGTACTTCGGACGGGCTCAGGGAAAGGCGAGGTGCGGTCTTGCGATGATGGGCGGCGATATTGGTCGTAGCTGCGGCCCGCGTTGGGCTGGGTGGATGCCTGTGTTGAATCCATCTTCCTTCGCGATGTGCTATCGATCTCGGCCGAGAGGGGAAGGGAGTCGGGGAGGTTCAAATCGCCCACAACACCATTTTCGATCGCCACATCCCAATTTTTGCGGGTCTCCGCCGGCCGCTGGTTGCCTAGGATGTTGGCGTTTTGGGTTTCCGGGAGGGAAAAAGAATCGTGAATCTGTGCCGTTTCCTCAGCACGCGTGCCCCGCGTCGTTTCCTGAAGTGGAGGATGAACCGGGTCAGTGCCTGGCCAAGGCAGATAGATGCAGGGGTTTTCTTTGGTTATTGGCCTCAGCTACGCCGTGCGAAAAGACTCACTTCGTTGACACACAAAGATTTTGTAAGATCATCCAGATCTGCGAAAATGAGTAAGAGATCTAAGGAACATAAGAGCTAGGAGTGGCGCCTACCTTCGTTGTCGGCACTATCTCCCTTCTGCGGTGGACAAGAGGGAGAAGTGGTATCGTCCTCGGCAGTGGGACTGCTATGCTGCACAGTGCACCAAAGATTGAGCTTTGTTGAATCTTGGAGGGTTGAGGCAAGGTTTCGACGCCACTCACTAGGGCAACACCATAATCCAGCATGAGGCGACGTGCAATCAGCAGGGTGTCTTGCGACTCATTGGTTCCATCGAGAACCGCGTCGAAGGCCGCGTCGTCGGCTTGGCGAATGGCATTGGACAGCATTTCTCGGATTCAACCGCATGCAAACGGATGCTGCAGGCGGCCGTCGATACCCCGCGGCCAAAAAGCCGCCAGGTTGTCAGGTCGATAATGAAAATGATATTGCTGGGTTTGTACTAAAGTGGCGGGGATTCACAAAACCTGAGGAAGGCGAACAATTTGGAATGTGACGCTGAGAGGACGCAATCTTGTGTCAAGTCCGAATTCCCCAATTCCACAGTGCACGCTTTGTCTCCCGTGGCTCGGGCGCGCGACTTTCACGCGCCGTCACGTGCCATTTACCTATTTTGGTTCGGGGCGCCCGATTGTTCGCATGTGCTCAATTTGAGCGGTTCCACTAAGTGGACTGTGCAAAAACGCTGGGTGGACGGTGCAGAATCCAATACAGCTAGAGGCCTCCACACCAACTCTTGGCAGAAACCTTGCTCTAAGTATCTTTTACTCCTACCCGCTCTCGATAATTATAATAATACCGTTTTATTCAACTCCTCGCATTATAATTATAACTGTAACATACTAGACCGAATCATTTAAAAATGTTATAAAATCTTATTATACTTATATATACCTATATCTACTCCTAACGACTACCTTATATGTTGGTATAGTCGGTATACTTAGAGTGTGCGGGCAAGGCAGGGTAAGAGGAACTTTGATCAAGGATACTGCCAAGAGGTGGTGTGGAGGCGCTCTCCTTACCTCCAGCCATAGACGTGCCATATTCGATTTTGCACAGTCCGCCCAGTGCAACCGAATTTGAGACTTGAAGCCAAGACAATTGTTGGGGAGCTCCTTGGATCGGCAATCGCCCAGGGCAGAGATGATGAACGGTGGAGCATGGCAACCCGGAAGTGTTTCAACAAAACACAACAATCTCGGCTCATCCGATGAAAATAACAACAGGTTTTTTACATAACAGAGCTATCACGGCTCTCCGGATCCGCTTCGAGAGAGCATGAAAGGGAGACGTCTTTGACCTAGTGTACTAATAGGAGAATTGATATGGATACAATGCGAACTGCATTGCCTCTCCCAGATCTGATTGGAATGGAAAATCCTGCCACTGTACCCCTGAGAGACTCGAGCAAGACACCGCGTGTTCGGTGGGACCGATCCCCTTGTGCCATGGTCCCCGTGCGGATTGTCGGGTTGTCGTGGCCGACACTCGAAAGAGCGGAGCTGGGCACCCGACTGCTTGTTGCCTTGCCGGGCATTTGTTGAAATGGGGGTCAGCAGTTCTCGTCCCTTTTTATCCATCTGCAGCCCCATCTTCCATCCGGGCTCCTGGAATCTTTTGCGACTCGCGACAACTGAAATCCGACCCTGGAGGCGTGCAACGCAAGTCCCCAACCTGGTGGCTATCCTGCATCGTTCAAATTCCCGAAGTCTCGACCTAATAAGCCCTCAGGCTGCGAAACAAATTTGAGTTTGTCGTTCATCACACCCGAGTTCCTTCGACGAGTTGATTTGTTTTTGTCGGTTTTTCTCGGTATCCCGATTTCTCAATTGGCGTTGCAATCGACTCGAATTTCTTTCTAGCGCATTGCCTGGAAACCGCCATTTCGTTCCCTGGTCCTTGCGAGGTTCCCCAGAACCCTGACGCACGTCAATAATAAGCAGCTTGAGCCTTGCAACCCACTGCCAGCGCAGCGAGACGAAACGAAACAACGGCAGACCGAAACCCTGTCGGTCTGGCTCTTCTGGGGCCCACGCGCACACCGGGGGTCGAATCCGGCCAACCCCCCATTTCCCCCAAATCTCCCCCAGAAAAGCCCCCCTCGCGACCCTTCAAGCCCCCCCTTACCCAGTCATCCAGTGAGCGGTCAGGGGCAGCCTCACCAATTGGAGCCAAGCGCTGCATGAATCGGGCGAGATGAGGTTTCCACCAGCTGTTGACCTGGTCTGACCTGCTTCTTCCATTTCTTCTTCTCCATGACCTTATTGAGGACCTGCCTCGTCTTGGCCTGCGCCAACACTCTTTTCAATACTCGCGACTCTAGCTCACCCAACTTCCACAAGGCCGCCGTCGTCGCCAGGAGAACGACCCGCCTCCACGCTTCCTACCACCCACATCAACTCCCCCGACACTCATTCGCCACTTTCCCGCGGCCGGGCAGCCGACGGAGAACACAGCGCAGCGCTTCTCCCCTCCGTTCTTTTTATTATCGTTCCAAGCTCGCACAATCCCTCACGAGACGGGCCGTAGGATCTCGCCGTCCATCGCAGGCAACAGAGGATATGGATGAGATGGTGCTCCTCCAGCGAAGCATGGACGAGAACCTGCGAAACGGCGCTTTGACCCCGGAGGACCGGCGCCACTCCAGCCGTGCCGGCAGCCGTGACGACACGAAGCCACGACGCTTCCCGGACGAGTCTATCACATCGCCTTCCTCACAGACAGAAGACTTCGCCTCGGAGACCCGGTCCGCCCGGTCTGCCTCTACCACCTCGCGAAGCACCAACAGACTCTCCTTGACGCTACCTATTGTACCACCCACGGCTTACCCACTTCGGTCAACTCCTGCTTCAACTACCACTCCCGCGTTCCCCCCAACACCCCTTGATACACCGGCTTTGATGTCCCCCGTTGACCCGAACGACCTGATTACCGCGATAGCAGCGCAGGAACGCCGCGTCCTGGAATTGCGGGAGGAACTCAACCGGGCCGAGTCAGATCTTTCCAAGCTCAAGAAACAATGGGCAACCCATGAAGCCTACAAGAAGCGAACTGGACGCCGGAACGTCGAGCCAGCCGCGGGTCTTGGACCGGCCGCTGAACTGCAGGATGAAACTGCAATTAGGCGCAGCGCCGAGATTGACAGGCGAAAGGCGTTGCTCGGCCAGAACAACCCGCTTGCGACCCCAGAAAGGAGCAGGCGGCGTGTTTTCACTGGGAGACATACCCGCACTCTATCACTCCTTTCCCCAACGCGGCCGGTCAGTTCGTTTTCCGCCACTACCGATGACGAGCCGGAGAGCGCAGGACCGTCTGAACCCGGTGATCGCTTCAACAGCCCCGAGTCGCTCGCCCTACAGGCCAAGCGCGCATCCTGGGCCGCGCGCACGACGCAAACGGCCGGCGTGAAGCAGCTCGCGGAGGACCTTAAGACGGGACTCTGGACCTTCATGGAGGATCTGCGCCAGGCGACGGTTGGCGACGAGCCGATCACGGGACAGGGAAACTACATGCGCGGCACAGACGGCAACATGAAGTCGGCCACGGGGTCAAGCGGCGACCAGGATACCATCCGCGCGCCCAATGCGCCGCGGCCGCGTCTCTCGTCCGCTTTTGACGACCCAGCCAAGGCTTCCGAGGACGCGGATAATAATGACGGAAACGACGATCCCCAAGGTCTCCCTCGGCCCCGTCTCCTCCGTCGCTCGCAAACCGATGCCGGCGCCCGCGGCGGAGCTAAGCGCTTCTCCTGGACTCCCCTAACCATCGATGCCTACGATGACAACGACTGGTCCAACTGGGACACCCCGGGCGTCTCCTCCCCACGCTGGAGCGGCACCACCGTCAACGGCGACATCATCCCGACCATTCCCGAGAAGCGCGCCGACGAGGGCGAGAATACGTCTCTGTAAGCCCCTCTTCTCCTACCCTCCCACCTATGCATGATACCAGCTCCTCCCACTACCGTTAATCTCTGAACTCTCATTCGCCCTATCCAACCCCACGCACATGCAAACAAACAAACACCCTCTAGACAAAACTCCCACCCCCACAGGACATTTTTATTGATCGCCTCGCTGAAACAGTAACACCCAAAAGTCGAAGAACAGCAGCGGCAGCAGCATCAACAGCAGCCACAACACCTCGCGCTCCACCTCCCCCCACCAGACAGCGTCGGCCTCGCCCGCCTCGTTGAGTCCCAAGAGACTTGAGGATCTACTCCCGCAAGCCTTGAACAAGCTGAAGCCGAGCAACCTCAAGCGGACCGCGGACGACTTTATGAAGGAGTGGGAGCGCAGTCTGGCGTCGCCTGAGGAGGTTGAGCCGACTATCGAGATGGCATGAGCGGAAAACACGGAGTTGAGCCTGGCCAGTGTACAGACGTGGATGAAAAACGGGTGGATGCCCGGATATGAACACGAAATGCATAAAAATGGAAACGGGTACGGTACGGTACGGTACGGCACGACATTGCGCGTCACAATGGGAAACGAAGCATGGTCAACGGTAAATGGGCGAAACGGGGAAACACACGACTCTTAAGACTGGCTACGAACTAACTGGCCCACGCCGTCTTCTTTTATTTGGGCTTGGGTTGATTTGGTTTGGTTGGGGTGAGCAAAAGCTTCGGCAGTCAAAAAACCACCCATCTCCTCACTTTATTCCCTTCTTTTCTTCATTCCCTTCCTCTTCTTGTTTTATTAACCTCTTCTCCCTCTATTCTTATTCTCTTCTCTTCTTTACGATGACCCATGACCATCCTGTTTGTCGGCACATAACGGGTATACGTCAGTCAAGTCATACCATATCATGTCTTATACTTGGTTTTTTCTTCTTCTTCTTCTCTTTCTGTCTAGATACACGTCATGTCAGACTAGAGGTTACGGGTTGGTTGGCGGGTTATGTCCCTACGGTTTATTTTGAGGATATCCTGGTTGTAACAGGTGGTGGTGCTGGATAAAAGCTGATCTGCGAGGGGCAAGCAAGCAAGCAAGCAGAGCAAGCATGGACGAGCGTGCGACCAATATTCTTTTTTTATTCTGGGGGATGTTTGTTGTTTGGGCCAGGCAGGCTAGTGGCGGATTTATTGCTTCTTCTTGTTAGGAGTAATGATAATGACATAGACGAGTGTATGAATGCAAAGGCGATTTTGATCATTTTGAACTTATAACACCAGCGGTGGTTTTGTGGATGCTCGGCAGACCGTAATCCGAAACAGCATCAAAATAAGGGTTGTTGGCAAAAATCATGACAGCAGGCACCTTAAAGAGTGCGACAAGCGGTGTCTGGTATCCTCCAACTTCAGTAATAGCACCACTTCCAAACTCACCTGATCATGAGCTCCGACAACACACAAACAGCCGAAACAGTGGGAAGAGACAACAACATGCTTTATTTCGCCACGTCCACGGCCACACGAGCACCCGTTCATAAGACAGATACAGCCAGACACGCTAACTATGCAGCATGCATCCAAATTCAGATTTCCATTTATTCCCATCACACAAACCCCTTCCACACAGTCGTCTATCTACACCAAGTTCCAAGTTCCTCTGGTCACCGCCCCCTAACTTACTCATCAACAACCGACGCAAACTTGTCCAGCATGCTCTGCTGTATTGCCTCATACTAGTTTCAGAGTGTTAGCATCATCGTCATCCCGGCAAACAAACATACAGATCCCGAAACAGCGGACAAAGACCTACCTTCTTGCAAATGACCTCCTCTCCTTCGCTCGGCACCTCAAACTTAAGACTGCGCAGCTGCGACTGCAACTCCTGGGTAGCCTCGCGCACCTTGGCCCACGACAAGCCCTGGGCGATGGCCTTTTGCGATTCGTCATGGAACCCCATCATGAGCTTCATCATCCACTCGGTCTTCCAGATCGGGCAGAATTGATCGTAGTCCGAGTAACCGTTCTGCTGCAAGAAGTCCTCCTTGAGCAGCGTAGCCATGTCGAGCGTGATCTTGTCCGGGTCGGACAGCGCCGACTTGCCGACGAGCTGCACAACCTGGTCGAGTTCCTCGCTGTCGGACAGCAGCTGGCGGATGCGATCGCGGAGACGCGGGAAGTCTGGGTACTCCTTCTCATACCACTTATCAAGGATGGTCGTGTACTTGCTGTAGGAGAGCGAGGTGTTGATGGAAGGGAAGTGTTTGCGCTGGGCCAGTTTCTTGTCCAGACCCCAGAACACCTGGACGATACTGAGTGTGGAGGCTGTGACGGGGTCGGAGAAATCACCACCGGGCGGGGACACGGCACCCACGATACTGACACTACCCTCGCGTTCGGGGCTGCCGAGGGTCTGGACCTTACCGGCGCGCTCGTAGAAGGAGGCCAGCTTGGCGCCCAGGTAGGCGGGGAAACCCTGATCAGCGGGCATTTCACCGAGACGACCCGACAGTTCTCTCAGGGCTTCGGCCCAGCGGGACGACGAGTCGGCCATCATGGCGACGTCCATACCCTGATCGCGGAAATATTCGGCTACCGTAATTCCAGTATAAATGGAGGCTTCACGGGCAGCGACGGGCATGTTGGAGGTGTTAGCAATCAGGGTAGTGCGCTTCATGATGGGCTCTTTGCGGCCGTCGACATCAATGGTGAGTTCAGGGAAATCCTTCAAGACTTCGGCCATCTCGTTTCCACGCTCGCCGCTATGTAACGTCAGCTATTTCTGGGCCTGGTATATTAGAATATGGTATCAAGCCACTCACCACCCAACGTAGACAATCACATCACTGTTGGAGAACTTGGAGACAGACTGCGAAATGACAGTCTTGCCGCAGCCGAAAGCTCCAGGAATAGCGACAGTGCCACCCTGGACGGACGGGAACAGGGCGTCGAGCACGCGTTGTCCGACGATGAAGGGCTGGTTGGCCGAGTGCTTCTCCGTTGAAGGGCGCGGCACGCGCACAGGCCAGGTCTGCATCATGCCGTACTCAGACTTCTTGCCGTCGAACTCGACCTCGAGGATCTTCTCATCGACGGTGTAGCTGCCCTTGTCGGCGATGCGAGTGATGGTACCGCGGGCGCGGGGCGGCAGCAGGATCTTGTGGGTCGAGATGAACGAGTTCTCGTAGACGGTACCCCATACGTCACCGCCTGAGATGTGGTCGCCAACCTTGAGGGTCGGAGTGAAGTCCCATTTCTTCTCACGATCAAGGGCGGGGGCGACGATGCCGCGAGGAATGTAAATGCTCTTGGAGATGTCCGAGATCTTCTCGAGGGGCCGTTGGATACCGTCGTAGATGTTGTTCAGGAGACCAGGGCCAAGCTCGACGGATAGAGGTTTGCCAGTGCGCAATACGGGATCGCCAACGGTAACACCGGCTGTGTGGTGGCGAGCATGTCAGCATTGAACGGGTGCGTACTACTTCGAGCAAAATCAAAGGGACGTACCTGTTTCTTCGTACACCTGGATGGTTGCTTGGTCGCCATTGATCCGGATAACTTCGCCGACCAGTTGGTCGTGGCCTACTTTCACCTGTTTCCCAGACTCAGCACAACTGTTATCCGCCGCCAAAGTGCTCGCTCCTAGTCACATACCAGCTCGTACATGGCAACACCGGCCATATCCTCGGCAACCACCACAGGCCTGAAGAGAGGAGTATTGGTTAGCTATATGACGAGCCGGTGCGGGCGATCGGACACGATGATGGGCCGGGGAAGCTGTTGGGTGTGGACTAACCCGGAGACCGAGTAGATCTTGCCTATTGCGCCGTCAGTTACATCTTCAAGACTACGAAAAGAGCAAGCTGTGCTCGGTCCATACCTGTGTGGAAGCCATCATCGCCACTGTCTGGTTTCGACTAGAACAGAGAACGCCGTGTTAGTTAACTTGTTGGGATCGCATAGGCGTCGACAATCTACACCGCGCAGTCGCAGATGCAAGCGATGCGGGTGGGCATCAGGCAGCGGGGAGCTCACAGGGGCCATGCCGGGCGACGAAGTAATTGCACCGCGAGGAGGGGTTGGTGCAGGGTCAGCAGTAATCGTAATTGTTGTCGTCGTGGCGGGGCGGCCGTCTGGGTCGTCGTCGTCGTTGTCGTCGGGGGTCGTGAGGGTCAGCAACGGCGATGGTAGAACGGATGGGGGAAGAAGCGGTAGTGGCGGTGGTGCTGCTGGAAGTGATGGTGGAGATCGAGGTCGTGCTGGTTTGTCGGGCGATGGTGGAAGCGGGACGCTTGCAGCTCGATCCAGAACGGCAAGGAGCTGCCGGTCGGATGCCGGGGCGGTGCCCGCCGAGAGGAACAAGAGTGGAGGCGATGATGCAGCGCCTGTTCCAGTGCCTGCTCCTGCGGGCGGCGGGGGCACGTCTGCTGGGGCTTCAGGGGGTTGTCGCTCTCCAGGTCCAGCTCCAGCTCGAACCAACAGCTCAACCAGTGACGGCCGTGGCCTCAACCGCGGCCGGAGTCCCACCTGCATTCAAGGCGCAGCCGCTGTAAACCGGCCCGAAGTGCTTTAGCATCAAAAGCCGTTATGTGTTTCCCGTGTTTCTTTGCGCGTGCAAAACGCAAAATACATGCCCGAAATCGAATTCCTGTTGTACGCGCAGCATCGGAGGACAGAGGGTGGAGGGTGCAAGTGCTGAATTGGCCAATTCCCGGCTGCAAGCAGCTCATTTCCCTTCCAAGGCACTAACGTTGGATCCGGGAGGCAGGCGCAACTGCCTCGATCAGCCCGCCCAGGCCAAAACAAAGCTTTGGACAAGAATCCCGAGTCTGCGCCGCACTGTTGGTTGCGCTCCCAGCCATCCGATTCTGTGTGTAAGCACAGGAACCAGGGTTAGGGTCTGACGATGCTTTCCACGTCAGCTATCCGTACGCTGTAATTAAATACTGGGCATTTATGAACACAATAAGAATCTATAAGTTCAAAGAGTCATCCCGCTTAAATCTGGGATTATCAGTTCAGCTCAAAAGCAAAGCCCACATTATGCTTAGGGACCTTTCGGCTGGATTGTATTTCAAGCAAACCCGATACATTACATATACCGCCGTTCACTTTCGTCCCTTACCTTAGTTCTGGTCAAAACTAAGTGTGACAACTAAAGAAACCGTTGTTATGTTGGTCTTCTTCCAGTAAGCTTGTTTAAGGAGAAGTCGAATCTAATCACCCAATAGTCAAATGTAGTTGCGAATTCTGATGCTGGTTTTTGATTACACATTTGCACAGACCGAATATATATTTACACAATCCGAACCCGACTAGCATCACACAGCACATCGTGAAATACGAACAGAAACTCTGCGCGATAGTATTAGGCTGCCCGTCATGCCCCGTCCAACGGGAAGCACGCAGCTGCCCCCATCCTGATGACTCCCGGGTCAAGCAGCAATGACCTTATGTCTCCCCCGTTTGTCATTGCTTTAGAGAGTCCCCGGTCCTCCGTTCGACTTGCCCAGGCACCAAGCAAACATGGCAGATCTATAATCCCTTTCTCATTTTCCTTTCCCGTCCCTCCCACTTCCCCGGTCCACGTCCGCTGCTCAAAGAGGAGGCCTCCCAATTTCGAAGCTGTGAATGGTTCAAACCTAGAAAAGGTCGGGCAAGGCACCGGAGCGGCAGTATCAACAAACAAAACATTATGAGTATTACACATAGAGACCCATAGCAGGCAGTGGCGGTAGGGGTAGAGTAGCAGCAGTAGGGCATTCAGTTGAGGAATCCCTTGCAAGCGGCAGTCCCGCATAGACAGGGGATGCGATCGGTGCTGCCTAGCTCGCGCTCGAACTTGTAGTCGTAGGTCAACTCCTCATCTGCGATGGGACTCAGTTAGTTCATGTTCTGGACTGGAGGCCAGGGGGGGGGGATGAAAGGGGGTGAATAGGTGTCTGGGAACCAGGAAGAGAGAAACTTACTCTGTGCAATGTCCCGGAGAGCATAAATAACAATCCGCTTGCTACCCTCCACCTTGATAATCTTGGCTGTGCAGTTAGGCATGCAACTGTGGTTGATAAACCGCGCGATGCCGCCCTTCTTGGTCGCGTCGATGACCGTATTCTCGTCGATCCGGAACAGGTAGCTACTACCAATTCCGCTTTTGAGGTACCGGTTCTCGCGTAGCTCCGCAATCTGCTGCCGTACCTCCTCGCCCACGTACTCTATGATCATGTCGTCCTTGGGGATGTTCTCCATCGCGTACAAACCCCAGTTGTGGATGGCCGACCGTGCGAACTTGACCGGCTTCTTCCGTTTCTTCAGCTGGTTGAATCGCAACACGTCCGAGTCTTGCCCCAGAGTCTTGCGCTGGTCGTTGAGGTCAGCAACAAACCGGCGGTTGTTGGCTCGGTTGGCACGGGAGTTGCCCTTGGCGACGAGACTATCTGCTGCGAGCCTGGCCGCTTCAGCAGCCGCAAGCACCGAGTCTTTGGCATTCTTGCCGTTCTGCGCCTGCCGCTCCTCCCTGGCCTTCTTGACTTTGATGTGGTGAGGCAGATATTTGGACTTCTCGGAGTTGAGAATCTTCTTGACCCCTTCGGCCCTCGCACACCCTGCTGAGTTCGGGACGTAGTAACCCTCGATGCGCACAGGGGTTTTCGCCGTCCCATCCGCCGAGTTGAGTTGACGGATGCGATCCCGCTTCCATAGCCATAGTTCAGGATCGTCGATCTTGGCGCGACCGAACTTCTTGCGGAGTTGTTCCATGTCGGGCTGATCGTTGGACCCAAGCGCCAGCGCCTCCAAGGCCGCCACATCGAAGCGGAAATCACGAGGGAGGTCAAGAACGGACACCTTTTCTGGTGGATACAGATTCTGATCCAGCTCTGGTTTCTCTTCCCGCGCCACTTTGGTCCTCTTCGACTCGGCCGCTGGTTCAGGTGTCGGTTTGGCCTCGTCCACTTCTTCTGGCTGTAGGGCTTCCTTCTCAAATATCTCCTGCTGCTGACGCTTGAGGGCCTCCCTCTCTTCAAAGAGTTGCTTCTTAGACTTCTTCTTTGTCTTGCCAGGCGCCTTCTTCTTGGTCTTACCATCTTGAGGCAGAGGTGTCGGTAACCGGGAGCTGTCTGAGTCCTTCTCCTCACCGGCTGTTGCATCAGGAAGGAGAATGTCGTCTGGCGAAGGTTCCCTCGACGGAAACTCTGATGTTTCAATGCGATTAATAGTCACGCCGAAAAGCTCTTCGTCCGTCTTCTTTTGTCGTTTGATTGCGGTTTCCACCTGGAGGTCTAACTTTCGCTTCTTCTGCACCGTCGAGCCGTCGCCCAGTGCAAAGCTAGCCTCAGTCATGGAATCGTCCTCGCCAGGGCCCCATGATGCATAATCATCCTTATCCACATCCTCATCCGTACTCATCCGGCTGCGAGGGCGAGACTCGGGTTCCTCTGTGTCACGGCCGAGCGACATCCGGTTATCAGCTTCGTCTTCAGACTCGCCCTCGCTGTCGCTTTGCAGCCGGTAGTGGAGAGATCGGAAAGCAGTACGCCTGGCAACCGGGCGGCTGCGTGCGAACGGGTCGTTGAAGCCATGCTTGCGCGTGTTCAGCCCAGCGTTCTTCACCTTCCGAATACGAGGTAACGCGGATACGTCGAGGCGGGCGGTCCGGCGCTCGATGGGATCCGCCCTCGAGTTGGGTGTGCCGACCGGGGACTTGTCTTCAAACTCTTCGGGCCGAATTGGAGCCAGCCTTGTGCTAACAGGATCCTCAATATTGAGCTTGCGTCGCTTCGCCGCATGGTTAACGGGGTCGAGAAAGCCAAACAGCGCGGGTGCCGCAATTTTGGTGCGGATGTGCTTGATTAGCTGCTCCTTCATCTCCCGTAACACCACGTCCCTGGCCTCGAGAACAGGGTCGTAGTTCTTAGCCCTCTGCCGTTTCTCTTCCTCCAGGTCGGCTTCTTCCTCTCGTCGACGGCGATCGTGTTCCTCGCGCTTGATCCGCTCGTCGTCGCGCCGACTTCGGCCATTTTCCCGGTGTGATCGGGCATCATCGTGAGGACGCCGATGTTCCGGCGTACGGCTGCGGCGCCTGGTGTCGGGCGTATGTGGTATTTTGCCTTCCGTTCCGTACAGATGCATGTCCATGACCATGGTGTAGGTGAAGAAGGCGGTTTGGTTTGCAGACCGAAAACACCGCTCAGTCTCAGCACGCCCGTGTCCTGAATCCCGGAAGACGATGTAGTAACCGGACCGGTCGGCCCGGACGTCCTCGAACATGTATGTTTTGAGACGTCGCTTCATGTGGGCGACGGTGGTGGGCATGACGGGCACATGTTCATGGCCAACGAAGAGGTAAGGGTCGTGCTTCAGCTGTGGCGAGATGGGTTCTGTTTCGATGATCGAGTCCGGCCGAGGCTTCGGTACCCATGCGCCTTGGGCGCTCACTACCCCGGCCCGATGCGCCGCTGGCCCTTTGGGGGCAGTTGGGGGAGGACCAGGAATGATTTCTTTCGGCTTTGGGCCGGTCGGAATCTTCGCGTCCGCTGCCGCTTGTGGCTCTTCGTTTCCCTTCTTAAGCACATCCTCTAGCATGCGGGAGCTTTTCCTACCCTCAGCGTCATATTCGACTCGGACTGCGCTTGCCTCAATCCGCTTCCCATGCATCGCCCTGATGGCCCGCTTGGCTGCTTCGGTCGCGGGAATTGGAATCGGGCGCGAGCGGCTTGGCTTGCTGTCTCGATATCGAAAGGTAGCAAAACCCAAGTAGCTCCCTGTGTCTGGGTGCATTTTATTGCTGCTCTCGACAATGTCGCCGAATGAAGCAAAGACAGCTGTGACCTTGGAGAAAGCGATCAAAGGATTGAAACCGATGACCACAATCTGGGTCGGCGGTCCGGGGCCGCAAGACGTCTTTGGGTCATACTTGTACGGCTTCAGGTTGTACGGCGCATGACGCAAACGGGCTTTCGGGAGGTGGAAGTCGACATTGATGTAGTTGAGCCTCCCACCTTTTGCAAGGCGTGGGTCTGGGGGGGAAGCGTCGTCTTCATTGTTCTATGCGCAGCAGTATTAGCCAATTGATCCACAATCAAGACGACGCTCCCCCCATTTCCAAGTGTGAGATTATCATTATGTACATACCAAGCCAAACTCCTTGTATATTGGTTTCGCCTTTTTCTTTTCGGAACTCGAAAGAGAGGTATCAACAAGAGGGTCATATGTACGCTTAACGCATTGAATCGGGCGAGCGGGGTCGCGTGCAGGGAGGCGTTCGATAGCCGGGGTGTCACGGACGGATGCGTTGAGCATCGAGCCAAAACCGTCTATTCCGTCGGTATGTCGAGAAGCGGTTGGAGGCATTTTGTTGTGATGTGTGGTCGTAGATATGTAGGAGGAGGGTGACGCGATGGCGGTAGGAGGTGTCAGTTGATTATTTGTCCGTTTTAAGGCGCCGGGGGCGCCAAGTCGCGTAGCGCCGCTGAATACTGAGGAGCTTGCACTGGTATGAGGACTGGCCGATCCAATGGCATTGGATGTATCTCCGGCGAGCGACTCGGTGTCGTCGGGTAGAGGATGCGCCACATGGAAATCGTTGTTGCCGTTCAAGCGAGAAGCTGATGGGAAGCCTGAGCCAGGCCCATCGCCATTGCGAGAGGAAACCGAGTTGTCGAGGGGTGAGTGATAGCTGTGTGAATCATCTAGATGGGTAGGTGGAGATTCCTGCGTCCTTTCCCTCGCCTTCTCGCGTTCTGTAGCCCTGTCCCTAGCAGCTCGTGGCGCGGCGGGGAAGAACTGGGCGAAACTCGCACCAGCGGGCGGCGTCATGGCGAGAAGGGGTAATTATTGCCGTTCCCGACGTTTCCCAACCATCATCCCGAACACTAGCGATACTGGGAGCTACCATGCATCGAGGTTGTTGATGAGATTGAGTTGCGGTGTGCTGGGGCAATTACGCGCGCATGTGCCGTTCACGCGACAGTGACCAAGCGACTCTGGCGACCAGGAGGCCGTCGCTGACCTGCGCCGTGGGCTGGGGGCCGGCGAAGGGCGCTGCTGGGCGGCAAAAAGGGAGCTGAGCAGCAGGGAATTCGTGCGATGCGTTTAGCTTTGTTTTGGTCGGAAATAGTCCGCGGGGGAAGCCAAAGCAAGGCGTTAGGGTGAATCGTAAATTGAAGTGAAGTTAAAAGTTGAGCACCGTTCGGGGCGTGTGAAGTCGCGAGTTTCCATTGTCTCGCTAAACCCAAATGGAGCAGACGCAGACCTTGTCAAGGTGGTCCGAGCGCCATAACGAGATCGATGGGTGCCTGTGACTTTGAGAGCGTCCCAAAATTACGGTGGGGACCTTGATGCATGTTGCAATGAGTGGTGCAGCTGATTCTCATGGTCAAACCAAGCCCCCGATGAGAGAGTCTGGGTGATGGAAGAAGGTTTGAAGGGTTGCCTCGAACCTCAGCCCCCAGAAGTACTATGTATTGGGCGATTTACTTGATGGGGCCCAGTGGTTGTGAAAGTTTCCATAATTTTCAAGCGATACACAACGGAACCCGGCGGATAATGTTACAGATCGTCGAGACGGTAATTTCCTTGCACTTTTCATGTAACGAAAGATCACGACGGATGAGCACGAGCAGAGTTCAATACCAAGACCAGTTATTAGGTGGGAGAGGAGGAACAAAGGCGATAAAGTGAATAAGGTGGGCAACAAAGGGCAGACTAGAATAAAGATAATATGAGTGACTGTCATTCACCCAACAGTGCCACTGTGACACGTAACTAAGCCCCCAAATCCGCGCCTTGAAAATCCGGAGCCCAAACCAACGCCGCGATCCCATGTAACGGCCCCACAGACACTATCACAGCCTTATGATTCGGAAGTAAACCCAGAGGCGTTACTCAAAGTCCGCCGTGAGCTGGAAATCAGATTCATCATCATCCATCGGAGGCAATCCTCCCCCAAGACCATCCTCCTCCTCATCGTCGAAGATGGATAGAAAGTCGGGCTGCTTTTGCTCCGTTGCCTGGGCATAACGGGAGGGTGTAATGGTTGCGTCCGAGCTGGTCGATGCTGCGCTGACGGTCCGCGTAAACGCGCGAGGCTTGGGGCCTACAGTAGGTTGCCTCGTGGGAAGGCTGCGAGCGGAGTTGCTGCTGAGTACGTGGACGGCAGACGACATGGATCGGCCCTTGTTATAGCCCAAAGTACTGCGAGAGGCAGCAGAAAATGCTGCTCGTCCCCCGCCCGAAACATTTGCTGGTTCTATGGGCTGCAATACCTTCCGCCTCGGCAGCAAGAATCCTTTGGTGGAGGCCTTTGTGGCTGCTGATATAGGTGCCATGGCTGGTCTCGCATGAGAGCCAGCTACTGGCTTCGGACGCATTGCGAGGGCCGATGCTGCCTTCCGGGATGCGACGGTTGAGGGCTGTCGAGTGCCTTGTCGTACCACTGTCTTTACAGTGGTAGGTGCCCCAGCTGCTAGTGCAACGCTGCTCTTTTTCTTGAATACGTCCCTACTCTCTGGGATATCACCAATGCTCCAGTCGAAGTCGTCCATATCTTTCTGGATTTGCTCCTCACCCCTCTCAAAGCTGCGCTTCTGCCGCTCCTCTAAGTCCCGGTCTTGGGCCGTCTTGCCCTCTCCATCCATCCGGTTAAAGTAATGCTTATAATAACCATTGAACATGTTCTCGGGGTTTAGCCCTTCAAACGTCAGGACATTTTCGGGGAAAACCTCCGACTCGTAGAGGGGTTCTATCGGGTTCGGGGGGGCATATTCGATTTCTTCGTCCTGTAGCGGGGCAATATCCTCGTGTACCTCGAGTTTGGACGATTCGGTTTGCGGCGCAGCCTGCTTGGGGCGAATCGTCGTGGTCGGCTTTAAAGCACTCTTTTCAAAATTGCTCGCTCCAGGTTTGGCGCCAGGCGTTTGGTACGTCGACCTGGCTTTAGCATTGGTTGTCTTGTTCCCAAGCGGCGCGCGGCCCGTTCTAGGACCTGCATGTTTCGTTAAAAAATGGAAACAATGTAGAAGGATTTAGTCGCGAGAGGAAAACTCACCCGCGGGTGTCACCAGGGCCATCTTTCCAGCTTTGCCATTTTCATTGTTGTTTTTGCCTCGCAACACACTCTTCCCATTAAATCCGTGGTTCACATTTTCGTCGTTTAGCGGCACCTTCAATGGAGTCTTCGGGAAGCGAGCACCAGGTGTCTTGGCCTGCAATTGTTGCTTCGAGGCACCAGCCTGGTGCTTGTAGAGATTCTCCTGGTCGTGATGTGCGGCGAGCATCGTTGCGGAGCGGTGGGATGGCCTCCCGAATGGCGATGTCGTGGTGATTCACAGGTTTTGGCGGTCAAGATGTTCGCGTCCAAGATTGGTCAGTTCGATGCACAATGGGCATTGCCTCGCGGCGTCGCGTGGCTGGGGATCCGTTTCGGAAATGGTCGTTGGGGGTTGGCACAGCAACGGCGCAGCTGGCATGGGGGCGGGCTAGGCCCGGCTAATCATGGTGGGGTCGATCAGACAAGTGACAGCACCCGTCGCAACAAATGGAAACACCGCCGTTTTGGTGAGGGGCAATCGCTGGTCTTCATTTCCTCCACGGGAACGGCTTGGCTGCCTTCTAGGACTCCGTACTTCTACCACCTTCTTCCTCCACAACCAACCTTCGAACCACAACTTCTACTGATATCGCCTTTCCGATTTTTCGTTACTTTAGTCCACGCTTCAGTTCCCAACACTGCCCAGTTCCTGCCTTTCTCATCCGCTAGCAAAAATGGACCGCATCAAGGAGGTGAGCTGCCCCGCCCCTTTTCTCGCGCGAACTATACCCCTGCTAGACCCCACCATTGGGTTCACTGGCCCCCCGAGACGATCGCGCACGTTGCTCGCTTGGTGTTGCAAAACACTCGTATCATCATGTCAACGACGAGGCGTCACTCTTATCGTTATTACCTTACCATCGTTATTAGCTCCTTTAGCAACATAGGCCTTAGGATCTCGATTTGATGACTAACATGTCTCGCTCTCTAGAAAATGAACCAGCTCCGTTTGGAGGCTGAGGAATCGTCCAGCAAGGTCGAGGAGCTCCAGGCCAAGGTCAAGGCGCTCGAGCAGGACAACCTTGCAAAGGAACAGGAGATTACTTCCCTTTCGCACCGCAACAGCGTGCTCGAGTCTGAGGTAGAGAAACTGGAGACCCAAGTCAAGGATCTCAAGTCATCGGCCACCGAAGGCCAGGCGCACGGAACTCAGAACGAAGCGCTGACTCGAAGGCTCCAACTCCTCGAGGAAGAGGCCGAGGAAGCCGACAGGACTTTACGCGAGGCCAACGAGAAGTAAGCAGACGCTGCGCGGGGGTTAAACCCCGCCCCCAAGCACCCATAAGAACAAGCCGTACTAACCGCCCCCTCTTTTCTCAGGCTCCGGCAGACCGACGTCAAGGCTGGACATTTTGAGCGGAAGGTTCAGGCCCTCGAGCAGGACCGCGATCAGTGGGAGCAAAAGTACGAGGAGATGGCCAAGAAGCACGCCACCGTGCAAAAGGAGCTGGAAGACTTCCAGAACGAGATCAGCACCATCTAAGTCGAGCACGGTCTGGTTGGGAGGCGGGTATCCTCAGGTCCAGTTGTCCGGTACAGATTTGGGTTTCTTGCGTGTAACATGCTGCCTCGACCGAGGAGCATTTCGAAGGGGCGGTTCTTCTAGCACCGCCGATATTCACAGAGTGCTGCGGCGCTACAAGCAGGTCCATTCGTCCAACTCGCTGCCTAATCACGAACACCAGACGGTGTTCTGTCCAGACAGGGCCCTTGTTCTATTTTTGTGTAGTTGTTTTAATACGCTATCGGCCCAGTCTGCTTTTTTCTCCTTTTCGCCCTCTGCCGTTTGTTTTCGACATCTCTATCGAACTTGTTCTCGTACCGGAACTTCGGCTTCTTGTTGGCCCGTTCTTTTGGCGTCTTAGTGGGACCCTTTTTCTCTTCTTGGTTCGGGGGGCCATGTTCGTTCTGCGAGTCCTCTTCATCCTCTGACTTTTCGAGTGTCGGTTTGTGGAAACCATCTCTGTCAACACTAACCGCTTCGACGGTGACCGTTGTGTACTTGTCCTCATCTATGTACTCCTCCTCCAGGTCAATCGGTGCTTCAATTACATCGTTGTCAGATAGACCACCCCATTCCTCTTCAGAACCGTTCTCATTCTGGTCCGCTGTGCCCGCGTGCTCGGCTTCGCGGAGGATTTTATTGATCGCTTGCACGTGGTCTTCTACGGCTTGCTTTCGGTCTTCCCTAATCTGTTGGTCGTCATGTTAGGGCAACTAGGCGTATGGCGCATTGTAGAGACCCTGGCTACAGCATAGCATACCTGTTTCCTGAGTTCAATTCTCTCCTCCTTGGCCTTCTGCTCGGCTACCTCCTGCGCATGCTTGATGCGCGCCTGCTTGCGCTTGTGAAATCCGGTAAGGTATTCGGTCCGGGCGTCTCGGTCGAAGGTAATCTCTTCGATCGCATGGACCGTCTTTCTCTTTTTTGGCGGCGGCGGTGCGGTCTTTCGTATCCTTGGCTGTGCAAACATTGTGAATGCTCTCAGCCAGGAGGGTGTGGCCGTCGGCTAGCTCGTTGCACTGGTCTCGCAGCAAAACGGACGGCTAGAGGCAGAATGGAATTTAATGTGACCCCTGCAATGCATCGGCTTATCGGGGTTTCTGCCAGTCTCCACCGCCCCACTATAGCCTCTTGGGATCCACTCGGCGCGCAGTTGGCCGCAGCATGCAAGCCGGCCAGTGGCAGCTCCATGGGATCGCGGCCGAGACGCAATCCATCACCAACCAACCTGCTTTACTGCTGCACAACGCCGACGACAGCAACGGCTCGGCATCACCACTAATCGCCACCACAATGAAGTTCACCACATCTGCGGCTTTTCTCGCTTGCGCAGCGTCCCAAGCGCATGCATTTTCCGACTCATCCCCGTTCATTTTCCTCTCCACAGCGAAGTATGGCTACCTATACCAACCTCTCAATCATCCAGAACACCGTCACTCTGCTAGCAACGCTTCCTCGTCCTACTCGCCCTCGCATCTATCCGCGATTCACCCAATATAAAATCACCGTCGTAGAAGCAATTAAACTAATGGATCTTTCCAACCCAGACTCTCCTCCCCACCGCAAGCCGCTCAACTCCAAACCGCCTCACAAGTCCTTACCACCGTCCAGTCCTTACTGGCATCATGCCCGACCAAGCGTTACCTTCTCGTTTCTCAGCCCAACATGCACGCTGCCGACGTGCGTAGTGACGACAACAACAACGCATGCCGCATGCCCAACCTGTGCCGCGCGGCCGAGGAGCAGAACACCTGGGCTGTCGCCGAGGTCATTGGGCAGATCACGGACGCGCCTCTGCGCGAGCAGATTGAAAAGAGCTGCGGAGGGGACGTATTGGTGGAAAAGGTCGAGTTGCGGCATTTGCCTGCTGCGTCGGATCTGGAGGGGGCCGAGAAGGAGAGGGGCGTGGCGTTGAGTGATAACGGTGTGTAAGATCCTGCGTTGGGTGGTGGGTGGCTAGTCTGTGTGAGTGGCCAAGCATACTAACATCTTGGATTCAAAGATTACGACCTCGGTCAGCTTCTCGACGTGCTCGACGACGATGATTACACCATCCTTGTCTTCTCGGACCCGAACGAGTTCAAGGCGTACGAGCCCAAGTTCGGCGCGCCGGTGCACATGGACCTGAAGCGCCGGTCGAGTGATGCGCCGCGGGCGGCTCGGAGACAGGCAGACGACGCGAGGGACAACCGTCCGCTATTTGAGAAGTACCAGTTCTTCACACCTGGTAAGTCATCCCTCGGCGCCCTTGCTTCAATTGCGCGTTACTAATTTTTGTTCAAGGTATCTTTATGTCCTTCATTGTAGTCGGCATCATCCTCTCTATCTTGGGCGTTGGACTTAAGGCCCTTGCGAGTCTTGAGGTGTCGTACGGCGCATTTGACAAGGACATGGGCCCGGCCGCCCAGAAGAAGCAATTGTAGAGTATCGTGTGATCGTGGCGTGTGTGTTGGGAAATGTACTGTTTAGTTCCTGGATATTGGATCGTCTATAGCGTAGCTACGCGGGTCGGAGTTTATTGGGTTGAGCATAATTGTGGTATCCATGGTTAGAATTTTCTGAAATCTTCCTTCGCCCTCCCTTTGATAATCCTTTTCCCGCTATGGTTGCCGCGTCGAAGTCCGATAATACCTAGTCGCTCCCTGCGAAAGTAGCACACCTCGCCCTCTCTTCATGAAAGTGACCTTCCGTTTGCCTACTCCGTTCTCCGTCATAACCGTCGTTAACCCTCCCATTTTGAAACGCCCCTTGCCTGTCTCTCCTCTCTCATACTAAATGACTCGGTAACAAAAAGTTGGCGATGCCCTCCCGTACGGCATACTCATGTCCGCAATGCCCACACACCAACTTGCCCTCGTTCATCTGGGTTTCCATGAGCAGGGTGTGCAATTCCTTCAGCATCTTCTCGTCCGCCTGGAGTTCCTCCGCAGAAGGAGGTTGCTCTGGAAGTTGCGGGAATCCAAGCTGGGAATTGTTAAAATCGATAATGATTAATGGTCCCGGGGATGGAGAGGTTGTCATGGTCGTGAAGAGAGTGTCACTTTCCCAGGAGTGGATAAGGGGGTGGTGGGGGGTTCGACAGTAGGAGCCCCCTGACTGTTGTGGAAGAGGTGGTTGATGTAAACAAGATCTAAAGAAAAGCACTTACCTCTGTCGATGTTGTCCGCAAGGCGCTCCAGTCGATACGGGGCAGTAAGTTGACTAACAACTGCGGGTTGAGTTCGACATCATCACTGACAAGTTCCGCATCCTTGGGGTGAAGGGGGAACGAGTCAGACGAGGACTTGCAGGCCTTAACGGCACACGTCAAGAAATTCAATGTGAGGACCTTCATTTTTGGCAATTTGCTGGTTTCATGTCGGGAAAATCGGTTCTTTAAAATGGATTGGATATTTTTGGGGTTGTCACTGTTGGAAAAAATGGTGATGCTTGAAACGGGGCCACTTGCATCTAAGCGAGTACGAAAGATGAGCTCAACTATATTGGGCTCAACACACACATCATACACCGGTCCAAAATAGGTAGTACCACAAGAATAATTCAATCCCTCAATATGTCTTCAACATTTCACAGCTTATGCGTTGGCCTTCTCATAGCCGGCGCCGTTCCGGCCACGCGAGAACCGCAGCCATGCCACAATCACCGCCACCACGATACCGACGAGAGCCACCTTGACCAGAAAAGGCCAGTCGTCGCCAGACTCATCTGCAGGAGCGGGCTTGTTTCCAGCGGGAGGGGCGATCGGTCCATCTTCAGGGGCATCGATGCCTGTACAAAACGGTAACAACAAAGAACCAACGATCAGTACATCACCTCTCAGAAATAGGGGGATGCATCATGGGGAAGTCTGCAGACGAGATTTGATTGGAAGGAAAGAGAGAGGCAAGTTCATAAATGTGCAGTGTGTATCTTATTGTATATCCACAGTGGTGTCAAGGGAGACGGGGAGTTTTGGCACACATATCAAAGGAGAGCATCCTAGAGCTCCACGTGAATACCTTCAGGGGGGACCTCCAACTCGCCGCTCTTGGCAATCTTGACCGTCTTAAGCGGCTTGTCGCCCGGGGCAGTCTCGACCTGCTCGATCTTCTCCACGACGTCGTAGCCCTCGAGGACCTCGCCGAAGACGACGTGGCGGCCATCGAGCCAACTATTTATCCGTTGATGTCAGCACATTCGTATCTGAAAAGGTTCGTAACGCAATATCGGTTGGCGACTCACGAGGTAACGACAGTGGTGATGAAGAACTGCGAGCCGTTGGTGTCCTTGCCGGCGTTGGCCATGGAAAGGATACCCTTCTTGGTGTGCTTGAGCTTGAAGTTCTCATCGGCGAACTTGTCACCGTAGACTGCAGCCATGAATGTCAGCAATCATCCAGATAAACAATTGTCTTTGAACTTGTCTTGGAAATCCCCGAATTATCACGTACTCGACTTGCCACCGGTGCCGTCGCCCTTGGTAAAATCACCACCCTGGATCATGAACTGCTTGATCACGCGGTGGAAGGTCGAGCCCTCGTAGCCGAAGCCCTTCTCACCGGTGGCCAGGGCACGGAAGTTCTCGGCCGTCTCGGGGACAGTCTTGCCGTAGAGACCCATCACAACGCGGCCAAGGGGCTCGTCGCCATGCTGAATGTCGAAGAAAACCTTGTGGGTGATCTTGGGGCCTTTCGCGGCCTCGGCGGGCTGGGCGAACATCAGAGCCGCGCCGGCCATAACCGAAGCGGCGACAAAGAGGCGCTTGAAGCTGAGCATCTTGGCGGTTTGATGCGTTTGGAACAGGAGTTGACGGATGGAAGGAAAGAATATGGTGATAAATCCAAGTCAATTGGATGGTTTGAAGGACGGGGAGCCGGGAAAATAAGTTAAAGCTCACGCCGACGGTTGTTTGTTGAAGCTACGTTTCAACTTGACATGGAGGCAAGGATCCATCCATTAAGGAAGCTTCCAACCCCCGGCTTTCCTGGGCGGGAGGGTGGCCACCAGGGGCTTTGCAGTGGCCCAGCGGCTCTAGGCGGGCTGTTGCGGGGCCAAAAGAACATGCACAGTGATGCGACGCCTGAAGGGGTAAGGCGCCGCTTCCCGTTCCGCTTCGAGATTGTGGACGCTGCACCCACACCAAACCGTTGCTTTAGGTAAAGTCCGTCGTCAGCCTCCGGAATACAGGAACCGAGTTGGCGAGAGCAACACCCTTTCGGCTTGCAACGTCATCTTTTGAACGGCATTAACAACAGCCTCCGGCTTCCATAACCCAACGCTTTCCGTGCGGACGGTGCCTGGCGCGATGCCCAGCTGCTGGCTTGCTAATGCGACCAGCCGGCTAAAGAACGCGATCAACCACTACAAAGGATGATGTCCTCTACAAACGAGGAGGACCCGTTCCTCCAGGTGCAGCAGTATGTTGCTCCCCTGTGCTTTGCTAGAATTCTTGCGTTCTGAATTCTTCTAACCTACTCTTCCACAGAGATGTCCTCACCCAACTACAAACCGCCCGCTCCCTCTTCACCTCCTACCTACGCATCCGTTCCCTGACCACCTCACCCACCTCTCCCGAACTCACCTCGGCCCGCACCGACCTCGAAGCCTCCCTCGCGACGCTCGCCGAAGACCTTGCCGATCTCGTCGAGTCCGTCAAAGCCGTCGAGTCTAACCCGGCCCAGTATGGCATTTCCCCCACCGAAATGGGCCGCCGCAAGCGCCTCGTCCAGGAAGTCGGCGGCGAGGTGGATGACATGCACGAGGAGCTCGCCAAAGCCTCTGGGAGTTCCAGCAGAAAGGGGCGGCCAGGCGCAAGGGGAGGGGCTGGGAGCGACCTTCCCGACCCATCAGCCTTTGCGATCCCGGACGGTGAAACCGACGCCAACAATTCCAACCCTGACTACGCTGCCGAATTTGAGCTTGAGCAGCAGGAGGTGATGATGCGTGAGCAGGACCAGCACTTGGATGGGGTGTTACAGACCGTAGGAAATATCCGGCGGCAGGCGGACGACATGGGCCGTGAGCTAGAAGAGCAGGTCGAAATGCTGGATCACACGGAGCGGCTGGTAGAAAGTCTTGGCGGGAGGCTGCAGATGGGTATGGACAAGCTCAAGTATGTTGCGCGGCGAAGTGAAGACAAGTGGAGCAGCTGTTGTATTGGGGTTTTGATCGTTGTGTTGTTAATCCTGCTGGTTTTGCTGTTGATATTATAATGCGTGCGGTAACAGGATGGATGGCCGGGCGGTGGGTGGTGAGTGCTGCGAGCAGAATCATGGCTTCGGCAATTTCCTTTTGCGATGATCGGGTTGTACGATTTTGATACTGGGACCTACATAGCAAGGGTTGCCGCGAACGGGCGTCTAGGTTGTGTCGGTTTATCGTCTTTTTTTCAGTATGTTTTGGGTATCTACATAGAACCGGGCCAATATATGCGGTGATGCGGCAAAATGCCACTCACATCCGCCGACCCAGTGTGGCCATCCTCAACAGGTACTCAAACGACTAAACCCTGACCCTCCCTTCGGAGCCAGAAACGAAAGATCGATGCCATGTCCCTGCCCTTTCCCTCGGGAATGCCCAGACCTCCCCATCTGTGGAGCTATCTATCCAAGAACTAACCCGGTGTCCCTACGTAGCACCTGGGCTAACACCTCTAACGAATTTGCCGCAGCCGACTTCTGCGGTGCTCGAGCTGGGAACTCGACCAGCGCCGCGCGCAGAGCCGGGATAGCCGCTGACCCGTAAAACTCGATAAACTTCTGCTCATAGCCGCTCACCATCGCCTTCAACACGACACACTGCGTGTTGGATATTTCCGCCGCTGGCGTGTTGACGATTCGCGCCATGGCCGTCCAGTATTCGCGAGGCGGGTATGGGTTGGTTTTGGCGGAGAGGGCAAAGTTGCGCAGCGAGATAGCCGCAAAGCCCGCCCCTAACCCAGTCATGCGGTCCATGTGTTGTTGTTCAGGCACCCACCGACCGCTGTCCTTCCACCAACCAAGCCTTTCCCTCCCCTGTTCCGTCTTTTCGCTCCCTCGATACCCGAAAAGTACCGGGCAAACAATCCTGAGCTTGGCGAGCAGAATGTCAATCAGCGACACGCCGCGCCAGAGGAAGGCCGGGTCGGAGAGCGTTGCAGCAACACACACGCCAACAGGGTCGGCGGTCTCAGGCCGAGCACCCGCCTCGTTGATGAATTGGGAAATGACCGCTTTCGCAAAGATGTTGATCAGATAAAGAAATATTGATGGGAGAATGGGGTCGTTGTGTGTGGCGCCTTCAACCGGGTTTCTCGGTTCCACAACGAAGTTGCTCGGATCTATTAGCTGCGACTGCACTTGGTTCGAAAGTGCCTCGCGTAGGAGTTTTAGGATGGTTTGTTGCTGGAGCACGATAGAAGGACAACAGTCAGTTCAACGTCCTCAGTCAGAGCCTGGGATGAAAATATCGTACCTGTGTCTTATTCACACCCGCGACACCTTGGGTAACAGTGAGCTGTCCCACTGATTTCCTGATTTCTCGTCGCATGTCGCCCATTCTGCTCTTGAGCGCCGGGTTTGCTTTCGCCTGATCTGTCAGGGACTTTCGTAGCATCTTGAGGTTCTTGTGAATTGTAGTATATCTATCGGGAAGTGGTTGGGCTGGGGGAGGTGCGGCTGAGCGCGAGGTCCCCGGGGCGTTTGTCAAGCCGTTGGTCGGCGCCGGGGCACTGTTGAGAAGGCCGTTGATGCCGAGTACAGAGTTCGCTGGTTTCGCCGGCCCTGGTGCCTTGGTCGGAGCTGCCGGGGAATGAGGTTGTGTGGACTGCGCTGGTACAGGAGGCGACAATGGTTTGGGTGCGGTAACGCCCGGGGTCACAGTGGCTGCCGCATTGGCTGCTGTCCCGTTCACCAGGTTTTGAGGGAGTTTGTTCTGGGCCGGAGACGCAGCAGAATTCCCATTGACTGCTGGCGCAGAGGACGGTTCGGGTTCCGGTAACGGCCGGGGGATCTCAACTTTCTTCGCCTTGAGCGCGTTCAGCCTCGCGCGGTCTGCAGCGAGCTGCTCCTCGAGTCGGATCCGCTCCTCCTCCTTGCGGCGCGCATCAAGAATCCGTTGCTGTTCCTCCCTCTTTAGCTGCTCCTGGTACACTCGCTCGGCTTCCTCTCTGACTCGTGCATGTTCTTGTTTTGCTGCTTCAAGAAGATATGTGTGTCGCGCTTCTGAGTTCCTGTCACCGCCGAGAATTTCGTCGAGAACGTTCGTTGGTGGGCTCCCTACCCAGCTATAGCTTCTCCGGGAGGGCGAAGGGGACGCGCGTGTCATTCTCGAAGCGAATGATTTTCAAGTTTAAGGGCGTGGTGTTGCGGCCATGTTCTTCTTTGGATATTTGCCAAGCGCGGTTGGGGAGTGAATCGCGAACACCAACCAGCCAGCCCGTTTGTTAATTCGATGGGGCGCAGTGGCTGGGATCACCCTCGGGCGTGTATCGGCTGATCAGCCGCGCTTGCAGGTTGCCAATGCCGGATGGAGTTGGAGCTCTTCCCACTGGTGTTAAGGGTCCAAGCAACCCTAACCCTTTCCTGGATTCGAACAGTGTGCCACCGTGCGTGTGTGCGTAATCAGGAGGTGGCCCAAGGTGTTCCACCCCTCGGTTAAACATGAGGTTACGAAACTCGAAGAGAACGCCTTCGGGCAGCGAGCCAAGAGAAAACATTAATATTGCTTCAAGTCTGTTTGCGACCTCGGGTTGTCTGCCTTTTGGAATTGTGTTCCGCCGCGCCGCGAGGTTGCGAAAAAAATAGCAAGACAAAATCGGGCGGGAACCAAAGACGCAACCCCTGATCTCGTTTTCCTTCATCCCTTGCTTTTTGCTTTTACAAGGGGAGAAAACACAGTAGTTATCCGCACCTTGAATCTGCCCCATTTTGTAGTGTCCGAAGTCCTCGAACGAGGGATCTTTTTTGTCACCTTCGGGAAAAACTCGTGTCCATTTGACCGACATTCCGTGCGTCTTGGGAACTGGACCGAATGTTCAAGAATACGTAGCCTGAAGCAAGACGTTTCTCCGATCTATGGTGTACGGTGTGCACGCAAATTCGGGGGCTGCAGTCGAGATGACATCGACGCCTCTACGCCGGTTTTATTTTTGGTTTGCGCCTTCAACAATGTGCCGCAGGAACATGAGTTCCAGGTCAGATTCACATGTACCACTTAGCCCCCACCACCTCACGCGCCTCCCAGAACTGCATCCTCACCGTTTTTGCGCCGGTACACGAGAAATCCATTTTGCAGTTTCGGCGTGTGTTGACGGAAGGGCGACCTCCTCCTGATCGTCTGGGATCCATTTTACGGTGGTGTCTTGTGGACACTGGACCCTGATGCCCCGCCGCCACGACAATGGGGGTGTTGGAAATGTCTCGCATTGCAAAGGGCCACCTCCCGCCTCTCAAGGCTGCCCCGTGTCGAGAAGGGAGGAAACGGTCAGAATCAACAGTTGGGAACGTCCAATGCTGGGGATGTTGGCGCGCCTATCTCTCCTGAATTGGTCAACCTGGAGAGTCAAACCTTCAATGATCCCGAAAACAGCGTAGCCTGAGCAAGCCGCCCGTATCTGCAAGACTGTGATGGGAGGAGTGACAAGGAGGGAGGTAGGGGCTTAGTGAGTGTTCTTGGCAAAGTGCACGTCCAAGTTTCCCCACCTCCCAGGCTCTTGTGTCCCAGCTCCGTTTGGATTCGCAGCTCGATGCGGGAACTGCCCCACCTTCTAGTCCATTTCCGTAGCAGCATCCTTGAGCAGAGCTGGGCTTGCTGGGCTCCTGACAGACAGCCGTTGCTTGGGGCACTGGCAGACTGGGCACGGAGCATCAGGCCTGGAGCCTTCTTCGTCGACATCATACAGGACTGAACGAGTTCCTCCTCCTCACCTCACTCGCACCCTCCTTCAACCCATATCCCCTCCCTCTGCCATTCGGCATCCACCCCCCTTTCCAGAACGCCCGTCCATCTCTCTCGACACTCCCTCTTGGTTTTTTTCCATCTTTCATTAACCTCCGTACTTGGGCTTGAATTTGTACAGCTCCTTGAAATTGTTGGCAGCCACGCCTCCGCAAATCCACAACAATATCGCCCGCCAAAACACCACAGCAACAGAAATCACAAGAATTTCCCCGTCCGGCAGACAGCCATCCAACTCCCGTCCACTGCTGCCCGCAACAAACGCACCCGGTGACACAACCCGTTTCGCACTCGACGTGCATCTATCGAACCCTCGATTCGGTCGACCGATCGACCTGCTCTGCTCGCTTTCCCATCGCTCGCGAACACCGCCGCCATGGATCAGCAGCAGCAACAACAACATCAACAGCAGCCTCAGCCTGGAGGCGTCCCCGGCCCCACCGGCCGCCGGCTGCACATTGCCCATCGCCGAAGCCCGTCCGAGCTGACCCCATTGATGAGCATGTTTGCGAACCCAGGCAGTAAGTCAACATTTCTCCTTATTGGTGTCCGCTGGCGATCCCCTATTGCCCTGCGGCCCGTCTCAGACATCGCGCAGTGGTTGGACTCGAGCCTCGTACCACCATAACACTCTTCCCTCTTTCATGCGAAGTTAGAGAAAGTAAATAAAGGGGCCAGCGAGAGAGCAATGGCTAACCTAGGCGTGTCTTTCTTCGTACAGTGGAGCAGCTGGCGATCCAGCAACAGATCGACCTGTTACAGCAACAGCAGCAGCAGCTTCAAGCTACCTACCAGCAGATGAGCATGCTGCCCGGTCAGCCTCTCGGCGCCGGCGGTTATAACCCGCTTCAGGCCGGCATCCCCAACATGTCGCCTCAAGCCGGCTTCCAATTTCCGACCCCGCTCCAACAGCAGAATGTGAACCTGGCCCCGCCAACACAGCCGCTGTCACATCGCCGTAATCAGTCGGCTATTCCCAACATGGGCATCGGCCCCCCACCCGCACCTTCGTCTGGTGCTTCTGGATCTGCCTTTGGCAGCTTTGAACACACCCAGGGTAGAGACAATGGCGGCGGTCGCGGCGGCCGAGGTGGTGGTCCTCCGAGTGGTGGTGGCCACCAGAGGCGTCACTCCTTGGCGCTAGCCGACGCCAAAAAGGCCGCCGAGATTGCCCAGCAGAAGCGTACCACGTCCGCGTTTCAATTCCCCGCGCCGGGTGCCTTGAGCTCCGCCGAAAGACCGGAGGACGAGGCAAACGCCGCAAACCCCGTCCCGCCCGTCGCGGAGAACCAGGCTCCGGCCCCGGCTTTCCGTGGCGGCCGCGGTGGTCATGGACGAAGCCAAAGCATGGCTATTGGTGCGAATGGTCGAGGTGGTCTCGGTGGCGGTGACTTCCCGCGTCGTGGCGGCGGTGGCGGCCACGCTCGGACTGGGTCTCGCAACTTCGACAGCAACTGGCGCACGCAGGGCCAAAACCAAAACCAGGATCAGACTGGCAGCGCTCCTCAGAGCCAGGGCTTCCAACCGGGCCATCGCAGCCGCAACTCTGTCAGCCACCAGTCGATCTCGAACATCGGGGCCTTCCAATATGCCGGTCAGCCTCAGCTAATGCAGCTGCCCGGCCAGATGATGATCCCCAATCTCTACGCTGGACAGCAGCTAAACCCTATGCAGCTCAACCAGCTGCAAGCTCTCCAAATGATGAACGGCCAGCACCTGACCGGCCTTCAGGCGAGCCAACACGCTCCTCAGATGGGTGGCCAGCAGCCCCAACAGCAGCAACAGCAGCAGCAGCAACAGCAGCAGCAGCAGCGCAAGACTCTTTTCACTCCTTATTTGCCGCAGGCGACGCTGCCCGCCCTGCTAGGCGATGGGCAGCTCGTTTCTGGTGTTCTCCGTGTGAACAAGAAGAACCGTAGTGACGCCTACGTTTCCACCCAAGACGGCCTTCTTGATGCCGACATCTTTATTTGCGGTAGCAAAGACCGGAACCGTGCCCTCGAAGGCGACCTCGTTGCGGTCGAATTGCTCGACGTCGATGAGGTTTGGTCTCAGAAGCGTGAGAAGGAGGAGAAGAAGAAGCGCAAGGATATCACCGACACCCGCTCGGGATCCACCGCCGGTAACAACCAGTCCGGCGGGAACGGCGATGATAACGGCGGGGGTGATGGTAGCATTCGTCGCCGCGGCAGTCTCAGGCAGCGGCCTACTCAAAAGAAGAATGATGACGTGGAGGTTGAAGGTCAGAGTCTGCTTCTCGTGGAGGAAGAGGAGATTAGCGACGAGCAGAAGCCCCTCTATGCCGGCCACATTGTGGCCGTCATTGAACGTGTTGCTGGTCAGATGTTCTCCGGAACCTTGGGCCTACTCCGGCCCAGCAGCCAGGCGACCAAGGAGAAGCAGGAGGCTGAGCGGGCCGCGCGGGATGGGAGCATGTCGCGGCACCATGACTCGCGGGCTCAGGAGAAACCCAAGATTGTGTGGTTCAAGCCGACCGACAAGCGTGTTCCCCTGATCGCTATCCCTACCGAGCAGGCCCCTCGTGACTTTGTGGAGAAGCACCAAGACTATGCCGACCAGATTTTCGTGGCCTGCATCAAGCGCTGGCCCATTACTTCGCTCCACCCGTTTGGAACCCTGGTTGAGAAGCTCGGCAAGATGGGCGACTTGAAGGTCGAGACAGACGCCCTCCTCCGAGACAACAACTTCTCGTCGGACGAATTCGCCGACGCTGTGTTACGCAGCGTAGGCGTCCAAGACTGGACGATTGCTAAAGAAGACGAGGCCGCCATTGCCGCCCGTCGGGACTTCCGTGATGAGAAGGTCTTTACCCTTGACCTGAACGGTTCCCCCGAACTTGGCAATGGTGTTCACGTCAAGACACTGCCTGATGGTAAAATTGAAATCGGCATCCACGTCCCGGATGTTACTCACTTCGTCAAGCCCAACTCGCTCCTGGACCGCGAGGCCAAGAAGCGCGGCACTGCCGTCCAACTCGTCAATCGATTTTGCGCTCTACTCCCGCCCAAGGTGTCAGGTGAGGTTTGCTCGCTCACGCCGAACCAGGACAGGCTCACCGTCAGTGTTGTTTTCCATGCGCACGCTCACACCGGTGCGGTTACGGAAGGCGATATCTGGATCGGGAAGGGTATAGTCAAGAGCGGCGGCAGGCTCTCGCTCTCACAGTTGGATGAGGCCATCTCTGGCGATGGCTCATTCTCCCACCAGGCGGTCGAAGGCGGGGACATTTTAGAACTTCACCGACTAACGCAGAAGTTCCGCGAGGCACGCCTGGGCGACGGCAGTGAGCCTATCGCTCCTCTCCGCCTGCTCCAGCAGCTGGATGATGAGAATATCCCCGTCAAGCACAACGTCTTCGACACGACATCAGCCACCGAACTCGTCGAGGAGCTTATGCACAAGGCCAACACCTACGTTGCGCAGCGTGTGGCCCAGGCCCTGCCCGAGAAGGCTCTTCTTCGCAGGCATTCGCCCCCCAGCCCACGCCGTCTGCAGACCTTTGTGGAGCGCATGACTGCCCTTGGCTATGAAATTGACTCGACGAGCAGCGGAACGCTCCAGAATAGTCTGTTCCGCGTCGACGACGACGAGATCAGGAAGGGCATGGAGACGCTGTTGCTCAAGTCGATGCAACGTGCCAAGTACTTCATCGGAGGCAAGACAGCGAAGCACCTCTGGGCTCATTACTCTCTTAACTTGCCACTCTACACTCACTTCACGAGCCCGACCCGTCGCTACGCGGATATTCTTGTCCACCGCCAGCTTGAGGCGGCCCTCTCGGAAGGCAAGATTGAGTACAACGAGGAGCTGGAGAACCTCATCAAGACTGTCGAAGCGTGCAACACGAAGAAAGATTCGGCTCAGAACGCCCAGGAGCAGAGCGTTCACATCGAGGCGTGCCGTGCGATGGACAAGAAGCGCCAGGAAGCGAACGGTGACCTGATCAGCGAGGGTATTGTGGTCTGCGTTTACGAGTCGGCGTTTGACGTTCTCATCCCTGAGTGGGGCTTTGAGAAGCGTGTCCATTGTGACCAGCTGCCGCTAAAGAAAGCCGAGTTCCGCAAGGAGAAGCGGGTTCTGGAGCTTTACTGGGAAAAGGGCGTGCCCAGCTCGGCCTACGTCCCCGAAGACGAGCGGCCCAAGGCTGCGATGTCCCAGCGCTACACCAACGCGATGGCTGCCGCCCGCCAGGCTGAGGAAGCGGAGCGCGCCAAGAAGGAGCGTGAGGAGGCCGCAAGGAAGCAGACCGAGACGGGTACCATGTCAACTGATGCCGTCGAGGCCCTCTTTGACGACGACGAAGAAAACGCGTCTGACAATGCGTCGGATGTTACGGAGGCAATGGCCGGTGCATCTCTAGCGGAGCGCCCGACTCAGAGTGTCCCCGGCTCGCCGACTCGTTCCTCGGCCGACGCTGCCAGCGCTCTCCACCGCACCCGCTCCGATTCCAAGGTGCCGGCAGCCGATGCGCCCGAGACGCGCCTCACCAACAAGGAGAAGTACCTGAGCCTGTTCAAGCTCCGCGAGGAGGGTGGGGACTACATCCAGGATGTAACGGAGATGACGCGGGTCCCAGTCATTCTTAAGACGGATCTGAGCAAGAGCCCGCCGTAAGTTCTTTTTTGACTCCTGTCTTGGAGACTCTCAACAGCTAGTGGTACAGATTAAGCTAACAGATACGATAGATGCCTCACCATCCGGTCCTTGAACCCTTACGCTCTGTAATTAGTCAGAGTACAAGTAGTAGTGGGGGCATTGACACGAGGAGCCACCGCTTGATCAAGCTTTACGCAGCGGTAATTGCCTAATCTTTTATGTGGATATCAGGGCATGGAAGATACGTGAAGGAGGAATGGGGGGAGATGACAACCAAAACCTGCAGCTTGTTTTTGTTGGTGAGACGGTAGTAGTCCCATTCCATGATGCATGTTGCTTGGGGGTTGTCAAAGAAATGGCGGGGAGACGAGCAAGTAAGTCAACGAAGGGACCTTGAGAGTCAAGGCGGAGAATGAATGAAAGATAGGAGGCAAAAGATGAAGGAGGAGGAGAAGTGAGGGAGGGTGAGGTGGAAGAGGCAGAGAACACATAAGGCAACCATCTAATATTGTTGAAATAAACATTGTTTCTTGCATCGAATCATGTCCTATCCGATCGGACCCATGTGTCTGTCGGGCATCGGGAGTTTGAGCCTGTGAGATTGATGGACGGTATAAAGGGGGAGTGGGGTGGATTTGTAGCCGGGTGGTAGTCGGGGCCGGTTTCATAAATGTGAAAAAGGTAGTGAGCTTCCACAATGGCTTCTTCTTGTGTGAGTGCGAGAGCTTTCGGCATAATAGAACGGTGGATGTGGGTTGCTTCAGACTTGCCGGATCCCCGGGTCGTCTTCCGAATGTCCATGGAGGTGGTGAAGTCGGACACTGTTAACTCTCTTCCCGTCCCCCTTTTCCCTCAATTCTTGTTTTCGGATTCCTGTTGTTCCGTTTGTCGCTCCCATTTTTGGTGGAAAGCTCCTCTAGGCTATTACCCTGTTTATCATCTCCTTCCTCCACTGAAAACCTACATGATCCTAGTTATTGTGTTATTTCCATTGACCAGTTTCCGCTTAAATCTCATGAAGTGCTTTGAGTTCTCGATGGCTAGACTCGGCCATGGTTGCCGGTAGACAAAGAAGTACTTTTGCCAAAACGGGAGGGGTAATGGCCTCTTAGGGATCTAGCTTCACTAACGTAGTGTTATTATTATTCTTGTTATTTTCATTTCCGCAAGCGTGGTCCCGTTTCCTCGGCCCTGATGGGCGGGGTTTGAGGAAACGATGAATCTCACCCGCACGAGACTTACGTGCTTACTTACATAGCACAGCGGCTTCAACTCCCCGCCTAGTCAAAAGGTGAGATTTCAACGCCCGGCTTCCATTCTCCTCGAGGAGGAAACAAAGACCGCCGTTCAGTGTAGCAAATATCGTACGATATGGAAGACGCAATGTTGCTAATCCCGGACACAGACATAAACTGGCACGTTGGATTGCGAATATTGCCCGCACCGGCAGGATCACAGATCGCCCCAAGGGTTGCTGCGCGGCCATTCTTCTGTCCGAGTCGTGCTCGGGTGTGGTGGTGCCGGGGAGGCAATGGTGATCCCGGTCCGCACGGCCGTTTCTCTGTCAAACTATCGCCTCTTTCGCAAACTATCACACTATCCAACCGACTAGGCGTTGTGGGAGCAAGGACTTAGCCGGGACCCGAAAGCTTGATCCAGTTGTCAGACTCCTGGTGGCCAAACCGTAACTATCCTTTGTCACTAACCGCCGAAGTTGGTACTTGGTAGACAACGTGCCGGTGAAGTAAAATCAGTACCGTGGACAACCAACATTATCGTTCTCACTAAACTGCAACATAGGCAGACGGCCTAAAAAGCATAACCGGAAGCAAATTGCAGCTGTCACAGACGCGCCCGCAGACAGTCATCACCCCTCGGTTTTGATGTGGTCCGTCTGATTGAAACAAGTCTGAGACGAGCATCGTGGGCGCCACTGTCGCAAATCCTCGAAGCGTGGGAGCCGTGCACCCGTCCGGCCTTGGCGTTCGCCCCCTCGGCCCCTTCTAGCCAATCAAGGCCGTTATGGCCGACCCACAGATCAAAACCCCCAACTTGTTCCCTGCACACGGCCGTTGGGATGCCAGGTGCCGAGCAGGGATGCGAATAACTTCGTCCCAACTTTAAACATGTCCCGCATCAGCCTGATTGGCTCACTTCAGCCGCACGCCGGCCCTCTCGCAACCGCGCAGGGGTCATCCGGGCCTCCTATCACGGCGCCTGCAGCAAGGAGGTAGCCTCGATATCTTCCTACTGCAGGAACAGGAGGGTAGTAAGGAAAGAAACGAAACATGACGAAAGACCCTGGGTCCTCCTTGCCATCCGAAGTCGATCTTGGCAGCGTCCTTGATCTCGTCGGGGGTGCCTAAGGTGGCCCCGACCGGAAACTCGAGCTTTCGAAGGCGACATCGTCCGGCCCGGGCGTTCTGGACGTTGCCCTGAGCGTTCTCTCAGGGTCAACCGCCCCGGCAACTCGCCGTCCCCGCCCAGCATTGCCCTAGCCGGTTGGATGTTTCTAATCCCGTGTCCCTTGTTTGGCCTTCCATCCGGAGAGAAGGGGAGGGGAGGGGGGAGGTTGGATGGTGTGACGCGGGTCCCGGAACTGTCAGCAGCCGCCGGTCATGAAGAGAGGCGATCATGTCTGGCCTTTGGGTTATTCAAGGGCCTGTTTCCCACTTACACACCGGGGTTTCGCCTCTTTTTCTTCTTCTTTCCTTTCTCATCCCACGCCTCCGATCTTGTTCGTTTCTCTCGCCCCAAAGCGCTGGTCTGCTTTCACTCTCCTTCAAGCAGCGCAGTCTGTCTCTCTTTCAATCCCTTCCACTCCAGCACATGCTGTACTAGCTTCTTAATATTTTGTAATACCTCAGGCAGGCCTTCAATTCTACAGCCAGGCTAGACTTGCATCTTTCATCCAACGTCCAGTTCGCTTTGGACGACTCAGGAGTTTCAAAACGCAGAATACCTACAAACACGAGCCGAACTAGATTATAATCGACGCGCACCAAGGACGAGATGCCTTCCTTCACGAAGACCTTTGGAGTTGTTGTGGCCGGGCTGGCGGCCGTCTCTTCAGCACTACCGGCAGTTCCAAAACTGAGCCGGTCCCAGATGAGGATGTACCACAACGCAAAGCGTCAAAACGCAGCGGCCGCAGCACTGGGCCTCAACGATGTTGACATCCTGCAATTGTAAGAACGCCGCGCGCTACGAGTTGGGAAAGCGAAGAGGATACGAAGATACTAACCTTGGAATGATAGCGCCCTGACTTTGGAGTGGCTGGAAGCGACCTTCTACCAGCAGGGCTTTGCCCAGTTCCCAGCAACCGATTTCCAAGCACTCGGCCTCCAGCAGCAGGACATCGACGCCCTCACCAAGATCGGCAAGACAGAAGAGGAACACGTCAGCCTCCTCCAAAGCGCCATCGCCCAAGCCGGTGTCCAGCCCGTCCAGCCATGCACCTACAACTTCGGCTTCACCGACGCCGCAGGCATGGTCGCGACCGCGGCCGTCCTCGAGAACGTGGGCGTTTCCGCCTACCTCGGCGCAGCCTCCCTCATCTCCGACGGCTCCATACTCACCACAGCCGGTTCCATCCTCACCGTCGAAGCCCGCCACCAAACCTTCATCCGCGCCGCCTCCAGCGCCGTCCCCGTTCCCCAAGCCTTCGACACCCCGCTCTCCCCCAAACAAGTCTTCTCCCTCGCGGCCCCCTTCATCACCAGCTGCCCCGAAGGCTCCAACCTCATCCTGACCGCCTTCCCTACCTTGACCATGGCCGCCGGCGCCTCTGCCCAGGCCGTCGCGGCCGGTGCTACGGTGCAGTTGCAAAGTGAGGTTGCGTCGACGGCTACGCACTGCGCTTTTACTACGGGTGGGCTGCCGGGTGGAACGGCGTTCACGCCCTTTGACCAGGCTAATGGGTGTGAGGTGCCCCAGAACTTGGCGGGTGTCACGTATGTTAACTTGGCGAGCGCCGGGCCGCTGACGGGGGCGCTTACGGACGATATCATTGTGGCTGGGCCCATGGTGATGCAGGTTTCGTAAGCCTTGCTCCCGTTTGGGTTTTTTCTTTTTTTTTCTTTTTTTTTTGAGGGAGGGGGCTGGAGGTTGTGGGTTTGTCTTGTCTGGGTACTGTGGTGGATGGGATGGGGCCGGCTAGGGCAGGTTTATGCCGTCGTTTAAAAGCAGACGATCCCACCGGCGAGTGCTCGTCCTTTGTGGGTGGGTATGTGTTGTGTTATCAGACGCCAGACAAGACAGGTTAAAATACGCCACACAACACAAGCTTACTTTCTTCCCCCTTTTATATCCCTTTTTATTTCTTTGAAACTTGCTGTTTGTACATAATCCGGTCCATCTTCGGTGGCTGGGTAATTCGGTGTTGTGGTGTTGTTTTTCCTTTCTCGTCAGCGTGGCTGAGACTCGCTGTTTTCTTAACGTATTTATTTTCTCTTTTATCTTTTCATTATTTTTCTGAGGATCCACGAGAGTGGTTGATGGTGTAGATACCCGTCTAAGTCTGAGAGCTTAGGAGGAGGAAAACTAGGGTTGTTGTTACAGTACTCTAGACGGTAAATTGTCAAACGAAAAACTATCTTATCGTCCGTCCTTATCTCTATTTGACCCGCTCCATAGAAAACAATCGTGCATGTTAGGTGGAGAGGCTACTCCCCCTGGTGTTGAACGGTCCCACTGAGTGGACGTCCCTCAACACATACAAAATGCCCACGGCCCGCGAGTAGCTAGCCATAGTCACTGTAGACACTACTAGGGGGTATGAGAGTGGGGTACTTGGTTACATAGTAGGTTCAAATTCGATGACAACAGGACCAACGTAACCCTCGTGGGACAAAGAAAAGATAGTAATAAGGCATGGCGAAGAGAGTATTTCCATCCCCACTCTGCTTCTCCGGATGTTACCTCCCATCCTGTCCAATCCATCCTTGGAGGTACGGCCTTGTTACCCCGGATCAAGAAAGTGACACAGCGGAGGGGGTTTGAGGCGAGACCGTGAGATGAAGGGAAGAAACGTGGGGAAAGGGAAGTAGGCCGTGGCATGTGTGGGAGACTCAAGCAGTGGGAGAGTGGACCGTAGAGTATTGGGGGCGTGGCGGTGGGAAGAAACGTGCCGTCCAGAGTGTGCAGCTTGCGGCCCGACTCCTGCCCACAGGCTTGCCCAGGACCAGGTGGTTTTGGGGTCTCCTTCTTGACCGTGAATGGGCTGTGAGTCTGTATCGGGAGGAAATACTACTAATGGTATCACAGAACGACCTTGACGAGGGACAGGAGAAGAGAACCCAGCATTTACGTGCATGTGGTCACTGTAGTCGGTAGCTCGACCTCCTTGTCTTGTCGCTTCTTGTCTTCCCCATCCCGTCTTCCTCGGGCCTAGTTCTACACAGCACAGCAGTCTTACATCCGGCCGGCGAGCGGGCTGACCTCCACGGACATGGAAGCAGCATACAGCATTTCCGTTATTTCCGTCCTCTGTAGCTCTCGGTAGTCGGTATGTAACCACAATCTAGTTGGTTATCGCGAGCCGGCCGGGGGCAGAAGACGACAGAGATAAGTGCGTCCGTGGCGATAGGGCGATAGGGCGATAGGATCGGATAGCGAGGCGATGCGGATCGAAGATAACGGGTAAGTTGAGTTGTCACGGGTCGATGGCAGGGGGCTGCGGGTGGAAGCGGACACACACATGCCGACGAGGGAGGAATACTTAAAGTCGTGATGATTCCCATGTTGTTGCTTGCTTGCTCTTGTCGGTGTTGTTGTCTTTTTCGTTGTTTTTTGTCACTTTCCCCCCAGAGTTTCCCATGCTGGGCTGGGAGGGACCCTGCCCCACTCGGCACTCTTTTGACCGAAGGGGTTTTTTTCTCGGGTTACATTGACTCCACGACCCCGAACCGAAGCGTTGGGTGCCGCACCAGAATATCTGCACGGCATGCAAATTCGATCCTTGGCCCACGTCTTTATCACATGCCTTCACAGCAACCTCCATGGCTGACGTTCGACACAATTGTTGACATTTTCGTCGTCGTCAACGCTCGAGGAGAGCAGAGCCATGGGGTAAGGTGAAGGACGAGCGGGACGTGGAGCGAAGGAGGACAAGAGAGGGGAAGACAGGTGTGTGACAGACAGTGAAGAGGCACAGAGGCAACGAAACATCGAGACAGCAATGCTTCCGCGGAGGCAACAAAGACGTGTCCTGAAGGAGAGATGGACATGTCGATCTGACGACTCGGAGCGAAGGAGACAACGGACCGAATCGGGCCACCTATCACCAAGACACCGGCCAATGCATTACCAGTTGTGTTTAGCAACTCAAGATAAGCGAAGCGCTGAAGTGGAGGATCGGGAGGAAGAGGAGTGGTTCACCCACCACTGCCCACGCCCGGCACCTTTGAGGGGTTTCCAGTGGGAACACGGGAGGTGCTGGGGGTGCCTTGCGCCCACTTACCCAAAGCGGAAGGATCCGGGGGCGAAACTGAGTGGGCGGCCACTGCTGAGCGCCTTGAAGGGCAGCGAAGTCGGAGCCAAGGCGAAAACAAACCGGGTGCTCACACCAAAGGCTAGTCATAGAATTGACGGACTTGCGGGTGTCCCCCCCATTCAACCCCCTCCTTCTGGGTTCCGGTTGGCCTTCAAGATAAGTCCCACCAAGGCGCTTGAGCCCGACTCGCATGAGTCTAGGGACTGGCTCCCGTTGGTCCCGCAGAGAAAATTACCAAGTCGGATTTATCCAACATCGAGGCGACCAATTGATGCTCGCGGATAAGTTTTTGAGGAGATTTCGTGAAGACATGGGCCCCCCACAAAGAGGCTGGCCATTTTTGACCCCGCCTACAGGGAGGGCACGCGAGCATGCGGGGCATGCCACTGTCAGATTTCGACAGATTTGCATGTTCGATGCTTCTCGGCGCCAATCATGTCTAGGTATGTTTATCGATAGAAGGCGGCGTCCGTGGCGTGCAGCGAGGCTGTTGCGGGAAAAAAGCAGGTGATCGAGTAAAAGATGAAAATCAACCGCGAAAAGGGGTTCCGTTGCTGTTCATCGTGGCGATAAAACTGAAGGCCGGACTCAACGACCAAAGGACGATCGACCACCATTGCCCATTGACTGCAGGCCCGTAAATTGACGCGAAGACGAGTCGGGCGGAGGTGAACGGAACCGTAAAGTGGTGCATCGGTCTGGCGTGGGATGGCGGGTGTGCCGTTCTTCCAGATGGAGCGAAAACCGGCGCGACGAGAAAGCCAAACCCTCGCCAAGACGCGGCCATTCGTCCCGCACAGGGGCGCCCCTCGTTGTCCCTCGGGTGGGTACGACATTGTATGCGTGGACGGGTTCGCCGCTCGCCCATGTTCCCGCGTGCCCGCCCACACCCAATTGAACCCCGGCCGGGATGTGAAACGGAGTCTCGCGGTGCGCTCGCCTCCAACAACCCGCCGCCTATGTCGGCCGGCCAGTTCATCGGAAGAAGGGGGAGGAGAAGGGTGGGAAGTGGGCGACGGCCGCTGGTCTCCATCTCGAGTCTTGTCAAACCCCCACCATCCTGAGCTAGATCTCTGGTATATAGTCCCTTCTCTTTCCCTCCTCCCTCTCCGTCTTCTCGTCTGCCCTCTTTCCTTTCGCATTCTCGCAGCGGAGCCTGAGTCGACAGCGATAAGCCGGAACAGCCTGCCCTTCTCGCACAACCCACACCCGACGACTCTTCCTCAACCACACAAGCAACCACCAGCCATCATGTCTCAGCTTGCCCCCGAGCCCGAGTTCGAGCAGGCGTACAAGGGTGAGTGAGGCAATGCCGGAACCGCCCCCGGAAGGCCATCCTGGGTTGTATCTGCGAGGACCGAGAACTGACAGTGATTTTGAAAACAGAGCTTGTCCTTACGCTCGAGAACAGCACCCTGTTCCAGAAGAACCCCGAGTTCCGCACTGCTCTCAAGGTCGTCTCGATCCCTGAGCGTGTCATCCAGTTCCGCGTCGTCTGGGAGGACGATGCCGGCAACGTCCAGGTGAACCGCGGCTACCGCGTTCAGTTCAACTCGGCCCTGGGCCCGTACAAGGGCGGTCTCCGTCTCCACCCCTCCGTCAACCTCTCGATGTAAGCGAAACCCACAAACAAAAAAAAAAAAAAAAAAAAAAAAAAAAGAAGCGCCGCGGGCTTGAACCAGGGGGTGAAAAAGAGCAGAACTGACAGTTTGAAACAGTCTCAAGTTCCTTGGTTTCGAGCAGATCTTCAAGAATGCCCTCACTGGCCGTAAGTTGAGACCAGACGAAAAGAAAAGGAGAAAAGCAAGGAAAGGAAGAGATCGCTAACTTTCGCGACTAGTGAACATCGGTGGTGGTAAGGGTGGTGCCGACTTCGACCCCAAGGGTAAGAGCGACGCTGAGATCCGCCGGTTCTGCGTTTCTTTCATGCGCGAGCTCTCCCGCCACATCGGTGCCGACACCGATGTCCCCGCTGGTGACATTGGTGTTGGTGGCCGCGAGATCGGCTATCTGTTTGGTGCCTACCGCCGCGAGCGCAACCGCTTCGAAGGTGTCCTCACCGGCAAGGGCCTCGACTGGGGTGGATCGCTCATCCGCCCTGAGGCCACCGGCTACGGCCTCGTGTACTATGTCGGCCACATGCTGGAGCTCGCCGGCGCTGGCGACTGGAAGGGCAAGCGCGTTGCCATCTCCGGTTCCGGCAACGTCGCCCAGTACGCCGCCCTGAAGTGCATTGAGCTTGGCGCCACTATCGTCTCGCTCTCCGATTCCAAGGGTGCGCTCGTCGCGTCTGGCGAGGGACAGGTCACCGTTGAGGATATTGAGGCCATTGCCGACCTCAAGCTCAAGCGCAAGTCGCTGTCTGAGTACTCCGCCAAGGGCAACCTCCAGTACATCGAGGGTGTCCGCCCGTGGCTCCACGTCGGCCAGGTCGATGTCGCTTTGCCGTGCGCGACCCAGAACGAGGTCAGCAAGGAGGAAGCCCTCGGCCTGGTTGCCGGCGGTGCCCGTTTCGTCGCTGAGGGTTCCAACATGGGCTGCACCCTCGAGGCCATCGAGGTCTTCGAGAACGAGCGCCGCACTAAGCAGGGCAACGCTATCTGGTACGCCCCCGGCAAGGCCGCCAACTGCGGTGGTGTCGCCGTGTCTGGTCTGGAGATGGCGCAGAACAGCGCGCGCCTCTCGTGGACCCGCGAGGAGGTCGACCAGAAGCTCAAGGATATCATGAAGACCGCCTTCGACATTGGTGTCACCACCGCCAAGAACTACGTCGAGTCCGCCGAGGGCGAGCTTCCCAGCTTGGTCGCCGGCAGCAACATTGCCGGTTTCGTCAAGGTTGCTCAGGCCATGCAGGAGCACGCCGATTGGTGGTGAAGGGTGTGACGGGCCGTTGATCTGAGTTATCCTTTCGTCCTCATTTTTCTTGTTTGGATTGGTTGGCGTTTCGGGGCGGGCATAGGATGAGTTAACGACATGATTCCCTGGTTATAACCGGTTGAGCGTGCGAGTTTGTTGACAACTGGTTATTTATTTGGTGCTGCAGGCGTGTGGGAAGCGAGAAGCGGGAAATGAAGCATTTTTCTGCGGGTACATAGATGGAAGATGGGAAGCGGCATCCTTTTACATAGCAATGAAACCAAAAAAATCATCAAAACAACCAGGTGCCGAATGATAGTCCGCTATGCAAGCAAGCACGCCATGAGGAAGATCACAACTTCCTCGGATGGTCTCCGGTTCGACCCGGTCGGCCCATTGCCCAATCACATGAAGATCAAAGATAAGCCCAACCGCGTGGTTCGTTTTTCCCCGGAAAACGTACTCGAGGAATGCCGATAAGCTCCAAGGTCGCACAAGATCCGCCAAATTTGGCATGTGAGGGCCTCCTTCCGATAATAGATAAGACGGGAATTCGCGGGGTATTAGTATGAAAATAAAACTGGTCATCTATTTCTTTTCCGTGTGTAAAAGTAACGGTGTCGTCGAATATTTGAGAATCCCGTCGGTTGTAATCATCGTAGTCGTTGGTTTCGAAAGGGGACATGGGTGTTTCCCGATTCAGGGACAATTGTCCTTCGAATACTATGTATGGCCTGCATCTTGTACGGCCCCTAGGCACCATGTAAGTCCATTCATAACTCTCAAAACTCCAGCTGATCAATTACTCATGCTGTGAGATCCAGGTTTTCTTCCTTTGACTCCCAACCCATAATGATATCTGAGACATGCTCACGTGGTGCGCGGAATGAGGCCAACGGTCTTCGGTGCCATTTCCGCCCCCTGAAACTCTTCTTCTGCGGAAGACTGAGACCGGACCTACGGCGCCTCTCGACCCCTCCCTAGGCCCCTTGTCGCTAATTCGGAGTCAACACCGAAGGACAACACCGAAGGACTTTTTCGGGCCAGTGCCTCGTTGAAGCCGATCGAAAGGCTCGAGTTACATCTAAGGCTTGGTCATGGGTTTCTCCGCAGGGGCTGTTGGGGCTCCTCTACCTCGGGGTTGCAATCCGTCCCGGGAGTCCAATTCTCCCTAGGACATTGGGGTTGCTCATTGAGAACGACGCGCGGCGATAGTATCCCGCCGCATCTAGTCCGCCCTCACTACAACAACTAGGTAAGGATCAGGTCAGCGTGTGAACCCTTGGTGCTGGGCCTTTCTGTTGGTTGATCTCTTCACGGTCGTCCTCTATCCCACACCCTTGGCTTCTTTCGTATTCCCCAAAAGGTCAAGCGGAGGAGTCATGGTACCCGTGAACGAACGGGGTTGACTCATGGCGAAGGATCCTGTGACGACGCTTATGGTGTTGAGCCACTCTTAGCCGCCCTGTTGGTGTGCCGACGATGTTCGGCTTCCTCGGAGTTCGCTGAGACTCGATCCGAACGCCGGAGTGTTTCGCCTCGGCATGGCCGGGTCATGTTGCCACAGCCTTGAGCGTAAGGCTAGTTACATAGTATGCTACCCTGAACTGTACATACGAGATGGCCCCGGGAATAGGACGTTGGTGGCGCGCCTCGAGGGCTTGGACGGTTGGCGGGGCTTGTTGGAGGGGGCCAGACATAACTTATAGTGGTTGGGGAATTGCTTGTATATACCCGCCTACCCTTATCGCTTCATCGTTCCTGTGTCCGATTCAAGGCCTTTTCGTGGCCCGAGTTATACGCTCCTAATCATAAGCAATGTACTTAACAAAAGAGACCTGCACATTTTGCTCACAGACCGAGGTCATCATGCCGTATTTCAGAAACTTTATGGGGTCGCACCGTACATTGTTGAACATCTCGGTGACGCAGGTGTGGATGGTTTCAGCCAACTTGGAAGTCTCAACCGTGGTCATGAGAAGTATCCTTTCCAATTTGGGAAAGCAAGGCTTCTTCTGGCAAGCGCCGGGTGAGCAAGCCTTGCCGTTGAGGTACAAGATCGGAGAGCAGATGGAAGTCGCAACCCTCGCATTTTCCCGCAGCTGACGACCTCTTTCCACTCACTTCCACCATTTCACACTAGGTAACGAGGTAACTAACCACCCATCACTCCCACCCACCCGAGCCACCATACCTATCACATCCCACTCCCAACTCAATGCGGCGTCGAGTGTGCCTTGTCCCTTGCACGACCCGGCGGCATCCATTTCGCACCCAACCACGGCAGCGGGCCCAATTGGGGGCGTGTTTCAATACACACTTCCCGGTGCGACTCCGACGCCCATCTCGTGCTCAGCTGAGGCCGGGTACAGCAGGCTGTTGTTCAACCGCCGGATTTTATTCTTAGTCGATGTCTCACCCTGAAGCCTTTGCCAGGCAGCCGAGGACCGGACTAGCACTCAATTTGGAACGGGTGCGCCCTTTTGAAGTCGCACGAGGCCAAGGACTGATTTCAAGTGCTGACGACGAGCTCGGTCAACTGATGCCGAAACTGGCCGGCCACAGATATCACGAAGAATCGGGCAATATGATACGGGACCCACCGCATGGGGCACTGTGAAGAAGGTTCGGACACGGCGCCGGGAGACGTCCACCCTGCAGTTCGCGATCCCCTTGCGGCATGTCGGACGATTGGATCACTGGGCCAAGTTACCGGGGGTCCGGGGGCTGACGGGAAGTCGGGCACAGGGCTGAAGAGACTGGGGGTAGCCGAGGGTTGACGAGCCAGCGCCGGTGAGGCACAAGGTTGTAGCGTAAACTCTCGGTTTGAACTTCTCACTCTTCGCAGAGCCAATCACCCATTATCCAGTCACGATCGGCCCTCTCAGCCACCTCTTGCTGCAGCTTTGGAAACTGAGAGGGACGCGTTGGGGGCGACCTTTTCAATACGCTGCTGCGTTCAGTTGGTTCTCGGTACTGCGACACCAGCGACGTATCACAGGCCAGGGACAGCGTTCGCAAACCATCCAATCGCACAATCCTCCCGCAATTGACCCCGGTCAACTGAGGACGAAAAGGGACTTTTACCCGGCTCGAGCCCGGCAGGTCGGGGCATCTCACAACCGCGAACTCGACAACGAGTCAACGACCGAGTAACTTTCTCCTTCCCTGCTCACCTTGCTGTGCCCTCTTCGACGCAGCCTCGCGGCCTGTCGCCCGCTTTCCTTGGAGAAAAACCTGTCGATCGCATGCGAGACATCGGCCGGGCGGTTCGTCTCATCAGACGCCAGCGCTTGCGTGCCCCCGTTGACTTTCGGCCCCTCTGAAATACCACGGTCTCAGCGGACCAGAGGGACCCACGGGACAATGGCACTGCACCATTGAGGTCGCTGTCCACGACGCTAGTGTAGAGATGAGCCGAGTGGACGCCACAAGGCAGCAACGGTTTTTGCGCGATGATTGTCAGGTTCTGAAGAACGCTCATTTGAAAAAGGTCCATCTCGATGGTCGCCCAGGGCTCAAGAGTGGTCGAGCGTGGGTTGCGGGAGACGCGGGAAGCAGGGGTTACTCGTGGCTGTGGTCCCAAAAGCTGTGGCCTGGCGGAACCACGCTGATGGGTGCTCCACTGCCATGCCCCGATACCCCATCTGGATACAACCTCCTTGCGGCAGCGCGGACAAGAACCTGGCCGCGGTATTTTGGCCAATGGCAGCCCCAATTGCCGTCCATCTTTAATATTTGCCCAACCAAATGGGGGCGGGCTGGGGCCTGCGCCCTGGTCGGGGATGGAGGTAAAGGGGGGTGACTAACCCTTTCTCGGTGTGCTGGAGCGAAGACCTGATGTTGTGCCCATGAGAGGAACCTACCTGCCTGTGCCGTGTTTTTTTGCTGACTTTGCACAGTACGGAGCCGGTCCCCCTCCACCACCAACGCTTCCACGACAGACACTAGTCTAGAATGGTCAGGCTATGATGGAAGGGAGGGGTGAGGTGGGTGAAGGCTCTGGGACTGATATATACTCGAGATGCCCTCCCAGCCCTAGCTTGCAAACCCACTGGACGAAGTCCCTGAAATTGCTCCGTCCGACCCGACCCCTATTCGCCTTTTCCCAGCTGAACTCGACCATATTAGACAAAACATAACCTATTAGTTAATACACCTTTACTTGCTCAAGCAACTTCTTGTCGGCATACCGGGGACGCGTCTGGTGTTGATCGCGTCGCCGAACAGGCATAACCACTAGCCATTCAGACTAATGAGCATGGACAAGTCTTCGTCTTCGTCTCACCGGCCGCGGACCGGGTCGTTGCAAGTCGACGATCTGCTCTCGCCACCCCTCACCCCAGACCCGAGCGGTAACAATGCGATGGGCATCATGAACGGTCCCCGCAACACCTTCCCAGGAGCCCGCCCAGTATCGCCAGACCCGAGTGTCTCCTCTAGTAGCTTCTCCAGCCCCGCCCGCCGGCCAGATTCCGCCGGCCAGCCTACGATCTCTTTCCAAGACTCGAGCAGTGATACCGCTCACCAGGATCACGACCACACCACAAAACACCCAATCCGGTCCCACAGCGCCGAGCGAGCCCCATCACCCTCCGTAGATGGCGGCCACCAACACCAGCATCACCCCAAGCCTCGACGCCTCTATAGCGATGGCCGCGAAGACGCCGCTTTCCCGCGGCTCTCCAAGCCCGTGGAGCTACTGCGCGGCTCGTACGACGTGGTGGTCATTGGATCTGGGTATGGTGGTGGTGTGGCAGCTTCGCGCATGGCGCGCACAGGCGAGTCGGTGTGTCTCCTGGAGCGGGGCAAGGAGAAGTGGCCTGGGGAGTACCCGTCGGGGGCGATTGATGCGGTGAAGGAGCTCCATTGCTCGGGCAACCTAGCGCCGGGGAGTCTAAAAGGGATTGGGGTGGAAGGCGGAGACCCTACGGGGATGTTTCACTTGGTGCTAGGGAGGGGGCAGAGTGCGTTGGTGGGGAATGGTGAGTTGTTTTTTATTTCCTCTTGTTCTGTGTTGATCCCCTTTCGGCAAACGAGTCAGGGGTCGGAAGTTGGGGGTGATGTTGTGAAAGTACTGACACGATGGCGCACAGGACTCGGAGGCACAAGCCTGATCAACGCCAATGTGTTCATGGAGGCGGACAAGGAGACTTTGGCGATGAAGGCGTGGCCGCCTGAGATCCGGGAGGATGTCGATGCCTTGGATAAGTGTTGGTTGTACCGTAATAACCCCTGTGAGAACATGGCGTGCTAATAACACCTTCCAGACTACGAAAAGGCGGCCGAGGTCCTCGACCCGCAGGAGTACCCGGCCGAGTGGCCCGAGCTACCCAAGGCCAAGCTACTCCAGAAGCAGGCTGAGCTCATGGGTCTAGGCGACAAGTTCAAGCGGGTACGGCAGACAACGAGGTTCATCAACGGACCTAACAGCATGGGCGTTGAGATGTCCCCCTCGTCGCTCACGGGTCAGGACAGCACGGGCGTCAACGACGGGTCCAAGAACTCGACGCTGGTCACATACGTGGCCGACGCCTGGAACTGGGGCGCCGAGCTGTTCTGCGAGTGCGAGGTGCGGTACATTGAGAAGGCGGAGAAGGATGACGGCTACCGCGTCTTCTTTGCCTGGCATGGCCGAAATAGGGGCCTCTTCAAGGCCAACTTGCATGGCGACCTTATGTGGGTGCATGCGAAGAAGGCTGTATTTCTCGGTGCTGGCGCCATTGCGTCGACGGAGATTCTGCTCCGGAGCAAGGCGATGGGTCTGGATATGAGTGACTTGGTCGGGCACAACATGAGTGGGAATGGGGACATGTTGGCGTTTGGGTGAGTGCTTTTTTTCTTTTCTTTCCCCCACAAGCAGTGCTAACAATTCACATAGGTACAACACCGACGAGACCGCGAACGCCATCGGGCGGGAGAACCCGTCGCCGTACAACCCCATCGGCCCAACCATCACTAGCGTCATTGACTGCCGCGAGGGCAATGTAAACCACCTAGACGGCTTTGTGCTCGAGGAAGGGGCCGTTCCACACGCCCTGACGCCACTCTTCCAGGCCATGCTTGACCTCATGCCGGGCAAGAAGGCTCCTAAGAACGACACTATCGTTGAGAGGACGCAGGCCGCCCTCGCGCGGTACGGCAGCCGGTTCCTGGGGCCGTACTTCAAGAACGGTGCGGTCGAGCGGACGCAGGTGTATCTTGTCATGTCGCACGACAGTGAGTATTTTCCAAAGACATATTACCGGGAGTTTGGATCAGATATAGCTAACACTGTGTGACTGTGTAGCCAACCATGCCGTCCTGTCGCTCAAGGATGACAAGCCGATGCTGGAGTTCCTCGGCGTTTCCCGCAGCAACCATGTCAAGAAGGTCAACAAGCTGCTCGAGCGGGCAACTGAGCTGGTGGGAGGAACCATGGTGCAAAGCCCCTTTGCTGCGCTTCTGGGCCAGGAGATCACGGTGCACCCCGTTGGGTATGTAACGTCCCACTACCGTCATTTATCGGTTCGGATCGCAAGTCGTACGGACGTTAGCTAACCGTGAGACCAGTGGAGCATGCATGGCACGCGACAACACGGGCCGGACCGGTGTCACCAACCACGTCGGCCAGGTGTTCACCGGCCGGGGCAAAGAGGTCTACCCGGGCCTGATTGTGACGGACGGTTCGGTGATCCCAACAGCCCTCGGTGCCAACCCGTTTGCGACCATCACGGCTCTGGCTGAGCGGTCCGTCGAGGCGTACGCGGCGTCGCAGGGGCTCACCATCTGCCAAGACAGAAACGAGAACATCGACCTGCTGGGCGAGCCGCAGCACGCACCCCGACGTCAGCACCCACGCCACCGGCGAGACAAGGTGAAGGCGTTCGAGGAGCAGGAGAGCATCACGGTCGCCAACACGGTGATCCGCAAGGCGCGCGACCTCAGCGCGGCCGGGTTCGGGTTCACCGAGGTCATGTCCGGGTTTGTCCACTACGACGACGGCCTGGTCGAGGACACGCAGGAGACGTACGAGCTGGCGCACCGCGTGGCCAAGTCACTGTGCGAGAGCGCGCGCTTCTTCCTGAGCGTGCAGGCGTTTGACACAGACGAGATGGTCAATCATTCGCAGCACCGTGGTATGTTGACAGGCACGTTTGTATGCCCCTCCATCCCGGGCTCGCCCTTCATGGTGCAGCGCGGCGAGTTCAACTTGTTCATCCTCAACAACAAGGCGCCCGGCACGCGCAACCTGACGTACGACTTCGACATGACGGGCGTCAACGGCCGGCGGCTGCACTTCCACGGCTACAAGGTCGTCGACTCGTCAGTGGCGCTGGCCCCGTTCCAGTTCTGGCGGGCCACCAGCACGCTGTACGTGACCGTCAGCGAGCATGTGCCGGGCATGTGCGCCGACCTGGACGACGAGGAGGCCTGGCGCCGCGGCCGGGTGCTGGCCAAGGGCATGATGCACATCCAGCCCGCCGACTTCATGTCGCAGATCAGCACGATGGCGCCCACGGGCAGCAACCTTGTGCGCAAGGCAGTCAGCGCCGCTAGCTTCCTGACCTACTTCACACGCAAGTCGCTGTCGCTGTTCTTGTCGCCCTTGACGCCGCTGCAGTACCCGACCAAGACCTTCAGCGGCTTCATCAACAACACCCCGCCCAGCCAGAGCTTCGACATCGTCGCCTCCGACGGCGTGTCTTCGCGCATGCACATGTGGGAACCCACCCACGTACCTGGCAACGATCCGGCCAACATCCGCAACCTGTTCATGATCCCCGGCGCCTCTGTTGACCACCAGATCTTTGCCCTGCCCACCATCCCCTACAACGCGGTCAACTACCTGACCCGCGCCGGCTACCGCGTCTTCGTCACCGTCCACCGCATCAGCCAGCTGATGATCGCGGGTAGCAACTGGACCACCTTTGATGCCCGCCTCGACCTGCGCGCCTGCCTTGAGCGCATCCGCAAGGACTACGGCCCCCACAAGATCTACACCATCGCCCACTGCATGGGCAGCGTCGCCTTCTCCTCGGGCCTGCTCGACGGCACCATCCCGACCGACTGGATCCTGGGCATCACCTGCTCGCAGGTCTTCATGAACCCCGTCTGGGGCCCGACCAACATGGCAAAGGTCATGGCCGGACCCGTGCCCATGGACAAGCTGTACAACATGTTCGCGGGTAGTTGGTTCTCGTGCAGCACCTCGACCTCCGATACCCTCGTGCAAAAGGCCCTCAACCAGGTCCTGCGCCTGTACCCACAAGCCCGCCGCGAGATGTGCAACAACGCGGCCTGCCACCGCACCTCGCTCGTTTTCGGCCGCTGCTGGAACCACAACAACCTCAACGAGGCCACCCACCGACAAATCGACCGCTTCTTCGGCGGCGTCAACATGACCCAACTCAACCTGCTCATGAAGATGGGCTTCGACGGCCACGTCATGTCCAACGCGCCGCTATACGACCCGCTCGACACGCCCGAGAATGTCAAGCGCCTCCGCGGCATCCCCATCATGATGTTTGTCGGCCGTGACAACGCCGTGCTGTCCCCCGAGGCCACCGAGCGCACCTACGAGATCTTGAGTGATGCGTTCGAGGACGGTGATTACAGCCGTCGTGTGGTGCCCGGGTATGGCCACTTGGATGGGTGGATGGGCCGTAATGCGTGGAAGGATGTGTACCCGTTTGTGCGGGAGGAGGTTGATCGGGTGACCAGGGGGGAGAGTTATGAGTTTGTTGAGCCGGATGATCGGTTCAAGGCGATGGTGCATGGGGGGGAATTGCTTTATTGATTTGATTTCTGAATCGGAATGTGTATGATGAGGAATGTCGAGCGAGGCATGTATGATGGCTGAGTGGGTATATGGACAGGGAGGAGTTTGGGTTGGGATATAACTGATACCTCTGGGTTCTCTTTTGGCTCTTTTTTGGAAGGCGAATTTTGGGGTATAAATCTGGCTTGGATATCTAGGCGTTTTTCTTCTGATTCCCTACTCGTATGTCAGCAGTATACTTGATTATTTTCGGGACCTACGCAGAAGACACCGGCAGTCTCAGGACTTGGATGGGAACCGCGAGGGCGTTGGCCGGACCAACGGATAGGATAGGCAGTGTGTCTGTTTAGTTTAGCTAGGGAGAATGATAACCCCCACTGCTTTGTAAACCTTGCTACCTGAAGTGAACATCCCTTGTTTTCCATGTAATTTTGTACTTCGCATTGGGTTATCTCGGGCATCGTGAAGGATACGACACATCACAATAGGGAAACAACATGCTTCATTAGCGTGAATCAAGAGACAGAAAAATGCAACAGTCAAATTATCGCGAGCCAGAAATAACTTTAACAAAGCCCAACCGTTCCAAGCCATGACTTATATGTCCTATGACTTATATGTCCTATGACAAGTTCCTGTTCCTCCTCCAAAACGCCTTTCCTTCTCCCATCTCCACACATGGTTAAATAAAACAGCCATAGTCATGAAAATATTATCGACCTCGTACCACCTTACCCAGCCATTCCTCTCCGTCACGACCCGAACCTCATCTCCTACCAAATAGCAGCCTTATCAAAATCAAACCGACCCAGTTCCTTATTCCCATCCTCCAAATCCTTCTTCGCCTTCATCCGCATATAAAAGATCGGACAATCCTTACTACTACAAATCACCTCGCAATGCATACTCCCCTGACACCGCTGACACTGCGTCCACAACCGCCCAAACCGCACCTCCAACTCCGACACCTTATCCAGCGTCTTCTTGTACAATTCCCCAACCCGCGGCGCGTCGTCGGCACACACCGCCCCCTGGCTCTCCTCTTTGCCCGTCAGCGGCTTCTTGCAGCCCATGCAAGTCTGCGTCTTCTTCGCGAATTTCATCAGTCCGCCGACGGTCGGCGCAGCGACGGCGATGGAGCGGGTGTGCGCGCCAGAGAGTAGGGAGCGGACTTTGGTGTCGCTGCCGAGGATGGGTTCGAAGATGCGGCCGAGGGGCTTGGCGAGTTGGTTTTCGAGGTAGTATTTGGTGTCGATGGGCACGTTGTGCTCGAGGACGTACATGGGGTCTTCGGAGTTTTCGAAGTTTTTGGATCCGGCCGCGCCTTTGACCATGACGTAGGCTACGCGGTCGCCGAGGCCGGGGGCGGACCCGGGGTCGCGTTTTCGCATTCGCTGTGCGAGCTCAACGTGGGCTTGCTTGGCGGCGTAGTCGTCTTTGGTTAGGGCTTTGGTGATGACTAGTTTGGACATGTCGACTTTGTTTTGGAGGAGGTCGGCGATTGTGTCTTTGACGTATCTGGGGTGACGGGTTAGCAACGAAATTCGATTCTGATGCGAGGAAAGGGGGGGTTAGGGTGGACGGGAGAAATATCGTACTCTTGAGCCCCAACGACGTCTCGGTCGATGAGAATCATCCTCAGGACCTTCTCAATGACGGTTTGCACCAACAGGCAGTTATCACGACGGACGGTCTCGATACCCTTGGTGTCCATCTTGTCGTGCTTCTCCGGTTTTGTCCAGTACAAACCGGCGTAGCGCTTCTTGTTGATGAGCAGGTAGGGAAAGTAGACCTTTTCGAATTCGAGCTTGATAGGCTTGACGAACTTGCTCGAGACAAACTGGGAAGCGTCTTCGCCAAGCTTCATGGCTTCTGCGAGATCGGTAGTGCCGAACTTGACCATGACGGAATCTGTGTCGCCGTAAATGACCTGGGCATCGTGGGAGTACCCGTTGGCAATCGTGTACCGCTTCTCCACCTCCTGCTTCGTCTTCTCGATCATTTGACGGCCGAAACTGGTTGTGCTGCTGGCAATCTCCAAACAGGGGAGCTTGCCGCCGTTTGTTGCACCGGTCAACCCGTAGACGGAGTTGGCACTGATCTTCAACGCCAGCTGCCGACCGTTCAGCACGGCCTTCTTGAAAGGATCCGTCTCAGCGGCGAGCTCTCGCTTGGCCTGCTTTCTGGCCGAGAGAAGTTCTTCTAAAATCTGAGCCAGTAAACCCTTCCGCTTCTTGGACGTGACAAACATGTCTCCACATGGGGTGACAATGTAGTCCTCGTCCTTCACGAGATTGTACCGCTCAATGTCTCGCTTCTTGATGAGAGTGGTATAGCACAGGTTGTGGGCCTGCATGATACTCGGGTACAGAGAAGCAAAATCCAAGGTGGCGATGGGCACGTCGTAATAGTTCCTGATAGGCTCGATAACGGTGGCGCCCTCGTATTGTTCTTCGGAAGACTCCATCTGCATGTTGGGAATCACTAGCTTTTGCTCCAGGGCTTTACGGTACAGCTGACTCAAGAACTTGACCTGCTGACCCCTGGCAAGTAGGAAGTTGAACGGGACACCCGTGACTCTCGCCATTTCGGTGTAGTTTTCGAGACAAGACAGCTTCTCCATGAGCCGCTGGGGGAGGTAGGCATCCTTGAGACAGTACACTGCTAGTCTGCGTCTCGACTCTGGCGTGCCCTCAAAAAGCTCCGTGATCATGGAGTGGTGAACGTCTTCCTTTTGCTCCCCGAGGAAGTGGAAAGATACTGAGTTCAGTGTGTAGCTGCGCAGTTGATGGTCACGCTGAATGAGCTGCAAAAGATCGAGCTGGAGACGCCCGCTGATGAGGGTGGTCTTGGTGTCGCGGTTGCCCATCTGTTTGCTGGAGAAATTGGAGTCCTTGGAGTATGATTTGGTACGGCGAGTACGGGACCAGTACTCAAACCCCGACACCTTGAGATGCTCGGCACGTTCAAGGAGGTATGGGAAATCAAAGTTGGCAATGTTGTAACCAGTGATGATGTCGGGGTCGACCTTTTCCAGAAAATCCCTCCAACCGGAAAGCATGTCCTGTTCCTTGTCGAACGATATGACTTGGGTGGCAACGATGGGGCTTGTGGTATCTAGACAGAATACGTTCCTGACAAACGGCTTTTTGTCTCCATATTTGGTCACGACGTTTGCGATCTGGATCACGGAGTCGTGGTTGGCTTTGGGGAAGATGCCCTTGCGGCCGGCGCACTCGATATCGAAGGAGAGAATCCTCAGGGGCGCCATCTTGGACCACTCGCCGACCGGTTTGTGGGAGATCAGGTGTCGGTAGCTCATTTCGGCTTCGATTTGGCAGTTGGACTGCTTGCTGCTCGCAATCATGTACTGGCCCGCCGGGGCTTCGACCCAGCCCATGCCGGCAATCTATTCATATCTCTAAGTCAGCGCAATTGTCCGTGTTCAGGTGCTTCGTTCCCCCCTGGGTTAAGGGCGGGTGAGGTGTTGACGTACGGAACAGTCAACCATAAATCGGAGTAAGTATTGGATGTTGTCGTAGGTCATGATGGTCCCGTCGAAGCTCTTCCATAGCTTCTTGTAGTTGGCATCGCCGCCCTCTATTGCCGTGCGGACCCTGTTAATTGACCTGTGATCGGTGACGCTGATCTTGATGAATGGATTCTGGGTGTTTCCCTGAAAGCCGTAGATGTTTTCTCGCATGGTGAGCGAGACGGAGTCGATCACGCGTCCATGCGTGGCAAGCTGTGTTTCGAGAAAGGCCTGGAAAGGAGCGCAGTCTTCGGGAGTAAATGACACAGGCGCAGCAACATAAAGGTAGTGCTTGAAGTCCTTGACGAGGAGCAGCACCGAGTTGCCATGGTCTGTCACGCCAAAAAGCTTGATGGCTGGGAGGCCGCCATTTGTGAAACCCTCTTCGGCTTCGATGGCCTGGAAGCACAGGCTGTTCTTCTCTGGGTTATAGTCACTGGGAAGTGGTGGGCGCTCCCACATCTGGTCCTTCTCTGTGTTGTTCTGTTTCAGGTCGGAGATGTCCTGGCTCATTCGCTCGAGGACCTCGGTCTCGAAAGCGCTCTTTTGCTGGCTCGAAGCCAGTTTTCCCTTTCCGTCATTCCGGGAGCTCCGGAACTGCGGGGCAGGTGAGGAAGAGGGTTCGTCGAGACGTCGCTTCTTGGCAGAGACCGGCGTGTTGGCGATGTTGCGGCGGGCACTCGATGCCTCGCCGAACACCCGCTTCTGGGGGAGCGTCGCAGACGGCATTATGGAAGATCCAGGTATGCACAGCGGGGTAGTAAGTAAATGTAGTAAACCGTGACGCGGAAGTGTAGAATTGTGATGGGTTTCAATTCGTTAAGTTATTAACTCGTAAGTTGAGGGATGCGGTCCATTACATGCCGGGTTTGGATGTTGAAGCTGCAAAAGGAAGGGGAACTGAAGTTGGCCTGTCCCATACAAGAGCTTCGAAATTCACGACCGAACGCGCTCCTGGCCCATGTTACGTGACCCGCCCCACTTTGTGACGCGACTGTTTAATGGGGCAGGGTACGTACCTTGCAACCACCACGCGATGCTGCCCCTTCTAGTCGATGCGGCGGGACAAAGCTGAAATAAAAGCTAATGACTTCCCACTTGGTTCCATGTAAAATTATGAATATCTGGCTCCTTCATTCGCTCTGTCGCCCCCCTCCAACTTCTCCTGAGAGCTTCCGCCTGGCACGTGAGTTCGTGTAGCCAACCCTAACCCTTAGAACACATTTACCCCGCCAACCAGAGTCGCTCATCCCATGAGCTGCGTTCACTGTTTATTTTCACCAATCTTCCCCATTTACATCTTCAAAACACTCCAATCCAGTTCCTCCAATCTCAACACGCCGCCAAGCCTATAAATAGCCTAGCATCTATTAGCTCAACCATGGCCGAAAGACACGCGCCCGCTCCCCGCGCCGTCGGCGCCGGCATCAGCAAGGCGCGCAACGGGGTACCCTCCAGCGTCAGTGTGCGCCGGAACCTCTTCCAAAGCCATGCCACGCGCCGGGTCCCAGCAATCCCCTCTGCCGCCCCATCGGATGACATGCACATGGACACCGAAGCCGCAGCAGCAGCAACCGCAGCATCAGCATCACATAGAGACCACCACCTCCACCAACAAAACGTATTCCATAACCATCACCATCTCCAGCAACACAACAGCCAATTTCAACCCCTGTCCGATTCCAGGGGCAGCCCCTCTCCCTTCGCGCATCGCAACGACGAGGATGACATTGTAGTGCGCGACCACAACGGGGAGATTGAGCTTGAGGACCCACCGACGCCTATGGTGGACGACGACCCGCAGCAGTTGGAAGCGTTGGAGGCACAGCACGAGGACGAGATGGAGCGGCAGCGCCTGGCCGAGGCTGTGAAGCAGCATCAGATTGGGATGGGGCAGCAGCATGGTCTGCCGGTTGAGCATGAGGGTATGTCTCTTCTCTCTTGAACGGCTATTCTCCTCCTAAGACTATCCACGAGCAACCCGCCCTGTTGTGGTGGGATTGTTCCCCCCGTATTTGTCGAACTGAGGCCAACTATTGTCACTAGCAGAGCTTGTTGAGGCAGTCAAGGCGAGCCTGAGAGCCAAGGTGGCCGAGCTTGACGAGGACAACTGGCTGTATGAGCTAGCACGGAGACGGCAGCAACATCGGTGATGGGCAGTGTGAGAGTGTTTTTCTTTCTTAGGCATTCATTGAGTCTTATCTCGGCTTGACAAAACACCCCCGGGCTCGAATCGGCAAATTCGGCCTCACCATCTTACCACGGCCCGAATCCGCTCAATCTAGCCCCTCCGCAGCCGGCGGCGCCTCTACCCGCCGTGTTGTTGGCCGGCTTTGCCCGCCGCCAGGGGCACCGCCTCCAAACAAGCTCCCCATCATGTCGAACAATGGGTTGCTCTGCCTCGGCCGTTGGATCCCAAAATACATCTCGGCAATCATCTCCAGCGCCGTGTCCCACGTACCATCCAACTCGTTTATGTTGGAGCCATATTTGGTCTTGAGCTGTCGGAAAAGGTCGGGTGTTCCCTTCTGAACCGCCAAAAGGAGCAGGCCCAGGAAGTTGAGCAGCGGCAAGCTGGGAAAGATGCGCACGTCGGAGCCCTGCGAGCTCACGTCTTGCACGGCGAGCCCCTGGTTGTCCGCCGCTAGGGCACTGACGAAGGCACGGTAGGACGCGTTGGCCGCGCGAACATTGGCGACGAGCAGGTAGGGCAGGACGGCGCGGGCACAGTATATGGGTGCCGTGTGTGAATCGTCCTCTTTGTACCACTCGTACTCCATGCGGCTCAATACCTCGGCCGACTCCTTGGTACCCAGAATCAGGTGTCGTTCCGCTTCCTCTGGCTCATGCTCCTCGGCGTAGAGCGCGCCAACCACATGGTGCAGCTCCGGGTCGCCCGCGGGATAGTCACCGAACTTCTTAGACCACCTACATCACCCCAAACTCCGTTAGCTTGTGCCCATTATAGTAGATAGCTCCAACCCCCCCTAGCCTCACAAAACACAAGAGAACATACTCAATCATCTCCTTAATAAACTTCTTCCTCGTCGGCTCCTCGCTGTCAAACAACCGCAAACACGTCACCAACTTTCCACGCGACCCGCCATCCGGTTTCTGTGCTGCCTGCCGGTACACTTCTACCAACAAAATTGCCAAGTCGCCTCCACTACCGCCCTGACCCGCGCGCAGCAGCGCCTGTGATACATTCGACAGGATATCCACGGCCGCGCCCCAGTTGGCCTGTTTGGTGTAGCGCGCCGCGACGAGACGTGTCTCCTGTGCCGCTTCGTACTGTTCCTCGAAGGCGCCTTCGGCGATGCGTTTTTGCAGTCGCGCAATGATCTTTTCGATTTTGGAGGCGGACATCGTGAGGGAGGGGGGAAAGGTGCTGAGGCTAAAGAGTTGGGTGTCGAAGAGTGCCTGTTCGGATCGGCGGTTTCGGGGTGGGTTGACTCCGACCACGAGTCGGAGCGGGAGCTCGTTTGTTTGCTCGAGTATCGCTGTGCGTTTTCCTTGCCTGGAGAGATTTATGTGCTGCACGCTGGCTTGTGGATGTTATAACAGGAATTAGGAAGGCACTGGCGGTAATGTAGCTGAGGTTTCGCAAGCATAGGCGGGAAGCTTCCATTGTCTCGACGTGCCCCGCCTTTTCAGATTGCCCCACCACCAGAGAAATGCCCCACAATGCGTTCCTCGTCGTGTAAGTGAAGTCGCAACATTAGGCCGCAAGCAGCTCAAACCTACTTGAAATTCCGTGCTCGTGCGATGATATGTAAATGCTTTCTCTTGAGTCGTTGCCGGATTGTTTTATACTTTGGAAACCGTCACATGTTCGGCGGTATACCCCCGGTTTTCCTTGACTTCTCGGTAGATATATGCGTTGTTAGTAGGGAGACTTAAGCGAGGTTAACAATCATATGGGGAAGCTAGAAGCAACACATGTTAAGAGTTTCATACGTTATGTACATGTACGTGTTGAGTGCGGTGAAAACTCAACGAGACGGACGGGGAAAATCAATATAGACCATAGCTAGACATTACAAAAACAAACCAATAATACAATAGTTACAATTGCAAACCCGAACGAGCTCCCATGACGCTTGCTTGCAGTTCTGGGGGTATCTATCATCCGTCCGTTTCGCCATCCGTCCATGTGTACCTGGGCGCCTGATGATGTGCTAAAATAGACAATGGAGTGCTAGTCCTTCCGAAATGCTTGATGCTTTCCGCAAACGGAGAATCGAGTGAGTCGGTCTAAACCCCCACTGCAAATCAACTCCTGAGTTCCCCTCTCAAACCCTTCCGAAGCCATCATTTCTCTAGGGACTCCCCGAACGAATGCCAATAATGCATGATACAAAACGGAATGCCTACTCCTAGCAACCGTTCTAAACCCACATGGAGCCACCCTCCCTTGTCGTCCAAATGCAACGCGTCAGATGTTGCGCCTTTCGTTAATCCCACGGTCCCCATGAGCGGTGACCGTTACGAAAGCTTGTGAACTTCTTGAAGGGTGTCTCGTCTCTCCTCAGAGTAAAGACTCGTCCTCACCCATATCAGCCTCTCTCAACAATGACAGGTGTTCCATAGTCACGCTCTTGGCCGAATCGTCGTCCTCTCGGTCAGCGGTTTCCTAAACTCCGCCCGCAGGGACTTTCGGATCCACATCGATAGGCTCGCTCAGATCGATCAGCGGCTCGTCTTCGTCAACACCAGTGCTGGTATTGTTGTTGCCTAGCTGACCAAAGAGCTGCGAATTCGGTCGCTCCTGCATTTCTTGCCCCCCCTTAGGCAACGGGCTGCTCCCGGCGTTGTTGCTGCTACCGGCGTTGCTGATGCCATTAGCATCCCCCAGCGAGACCTGCGCAAAAGCCGGGGACACACTAGCGGCTTCCACCTCGGCGTAGTTATCGTACGACGGCGGAGCGTTTAGCGTGCCCGAAAGGGGCGGGATATCGACTAGATCCGGGATGGCATCGTCTTGCGGCGCACCTGTCGCGCCGAACACGGCGTCGGTGTCGAAAGGGGCGTCACGCATGTCGTCATCTTCCAGATCGCCCGCTGAGGCGTGATTAGTATCCATCGAGCCGATGCTAGAAGAGCGTTGGAGACGCTTGGATTGGGAGCCATTCTCCGCGCCGGCGCTCCGCTTGTGTCCGAGTCGGCCAGCTTGTGATACCTCCTGTTTAAAGTGTCGGTTGTCGAGCCGAATGAAGGTTTTGAGGGCGTCTGAAATTGGTAGGTCCTCCTCCTGCATCGCTTTGTCATTTGCATACACCACAATAGGTTTACAGCCTGTTCCGCAGGCTTCGCGGAGGACTGCTTCGTAGGTTACGGCCTAGAGGAACAGTCAGTATGGCTCGACATAGAACTTTTGCAAGCGCCACGGAACTAACCGTATGCTCAACCGTGTTGTCCTCCGGCTTGAATGTTGTCCTCCACCACCCCTCTTCACCATCGCCAGAGGCACCACATGCAGGGGCACCATCTGCTGGGGCATCGTTTGTAGGGGCCACCTCGGCTTCGTCGATTGGTGCGCGCATCCGCAGATAAACCGTATCTGGGTCAGGGATTACTCCACGAAGAGAGTACTTATGCTTGGGGTTCCACTCTTCGTCGGCGGATGGAGCCGTGAGAAGCGCTGCCATCGCGAGGTTGACCTCGTCAATTGCCCTTCTCTCCGGGAGGACCGCGTCTACGCCCAAAAATATGTCAACAATCATAGCAGTACTAGGTTCGGAAACGGCTCTTCACATACCGTTCATGATGCGGTCCATCTCAACCAACTTGCCCTCAAGCTCTCGGATCTCAGCTTCGCACATATCCGCAATTTCCGCCTCTTCGGGCAACAAGGCCAGCTCGCCAACATGATCTGGCAGGTAGTAGTCGCCTTCCACTTCAATGGGAGTTTGCCCTTGTGTCCGCCAGTAGGTGTCATGCTTAAACTTTGAGGCCCTTTCCAGACGACGACGGATCGCGGCGCCCATAACAGCCCTGCGATCATCGCCGAGGTTTGTTTGAGCGAGTTGTCGTTCCTTGGCGACGTTGACCTCGTAAGCATTCAACAGAGTCACCATCTCAAATTGGATCTTCTGGAGCTTCAAGCCGTTCTCCTGTAGGTACCGGTCAATGTAAAAGGTTTCGGGAATCTCGAGAAGCCTCGGAAAGCCCTCATCTCCCTGGAAGCGAAACGTGAGAATGTCCGAGGGTTGGGTTATCCAAGCCATCCGCACAGCACTGGGGTCCTCCTTGGCAAGTCTCAGTTCCGCAAAGAAGAGGGAATCCAGGACGTGGTAGAGATTCTCAGGCGGAGGTCCGACGTCCTTGACCACATGTAAATCGAGTAGGGCGAAACGGTCGTTGCCTTGCTCATCGAGGGTGTCGAGCATCAAAATCGAGACCGAAGAGACGAGGGTCTCTATTTTCGGAACGGCCGGTCCTTCCAAACTAGCCTCAGTGAAGTTCTCGAACAAATCCTTTTCCGCGTCCCAACTGTCTCTAATCGTTGGGGTTCTGGCGCGAATAAGAATGTCGGCGGTCCCGTATGCCCTCTCTGACAATTCCAGGAAGGCTACCAAACGGTGAATCTCGTCCGTCCAAGACGGGACAATCTTGCCGGCCCATCCGTCAGACTCGGGCTGCAGCGGGACGCCAATCGGCTCGCCCTGCCACCAATCGCCCTTGTTCCCATAGCCATAGTCGGGGGTGATTCCTATCCGTAGTATGAGGTTGCGAACGGCTGGGATTTTGTGGAACACCATCATCAACCCTCCAACGCGGTGTTTTTCCCACTCTGAATTAATACGGCAACGCAGAAAGACCGGCGCGCCGCTTTTCCTTGCCCGCAACGACGGATCCGAATCACTGTCCTGTCTACCCAACGGCACCATGGCCCACTGGTCCTGATCATAGTCTGGACGGTTGGCCGGCCCGAAGTAGGCGGATGATTCCCCGTTGCTATTCATGACGCCCGATTGCTGTGGGACCGGTAGCGGGGGTGGAGGAAAAGGATGTGGGCTTTGAACGCCAGAGGTATTCAGAGACAGGTTTATGGCTTGCTGTAGTTGATCTTCTTCCTCCTGGCGGTTGCTCGGTGTCGCAGTGGTGTACTGGCCGCCTGCGGCACTCTCGACTAAACGACTCAGCGGCGATCGGTTATTGGCTCTCGACGGGGGCCGCGAAGGTCCCCCATAGAAACTCGGGTCGGTTCCATAAAGTACGGGCGGCGAGTTTATCGTAAAAGCTGCGTAAACCACCCCTCGTCAATGATATGTACGCGCATAGCATCTCTCTCGAAACTGGGATTACCCACAGGGAACATTCGGGTTATTGGCAGCCGACTCGTCGCCATCGCGGCCGGCGGAAAATGCGGTTTCGTCCCAGCCATACTTGCGCCCGAACTGCATATCGCGTTAGTAACCACAGCCGCAATCGCAACTGCAACTTGAAGCTCTTTACTACCCCGCCAAGTAAGGAAAGCTGGGGGGTAAAACGACGAGCACAACTGACCTTAGCGGGATCGTCAAGATATTCGTTGACGACGGTATCGACATTGCCATGGTTCTCCCGTAGAGCATTCACGATAACGGCGCGGTTCTCGAAACCTGTTACCATTTCCACCATCTGGGCTTGTTCATCCAACGCGGTTGCTTCGTTGGACGCCATCCTTGCTGCTAGTTCCACGCCAACGGTGGCTGGACCGTCGGGGAATGCTGAAAGTTGGCTTTGTCGAAGCGATCGTCAGGTGGGCATCTGGGAGAACGAAAGAAGAAAACTCGAGCGCCTCGAGTCGTGGGGAAGGAACGCTGTTTGGTAACGTTTTGGCGGGAGGCGGGGAGCAATCGGAAGCCGCTGTAACGGGCAGATGGAGGGGAGCTCTTCGGAGGGGCCGCCGTGTTCTTGGCGGTTCGGACCCGCATGAGGTTCCCTTAAAGGCCACGCGTGCAGTGCAGGCGGGTCAGCGGAGCGGCCCCGTGGCCCCGTGGCCGGTACCCGGGCAGTACATGTACCTGCTGTGGCGGGGCATGACGATGGCTTTTTAGATGGCGCGTGTGCTGTGGATAAGTAAAAGGAACAAGAGAGAGAGTGGTGGTACTTTGTGTGCGTGAATACGTGTGCCCAATTTCTCTTTGGATTGTCCTCGACGTGTTTCAATTCCTCGGTGTCAAGTTGAAATGGTAACTGTACAATTCTTGGTTCAAAGACCAAAAAAAATGCCCAGAACTCCAGGCTTGGCTAGCCTAACGGCAGCGCAAGGGCCACCTTCTGAGCTCAACAACAGGCAGCGCAGGAGTCCAGGCGTAACTAATGGATCCCTGTGATCCCACGGCAAGTAGTCAATTCCAGAATTCCAGAATGGGGACCGGTGTCCTACATATTTGCTACTAGGAATTTGTCCGCGGAAAGTGGAATGTGATATCAACATTGGGTCTAGATTAGCAAGAAAATGAGCTGTCCTGGGGACCCATATTCGGTGTTCCTATAAAGCAAAAGAGATATGTACCTGACTCCACGTCGCCTCCGCCCAGCCAAATGACCAAGATCCTGCGGTAAATCTAACCCAGGAGACATGAGCATGCGTAAAGAACAGAAGGCCTGTCCTCCCATAGACGCCTCCCATAAAACGCCCCCTCCCCTTTGGTGGTTCTGCACCAACGCTATGCATGTTGTAGTGGAGTGCGACCGTTTAAAAGAGACCCGAAAAGGAAAATAAAAGCAGTGGGAATAAGGGAAAGCCAGTCGAAGAACGATGCGTGAGTGTTGATGTTAGGGTGAAGGCCATCAACACCACCACAGCTTTCACTTATCGTCCTCGTCCTCATCGCTAGCTTCACCTTCGCCATCCTCCTCCCCATCCTCATCCTCGAAATCCATCTCTTCATCATCACCAGTGTCGCTGCCACCAAAATCAAACTCTTCGTCGGAACTACCGGCCCAGAAGTCGTCATCGTTGTCTTGCTTTGGCGGGGGGGCAGCCTCGAAGCTCGTCGGCATCTCAAAGCCTTCGGGGACGTCTTTCTTGGAGCGGGACACCACCTCAGCCGCCTTCTCATGGTACTCGGCGCGGCGGTCGCGGTACATGACGCCGGCGTCAACGTTGGCAGGCGAGTTAATCTCGGGGTCGTCGAGCAGCAGAAGGACCGAGCGGAGCACACTCTCAGCGCCCTGTAGCGGAGACCAACGCTCGCTCGCTTCCTCGCCCGATGTAATATCCTCGCCGGGCTTGTGCAGAATCGAAATGCAGAGCTGACCGTCGGGGTAGACGTTCGGGTGGGTAATGGGTAGTAGGAAGCGGAACTTGGGCGGCTGGTATGGGTACTCGTCGGTGAAGGTCATTTCGGCTTTGAAATAGCCGCCGTTGAACGGACTGTCGGAGTTGATGACCATGAGCGCGAAGCGCCACTTCAAAATGTTGCTTTGCTCGTCCTATGACAGAAGAGGGAACTTGGGTTAGCCGGAGGCTCGGGCGGCAAACGTAACTTCCGGTGCTTGCAAACGACGGCAGACACTCACATCCTCGAAATTAATCCACTTCTCCTTACGAAGTGCCTTCATCTCGCTCATGAGGCGTGTCTTCGCGCCGGTCGGCGCGGCGGATCGGGACATGGTGACGAGATCGGGAAGATTGACGACGTGATGACGGGCGAAAGACAAGGGAGAATGGTCTACTCCGCGCAGAACGCAACACACGGCGTGGTATCTGAAGTTTAAAAGCGGGACAGATGGGCGGGCGCTCAGATAGAACAAACGATGGGTGAGATCAGAAATCAATCTTAAGAAGGGCGAAATCGGTTACGCAGGGACCAAGCGTGACCCGAGGGTTGGGCGGGCGGTGGGCCGTACAAAGTGGAAGAATGGATACTGTGTAGCAACGAAGGTATTGTGACCAAGAATAGACCCGACTGCAGCGCTATGTAAAACTCCAAAACCAACAACCAAACTAGGGGTTATTGAGGAGCCCAACAAAGGGAAACGGCGGATAACAGAATTGGATGGAAGGGGGGTTCGCGCTGAGGTGGCTGATTACCTATAAATACCTTGCCCGACCCTGCCGATCACTGTACCCAGGCGGTGTGTCGGCTTTGATGTTACAGCAAAGCTGGGCGTCAAAGAGAGGAATCGCGCTGAGCAACAGATCCAATGACCCGGCCCCCCCGGTCTTGCCCACTCCTTGGTGACGGCCGAGCGACGACGAGGGGCAAGTGGGGGCTGCCTGCCGCGCTGCCCCTCGCCAAGAGAAGCGGCAGATCAAGTAGGTACCTTGATGTTCAGTTTTGTACAAAAGTGAAAAATACAAGAATAAACCAAGCCATCTGTCGTGTAAAACAAGGTTTTAAACAACAATACTCCAACCGTATGGGCACTGCAGTTCTGAGCACCTATTTCAGTTATAATTGTCAAAATCCGTTGAGGTTTGATGGAATTTGGCGGATTGGACTCAATGTATCTCTTTTAGGAAACCGCCCTTTTGGCCAGGTGATCCTCGAGTCCCTCCCAATTGTCGCGGTGGTCCCCTGTTCACTTCTTCGCTCTCCCCATGGCTTCCAGCCAGCAAAAGGGGGGTGTTGAGGCGAAAGGCTGCCTCTTCTTCATTGTATTGTTCGCCAGTTAGATCACTCCGAGCGGGAATTTTACGTTTCACCCCCCGTTTCTAATCATATTTTTCCAAAATTCCACGATGAACGCCCGTCCAAAGTTGTGTTTGATTTGCCCACAAACCAGCCCCATCCGGCCCATTATGCAATGCTCACCATTAATCGCCTCACTGACCATGGCGTGGTGGCGAAAGTTGGATCATTTTCACCAGCCAGTTTCGGGTCGCAACTCAACGGCCTACTCCCACCCTGGCAAACGACATCACACTACCATTCCTCGCGGCAAATAAAGCTTGGGCGGATTGATGTAGATTTGTTCAACATTTTAGCTACTTGGTTAGGGGAAAAGGACGAGGTAATAACATCCGGCCTCAAAACCTTCCGACTTAATTTGCAAATTCTGGGTATCAGTGACCAGATGTGACTTACACGCGAAGGGAAGAGAAAAAAGAAGTAAGAAAAAAAACACAAAGTAGCACCAGAAAGGAGGAAGGAACCGATAATGCCGGCGCCTAAAAATCCTAGGACACGGACTCAAACACCCGCCATTGACCACCTCCGAGTCCTTTCCCGCTTTGCTGATCCCGGCCCGGAGCTCGATGCCGTTCCAGACCCACCTCCGGCCCCGGATCCTGCCCCTGACGCAGATGTGGACTCCAACCGTTGAGAAGCCCCCTAAGCCCCTAGGTCATAGTAGACACACTTGCCGGTACGGAAGTTGTACACAAACGCGTTTGGGCTGCTTCCTTCCTTCTTCGACTCCCACTCCCACCGCCACTGTTTGAGCATATCGTGAATCTCACGCACATACTTCTTCTCCGTCGTGCCGACGCTATGCTCCACGCGCCGCCAGCTCTCTGGATCCCCCAAGCTAGTCCCGCGGATCAGGTCGACGACGGCATCTGAAGTTTCGATCGCCGCGACGGGTCCATCCAGGAACGTACGGACAAGTCGCGCGGCGCTGCTGTGCGCTTGTTCCACGACGGCGTGGCGATTAAATTTCTTCGATTTAGTCTGCGCAACTAGCACGCGGACCTCCTGCTGCTCGTTTTCTGGCGCACCGGCACTCGTTGGGAGCGCGCCGACCGAGTCAGAGTGCGGCAGACCGGCAGCCGCGGTGCGGTGTTTCGTACCCGCGCGCGAGTCACGCTCGCGGATTTCCGACCTGAGCCAGTTGATGAGCTCCTTGGCTGTGATGTCAGCGTCGGACGCTTCTTTGCGGCCCATGGTTTTGATCTTGAGCAAGTTGTCCTGCTTGATGATCACGATCCAACTGAAGGATTCGTCACGGTAATTAGACAGAAGATCTTCGGGTGATCGAGCGTCGCGGGCGAGCTCCGCGCTGATGCCATGCGCCCAGAGGTGTTGGAGGAGCTCGACCCCGGAAGAGCGCAAGATGGATGGATCGAAGCTGGCTACCAAAACGTCACACTACTCAAATCGTTAGCAACCTGTTCTCAAAACTTGCAAACACAGGGGGGCAAGTATGGAATGAACGGGGTGCCTCACCCGCTTCGCGCTGAAAATACCATGAGCCTCCTCCTCGACCGCCTTCTTTAGGAACGCTTTGCCCGTAGCCTTGGGAACCGGCTTGACTAGCTGCTTCTCCCAGTTCAGACTGAATCCCACAGCATGCCGCTCAGCAAAACGGGTGCCGATCTTGGGACGTTGTTCCTTAATCAACCCGTCGTATCGGCCGCCGGCCGCGAAGACATCCTTGATCTTCTTGTCGTACAAACACGCAAAGAGGATACCTCCGCGGAAGAAGCTCTCGTTGATGCTGCTCAGGGGGGCGATGTACACCTTGCTACTTAAATTGAACTTCTTGGTGTATTCGTACACTTCGCGGAGGTGAACTAGTGTGGATGACGCCCTCTCAGTGTACTCGGTACCTTCAAAGAGGCCCCTCAATTTAGAGATTGCCTTGGTAGGGGTATCTAGTCGAAGGTTAGCTACTAACTTCTCAATCTTAACCCTTTAAAAATGAACGCTCTACCGACCTCTGAAATCGAACGCCTGCATCTCGTCAACGCTCGTGGCCGACATACTCACCGGAGGTGCCCTGAGCTCGCTGCGGATCTTTTGCCACGTAAAGTTCCGGATGTTGAGCTTGCTGAGAACTTCGGCCGCAGCATGTCGTGAGTCCTCCTCGACGCCACAAAACTCAAAGATCAAGTGTAGCAAGTCTGAATGGCCAAGCTGGAAGCAGATGGGCGTCGAGGATGTGGTAGGGAATGTAGATATGATCTCATCCAGCACCTTGATCACCTCAGCTTCCTTCAGCGCAAGGTCCAGGGCATCGTTGGTGATGATGTCAAAATCAACCTCCCCGTACACATCCGGCTGCCCGCCGTCATTGCGGTCGCGGAAGATGTTGCCAAACGAGTAAGTGCGCTGCGGCACTGGGCCGCTTGCGGTTCTCGCCAGCGAACGAGCGTGGCCCATCATTAGATCAAAGGGCAGTTGGAGTACCGTGCCGTTCTTGTCAAGCAAGTGGACGGCGTTCTGATCGTAATGCAGCGACCGTGGGTAGAGGGATGCCGTAGGGGCCTCGACAGCCCCATGCTTTCGGAAGATCGAGATCAACGTCTCCTTTACAATGTACCGTCTCATCAAATCGATGGATTTGGGGCTAGTCGACGAGATATCCCACGCGTAGTCCTTTGCTTGATCCACCTGGCGCGAAAAGACTGTCTCAAGCATCTTCTCAAAGTAAGGCGAAGTAGGATCTGCCACTCCGGCAATAGCGCGCCGGATTGCCTCACTTTCCATCTCAACCGGTAACCTCCCGCTTTTGAGCAGCTCGGTGCTAGCGGGCCGGTCTTTGGGGTTGTGAGACAGAAGAGATAGCAAGATTTCAGTGTGGTTCTTGTCAAACGGCTTAAAGTCTTCTGGTAGAGTTGGCGGATCTCGCCGTACTTGCTCGAGCACCATCGCCCGCTGCATTCCAAGCATTGGAGGGTATGACATCTCAAAGAACATGACGCCCAGGGAATACATCTAACAACAATGTTAGCAGAATGGCCACGGATGGGCTTTGAATCAGGAGAAAGGTAACCTACGTCCACCTTCGCAGTGTAGGAGCCACTACCTCCCGTCCTAACTTCAGGGGCCACATAAACAGCGGTCCCAATACTCCGCGTCATGTCGGCGGCATCCAAACCCGCGGCCGACTTGTCCATAGCAAGCTGCCCACTGGTAGCCAAACCAAAATCGCCAATCTTAACATTTTCAATCCCGTCTGCGCCGGCACTGATGAAAACATTCTCGGGCTTGAGGTCACGATGGACAATGTTGAGGCTATGGATGTGGGAAAGGCCTTCAAGGATTTGGCGGAAGAGACGCCAGACTTCCTGGGAGTCTTTGGACAGGTTGCGAGCGATCAAGTCGCGAAGGGTCTTAGGATTACTGGTGTTAATTCTCCGCTCATATCACTCATATTTGGAGTAACTCACCCGTTTTTCGCAATACTCCATGGAAATGTACATCATCATTCGGAATGGGCGACCGCTGCCTCTTCTAGCGCGGTCTGCTCGGGCATTGGTCGGGACAACGAGTTGATCTTTCGGGCCCTTGCTGTTTAGGGTTGATGTGTCCTCGTCTTCTTCAGACGACGAAGTTTCCTCTTCACCTTCGGCATCAGTTCCTTCCTCCTCTTCTTCTTCCCCACCTCCTTCTTCTTCCTCCTCCTCCTCATCGATGGCCGAGTCAAGGCCCAGTTCCAAGTAAGGATGGCCACTGGAAGACATATAATCCAAACCCCTACTCTTGCTCTCACCAAATTCTATCACGAGACTCCGTGATGTTGCGTCTTTGGGTGTGTTAGTTCCGTCCGTTGACGTGTCCGTTTCAGTTTCAGCTTCAGCGTTGTCTGGGGCCTCCTCGAGCCAGGTGTTATAGTACCGGACGACCGCGGGGTGATTCATCTGCGACAGTAATCTGACTTCTTTGAGCATCTCGGAAAGGGTCTCCTGAGACCGCTGTGTGATCTTCTTGATAGCGTAGAGCCGACTGTCGATCATCTTGCGGGCTCGAACGACTTCTCCAAAACCGCCTTTGCCCAACCGGCCTTCTTCCACATAATCCTCCAGGTATCTTGAGGCAGCAGCACTGCGGTTCATGGAGTCGTGGCGCTGCCGCCGCGCCATGCCCTGAGAAAGAGAAATCATGGAGCTTCCAAAAATGGAAGAGACGTCTTCCGTTAGAACAGCGCAGTTAGTGGCGAGGAATTCACTCGAACCGAGCTCAAACGCCCGTGGCCGCTTCTTCGGGTCTGACTTGAAAAACTTCCCTACAAGTTCCTTCAGAGGGTCCGAGAGTGAGAGTGATTCTATCAACGCCGATGGAGAATGGTACTTATCGGGCACGTCCAGACCAAAGAGCATCTGCAGCATCACGATACCAAAATCCCAAACATCCGTCTTCTGTGTGTACTGTGGCTTAGAAACGCCCGCAATTTCAGGAGGGAACCAATAAGCCGACTTCGCTGCTCTAGTCGCCGTCAGCGTGGTTATTTTGTTGCACATGTTGTGAAGAGCTCGCTGGTAGCCAGCGTCGGCCAACTTGGGAACAACATCCCCGCCTTGATTTCGGCACAGAAGGATGTTTCCAGGGTGAATATCCTGGTGGATGATGCCGTGGTTATGTAAGAACGCCAGGGCATCGAGGAGATCGGTCGTCCAAATTTTGGCTTTGCTACTGTTGATTTGGCCAGCGAGATCTAGCAGTTCGTCGACGGGGCCTCGCTCACTGAAAGGGGTGAGGACACTGACAGTCCACAAAGCGGGGGCAGACGAGTCTGTTTCGCTGATAGAACGATCAATTTTGAAGTCAAGAACAGGTAGAAGGCTCTTATGGTGGAGTTTCTTGAGGGACTCCAACTCCATCTCCAGCGACTGGAGTTGCTTTTTGAGCTGCACGGAGTCTTTGCCATGATATTTCAGCTCGATTTCCTTGAGAGCCAAACTGGGGCGAACGTTTCTGGCAGAGAGAGCAGGCTTGACTTTGTAGACGGTCGTCGCGGGGCCTTCCCGGTAGACGGTTTTCTCAATGACTGTCTGGAAGTACACGGCCTCGCCTGGCGTGTCCGCCAGCTTGCATGGTTGATCGAGAATGAGAGCGACGTCGACACCAGCCGGATCCTCCGTCATGCGATCCGGCGGCATCATCTGGCTGGTGTTCTTCTTTCTCGACTCTTTCGCTTTGTTTCTCTGCCGCTTGAGTTCCTCTTGAACCATATCGCCCAGGACACGCTCCTCCTCCAGCGTCTCCTCGAGCTTTTTGCGTTCCTCGAGCTCCCTTTCATCTTTAGCTTGCTTGGCCAATGCAGCTTCATGTGCTGCCCTCTCCTCCTCCAGAGACGGGAGCTCAAGTCCTTGGGCTTTCTTGTGGGCGGCAACTTCAAGGATCTCACGGATCCCCTCGACGATGCGGTCAATCATCTCCTGCTCCTCCTTGGCCCATGACTTTGGCTGCGTCTCGACAAACTTCTGGATCTTAAACCGGGTCGATTCCCGCAAGTCGCCGTCATCCTTGATGATCAACAGTGGGGGGGATTTCGGGTATGTTGCAACTAGGACAACACCCAGCGTCATGGCGACTTCTTCGTCGGACGAAGCCTTCACCCGAATATCGAAAGAAGGCTCGGATTTCTGACCGACGTTAATTTGCGAGGCACGAACCACAAATTACGTGTATTTATCAGCACTTACATGCCATGCAGTGTGCGCTGCGGTGTGCTCAATGAAGTCTTCACCATAGATAGCCTGTAACACCTAAACGTGTATGACATTAGCACTTTAGGGTCAGCCACAAGGTCACCCCCTTTTTTTTTCAAATTATTTTTAATTACTGGGCTAACAATCAAAGCAAAGCAAACAAGGGCCACCAACCATAACTTCTTGCTCTTGCAAGTCTTGATACTTGGTGTTGGTTGCGGGCTGCCCCGGGCTCTTGAGCCCCGGGAACCCCTCGCTGCCATCTTGCTGTGCTTGTTTTGTGGGCTTTTTCTTTGCAGCCATCGTAACGATGAGCGACCTGAGACTTAAACTGGTGAAATAACCCAGTAGGTCTGGTGAGACTCAGGGGGATGATGGCTTGTTGACTTGGAACTCGGACGTATGTAATAATACCCAAGAACCGGGGCGGGTATGCAAATGAACTACACAGCCAAAAGCGGCTGTGAGACTCTACTGCCGAGTTGAGCCCAGCATTTTCAAGAAACTGGTCTCATGTATTGGTTAGAAAGAGGGGTTAGGATAAGTGGTGGTTCTTTGGAAAGAACCTATGTAAAAGGCACAGTGTGACTCGAAGTTGATATGAGCGGGGTGTTCAGAGAGTGCAAGTTAGCTGCTCACAAAACACCTTTAGGTGACTCTCCGTACTATTGGAGGTGATGCTCCAGCGACCTAAAGTGGGGCGATTGCATTAAGGCAGCCCCACCCTGGGGCCAAGCGACGCGCCCACGCGCCCCACCATCCGCGGAAGCCCCCACAACAACGACTTTCGTCGCTGAATGGCTGGATTCGGAAATCAATCAATAACTAACACAAACAGCGGCAACGGAAACGACAACAACACGACGATCCGGCAGACGATGCTCTCTCGATAGGGCTTGAGTTTCAAAATTTGAGCTCAGAAGCGGCAGCTATTTTAAAAACCTCCCAACTCTAGCTAGCGGAGGTAGGAGATAGTCAAAATGATCAGCTGGGCGCTGAAGCGCAACGCCGACAACACGCGCGACGCGACAGCATCTGGTGGTACGATCTGCTTCAATTACGTCCAAAAATTCGTCAATGCTCGATTTCTAACATGGTTGTAGATGACACTACCCAGATTGATGTACCAGACACTCCAGCGCCGGTATTCGCCGTTCGCGCCCTAAAGACGGTCCTCTTTGGTACACCGGCACCCCGAGACCGTCGGCCTCTATCCAGGAATGCGAAAGACAAACCATCATCGCCACAGAAGCCAGGCGAGCCGTCAGCGCTGGCGGATAAGTCACCAGCCAAACCGCCTGGCATTCTTCTGACGCCAGGGACAGGCACCACGCGTCGGAAGCGCGTCTCGTTTGGCCACGATGTGAAACAAGGGTCGGGAGGAACGGCCAGGACCAGTACCACCGGATTACCCGACGATTGTCCCGGGAAATTCCCTAGTCCGTGGGTTGACCGGAGTACTGATGGGGGCACCCCGCGGCCGAAGACCAGGCTTCAACGGACGATGGAAAACTCGAGGAAGAATAATGGTGCCAAGGGCAACATAACAGATGAAAAGGATGTTGACCCCGAGCCGAGAGAGCCGGAGGATGCTTGGGAGGAGGTGGAAGACGACTACGAAGAATCTGATTTTGAGGCCGACGTCACCACGGACCTCAATGAACCACACTCACGCTCCGGTAAATACTGGAAATCTTACTTCGAGACCTACCACAACGACGCGAAGACAGAGATGGAGAAGCTGGTCAAGTACAAGCATCTTGCCAAGTCTTATGCGAAAATGAAAGACGCTGAGGCACTCGAGCTTAATCAGAAACTCAAGGAGGAACAAGAAAAGGTCAAGGGGATGGAGGAAAGGGTGGCGGAGATGGCTCGGGAAGTTGCCGTATCTGCCTTGAAGAAAGGGGGTGAAGGCGATCCCGTCCTGATGGAGGAACTTAGGAAGCAAACGGCTCTCGCAGTAGAGTACAAGACGCAAGTGGAGGAGTTAGAGATACTAGTTCAGGACACTATCGAAGGGGACGGGGATGGGCTGCGACGGCAGCGACGGAACGCATCACCCCGGACACAACGAACTCTGATGGAAGCTCAGCGGGAGCTCCGGCGGGCGAGGTCTCAGGTTCGGGAACTGGATAACTTGCGGGAGGATCGAGACCGGCTAAGATCCGAATTGAGGGCCGCCGAACTACGCGCTAACAAGTTGGCCGAGGAGAATCGCAAGCTCACAAACGACCTTTCCAAAAGCACATTGAGGGTGCAGGACCTAGAAAAGAGTCTAGAGGACTCTAAAGGCTCCTACGAAAAGTTAAAAGATGACGCCAAATCACGATACGTTGAGGCCCAGCAGGTACTACAGAAGAGGAACACGAAGATTTTGGAGTTGCAGGAAGAGATCGAGTCGCTTAGGAAACCTGGGGAAGGCCCAAAACGAACCGTCCGGTCAACCAGAGCGAAGAGCTTTGATGATAAAGTCATGGAGCTCAAGCCCTCAGAGTCGGTCGAGAGCGAGAGCGCAAAGCTACGAAGGGATCTTGACGAGATGAACCAAAGGGGGGGTCAGAAAGGGACAACGGCCTTATCCACGGCCGCAGAGATGAGACAGCAGCGAAGAAAACAGAGTAGGGAAGACCTCAAGCGGTTATCTCACGACGATGCGACACTGGCGCAAGCCCGGGCTCTTAGGGAAAAGCTCGAAGCCGAGTTTGGCACAAAGGGGTTACCGGTTACATCTGTTTTGGGCGACCGCGGGAACCTGCAAGACAACCACAGCTCTGCATTCAACGGCCGTTCCGCGCATGCTCCGGAGGACCGGCTCCCTAAAACCCGGGCCGGCCGTGCCGCACGACCAGCCCGAGTCTCAGAAGTGGCTACAGCATCAACCGACAAAACAGCCCCAGACGTCGGTACCACTGAACCCCGCGAACACAAACGCGGCAGCAAGACCGCGTTGCTCGGGCAACCACGCAAGGTATCGATCCGTGCCGTATCACAAGAGGACGACGCGGTGCCTGACGCTGCCGACACCAATACCGTCGGCCAGGACAGTACTGTTTGGAGCACGATGAACCCCTCACGGACGACGCTGCCAGAACACCGGAAGGCGGCCGCGCTGGCGAGGATTCAGCGGCGGATCGCGGAGAGGAAGATGCTGCAGCAGGCCGGGCGGGATAAGGAGAATGCTCGGCCGTAGCGCGTTGGTCCTCCGTAGTTTTCTTGTTGAAGTACGTTTTAAGGTTGTTTTGGTTGGTGTTTTGATGCTAAAGATACCGTTTTCATGTCATGTCTGGGTTGGTTTAGGGGTGTTGCATAAGGTCTCCATCTCTCGGATGGCTCGGAGATTAATGGGAACGGCCGGATGGGAGAAATAGCACATGGTGTTTGGGAAATTTTTTAGTTGTTGGCTCCACGTTGCTTAATGCGAATGTGAGTATTCACTAGCAGACTAAGAAGGTGGAATTGAGCTTTTTGAGTTGGCTAGACGGGAACAGCGTTGTAATTGATTTATATCCGATCGTAAAGGGGTCACCGCAGATAAGCTTATCGGCCGATGTTGCCTCTGATGAACCAAAAGCCCCATCTTTAACCACCCGAGCGCCCCCGAAACTAAACAACAAGTAAAACTGCGAAGCAAATCCAAATAAATCATAAGAAAGCGGAAAGCAAAATAATACCTGAAGCCAAAATGGGCTCCGTCGCTATATCAAACAGCCAACCCGGCGACGAGCTCGATAAGGAGATTGCGCTTCTTGAACAACAACTAGCAGAGGCCAAAGCTAAGCGTTCTACATCAGCTCACCCCTCCAAATCACCCTCACAAATTCCAAGTATTCAACACCCCCTTTTCTAAGTCATAAAAATAAAAAGTGAAAGTAAAAGACTTATTGCTAACCCCCTCCCCAGAACCACTCCCCTCAACACTCACCTCCCCCACACATTTCCTCCTCCTCCTCTCCGACTCCGCCCTCCCCCTCGGCAGCTTTGCTTTCTCCTCCGGCCTCGAAAGCTATCTTGCCCACCAGAAATCCGTCTTCCGCCGACCAGCCTCCTTCGCGCCCTCCTTCCTCCCACTCTCCATCTCCTCCTATGCCTCGGCCACGCTCCCTTTTGTCTTGGCCGCGCATCGTGACCCGTCGTTTGCGTCTTTAGCAGCCCTGGATGATGCGCTAGATGCGGCTGTGGTGTGTAATGTGGGCAAGAGAGCGTCGGTTGCGCAGGGGCGGGCGTTGTTGGGGATTTGGGAGAGGTCATTTGTGGGGGCGTTGGGGAAAGGGGGAGGTAGTGATGGTGGTGAGGCGGCGCTGCGGAAGTTTGCCGCGCAGTTACGCACTTCAAACCTCCCATCATCGGGACCAAAAAGCGGAGGCACTACTACCCCCTTCGGCACCGTTACAACCACCACGGCGAACGGCATTGACGACACCAACGAAGACCCGGATGCGCCTCCTCCCCTCGCTGCTCACCTCCCGCCACTGTTCGGCGCGATCGGCGCGCTGGCGGGGTTAAGTGCGGAGCAGACGGCCTATGTATTCTTGTTGGGCCACGTCAAGGCGTTGGTATCAGCAGCGGTGCGGGCGGGCATGTTTGGACCATATCAAGCACAGAAGACATTGGCGAGCGAGGCGGTGCAGGGCCTGATCGCTGCGATGGTGGAAAGGGAGTGGACGACGCCAATAGAACGGGCCGGGCAGAGCGCGCCGGTGATGGATTTGTGGATGGGCAGGCATGAGGTGTTGTATTCGAGGATTTTTAATAGTTAATGGACGGCATTGGGATGAGGAATGAACATCACGGAATGTCGTCAAAGCAGTTTCGTGTCGGCGGATGTGGGCCGGGTTGTGTGCTCTTGCGACAAGTGGTATCATGGTTGATGGGCATCTAAATATCAAGTACCTGCATGGGGTGGGCAGGCACATCTAATCACTATCATCACTGTCATAGGCCACCAATGGGCCTGACGGTGCCGCAGCTTTTGGCTTCGAAGCAACCGAAACTTGAGCAGCTTGCAAAGCAGCTAGAGTGCTGCTCGAGAGAAGCCCCCCTGTTGCTTGTGCTTCCTGCTGCCGTTGATCCTCGGCCATCTCGGCCTCCGCCGCCTCAATCAGCAGCCGCTGTTCATGCTCCAGCTCGTACCCTTCTCGCCCTCTGGGGTTGACGGCATTTGGGCCTCGGGCAAAATGCACCTCGTCTGGCGCCTCATATCCCTCGAGCCCGTAGCCACTCTCCAGCTTACGCCGTTTCCTTGCTTCCGAGTCCTTGCCCTCGATCTCCGCGACAAATTCTGCTGGTAGCGCCCTGCGGATAGCCTCGGCCGCTTGTTCCTCAATCCGTCTCGCCTCCCGCTTTTGTGCCATCGGGTTCGGGTCTGCCGTCGCCCACCGCACGTTTAAAATCTCGTTGTGGTCAAGGGATCTACCACACAGGTTAGCCAGGGAAGTCACTCCAAATGCTACGGGCTGATACATACTGATGTGCCATCGACTCCTTGGCAAACTGCGCGTTCGCCTCATTTGTGTAGGTCACAAACGCCACGCCCCTCGTATTGAGTACGCGGACACGCTCGACCTGGCCCCATTCCGCAAAGTGCCGTGCTACGATCTCCTCGATATCGTCTGTCACATGAATCCGGCCAATGTAGATCGTGCGGTTCTGCCGGGTAAAGCTCCCGACACCGCCCATGTCATCGCGGTAATCGCTGAACTTGTCGCGCCCGAAACAATCCACATTGGGGTTGAAGAGGTCGTGGATACCGGGTAACCGGTGGAGGTAGTCGCAGTCTTGGCCCTTGGGACTGTGAGATCTGTTAGATAAACCCATCATAGTAGTAAAAGAGAGGCATGAAAACAACGGAGATGTACCATATCCCCCTTGCAAAAAACAAGCAGAAGTACGACCCCGGCCGCGCATCAGCACGCGTGTATCCCGTGTCCTGCGCAATATTACACCGTCCCTTTGCATGTGTCTGCGACAGGTACTTGTCTTCGCGATCGCCCCCCGACCATTTGTTGTACCAGATATTGAACACCGTGCCTGTCTGCGGTGGCGGCTCTGACTTGATCTCGGATGGATCGATCTGCGGCCGTGCCGGGCGCTTCTTTCGCCGGATGATCTTCTTCACTTTCTTCTCTGCTGGTGGAGCGACTTCGTTGTTTACTATAGCGAGAGCTAGGTCTTGAGTTGGTTCTTGCGCGTCGTCCCCGGCCGCAAGGGTTGCGTCGACTCGCGCTTCGACTTCTGCCATGTCTGAAATTGATGGATGTTTGTGTTTGCGGTGCAATGTTGCCACCTGGAAGCCGAGGTCGATGGGGTAGTGTCGCCGGATCGAAATGGCAGATTCGAAGGGGCGAGGACCGTGTGCGCAATGCTTATTTCAACGATTATTCGTCCTGGTTTGATGAAGTTGCAACAAGAAAAGTCCCATAGCAACGGGTTGAACGATGCTCGCCAAGCTCATGCATCTGCAGGGATCTTCAACACCCTGGTCCGGGCGAACTGGGCTTAGGTAATCATCAAACCTTCACTTTCTATTCTCAAAACCTCGGAAGGACAATTCATCTTTGTAGTCTTTAAGATCACCGAAAATGACCCAGTCACGTAGCAAATGCTTTAGGGGTACGAAGAACAAATATTCCAAATCCGTCCCTAGAGCTCGGATCTAGAAGAATATGAGTCTGCAGCGAAGGAAATTATTTCAGAGGCTCGGGAAAGGCGGCCTCGCTTTGACCAAAAAAGCGGCACACTAAAGCAGATAGCCCAAGTCCAATCCATTAACATTCGATCAAATCTTAATAAATTTTGATTGATTTACTCTTTTTTGTCTTTTTTTTCAATTTCTAGATTTATTCATTTTTGTCTTCTTTCACTTTCTTTGGTTTATTCTTTTTGGTCTTTTTCACCTTTGTAGCAAAAGTCAGTTATCCATGGACTTGGTTTGCCGCTTTTTTTGGCCATTGCGAGGCGGCATATCATTTGTGTCCTCGGTAACATAAAATGTTTCGAGCCAGATTCCCAAACTAGTCTAAAGAGCACAACAAGTTAAAGTTCCCCAAAGTCGAGTTGGTCGTGAGAGAGAAACGCTGTGCATTCAAAGGCGGTGAGTTGATTTGTTCGGATGCACCCCACCTGCCCCTCGAAATTCTGCCGTCTCAAAACGTGGGGTCCAAGCATCCAGTTACGGCCCACGAGGGAGGACGCTGCATCTCATCAACAAAGCTCACCCCAATTTAGCTATTGATTTTGACGATTGAAGCCGGCTTTTTCTCTTCATTTTTTCTCGTGACTCTGGGTTAATAACCCCTCACCTTTCAAGATGGTGAATATTACAGAAAAGATCAAGGAGTATGGCATCGCAACGGTCCGTGAATTTGGGGGCATTCACTAACGACGAGGATAGGATCGAGGATGAGATGAGGAAGACCCAAAGTTTGTTTCACTGTATTATCGAGTCAAGTGGCATTTGACTAACAAAACTGTAGAAAACAAGGCAACGGGTACGTGCTTCTTAAGCCAGAGTGAGGGCCGATTCTAACTTTCATCAGAATATCACTTGGGTCTTCTCAAAGGGTAAGTCGGTCGCTGCAGTTTATTGATCCTGGAGCTCTGACTTTCTCCAGAAAGCTTGCGCGGCTTCGTGCTCAATTACTTGAGCCAGGTCCGGGAGCTGGCGGTGGTGGAGGCGCCGGTTTCGACGTGAGCAAGAGCGGTGATGCGCGCATAGCACTTGTCGGTTTCCCATCCGTCGGCAAATCCACATTCCTTTCAAAGGTTACAAAGACCAAGTCCGAGGTCGCATCCTACGCCTTCACAACATTAACCGCCATCCCCGGTGTTCTCGAGTATGGAGGTGCCGAGATTCAGTTGTTGGACTTGCCAGGAATCATTGAAGGTGCCGCGGAAGGGAAAGGGCGAGGGCGGCAAGTTATTTCGGCGGCCAAAACCAGCGATCTTATTCTGATGGTCCTGGATGCAACAAAAAGGGCGGAACAGAGATCGTTATTGGAGGCTGAACTGGAAGCTGTGGGGATCCGGTTGAACCGGCAGCCGCCGTGAGTCGCGTTGGTCACTCATCGTCCCCTAAAGTACCCCTGGGCTGACACTACGCTACCAGAAATATTTACCTCAAGCCTAAAAAGGCCGGTGGTATGAAGATCACCTTCCAATCCCCCCCAAAAGGCCTCGACGAGAAGATGATCATGAGCATCTTGCGCGACTACAAGCTTCTCAACTGCGAAGTCCTCGTCCGCGACGACAGCTGCACCGTCGATGACCTGATCGATGTCATCATGAAGGATCACCGCAAGTACATCCAGTGTCTGTACGTCTACAACAAAATTGATAGCGTATCGCTCGACTTCCTCGATAAGCTCGCCCGCGAACCGCACACGGTCGTCATGAGCTGCGAACTTGACCTCGGCATCCAAGATGTCGTGGATCGCTGCTGGAAGGAGCTAAACTTGATCCGCATCTACACCAAGCGCAAGGGCATCGATCCCGACTTTAGCGAGGCCCTCATCGTCCGCAGCAATAGCACCATCGAAGATGTGTGTGACCGTATCCACCGAACGCTCAAGGAGACGTTTAAGTATGCCCTGGTATGGGGTGCCAGCGCGAGGCACGTACCGCAGCGAGTAGGGCTGGGTCATCCCGTTGCAGACGAGGATGTAGTATATATTGTCAGCGGTTGGAAGGCGTGAAGCCATTTCCGAAATACGAAAGGGATGATTAGTGCCCATTTATCAAGCCTCGAGTCACAAAATATGTGGGCAGCGTCACCAATGTTATTATCCCATGTTTTGTGCGTTCTGTCTCTGCTGCTGTCATACCCAGTCGTAAACACAATCTTCCCCTGCTTCCGTTCATCAACCCATACCCAGCCAACGTGATCAATATTCCCCTGCCCTCACCCTAAACCCGGGAGAGGGACAAAACAACAAGAAAATCAATCGCCCAAACGCCTCCATGGTATACCAACCATCCCATCCGTTCCTATCCCTACCCGCCAGCCAGCAAAAGGTGCAAAACAGCCCCAGTCTATGAGAAATACAGAGTAATACAAAAGAAAAGAAGAATAAAATGATAGGCATCAGTAGGCCAAGCTGCAATATCCCTGGCTCTCGTGGCCGGGTAAGACCACGGGGAGGAGGTTCGTCGAATCGAAATAAGATAGGAAAAGTTCCAAGGTGTTGGTGCATAGAAGGCGACGTTTACTTGCTGCCAAAAGGGTTGCTGTTGTTGCCCTGCGCCGGCGCAGCAGGCTTGCTGCCGAAAAGTCCCGCGCCGTTGGCGCTGTTGCCGGTGCCGAGCTTCTTAGCGGACGCCTGAGCGAAAAGCGACTTGGGCTTGACTCTGTAAGGTACATATTAGCCTCGGACATAGACGCGAGAGGGGAGGATCAAGATATTGGAAGGCACTGGGGATGAACGTACTTGCCGACCTGCTTGCTGCGGAAGGCCGAGAGCTTGGCCGTGCAGGGGCTCATGATGTTGTCTGAGGGAGAGATAAACTTGTTCCTGGAGAGGGTGAGGAATGTTAGTCTCGGGTACAGCCTTAAGAAAGAACTTGACTCATGGTTACGTACTCGCCCTGCTCCATCTTGGATTGAAAGACCTGGCGGTGGTGCTCCATGCTCATGACGCCGGGCTTGGTGTTGCTGTCGACCTCAGCAGGCTGGGAAGCCATCGAGGTGTTGACGTCGCGAGCGGCCAGAACGTTGGAAGACATGATGAATTTGCGGATGTCTAAATCTTCGAAAAATTCGGCAATAGGATTGCGGTATTTGTCTGAGGAAGAATGCGCGGAAGCAAAGTCGAGTGGTAACTATTTGCTGTGTGTTGTTGTTCGATGCGAAACGGGAACGGAGAGCAGATGGATGGACGCGGATGTAGTGTGTTGGTTGTAGGTTGTAGAATGCGGAAAGAGCAAACGGAGGCGGCGGATTCCAACTTAAACCCAGCCAGGGACACAGTGACGGCGTGGCTCATCAGGCAGGCTGGCAGAAAAAAGAACAGAAAAAACACACTTCTGGTTTCGGCTCCGTCGACGGGGCAACCGCATGAACAACAGGGGTCCCGAAGCCCCACAGCACCACCCCTGCGTCTTGGCAACCAAACGGTCAGGAACCATCTGCGGCATTGCCGTCAGTTATGACTCCACCAACGGGCCAGTCAACAATGGGAGTCGACTGCTACCATCGCAACGCAACACAGGAACAAAGAATGGACCAAATTTAACCGCATCCGCCGGTCCGGAATGATGATTAGCTCAATTTATGCGTGCCTTGTTTACCAACAAAACCTAATCGAACCTATGGAAGGAGCAAAAACAGAAATACAGTCGAGGGAAATCGAGAGAAACCAAACAAGCAGGCCATGGACCGTTCCGCCAGCTTTGCGACTTAATGCTTGATGTTGGACCCAATCTCGATGCGCTCTACCCCGTACTGCTTCAGAAGCTGCTCTGACTTGGCCTTTTGCGCCGCGATCTTCTGGGCCACTGCATTGCCGCGCTTATTCTCATTCCTACCCATCTGCTGCAGATGGACCTCGTCGGGCCCGTCCGCCAGCCTCAGCGTCCGGATGCCCGCCCACATGTAGGCCAGCGGCGTGTCCTGGCTGACACCCGCTCCACCAAACGATTGTACCGCCCGGTCAATGACGGTCAGCGCCGTCTGCGGGACGAGCACCTTAGCCTGGGCAATCTCGGTGAGCGCAGCCTTGGGGCCGTGGTCGTCCATCTTGATGGCCGCGTTAAGCACAACCAGGCGCGCGGCGTCAATCTCAATGCGCGACTTGGCCACCCACTCCAGAATCACACCGTGCTCGCGCAGTTGCTTGCCGAACGTGGTCTTCCTGGGATCGTTGATGCGCATCAGCATCCACTCCAGGGCGCGTTCGGATGCGCCAATTGTCCGCATCGCGTGGTGGATGCGCCCGGGACCGAGACGCCCCTGGATGATTTCAAACCCGCGGCCCTCGCCGAGGACGAGGTTCGCCGCGGGTACGCGGACGTCCTTGAAAGTAATGTGGCCGTGCCCGTGCGGAGCGTCGTCGTACCCGTAGACAGAAAGCATGCGATGGATAGTAATGCCGGGGGTGGTCGCTGGCACAAGAATCACGGACTGTTGGCGGTAAGGGTCCCGGTTACCGGCATCACTCTTGCCCATGACGATATAGACCTTGCAACGGGGGTCGCCAGCACCGCTGGACCACCATTTCTGAGCCCAAGGTTAGCGATCACGCGCGCTCGCTTGCTTCTGTATCCAAGTCATTCCATACCTGTCCGTTCAACACATAATGATCACCGTCCTTCTCAATCTTCATCTCAATGTTGCGGGCATCCGACGAAGCCACCTGGGGCTCCGTCATCAAAAAGGCGGACCGGATCTCGCCCTCCATCAGGGGCTTCAACCATTCGGCCTTTTGCGCATCGTTTCCGTACTTGGCCAGCACCTCCATGTTGCCCGTGTCCGGGGCAGCACAGTTAACGGCTTCCGAGGCAGTCCTCGACTTGCCCAGCCACTCGGCCATCAGGCCATACTCGAGATTCGTCCAGCCCGGCGACTCCTTATAGTGACCTTTGGGCAGAAACATGTTCCACAGCCCGAGGGACCGCGCCTTCTTCTTCAGGTCTTCCAAAATTGGGGGGTGGGCTTTCCATCTAGCATCACCAGATCCAATCTGGGCTTCATAGACGGCATCGGCGCTGGCAAAGCATCAGTTTTCTAATTCGTCACTGCAGCATCACGAGGCGGCGGTGTGGATTGAGGGATGGCGCTTACGGAATGCATTCTTCCTCAACAAACTTGGCAACGACGTCCAGCGTCGTCTTGGCCTTGTCGCTCACACGGTGACGAACCTACACAACCCGTCTCAGCTTATGATGTTGGAGACATGATTTGAGATCGGTGTGTTTTCTTACGGCAATTGGAATCTGAGCCGACATTTTTGCGGGATTAATCCAAGAGGCTTTGATTTAGTACAATTTCTGCTTCTCTGGATGAAAAGATGGAGCCGTTGATCTTCGTAAGAGGGTTTAAATGGGAAAGCTGATGAAGCTGAAGTTCAACGTCCTCGCTCCACTGATATGGTTAACCGTCAAGCCCGTTCGGCGTGTTCCATGCCGAGGTCCATCGGTCCCCCGGCTTCAGCGGGCCACTCAGAGGGCGAGAAGTGTTCGGCGCAGTCGTTCAGTGGCTGGTGTCAAAATGCGGAGATGCCCTGGCGGCTTCCTGGGCGACCCCGCTAGGCCCACCGCTAGAGCAGGGGCATCATGGAAGCAGCTTGAGGGAACCAAAGAAAACGTTCAATCTTACGAGCAGAGGTGACATTCATATAACAGGATCAACACCTTGGGGGCTGGCATCGCAAATATCATGACCAGTACGACGGTTACCCGGCCAAAAGGAATTTCGTGAAAAGCAGAATCTGGGACATTCGCTCACTGACCATCACCTCAGCTTCATATGCCGATTAGTTATCCATGCCTTGAGTTTAGGGAGGAAGATCGGTAAAGCATATCCTGCACCATGAAGAGGTCGGGCCGAAAGCCACACGAAAAATACGATAAACGGGTTAAAGGATCACCAAACTCGGGCCGTATTCCTCCTTGACTCCTCGGAAGAGATGTTGTGAGGTACTACCCGAACTGATACCGCCTCAACAGGTAGGTCTCTCTAAACGTGGCACTTGTATGTATGTACGGTCCCTACTGTAGTTAGGTACCTAGTGTATCCCAAACAGCCGGCCGGACGCTCAAAAGGTACTTCGTAAGTTGTTGATTTCACGATTCTTCATTGTAGATTCTCACATCATGAAAGAGAAACCAAAACACTGCCCAACAACGCCGACACTGGTCAATGTTAAAAACTTTTCAGGCCCTATGTGTTCGCTCTCCGCCGAGGGTGTCGTCATCAGAATCCGGCCCGGGCCCGGCCGGCCTTTACAAGCGGCCCCACGCGTCTAATTCCGGAGCCGATTGAGGGCGCAAACGGAGAGAGGGATGGCATTGCAGTGGGTGGCCCGCACGGCCCAGATTTGTGGCCAGCCGAGGGTTTTGGGATGTTTCGTCCCATGCCAACCGACCAACACAGGGTATTGCGGTTCATCCACTGTGTCACTAGGCCACCTCAACTTGTGTCAGGAGGTATTCCTCACAATTTCTGCCTCGAGACAGGTCTCGGGTTCGAGTCAGTGCTTCGTCAGCCTCGAACGTCATTGGAGACGTCAGCCCGCGGGTTTGCTCCCCGACCCAATAAGTGTCTAACTAACGGCAGCCGGTGTCTAACAGATGAGGGCGCAACGGGGCCTCGGGGATTTTTGCAGATCCAACGCCCCGAGGAGAGAGTTGTGGTAATCCCAGTCGCATTTTTCAGAATCGGGCATCGTGGACATTTCGGCGTCGGGGTTTTTGAATGCTGCGAACACGGGGAGCTTGGGCGTTACGTCACTCGTTCATTTTGCGCCGGAGCGCTCATGGCGGTGTCGGCCATCTTTTCAAACTAGAAGGATTGGTCATGTGTGATGGGCACGGGCGACAAGATATTACTGCCTTCCATAAGTTCCGTCGAGTCACCCGATTGCAAGTCGATTCGAAATGGGTCCTGTTTCGGCGAGAGTCCAAAGACGCTGCCCCTGATTGGTGTTCGAGTCGAGATCCTCCGTTCAGGGAAATCGGTTGGGGGTTGAGGCTTGCAGCGGCCCGCTAAAAACAATCTCAGGGAGGGAACCTGGCGGCCCACGTTTTTGGGCCCCGCTTTCCCCCATTTGGAGTGTTTTGAAGCCCGTTGGCTGCAGCTCTCTGCTTGCCTTTTCCATCGACCGGGGGCTCCCCTCCTCAACCTTCAAGCCTCGACCCAAGCTGTCGGCACACCACCACATCACATTCAACGTCCTTTTAGGCACGCGTTTCTGGAGTCTTCTCAGCTTGGCCGACTCGAAGCTCCGAATTACTCACCTACCGCGCGGCCTTTCTAATTTCCTATTCAATTCCCTACGTCACGAGCATCCATATTCCGCCGCCTCCCTTGCCTAGTTGAGCCAAGTTGGGTTGTATAACCACCACCTGCAGCCCCTCAACACCGCCCCCACGAAACCAATCCTTCGTTCTCCAAAGCCGACCGACACAGACTCCCAGATCTACATCATCTCTTTGCCGCTCCAGTAATTCGTCAAAATTCGCTTCAGCCTCTTCAGGGCGACTTTTTGATTCCAATTTTTAGCATTTCTACTGCTGCAGTTCCATCGCTGAGCCAACCGCACGCGAAACCCTCCAAATCATGCCACCATACCACCAACGAGAACCTTAACATCGAGACGACGCGAGGCCTATACGCCGCCTTCTTCTAGTCCACACGAGTCACAATGGAGATGGTGAAGGCGGCTAGCTCGCTCATGCCCAAAAAGTTTCGGAGCGTCCGAGAAAAGAGCGGGCATCGCCGCCAAAGGTCGTCCGAATCTGGGGGCAAGGTTAGTGAAACATATTCCCAATGTCCTTCCATATGGGTTCAAATTCTTAATCATCCTTTATTTTAGGTCCGCCCACTCACGACCGACTCATGGCTTTCAATCTTTAAGTCCGACTCTACAAAGCAGGCGCAGAGGGAAAAGGAGGAGGTGGAAAAGGAAACAGCAAAGGTACCCTTTCATCTTAGCCCTCACGATCCAACCAGGGCCTGTGTTAATTGTTTGAATAGGTCGATATCATCGTCAAGCGCTTAGATGAGCTCAACTACCACACCGTTTCCAAGGATATTATCCGTATCGCGCTGCGCTCTACCTTTGCTAGCGGCAACGTTGAGAAGGCAGTGGAGCTGCTGCAACTTCAACAGCAAGCCTTTTCAGGGATAATACAACCATACGACCCAAATGTTGAAATGCTTGGTGCTGAGAATAGGGGAAACGTTACATGCTACTTAGATTCCTTACTCTTCGCCATGTTTGCGCATCTCTCGGCGTTTGAGTCCATGCTGAAAAACGACTTGGAAGGCGAGCCCCAGAGGAAATTAGCTGCCCTGATTAGGTTATGGGTCAACATGCTCAGGAGCGGAAAGTTGATACACGCTGATATGGTATGATATGAACCCCACTATTTGCTTGCCTTTCGCCTTATTGACTTGAGCGTCACAGACGGAACACATACAACTAGCTCTTGCCGAGTGTGGTTGGAAAGATGCCGCCCTTCTCGAACAGCAAGATACCTCGGAGGCCTTTGCCTTTATTGCCGACGCATTATCATTACCACTTCTCGCTCTCCAGATGGACCTTTTTCACCAAGGAAAAGGAGATGTGGACGATCATAAAGTAGTCCACGAGAGATTTCTTAATCTCCCAGTGCCACCAGACACGGACGGAAAAGGCATAAAGCTCGAGGATTGTATGGAGGCATATTTCAACAACAGGGTGGACGTACTTCGCGACAGCTTGGAGGAGAAAAAGTCCATCGATCGACCGCCTTTGACCTCACAGACTACGATTCGAATGGTCCCTGAGGATGACGATGAGACCCCACGTGCGGAAGATGAGAACGTACAGTTGCAACGAAGATGGACGACACATGGGGCGCTTATGCAGTCGCCGACCGGCACGTCCAGCCCAGACTTCGTGCCATCAAGTTCCCGGACTCGGTCAACCAGTATCATACAGCGCTTCGTGGTGAACGAAAAGAATTCAGAAACTTCGTCAGCGGATGCAGAAACGAAAAGCCTACTCCAGCGAGCCAAACGTACCGGGTCAACGGTAGTGAAGGCTGTCACGATCCCGGCCTGGCAATTTTATCGGTTGATACGTCAGTCTACCCACCCCTCTTACTATAATATCCGTTCTGAGCTGAATCTAACATTGTTGCCCAGCGTGGAATGCCACATCCAACAACGCACCGAGCAACGACGTAGAGCTTGCCCGACATTTCAATAAGCGGCCCGTCGTTGCTATCTGCTTGAAGCGATACACTATGACGGAAACCGGTGTTCCAGTCCGACAAAACACGTTCATCGACATTCCAGATAGCCTCCGTCTCCCGCATTTCATGGTCGTTGACCGGGCCGAGGATGACGACCAAGACCCGAATGGCCTAAGTCAGGGGTACAAGTTGGTCCTGCAGTCGGTCATCTGCCACCGGGGAGATTCAATTCATAGCGGGCACTATGTAGCCTACGCTCGGGTCGCACCGAAGCTCCTTACGGATAACCGCAAGCACGACTTTGATCCGCCTCCCGATTATGAAGAGGCCCAGTGGGTGCGGTTTGACGACCTTGCCGTCGAAAAACGTGTTGATACTGTGGACGATATCCAAGAGTGTCTACGGCGCCAGGAGGAAATGCCGTACGTGCTAATCTACCAGATCGTCCCGATGGTGGACGTAACGGCTACATCAACGGACGGATCCGTAGCTGAACCCCCAGGCTATGTTGAATCGACGACCACCGTTCCCGGGACGCCCAGCGTCGAAGCTGTATCTGATGCCGGTCAGCTCTCTAAATCAACAAGCGGTTATTTCGAGTCTGGCACGACGCTCGCCAGCAGTACGCCTCAAATCCGTCTCAGCTCTGAGGTTGAGATCCTACCACGGCTGAGTATTGAAGAAGCCGCGCCTTCTCTCGCTGTTCAAACAAATCTTTCTCGACGCGGTAGTATCACGTTCTCCGAGCCTGCCCTCCCTGGCCATGGTGCCTCACATCCCGATGCCATATCTCCTGTCGTCACCCCTCAGGAAGAGACTACAGGGGCCCGGCTCTCGCGGGCAGCAGCTATGTTCAAGGCAGGAGCTAGCAGGTCCCGACCAACCAGCCAGGCTGGCGAGGGCCGTCTGAGCCTCAATATATCGCGGTTTGGTTTCGGCCGACAGGGCAAGGAAAGCAACTCTAACGGCGCCAATAGCGAGGCGTCGGCGAGCGAGCACGGTGGTGGATCCGTTACAGATGCTGACGAGGCAACGGCTGATGGAAAGGATCATCTGGCTGCCGGGATTCCCCCCAAAAAGGAAAAAGAGAGAAACAAGTCCAAGACCCGGGATGAGAAGAAGGACAAAGGCAAGGGGAAAACTAAGGAGACTGGAAAGGCAAAAGGAGGGGTGCCAGACCGCGAATGTGTCGTCATGTGAACATGCGGACGACCCAACCATGGTCTATTGCATTTGGCTGCATTCCACATCTTGAAAATCTAGACTTCGGCGTTATAATGGTTCAAGTGGGAGGCCAGTCTCGTTCACAGCAAAGGCTCAACTATTTTTTTGTTTGGCTTAGGTTGAGGGAACATGGCGTTAGGCCGCGGCGATAAGGGCGAAACAAGGCAGCATAGGAGCGGGATGGGAAGGGTTTTCTTCACCCCTCGAAATGAGGATGAATTTTTTTCAACGGTTAAAACCAAGCGATAGACGGACCAGCATTGGGCTTGTTTCAGGAGTGGGCTGAAATGGATTGATTTTAGGGGGTTGCATGATGTTGAGTGATACCAAAAGGCAAGAAGGAGGCATGGAAAGGAATAACGAAAACACGGGGCGTCCACGGAATCATATCATAATGTTTGCTTGGTGTTGTAAGAGCGAAGAAGAAAGACGGAGTGTGGCATTGTCAAACGATGCCGCCGTAATTGGCCTGAGTGCTATCCTCGCTAGCGATTAAGAACTTGATGATAGTTTTTGAAGAATCATTTGTTTGAGGGCATTGCGGCATGTGGAGTTAAACACAGTCACTTGTTACCCGCACTCCGGTGACTGAGTTCTGGCTCTTTAGTTGTTTTAACTTGTTTTCCACATTTCATCCGCGTGCTATTTTTACACAACTTGTCCAGCTTATGCCGGTAGTATCTACAACATGACCACTGCTAGTCAAGGCATAGGGCGTGCCCAAAAGGAGAGAAAAACAATTGTAGCCTCCCAGACTCCTAGTTTTTCCCTTCACACCATGCTGACCTTTTCCTATCCCTTGCAAGCCCGGCCATCTGTCACTTTGCTCGTTCATATCAACATCAACATCAAGGCTGCATAGTCATATGGGGAAGCCCCCCTTCCCCCTTGTATGACCCGCAGCTAACTTTCCTCTCTCGTTCATCATCAACACAGATCTATAGTACACATTTTTGTAATTTTAGGGTTCCGCCGCCGCTCAGCAGTCCATCATCGTCTCCAGACGCCCCGGGTCCAGGGATGGGGAACCGCCGGCAGGTAGAGAGGGGAGAAGAGACGTCTATCGTTCATCAAAAGAGTCGGATATGCATAGACACGCTCGGGCCGACCTAATGCTGAAAAAGAGGACCGCGGACTTTGTGCGGCAGGAGAACTAGCCCGCTGAAGGCCACGGCGGGGTGGAAAAATATCCGGTGGAAAAAGATGGATGGGGCATGTATCAGTCATGCTCCCGTCCTATGTCGGCGGCGAGGTGTAGCTGACATGACATTAGATTAGGCGGTCGTGATAAATGCGGCGGAGGAGAGCGGACAGGGCGGCGTTGTCGGGTCGGTAGGCCCAGAGGAAACGGACATCTTCATGTTATGTCGTTTCTGACTGGTCCTTTAAACTTCCGATGTTGTTGTCTAGAAGGGGATGTTGGGAGGAGGCTGGGCACCCAGGGCCTCCTGCTGCTCCTGGAGCTCCTCGCCACCGGCCTCGATCGAGATGCCGACACCAATCTTCGCTTGTTGCTATTGAAGAGGTTAGTTGAGTCCTGTATCACTTTGGGAAGGGCACGGTTCTTACCGTCAGGTGGTCCACGTCCGCGGCGAAGGTCATCATAACGGGGGCAGCAACACGCTTCTCGAGCAGGCAGCTCAGCTTCCCGGTGGAGTCGATCTGCGCTCGGAAAGTAGACATGCGGAAGTCGTACTTGGCACCAAATGTGGTGACGCCCTCCTTGGCGAGACCACCCATCATGGCACCACTGGGGGCGACAGAAAGGGTCATATCAACACCAGCTTGGACCTTGTCCGATAGGCGTTGCCAGTACGAGGCGTTGAGGGCACCCTGAGCCTGCAGCTGAGCGCTTGCAATGTAGGTGTCGGTCTTGTACCGAGCGACGTAGGAGAGGGCAGTGTCTGGGCCTTGGGTAAGGCCAGCGCGTTGCCAAACACCCTCTAGACCGAGAGAAAGCTTGGGAGTAACGGATTGAAGGTATTGACCGATGAAAATGCCGGTGAGACCGCCCTCGAGGAAAGAGGGGTTAAGGCCCTTCAGGCTGGCAGTAAAATCGCTGCCCTGATATTCGTTCTCGAACTGGGCCATGTCCTGGCCGGTGGCACCGGGGGTGATCTGGAAGCGCGATTTGGTAATAAAAGAATCGTTCCACCTCCAGTTGAAGGAAGCCGAAAGCGCACCCTGGTCGTCGATGTTTCCTTGGGCGAACACCTTGCTAGTACCATAAAGCGCAGCGAACGTGTAAGGACTCAACCGCTCGCCCATGGCAAACTGATGAGATACTTGAAACCTTTGGGTTTTTGTTGATTAGCACAGCACCGAGGGTATTTGTGCGGCAGGTAACCTCTGAAACAGCCAATTGGGTGAAGGAGGGGCATACAGAGGGCTGAAGCTGAACGCTTTTGTCAGGTCGGCTCGGAGACCAGAGAACATCAAGTTCGTCGTAAGAACATCGCGCTGGACCTCTATAAGTCTGTTAACAACACCGGACTAGATGTCAAGGGTCGGAACTAGAGACGATAACCGAGGGCGGCTAGATAGTGGTTTTTCTAAATTGGTGACGTACCCTTGGCAATGTTTTCTACCTGCCCAGGATTTGACAGGCCAAGTTTTGCCCTCCTTTCTTGGAATGCATTGTAGACATCTGAAAGACCGGAATATACGGGGTTCTTGTGCAGGAACCCGAGCGGGCCGTCGGGATTGGTGGCGACGGCCATGATAATGGCAGTCGGATTGTGGTGGTGATCGCGCGATCCGCTTCACAGCTGTGTCGTGATGGAATTTGGAGGGGTGAGCGAGATGGTAAACAGCGAACTGATACCCTGGTAGGTCCAATTCTCTTTGTTACTCGAAAGGCAGTAAGTGCCGTGGTCGGAGTGTAAATGTCGAGAGACCACTTGAACCGTGCCGATTGTTTCGCTACTCGGAAGGCAATCGTTAAATTCCGTAGTTTGAAGGAGCATGGTCCAAAAATTTCGCGGTTTCCCGAACAGCGGCGAACCTTGGTTTGCTGGTCCGGGCGCTGGTGGGGCAACTCGCCGCCAAGGCGGGCTCACGTTCAACGCCCACAAGGGCCGAGCTGTTTGGGAGGAAATGGAAGCCCCCGCCATAACCACCGCATGACGGAGTCGGAGAAATAAGCCGCCGAAGATAGCCGGATGCAGGGTGCCCGTCCGACATCCCGGCAATTGACGTCGCTTCGGCTCACATCTTTGTGGTTGCTCAACCCAAACCGCGGCATGAGAAAACCACTTTGTACTCAGGGGGGCTATAATTCTTAACGCATGAGATGATTTGAGAAGCCTCTCACACACCAATTCGAACTATGATAGGGGAGTTCAGATAGCGCAATCTTACATAACATTGTGTGTGTCCATCGCTACTCCTTTCTTCGGATGAGAAAGATACTTGTGGTCACGAGACACATTTGGAGCTGTGCCCGATTCAACCCGAGCTCTGAATCCCAACTGCCTCCCTTACATAACACCTGCTTGTCTACATCAACTTGCATCCCACGCACAGCTGACACGTGGGTGACGTTGTGTTCTTATTTCACTGATTTCTTTTTCTTTATTCCGCCTTACTTCTAGCCTGTCCGCACTTTCTCGTCTTTGGTTACCATTCTATCGGATTCATTGGAAGCTCGTTAGGTTAGGTCGAGTGGGGGCGTGCTGATAAGTGTGTGTCATTGCCCGAAGCCACTCTTTACGTGCCGCCACTGAGACGGTGATCCCCGTCGTCGTCGTGCATCGGTATTTTCTTCGAGGACGTCTCGGCATCACCCAGGGCGAGGAGTTCTAGGCTTTACGTCCGGCTCCGCCTTTTCTGTTGCTGGCCAATTGGTGCGACCTAAGCAAGCCCAATACCCCGTGTGTGTGCCGCAAGTACCTGTACCACCACAGCATCCTCGCGTGGGGGGTGAGACCAACCCAATTTAAGACTTCCCAATTCCCTCCCGATTCCTGCTTCACCAGGACCCAAAGTCGAACGCTCTCCAGTTAGAAAACGTGGATCGGCAAAATGGATACCCTCTTGTAAGCGCTCCTCATTGATACTAGAACCTCGTTCGACCTCGATTTCATGTCTAACGCTTTTTAGGACTGCCGAGATCGCGGTTAATGCACCACGATATAGGCGCAAGAGCTCGACTTTCATCGATGGCATCCACGATGTTCCCGAGGAGCAGGGCAATCTGGCACCCGCCCAGCTTTACAGCACCATGTCTGGAAGGCTGTTCCACTCCGGCAGGATCGCAATTGTGATGGTTGGCCTCCCGGCTCGGGGAAAGACGTACGAAATTCAAGAAATGATGAAATATCAATCAGGAAACTGACCCGAGATTAGTCACATCTGTGTTTCCATGGCTCGTTATCTCTCGTGGTAGGTATTAAACGGGGTCCCTACATTATACCGGGGTCCCTACATTATACCGGCCAACTACTTACATCCGCTAGGCTTGGGGTCAAAACCCGCATCTTCCACCTCGGGGACTACCGCCGCGCGACGGTCGAGGGCGGCCACGTTCCGCAGGATTATTTCTTCCCAAATGCCTCTCCGTCCTCAGTCATGCTCCGCCAGAAGATTCTTAAGAAGTGTCGGGACGATGTGTATGCGTGGCTGAACCATGAGAATGGCCAAGTCGCCATTTACGATGCCGTCAATCCCACGGCGAATGGCCGCCTTGTTTTGGCGAAGGAATTTGCCAAACACGATGTACAGGTATGGATCTCAGTGAGGTAATTTTGATAACAAGTTTTGCTGATTGAGTTGTAACAGACATTGTTCATTGAGTCGTACGTTGACGACCAGGAAATTCTTAAGGAGAATGCCCGGAACGTCAAGATCTCATCCCCAGATGTGAGTATTTACTAATGGTACCGGATATGGAATGTGAGTAAAATACTAACCTTCCTAGTTTTATGGAATGGATCCCGACGAGGCGGCCAAACACTATCTCAAGCGAATCGAAACCAAGATCCCTGTGTTCGAAACGATGAATGAGGCAGAGTTGAATTATGTCAAGATGATCAACGCGGGCCGAGCGTTTTACTACAACAACGTCAGCTTCAACTACTTGTCGCATAGAATTGTCTTCTACCTGACCAACCTACACATCAAGTCTCGGACGACCTTTTTCGTCCGGGCCGGCCCGGCGACCGACGAGGATTCGTACAAGGCCGACGCGCCACTTTCTGAGGAAGGCAAGGTTTATGCGGAAAAGATGACGGAAACCCTGCTCCGGCACCGAGAACAGGAGCGCCAGACGGCTAATGAACAGGGCGGGACCGATATTCCGCTTCGGCCGCTGACTGTGTGGACGTCCACCCGGCTGCGCACCGTCCAGACGAGCGAGCCTCTCAAGGAAGCCGGGTACCGGGTCCGACAACGGTCCCAGATGAGTCAAATCAACCCAGGCGTGTGTGAGAAGCTCTCGGAGCGCGCGATTCGTTCTATGTATCCAGAAGAGGTCGAGAAGCACGAGCTGGATCCTTACCACCACCGGTATCCACGTGCAGAGGTGTGTAGTTGCCTCCCCCTTTACCTTTCGACCGGCCCAGAATTGTCTAGCTAACTTATTCAGTCCTACCACGACCTCGCAGTCCGTCTCGAGCCCATCATCCTTGAGCTCGAGCGCGAGCAAAACGACCTACTGATCATCGCTCATGAGAGCGTGCTGCGCGTTCTCTACTCGTATCTCATGCATTGCAGTACTATGGACATTCCGAAACTCAAGTTCCCCCGCGACGAGATCATTGAGATTATCCCCGCCGCATACCAGAATGAGGCGAAGCGTGTCCATATCCCTGGGTTGGATCCGAGGACGATCCCCGGGTCGCCAGAAGACATCCGGATTTATGTTCCACACGATAACAACGCCAACATCCCCCCGATTCCGGGCATGAGCAGCCCGGAACCAGCAGAGGTACCGATTGCCTCGCGACCTCCGGAAAAGATCCCGAACATGGCTAAGGACATGGTGTCGGACAAGGTGGCCGATGAGGATTGAGCGGGATTAGCGGGCAGGTTGTGGATCGGGAGTTAGACAAAGAAACCAGCAGCATTGTTAGCATCGAATCACTGAATTTTCCACTCACGTAGCAAACCACATCGTGACTCTTGTGTTGTTCATGAGATACATTCCCCATGCCCGCTTCCTCGTGCATATTTAACCCTAACCCCCTCCTGTACCGAGCATCGGCAAGCAATGACGTCCGTCGCTCTTGGCAGCCCCTCGAGCTCCTCCAGCAGCTCCCCGCAGTCGTAGCCAAATCCGAGCTTCCCTGTCACTTTAGGTAGGTAGCTCATCACATTGACGGGTAATTCGACGACACCAACTATAGGATCTTGGAGAGTGGCATCCCACCGCAGAACATGTCCGACACCACAAAAAAGACCGCGCTCGTTACGGGCGCGACCGGGTTTCTCGGCCGGCAAGTCGTCAAGGCGTTTGCCTCGCATGGCTGGACGGTCAAGGGCACGGGTTACTCCCGCACCGACGGGGTCAACACCCTGAAGGTTGACCTCGCTGACCCTGTGGCGGTTGAGAAGGTGCTGGAGGAGGTTAGGTATGTTTTCTTCCCCCATTATACATACAGCCAGGACGGTTTTCCACTTTCCATTCCCTTTGGAACGCAATTCCATTCGTCCCCTGAATCTGTTGAACTGTCCTCCTCTTGGCCTTTACTATGTATGTACCTTACCTTACTTTCTCCGCTTGGGGATCACAGCCCACAAGTCGTCATCCACTGCGCAGCAAACCGATTCCCAGACAAAGTCGACGCCGACCCAACCGGCACACGCCGACTAAACATCGAGGCATCCGCTTCGCTCGCCGATGGCTGCGCCCGCCGTGGCGCGCTGCTCGTCTACATCTCGACCGATTATGTGTTCGCCGGCCGACCAGGCGAGGCGCCGTACGAGGCTGACGCCCCCACGGGACCGACGAATTTGTATGGACAGACGAAATTGGATGGAGAGGGGGCTGTGTTGGGGCGGTTTGAGGAAAGGGGGAGGGAAGGGTGGGGGGTGGTGTTGCGGGTGCCGGTGTTGTATGGGGAGGTGGAAGGGGGACGGAATGGGGAGAGCGCGGTGAATTGCTTGATGGGTGTTGTGTTGAAAAGGGGGAGCGGTGTGAAGATGGACCATTGGGCGTTGAGATTCCCGACTAACACGGAAGATGTAGCGCGGGTTTGTTACGGTGAGTTTGTTTCCCCAATTGTTTCCCTGCAGCTGTGGCGGCGGTTTGTTGCCCTCTGTCGGTAAGAGAGCATTAGTTCATGACTAAATGATGTTGCAGACGTGGCTATTCGTTACTTGGAAGACGGAAACAAAGCGGCGCTCCCACGGGTGTTGCAATTCTCGAGCGAGGACAAATACACCAAGTACGAGATGTGCCAACTGTTTGGCGACATCATGGGTGCGCCGATCGACCATATTGTTGCCAATACCGAGGGGAACGATCCTAAAGCGAGTGTCCAGCGGCCGTATGATTGTCATCTCAGTACCAAGGCGCTACGGGACCTCGGCATCGACGTCTCGACGCAAGACTTCGTCGGGTGGTGGAGGAGAGAATGCCGCGCGTTCCGGCATTGATGAATCGGTTCCTGGGGTCTCAAATGTCGATGTTCTCTGGCGACTGACGTGATTTGCGTTGGAATGTCTCACATAATCTTCAACGACGCGAGGCGGTTTGGTGGAGCGCAGGGAGAGACGAGACAGAACGTGCGAAATTCGAGACTGTGTCTGGCGAGGTTTCTCAACATTCATGAGTCAAGGAGTGAAGTCAACGTGAACGGGTCCCAAGAGTTAACCCCTGGCCCTCCTGGCATCCAGTGATCGGCGGCAGTATTGTTTCTCAGCTGTGCCTGACATGGCGCACAGTCTCACGGCTAGCCTCATCAGCGACATCGTTTGCCTGGGAGTTAGCGGACTCGCCGATCAACGCGCGTTCCATTTCCGCTCTTCAGAAGAATTGCCGATGAATGAAAAGGAAGTCTTCAAGACATTTTTACGGTCAACCTCACGCGAAAAAAAAAAAACTAAAGGTTTCCCCCTTCTTTTGTGCCCGATGAAAAGTCACTTTTTTCGATCCTAACCTGGAAAGTCGTTCTCTCTGTGCCCACTTGGCTGCATTGGCGAAAGGCCTGCAATTCGACAGGCCCCCACAATTCTGTTTCCATTCTCGCGCCTTGCCCATAAAACATTCCGCCAAGAGCACCGGGGTAAACACTCCGCCGCTCACTTACAGGGGCCCATGCTGCTGCCAAAAGTTTTCCACAGCGCGACCCCCGCGATGCCTGCCACGACGACGGCGAGCTCAGCTCAGCTCTGTACATCACCGAAGCAAACCATTCAGGACGAGCAGCCATGGCCGATCAGCGCCCTTATTTGTGGGCGCCGCTGGCGGACGTGGGATGATGAGAGCCGAGCCCATCGATCTTGCCCGACGTGCATCAGCACGCGAGATGCGGCGTTCAGCGGTACCTGCTTGCAGCTTGCAGCACGCTGAGGTCGGGTGTAACTTCCACCATGCCTGCGGGGCGACACCCGGCCCAGAGGAAGCGAAGACACTAGAGCTAACTTTACCTAACCATGGTGGACATGGGCGATCGAGTTCGCAACAAACACCCACCTAGCGCCCTGTTGGGGTTGCCCAGTCCGGTGGAGAGGGCGCAAACCGCCAGGGGCAGGTAACGACAATAATAATAAGATGGAAGGGCGGCCCTCCAGTTTTAGCTTTGCGGCCCAGACGCACAAACGATGACGCGAAAACGAGCTCAGTGAGGCAGGTAGGTCAACGACTGGGCAACTGCGCCGCGCATGGACTTGAAGAACGGAGCTTGTGTACGAAACCGTTATTCACCCTGCAGTATTACCCGAGAAGCTTGTCCTTCCGTCCCGCACGACCCCTGCGTCGTCTGGAGTGTCCATACCTCCCCGCGTTCCTCCCCTTTTCGACGTTGCATCTCCCTCGCTCGATGCGGCAATCAAGCCCTCGTGGTCTCCGTCTCCGGCGTCCACCGTCAACGCTCTTTGCCCGTCTATCAACCCTCACGGACAACATCGGCACGACGATCGCCAACGGCTGCGGGAACGCCACAAGGTCACTTCGACGGCGGTCTTGGCACCACAGCAACGACCACGGCACGGGCCAAAACGAGGACCTGGCCGCGGCTTTGGCTTCATTCCAACCTCCACCTGCCGTATCTGCCCAGGCTGGCAGCGTGGCACAGGCACCACCCGAAAGTGAAACCCGCAGGATTTCGCTGGCCAGAACTTTCGGACCCGACCACCTGGCCGTTTTGACCGAGGAGGCCGAAGAAATCGACGAGGCCGTCGGCCGGCCGGCGGTGTGTCAGTCCGCACAACCACCGCCATCCATCGTATCGCCAAAATCGCCAACATCACCGACGCTACTGGACACCGAACCATCTCCCAGCTCACCGCGCCAAACAACAAGCCCGATGCGCGAAGCGTTTTCTTTTCTCACGCGGGGCCGCAAGAAGAGCGGCTCCGGGAGCTCAGGAGGAGGAGGCAGTGGTAGTGGTGGTAATGGTGGTAATGACATGCACCGGACTCTCACCAAACGCCATCGGCCGTTCCCCACCTCATCGACGTCGGCTTCCGTTGATGCAAGTGTCGACTCCAGAGAACGCGCCCTCCGTCCGTCTCCTCACATCACGACCAGTTCTGAGATCGCTTACAGTGGCCCCACCGAAGTGCTCAATCCCACGTCTAAGGTAAGTTAAAGTGGAGGAGATCAAGAATGAGGCGGCTCGTGCGGCCGTTGTGCACCGTTCCCCGTTTCCGCCTTTGTTTCGCGAGGAACAATAAAAAGACGACAAAAAAACTACCAAAAAATTGTAACTGTGCTGAACTAATCATTCTTCGTAATAGTTGGTCAGTGCGCGGTGTAAAGGTATAACGGTGACGGTCGAGATCTTCAAGGAGACATCCGCCTCTGATTTTCTCGTCGATTGCAGCCGGACGTTAGCTGGACTTGGGCGGCCGGTTGACCCCGACGATTGCGTTGTCATCGAGCCCTGCGCTCGACCAGGGCTGGAGAGGAGGTTGCGGCAGTACGAACGAGTATGGGACGTTGTTAGCGCCTGGGATCACGACACTGCCAACACCTTCATTATCCTGCCGGACTCGTCCGACCCAGACGAGGAGCTCGTTTTGTCCAGTGTGCCCGACACCCAAGATGAGCCAGAGGGGTTTGTCTTACCGATTTACCACCTTTACCGGCCCGGGAAATGGACCCAGCGCTACATCACGCTCAAGGAGAACGGGCAAGTGTTTGCATCCAAGAAACGGGAATGGAAAGTTTCGGACAAGGACGTCACTCGGCTCTGTCATCTGTCCGACTTTGACATCTACATGCCGACCGAAGCCGAGATGCGGAAGCAGCTCCGACCGCCTAAACGATACTGCTACGCCATCAGGAGCCAGGAGAAGGCCACGCTTTTTATCGATTCCAGTCTTTACGTTCAGTTCTTTTGTACGGATGATCCAAATGTCGCGCGGCAGTTCCGATCCGCCGTGCAGGGCTGGCGAAGTTGGTATCTTGTCAACAGAAAGCTTAGGTTGCATGATAAGAAGGTACCGTCGTCACCGACGAGCCCGTCTGGCGCGGGACAGAGCTACCGGATGAAGACCCCGCTTGATCAGGGATCGAGGGCGGACCATGTTTATCGAGGAAGGACCTCGCTGGACCAGGGGCCCAGAGGGCGGCCATCTATCGACCAATTGCCACTAGTTCACTCCGTGCCGAGCTCCCACGAGAACGCACCACCTGGTACGTCCGCAGGAGCAGGTATCCCGCCAATTCCACCGCTTCCCGGCTCTCTCCGGGGGAAGAAGCAAGATCCGTTTGCGGCCTCGGGGTTGCTGGGAAACGACTACGAGGAGCGCCGGCAGCATGCTGTCAGGCGTGAAGGCACGGTAAAGCATCGCCAGGGGCATGTGACATCCGCGCCGGACGACGGGCCCTTCACCGACGGGCCCAACCTCCTCAACGGCGGCATTGTGAGGCTTGACGACCGTCCTGGTACTGCCGGGTCAGGGAGCAGCCACAACACGTTGCCCCGTAGATCAGACCGCACGGGTTGGTTTCCTTCTGCTGTTCAACACTCGGCTGAGCACTATAGCGCCCGCCCGACTACTGCCGGTTTTCCCACTTCTGTTGGGGCAGGTGCCACTTCTTTAGCTCGTCGGCCGAGTACATCCTCCCACGTCCCCACTCGCAATCGCTCAGTTCGACAGCCGCAGCAACACGGAGACGACCACCACATTCCAATTCCGCCATCACCCACGCATCAACAGCCTCAGCCTCTCTCCCGCTCACGTTCCATTTCCCGGTCCAAGTCCGTATCCCAACACGCTCACTCGCAGTCCCAACAACAGCAGCAGCAGCAGCAGCAAGCTCAGCAACCCCTCGTCGACCTTACCCCAGGCTTTATCGAAGCTCCGCAGTGGTCCCGCGAGAACCGCGGCCGCGGCGTGCGTGCACCACAAGGAAAGCCCCTCGTTGACCTCGCCACAGGGCCTGTCCTACCCCCTAGCCGGATCCGCGATGCGGCCCCGCCTAAAAATCTGGTGCGTCGGCCTGATGCGGCCCCAACATCGCCGATATCTCCCAGTAGCGGTGCGGGAGGGACGGCAACGCTCATGCAGCAGTACGAGACGCAAAAGGCTGCCGCTGCCACTGGTGCTACCGGAACAGGTGTTGGAGGGTCAGCAGCAGGGCGGATGGGAGGGGGGAGTAGACGAGGGAGGCATGAACCACTTATCGCGAGTGTGCCGGGATCCGACAACACGCAGCAGCTAGGTGGGTTGGTCGGGTCGTTGGCGAGGAGAAATACGACGCGGAGTATGGGCGGACGAGGTGTAGTAGCAGGGGGGGAGACATCGGATGTGCCTGCTGTGCCGTTACTTCAGGCGGCGTTATCGTCTGGGACGATTTCGAGCGGGCCGACGGCGGCGTATTTGCAAGCTAGAGGGGGGATGATGGGGGTTGGGGAGAGGGACAAGGATCGGGTTAGGGAGTGGTTGCGGAATGGCGGGGAGAAGGCTTAGATTTGATGCGTTTTGGGTGAACGTTAGATGGTTGGTTATGATTGGGGGGTGGTGTTTGGTGTTGGTTGACTTCTTGTGGTGTAGATTCTCGGGTGTTGTTTTGGCGTGGGCTGTTACTGCTCGTTCGTTGTTTTCTTTTCAGGGGTTAACTGCATTTAGTAAGGCAGCATGGATTCACGACGTCATGTTATCCCATCCCTATGATGGACGGAAGGTTTTGGAAAAGTAAAGATAACACCGGTTTAGACACATGGGAGAAAGGAAAAGGGGAGGTTGGGGCCGGCTGGTCGGCTGGTAGTAGTATTGTGGTTTCAGCGGTTAGGTTTTATCATGATGACGGTTTTCAGTTCTGCTCCAAGAATCACTTCTTTTGTGTGTTGAGTTGGATAGGTAGTCAACTAAACGTGGTATTCCAAGTTTTTATTTGTCTCGTTCTTTCGTCTTCTCTTCTTGACATTCATTAACATCCTAGCTAGGTGCCATATATGTGTATGGTCTCGCTCTACTTTGCAACGCCGTTTTGGACTTTAATTACAAGATGGGTATTAGTATGAGGGGGTGGTGTGGGTTCGTGGATGGACGTGAGTGCGTCACGCCGAGATTTGCGGTTCGTTCCCCGTTTCCTTCTTTACTTGCTGCGCTTGTAGATCTTGCCAAGGAACGCCTCAAACACGCCCTTCTTGAGGCCTTTAGCCTCGTCGATGCGGTCGATCTGAGCGCGTAGGTCGGCAACGATGCTCTCCTCGTAGTCGCGGTAGCGCTGTTCAAGCTTGAGGTCGTCGTAGAGCTTCTTGACGACGGCCTCCTTGGCGGAGTCCTTGCGGCCGTAGTTCTCCTCGAGAATGCGGCGCTGCTCCGGGGTCACGATGGCCAGGGCCTGGTTGACCAGCCACGAGCACTTGTTGTCCATGATGTCCGTGCCGATCTTGCCGATGTGCTCCGGCAGGCCAAAGTTGTCGAGGTAGTCGTCCTGGACCTGGAAGTACTCGCCGAGCGGGATCAGGATGTTCTCGGCCTGCTTGAGGTTCTCCGGCGTGGCGAGGTCCAACTGGTACAAGGCCAGCGCGACGGGCAGGTAGAAGCTGTAGTAGGCGGTCTTGTAGACCACGATGAAGCGGTACTTCTCCATGCTGAAGTTGTCGAGGTCGACGACGTCCTCAGGGGCGGTGAGCAGGTCACAGAGCTGCCCGATCTCGGTCTGGAAGGTGACCTCGTGGAAGATCTCGAGGAAATCGACGTAGCGTGGGTGGGAGCGGAAGAACTTCTTGAGCAGGGTGTAGATGGCCGTCTCGAGCATGAAGGCGTCGTTGATGGCGATCATGCCCACACCCTCCTGGCGGTACCAGCATGGCTTGCCGCGGCGCGTGATGCTGCTGTCCATGATGTCGTCCGACACCAGGAAGAACGCCTGCAGCAGCTCGGTCATCCACCCTAGTGTCGCCGCCTGGAAGTACTCGTCCTCAGTCAGGGCGCGGCCGAGCAGCAGCGACACCGAGTCGGGCACCGACATGCCGCGGTTGCATTTTCCACCGACGGCATTGACTTGGAGGGACTAGATACAGCAATGCAGGGATTAGCAACTCGTGGCCTGGGAGGCGGGGAAACCGTTGTGTACGTGATTATCTCGCTCGTGGAAGTAGTCATTTTCTTGGGAATCGATCCCCAGTCCGTCTAGGCACCCACCTTCTTGTACCAGTCAAGGGCCTGGGTGGGAAGTTTGTAGGACTCGGCCGCCTCGAGAAGCACCTTCTCCAGCTTGGGGAAGACGGACTCAAATTCCTGGAGGGTAGTCTTTTGCGCCATGGTGACGGTGTTGTTTGGTTGATTGCCTCTTTAGGAAAGGGTGAGGGAAGATGCGGGAAGATAGTAAACAAAGAGGGAAGGAAGACTCGAAGGTTAGGTTGTTCTTGAGAAGCGGGAGTCACGGAGAGGAGGTCGGGTGGGATCGGTAACAAAGGGTGGAGGTTCCCGAGCGGTGTAACAGGGCCTGGGGGGTATTGCGCAAAAAGGGGTGGGCCGCCAAACAACCGAAATGCGTTGGAAAAAGAATCGTTGGGCCCAATTGACCCCTCCTTTCCCCTTTGTCTCTTTTTATTGTGGGGAAGCTTCAAGCGATAACAAGCAGCTTGACCCCTGAAATGCATTAAATTTTGGCGGTGAGGGCTGCGTGAGTGGGGGCCGAGTGGCAGAATTCCAGCGGAGCCCCCCGGCAACCGGCAGTTACCCCAACGGCTGCGCGTCACCGGCGGCAGACGCGTTTACGGAGTTCTGACAAAGCTCTAGCTGCGCCAGACTCATGCAGGCTGACAACGTCAATTCAACGACACGGACCGGAACAGACGAACTAAATCGAAGGGGAATATCTCGTGGATTTGGTCCCATCTCTACCTAATCCAGTGTCCAAATTAGTCCACCAACTAGAATCTTGACCCCGCAATATTTCAAGCTTCAGGCAAGGCAATAGCAAAACACCCCGCTTCTACGAAGCCTTGCTGCAATACCTGTCTAAGCTCTTTCTCGACGGCTTTGAACCCCGATACATTGAATTTACCCTGTTGGCTCTCGTGATCCCCCGCCCATCATGGGCCTCTCGGCGAAGGACTCGGTGCAGCTCAAGGAAACCCTGCAGATCGCGGTGGTCAAGTGTTCGGAACGATGTCTCTATCAATCGGCAAAGTGGTGTGTGGAATTGTTGAGGCTATGAATGCCGATACCGTAGCTAATATTGCTTCACCAGGGCGGCCGAGCTCCTCGATTCTCTCCCCGACCTAGACGTTGATGCCTTGTCAGAGACCGCCGGAGACCAATTGCACCCTATATTTGCGCCAAACCACGATCCCGCCGAAGCAGAACGCGAGGCACAGGAGTTGGGCCAGTACTTGCTAGCAAAGTCGTATTTTGATTGCAAAGAATTCGAACGATGCGCCGCCGTCTTTCTCCCAGAGCCCCTGCTAGCCAGCTTGCTTGGAGCGGCGCCGAACGAGACTCAGGCTTCAAAGGGCAAAGGGAAAGCCAAGGCGTCTAGCGGCTTTGTGTCCGAATCAGCACTACCAAATATCAGCCAAAAGAGCTTGTTCCTGGCCCTCTATGCCAAAGTCATGGCGGGGGAAAAGCACAAGGATGAGGACACTGAAATGATCATGGGACCCCAAGACTCGGGCGCGGTCATTAACAAGCAATTGGTGGCCGTCAGCCGCATTCTTTCTATGTGGTTCGCCCAGCGGAAAGACGACGAGGGTGACTACCCGGCCAGCCAAGGATTTCTCGAGTACCTGTACGGCATGGTGTTAGCCAAAGAGAAGAACGACAATTTGGCATTGGAGTATCTCATGCAAAGCGTGCATCTATTTCCTTGGAATTGGGGCTCTTGGCTAGAGATTACAAACCTTATTTCCAGAGTTGAGCAGGTAAAATCGAACTACCCTCCACCCCTTTTTGTTTATTCTTCAGTCGTGATCTGACCTGCTCCCACTAGCTCACCAAAGTTGCACGCCACTTGCCGCAAAACATCATGTCCTTTATTTTCCACGCCAACGCTGCCGTTAGCCTTTACCAGCAGAACCCCGAATTAGCTTCCTCGTTGAACGACCTCCTCAGCATTTTCCCGACCTCCTCGTTCTTGCTCACTTGCAAGGCGTTGCTGTGCTATCACTCTAAAGACCTCTTTGCGGCGGAACAAGAATTTAACAAAGTTTTGGCTCTCCACCCACAACGACTCGACTCCCTCGATCATTATTCCAACATATTGTACGTCCTGAACCGTCGGCCAAAACTCGCCTTCTTGGCCCATCTCTGCTCCAACATCGACAAGTTCCGGCCCGAATCCTGTGTGGTGATTGGAAACTACTACTCGCTACTCTCGCTCCATGAAAAAGCCGTGCAGTACTTCCGGCGGGCCCTCACTCTAGACCGCTCGTGTCTCTCGGCCTGGACACTCATGGGGCACGAATATGTCGAGCTTAAAAACACACACGCCGCCATCGAGTCGTATCGCCGGGCTGTCGACGTCAACCGGAGGGACTACCGCGCCTGGTACGGCTTAGGCCAGACCTACGAAGTGCTTGAAATGCACTCCTACGCTCTGTGGTATTACAAAAAGGCAGCGGGTCTTCGGCCATGGGACTCTAAGATGTGGCAGGCCGTCGGCTCGTGCTTGCAAAAGATGGGCCGCGACAGGGACGGCATCAAGGCGCTCAAACGCGCCTTACTGGCTGACAGCTACTACGATAGCACAGCCGCGGCTAGCTTCAGTAGCGCCGGGGCTGTCGATCGCATGTCGCAAATGGACCCGGAAGTCCTACTGCAAATCGCAAGCATGCACGACCGCCTAGACGAAGAAGACGAAGCGAAAGCCTACATGGAATTGTGTCTGGCGCAAGAAGAAGGCGCCGCCAACGCCGAAGAGACCGGCCCCAGCAGCGGCAGCGGCCTCCCACTCGGTGAATCCATGGCCCTCAACGACTCGCCCGGATCAGATGCCGGGGGCGACGGTGGCGACGGCGGAGTTGGGCCGGATGGATCCGGCACGGGTGTCACCTTCGCGACCAGCAAGGCGCGCATGTGGTTGGCCAAGTACGCGATGCGAGCCGAGGACTACGATACAGCCAACCGGCTGGCCATGGAGCTATGCCAGGACGGCGTGGAGGTGGAGGAGGCCAAGGCGTTGATGCGCGAGGCGCGCTCGCGAATGGAGCTCGCGGATATGGTGGAGCACTAGAGGTCGCTGCCGCTGTCTGGCATGCGTGCGCTGAGCATGCATGATTGGTCGGAGGTGGAGGACGGCTTGGTCCCGGGCGATGCAGATGCCGACGCGGCTATGCGCCGGAGTAGCGACCGCCCCCCGACGGGAGAGTGATTTGCGTGCCTTTGTTCCTTGCCCCGTTGCTTGTCTACCGGCCTGTGGGAGACTTGTATCACGGAGCCAAGCGGGGCTTACTGGAGAAAGCTCTAACCGGTAGGACGGCACATACAGCCGCGCTCCCCAGAGTCACACCCTTATACCAGTCAGCAGAACTCAACTTATAATCACCAAATTTAAGGCGGCTATACGATACATATAAAGACCACAACGCAGCAACAGTCTCAGCCTCCGAGGACCCGTCGAGTCCAGTGGTACACGGCCTCAGCGCTTCAACTGCAACATCTCGAGGCGCGAGAGCCGACACTCACCTCCACAAATAAAACAGGAGGACGATGATACGATGCGGGGCTTACGTCTGACGTAGAACGAATTACCAGGGAATTGTGACCCCCCGACACAACTGGGACGGGCTATCTTCAGTGTTAGGAGTTTAGCGGATTTTGATGCGCGACAGAAGCAAGAGCTTCGGCGCACCGAGGGGGGCCATGATGAGATACTTAAATCCATAAATACCCGCATACCACGATATTGTATGTCTTCTTTAGCGATTCTTAATATTACACTCGAGTTATCTCGGGAATGGTTTTTGGGCCATGCGTGCACCGGTTGAGCATATGCTGTTATGATTATTTGCTTAGACGAATTGACGTTACCCCTATTCATTCATGAAGCGCAGCCCTTACCATCCCCGTTTATGGTTTAAACCGCATTGCAACGACTCACAACAAAACAGAAGGCGTAATTTAACTCAACAAGTATGATCGGAGAGTTTCACAGTACATTCAGTCAGTTATTCAACACCAATGGTAAACGGTTGATAACACGCCAATTATTGAACCATCGCAAGACATGCAGACAACCAACCCCCAACATGTTACCTTCATACTCGAAAATCCTAATCTATCAATACACCCTACATCCCATTCCGCATCACGTCCAAGCCTGACGGTCATACGATATAATATAAATCAAAAAATAAGGCAGCAGAAAAACAAAGTCAACCTTGCACACCACCGCTAACGTGACGTAATTACACACACACCGAGAGAAAAAGGAGCGAAAGAAAGAAGATACATTGCACAAATCCACCGGCTAACAACCTCTATATTCCCGCACTTCCTTCCCCATTACGCCTTAGTATAGACCCACCTACCCTTTTGATCATCAATCCGCCTACTCGTGTTACCTCTTTCGATCTAAGGTCCCGATTCCCCTGCCTTAGGCGCTTCTTTTTCTGATTTCTCTCCTTCCCCTTCCGCGGTTTCTTTTGTCTCCGGTTCTTTTGTTTCCGGCTCAGGAGACGACTGGGCCGCAGGTACCGGGGCAGAGTTCGAGGCTGGGGCTGATTCGGCCGGCGCTGGCGATGTTGGTGTGGGGGATGTTGATGGTGATGGAGCTGCGGCTGCGGCTGCGGCTGGTGCTGGTGTTGCAGCTGGGGGGGTTGGAGGTGGAGCTGGCGCGGTGACTTGTTTACTCATGATGATGCTGACGAGGTGATCGCCGGTGTCCTCGAACCCGTCGATTTTGCTTAGGCGGGATTGGAAGTACTCGACATCTCGGAGCATTCTAAAGCGAAGTGTTAGCATATTTCCTTTTTGTCACAAGCGTATTGTACGGCTGGTTCGGCGTGGTAGAACATACCTTTTCCGGCCCTCCTCGGTCTCAAGCTCAGCCGCCTGGTACGCCGCGCCAAAGGCCTCGCGGTGATTCTTGAAGACAGGCATCATGATCATCCGCACGGTTCCTTCGGGGAGATGCTTGGTCAAGTTGCGGTTGAGCGTGGTGGTTTCCTTGACCACCGTCTCCATGTACTCGTTCGCAGGGCTCCGAGAGTCGCGGTCCCAATGGATAGCTCTCAATTTCTTGGTGCCGAGCGACGCGCGTCCACTCATGATTTCGACGAGCTTGTCATAGATGCTGTTCTGGTGCTCTTGGAACGCGCGCCTGACCTTGTCGAATTCGCCCATGATCGGGGATGCGGTCGTGCCCGAGCCACAGTGCCGTCGGACAAACTCACGGGTGTGTGGGATGAGGGCGGCCATGAAGGCAACAGCCTGGGATGCTAGGGCAAGATGTTTCGTGGTGATGTTCCGGAGCCCCGCTGTTTTCAGGGCCCCGGCACCGAGGATCAGTTGGGTGCAGCGCGAGTTGAAGAGCTGGAGGTAGGCAACGAGAGAGGAGGATATCTCGCCCGTCATGGACGGGATAGCTGCTATCAGATGCAAGAAGCGGACCATGCCGTGCATGCATGAGATGGCAGAATTGGGAAGCAGGTAGCTTTCTGCTTCGATCACGGCGCTTCTTGTCTTTGCCTTGCTGGTGCCATTGGCGCCATTGGCCTGCGCCGATAACACGTCCGCGTCTTCACCCGCCTTTAATGTTTCGGGGTGCGGGATCCAAACATGTGCGGCTTCAACCCAGGCAGCGGCGTCCCGAGTGCTGCTCTCCAGAATTTGGTTGAGAACTTCGGTATCCTTGTCGCCAAAATCGGCGGCATTCCACTGGTCCGATTCCATCCCCTGGGCGAGTTTCTGGTTCTCGCCGTCCCCGTGATATTGGATAAAGTCTTTGATGTGGCTGTTGACGACAGTTTTAAGTGTCGTCCCGCTGCGTCCAGAAATAGCCTCGCATTCGTTGGCAAAATGGAGGTTGAGTGTAAAGTACCGCAAGAACCACGAGAGGTCGAGCCGCTTGCTCTGCTCTGATCGTACTCGCAGGACTTTCACGATCTTCTCTTGGGCCACGTCGACAGCCTGGCCGAGCAGATTGGCAATATCTACGGCCATGTGGATCTCTTCCTGGGCTTCTTGTGCAGCACCGAATGCCTGCCTTGCCGTCGGACTGAATGGGGGAGATTGAAGCGGTGATCGGGCGCCCGAAGGTATAGGCGCCGGCTCGCCAATGGAGCTCGTCACATCCAGCAGGACCTTAGCTTGCGTACTCAGTCTCCTCAGCGCCTCAGCTACGCCAATGTACATGGTAGTCAAAAGGGTCTCGGCGTCTGCAGGATCCATCGCGCGGAGGTTGCGGGCCAGAATGATGGACCTGTCTTGTTGCGAGCGCTGCCTACCACCAGTCCTGGTGGAGGTAGACATGAGCGACTCGTTGTCATCTTCATTTGAGCTGGGCATCTGCCGACGGATAATGGTCCTGATTTCTCGCAGTGCAGATTCCCGGTAGGCCGTGGCCGCGGCGGTAAGGTACTTTGCACGGTGCAAGCCCGTCAGAGTAGAGAGGAGCTCTGTACGTATCGCATTGGTCCCAGCCATGTATGCAGGGAAAGCAGACGACTCGCGGCTGTGTGTCCCGCGGGTCCGGGCCGAAGCGCTACTCCAGCGCATCAGGACCTCCTGGGACGAAACGGTTGCGACATGGTTCTTGAGATCCGTCAAGAGCGTGGCAAGGAACTTGGTCTCGTAGGATTTTCCTATCCGGTGTCGGAGCGTATCCAAGTCGCCGCCTACACCTTGAAGGGCGGTAGCATCCCTGAGGTCGCGAAGTTGTATGCCGGGAGGGTGAGCGCTTGAGGCCTCGCCCGCTGCGAGTGCGTCGACGGCATCAATTTTATCGAGGGCTTCGTCAACTTCGCCGGCTTCAACAAGGGATTCGCAGACAGCAACGCCGCTAACAATCTCCCGCAGTTGCATGACGGCGTCGTGGAGCTGCTTGACATTCTCGCGCTTCCTCCGTTGCTGGACGAGGTTTAGACCACCCGTCGCGACCTCTTCGTCAAGCGTCCCCAGCTCTTTCCGAAGGGCCTTAATCCTGTCTACCGAGTCCGCAGCTTCGGAGTGCAGTTCCCGGAGAGAGCCAAGGGCCGTAAAAAAGGTGGTCGATGCCGTGGAGATAGACTGGATCAAATGCATTTCGACGGTGTCCATGTACCACGACAACTTCTCCTGCAGAATAGCATTGGTGGCCAAGGCTTTGCGTGGCGCTGGGGCTTGACCATTGGATGCGCTCTTTTCCTCGCTGCCCGGTGCGGGCCGCACGACCTCGGAACGCTCGCTAACCACGTCGAATATGCGCGGATTCTCGAGGTGAAAGTCCTGGTCAAAGTACACGGTTGGGATGGTGGAAAGAGGTGGTGGGCCGTGTGCTTGTGTCCTCCTTGGACGTGAGCTCGAACGTGAGGTCGAACGCCGCTGGGCCTGGGGGATGTCGATTGACGGTAGAGAGCTGATGGAGGCAGTCGAGGTCCTGCGTGATGACGCTCCTGGGCGCCGGCCCGGGCGCAAGTGTCCCTCGTCCGACGTCTCTGGGGGCTCCTCGGGCTTCCCCCCCCGACGAGTCACGCGGCCCCCCTGATCATCCTCTGCCTGTATCCGCCGAAGCTGCTCGTACAACGTCCCAACCTCGGACAGGTATCCGGTAAACTCGGAGGATTCGACATGGGGGATATTGGTGAGGGCCACGGGCGGAATGTCTCGCGCCGTCGGGGGCTTGTGTGCGCTCGAAGCGGGCGGGGCAGTGTGTGGGAGAAGGCCGGTCCGGACTATTGGCGGCTGGAGCAGCGTGGATATCGCATTTTGTCCGGACTCGAAAACGGCGTTGGAGGCGTTGCCCCAGGTATCTAGCGAGCCCCCGACGGAATGGATAGAGCTGGCGGTCGACCCTCTTCGTTGTTGGGGCCGCTGGGGGCCATGGGGCCCTGTGCTTCTCAAGGTGTTAGCCAAGGATTCATACTGAGACGGACGGCACAGCACGGCCGCGTAACGCCTAGGCGAGCGTACCCGTGGAAGGGAAAGTCACCCCGATGCCCGGAAGGCAGCGTTGGTGACAGGCTATCGACCGACTTGCGCGATCCCTGGTTCGAGTACATGATGCCGCGCCCGGTCTCCCCAGCCACGAGGCAAAGTGGTTGGGCCGGTTGCGACCATCCAGGCCGGAATGCAAGTGACTCGGGCGTCGACCGGGCGTGTCTCTTGTTCTACAGATTCTGTTGCTTCAAAAGCCAAGGGATCCGAGGCGCCGTCGTGCTATTCTATGCTGTGCCCAAGAATGTGGTGGTGGAGTCGGCTTAGGAGGCTGCAGTCACTGGGGTTTCGGAAGCTGGTCCGGGGAGCTCTCGAATCGCATGCGCCGGGAATTCTGGACAGGTATTTCGTCGTCGTATGACTAGCTGTAGCTCGTTGGGAGCGATTGTTGACTGGGAGTTCGCTGCCGGGCGCTGTCGTCCGAACCGGAGGGTGGGCTGGCTGATTTGGTTTGGAGTTTGAAGATGCTAAGCTCCAGCCGCGTGTCGTCGTTTGGTGAATGTGGCCCGGAACTAGCCCATGCCAAGCCCAAGACTTGTTGGAGAACCACTGTGCGGCTCGAAGCTCCCATTCATTTTCCGTAAATACATATTCTCGACTTTCTGGATTTTAGCCCCACTTCGAACAACAAATCGTTCTATCGAGTCCACAGCGGACAGTAATGAGCACGGGCCAACTTCAACTTGGAACCCAACTGTGGGCCCAATTTAGATCCCTGCAATAGAAACGCGTCGAGGTCGCGTTGCCCTGGCGCTTTCACGCGTCGTACACTTCCCCCCTTCTGCAACATTTTGAGCCCCTCCATCGTCACTGGCAGCCCGCTGCGATTACAACCCACCATTCCTTCTTAACCCAACGCCGGACTATTCTGATTTTTGTCGCCGTTTTTCGTTATGGATCGCCAGTCGGTCTATTCTAGCCGCCTTTACGGCACACCGTCTGAAAGCGAAGACTCCAACACACACGTCCGCGCCCTGCTCGAGTCCTTCATTCTCGATTTTCGGCTTGACAACATATTCATTTACAGGTTGGACATTTTTTCGGATGTTTTGGTTATCGTAAGGGCTGTTAGAAGCTGACATACACACTACAGAGACCAACTGCGGGAAAATGCGCTCCTTAAAAAATACTACTGCGATGTCAACATTGGGGACCTGATCAAGTTCAACGAGGAAATTGCCCACAGACTGGTGACAGAACCTGCAGAAATTATTCCCCTGGTACGGTACCCCGGGTTACGCCTCGTTAATACACTCGCCCTGACATCATCTAGTTCGAAGCCGCTTTGAAGCGGTGTACACATAGGATCGTCCATCCCCACGAGCCCAACGTCAAACTGCCCGAACACCAACTGCTCCTGCACTCGAACGCCGAAGATGTCTCGATTCGCAACCTAGATTCTCTCACCATCTCGAGGCTAGTCCGCGTGCCCGGTATCGTGATCGGTGCCTCAGTCATGTCCTCCAAGGCGACCGCAATCCACATCCAATGCCGTACGTGTGACCACGTACAAGATATCCCTGTTCTGGGAGGGTTTAGTGGCGTGTCACTACCGAGGCAGTGCGGGAGAAACAGGGCGCCGGGCGACCCAACGGAGAAATGCCCCCTGGATCCCTACTTTGTGGTACATGAAAAGTCGATATTCGTCGACCAACAGATCATCAAACTCCAAGAGGCTCCCGACCAGGTGCCCGTAGGAGAGCTGCCCCGCCACGTATTGATATCAGCAGACCGCTATCTCACGAACCGTGTGGTGCCCGGGTCAAGGTGTGTGGTCATGGGCATCTTCTCGATCTACCAGAGCAAGGGGTCCAAGAACTCAAGCGGGGCGGTGGCTATTCGGACGCCCTACCTTCGTGCCACGGGCATCCAGACCGACCTCGATCAGACCGCCAAGGGGCAGGCCGTCTTCTCCGAAGAAGAGGAACAAGAGTTCCTCGAGCTCAGCCGACGGCCCGACCTTTACAACCTCATGACGGACTGCATCGCGCCCTCCATCTACGGAAACCGGGATATCAAGAAGGCGATTTTGTGTCTGTTAATGGGCGGTTCCAAAAAGATTCTCCCAGACGGGATGAAGCTTCGTGGTGACATCAACGTTCTCATGCTGGGTGATCCCGGTACCGCCAAGTCACAGCTGCTCAAATTCGTCGAGAAGGTAGCACCCATCGCCATCTACACATCCGGCAAAGGTTCATCCGCGGCCGGTCTGACGGCCTCGGTGCAGCGTGACCAGTCAACGCGCGAGTTCTATCTCGAAGGCGGTGCCATGGTGCTTGCCGACGGCGGTGTCGTGTGCATCGACGAGTTCGACAAGATGCGTGACGAGGACCGAGTGGCCATCCACGAAGCCATGGAACAGCAGACAATCTCCATCGCGAAAGCCGGCATCACCACCATCTTGAACGCCCGAACGTCGGTTCTCGCAGCGGCTAACCCCATTTTTGGGCGGTACGACGACATGAAGACGCCGGGCGAGAACATTGACTTCCAAACCACCATTCTCTCCCGTTTCGACATGATCTTCATCGTCAAAGACGAGCATGAGCGCGGCAAGGACGAGCGTATCGCGAAGTACGTCATGGGAATCCATATGGGCGGCCGCGGCGTGGAAGAGCGCATTGAATCCGAGATCCCTATCGACAAGATGCGCCGCTACATCAGCTACTGTCGGTCGTAAGTTCTACTCCCTTCATCACACACACACACTCTCTCTCTACACCGACCGCTAACCTTGTCCCTCAGACGCTGCGCCCCCCGCCTCTCCGACGCAGCAGCCGAGAAACTCTCCTCCCACTTCGTCGCCATCCGCAAACAAGTCCACGCCGCCGAACTCGAAGCGAACACACGCTCCTCGATCCCCATCACCGTCCGTCAACTCGAAGCCATCGTGCGCATCACCGAATCCCTCGCCAAACTGACCCTCTCCCCCATCGCCACCGAAGAGCACGTCGACGAGGCCATCCGCCTGTTCCTCTGCTCGACCATGGATGCCATCAATCAGGGCAGCAACCAGGGCAGTCGCGAGCTGAACGAGGAGGTGAACCGTGTTGAGTCGGAGTTGAGGCGTCGGTTGCCGATTGGGTGGAGTACCAGTCTGGCGACGTTGAGGAGGGAGATGGTGGAGGGGAAGGGGTTTAGTGAGACGGCGCTGAATCGGGCGTTGATGGTTTTGCAGAGGAGGGATACCATCATGTTTAGGAACCAGGGGGCGCAGGTGTATCGGAATGGGGCGTAGTGGAGGTGGTGAGGTGATTGTTGGGGGAGAGAGAGCGGCCGGATTTGTTTGTTTATAATTTGCATGGAAAGGGGCGCGGGCGCGGGCGTAGGGTTGGTTGGCTCAGGGGTTGTTGGTTCAGAGGCTACATACCCGAGTCCTGAGTGTATACCTCTCCGGGAGGTGGGATATGTAAAACGACTGGGAAATAAATCCAACGATTTGAACGCATTGTACTACGTCTGTTTACCAGCCGATGAAGGTACAGGATAGGGGTGGCTTCTGCTACATTGTAACCTCTGTCCATTGCTCATTACACGCACCTTTCAGGGGTGTATTCCGTGTTTCCCACCTCAAGTCTAATATAACTCACCGTAACGTAATAACCGCTCCTTACCAGATCATACCAATAAAATATCCAGTTGTCATCAACACCACCACCACAAGTACAAGCACCCGCTTGCTTGCTTGCTTGCTTGCTTGCTTGCTTGCTTGCTTGCTGGCTCGCTCTTCCGCCCGCTCTCGTCTCCTTTCCTTGTCTTCTCTACTTCTCACTCTAGTCCTAAACATACGCAATCGTGTTATCCGCCCTCGTCCTCCCGACCACACCCAGCGCAGCCTCGTTCCCAGCAACAGATGGGCCACGGACGATAATCTGTTACAAAGTTAGCTGTTAGCAACCCAAAAGTCCACTCGGTACCTTGAAACCACAAAACAACTTACCTCTCCCCGACTCCCCTCATCCCCAGTCTTATGCACCCCGGAATCACGAAACAAAATCTCCGTGCTCGTCACCGGCGGGCCAAAATGCGCCTCACTTTCACCACCAGCCGCACCACCATTCGCACTCTCATAAACGCGATAGTCATAAAACGCCGTCTGTGCCACAGCGCCCGCAACCTTGGCGGCTGTCAGGGCATACATGATGCGCGCGCCCGTCAGCACACGCAAGTCGCCCAGGACAGAAGTAGTCAGCAACGGTGTGTCGGCGCCGGCGCGTTCGGCGGTGAGGATGAGGCGGAGTTTCTTGTTGTTTTCGGCTGGGTTGGGGAAGACGCCGGACTGGGCGATCCGGCGGACCTGCAGGCGGTGCAGGGTGCGGGAGAGGAAGGAGGCGTTGATCCGGGCGAGGGATTCCTTGTGGGTTTTGAGCAGGGCTGCTGGGGTGGCGACGAGAACGGTGGGGGACGGGCTGCCGCGGGTTGCGATGGCGAGGTCGTCGGCCTGGGCGGCTACGGAGTTGAAGGCTACGGATGCGTTGGAGAAGAGGGCGGTTAGGGTGAGGACGAGGGTGTGGGTGTTGGCGAGCGAGTCGGCGGGCAGGAAGACGTCGGCCGGGCTGAGGCGCTGAGCGGTTGGGAGGGCGAAGAGCTGGGCAGCGATGCCGGAGACGAGGTTGGCGGAGGTGAAACGGACCATTTCCTCTTGCTGGCCGGGCTTGGACTGCCAGAATACGGTGATGTCGCGGGGCTCACGCTGGCCTTCGAGGGAGGGTAGTTCCTTTCCGGCGTCGACGGGGCTGTCGTTGATGATGTCCTGCCAGGTAGATACGTTGACGGCGCCGCCGGTGCCTTCGGGGACCTCGTTCCAGTCGAGGTGCTTGCTGCCCTCGTCAACGACCCAGACCAGCTGGCGCAGTGACGGGTAGTTCTTGACGACGACGTCGAAGGGGAATGATCCAGGGGCGGTCACAACGGTGTCGGCGGCGGAGCGGCGCAGCATGGAGATGACGGCGTCGGTGGGCTCGTCGAAGGGCAGGATCACAGCGGTCAGGTTGTGGAAAGCGCAGGCGAAGAGCGTCGCGATCAGCTCGACCGAGTTGGGCAGGTAGATGGCCACACGGTTGCCGCCCTGGTCGGCGATGTGCTGGCCGATTAGGTTGATTTGACGCGTAACGTCCTCCAAGCTGTGCTCGATGGCCTTGTCGGTGCCTAGAACAGTCAAGATACGGCCGGTCTTACCCTTGTTCGGGCCATCGTCCTGCACGCCCGCGATCGCCTGACGCCAGACGTCCCTAAGATCGCCGTCCCGGCCTCTCGACCACTTGGAAGCCCCGGGCTCCTTGACGTTTAGGCCGGCGTTGAGGGGCATGCCATGAGGGGCACCCTGGGGACGGTAGACGGGGGACTCGCCGGGTTGGCGCACAGGGGAGCCCTGGGCCTGGCGGGCGAGCAGGAAAGGATGGGTATCGGGGTCCTGGCGTGTGACGAATTGGTAGGTCAGGAAGCCGGCAAAGACTGTGAATAGGGCGCTCGTCCAAATGTTCCACTGCCCGAAGAGTCCGGTCACGCTCTCGTCGAGCTGGAGCAGCAGCTTGTCGAACATGGCGACGGCGTTGTTTTGTTTGTTTTGGCTGTTGCGGGCTGTTGTGTTCGTTGCGTATCGCTGGTTCGGTTTCGGATGATTAACGAGGGCCGGGTTCCGGGCTGGCGGAAGCCGCGGTGTTCAATCCCGTGGTTTGTGGTGGTTGTACAAAACAAACGAACCGAGGTTCCAGCATGGAATGGAGTGTCCGGAGTGTCGGGTGCTTACTCCTATGTTGAGTTGTTGGTACGGATAGTGGAGATTGTTAGCATCAGGCAGTGGGGAGCTTCCCGCTTCAGCTTGTGCCAGCACAACCCTTGTTGGCCGAGACGGGACAGCTTTCGATGTGGGGGACCCCAGATGGGCTGTTCAGGCAGGTGGCAGCCAGCTGACAGTATGTCAACACCCCTGCTCAGCCCGTCGCCTAGTGAGAATTGCAGTTGTTGACTTCGCGCCACACCGCGGGCAGCTCTCGCACTGAGAAACAACAACCAGCAATCGACATCGACAAGGACGACACCAGCCCAGCGGAGCGTCGCCCGCCCGCGGCTTTTAGCCACCCGATTTTACTAACCAACCATACAGCAGGACCAGCCGTACAGATCTCCTTTTTCGCTCTTGAGGGCCTCGACAAAGCCTCGGTCGAGATTCAGGTTGATCCGTTCTCGGTCGCTTTCTTAGGCGCATCGCATCGCATCGCCGTGCAACGAACCCATTTATTACCGAACACCGCCCTCAACAAACCAACGCCATGTCTACTAGATCAGCCCTCACCCAGGTGAAATCCACACCCGCTAAACAGACTGCGGCTGCTCCTGTCACCGAGAGCCCGGGCAATTGGAAACACCCCCGCCTCGCCGAGATCACGCGACGCCAGAGCCAGAATGTATTCGGCGAAAAGAACATCCGGCAGATTGTCTACAATGTGATAGCATTGGTAATTGTCGGCGTGGCGCGTCGGCTGCTGCTTCCCAACTTGCCATCATGGGCGTGAGTTGTCCCGTTTCACCTGAGATCCATCAGCAGCGACTAACCTCCCGTACAGGATAAGCACCGTTCTCAAACAAAACAGCAGCTGGCTCACCGCCACCCTCTTCGTCATCCCCCTCTTCAACATCGGCATCGCCCTCCTCCCCCTCTGGCGGCCCAAAGACGACCTCTCCGACATCCCCCTGACCCCCGCCCAACGCAAGCTCCTCGGCCTCCCGCCCAGCGGCCAGCCGCCGACTCCCAACTCGGCCTACAGCACCCCGCCGCGATACTCGCGCACGCCCTCCCTCGCCGGCTCGCCCGCGGCCGCCAGCATCAAGAGCTACACCAGCTCGCCGCTCTCCAATCTTGCCAGCCCCAGTTCGGGCCAATACTCCTCCCCGCGGTTTGGCAATAATGGCAACAACAACATCTCTCCGTCCAAGTACGCGCCAGGACAGTCGCCCTACTCGTACTCGCCATCGCCGTCGAACGTGAGCCCGCTGCTGCAAAAGGCCACGGCGGCTGGGGGGAGGAGATCCTCGTTTGGGTCGACGAGCCCGCTGAATGCGAGCACGTCATCGAGTGTGTTTGGAGAGGGACCCGCGACGCCGACACCGGCGGGGAAGCGGTCGAGTGTGGGATTGAATAGCAAGTGGTTGTATGCGAAGGGGAGGCGGAGTTCGGGGAATGGGTGGTTGCATACGTAGAGTTGGGGGAGATTGGTGGGGGGGGTTTCTGTGGGGGTGTGTTTTGTAGACTTAGATGACAGAAGCTGTAATAAAGGCCAAGCTACGGCGTGGTTTGTTATCAAAGACCGACTTTACTGATGGCCTGGATCACCACTTACATGAGAAAGTCTAGCTGAGCATGTCCATAATAAATCGTAGTACATTCTATTTCCGGGTATTCTGGGTATCTCGTGACAGCCTCAACCACTACCTCCAACAAGAGAAGAATTAGAATTAGCCAAATCGACACCACAGCCGACCATCCAAGCCAAGCCGGAACCAGCATCACCCCATTAACCCATTTACCCAAAAGCTCTTTTAAGAAGATATCTCCCTCAACCTCAAGTCTTCTCCCAAGGCGGCGTAGCAACCAACGTATCCGGACTCTCATCATGCGTACTCCCCACCTTCGGAGGGGGTACTAACAGCTCGTCCTCCTTCCCCTTGCCTTTATCGTCCACGGGTTCTAGCTCGCCCTGTGTCGAAGAGCCCCAGCCGTGTTTCCTTCTCTTTCTTCAACCGTGGGAGGTTCAACCGTGGGAGAACCAGTAACAACACCACCACTCCCATTTTTCCCCACAACCGGCCCCGAAGGTACGACACCACCACCCCCCATCAACGGGGCGGCTCCCACTATTGTTGAATGCTGTGTTTGTTGTTCGTTCCATTTCAGCCCCTTCGCTAAACCCTTCAGACCCACGAGAATCACGTCAGGCTGTTCAAATGCCAGCAGTCCGCTGCTGGGTCCGGGGATGCGCTGTGTGTGTACGACGTTGTAGTGCGGAGTGGCCCAGGCTGGGGGGTGGTAGGGCGTGGGAGGGTGGGTGAGGTCTGTGGGGGTTGGCCAGAGGGAGAGGGGTGTTGTTGTCGTCGTCGTTGGTGCTGTGGGTTGGGTAGGTTCATGTTTGTCCTTCGATATCCCCCCTGTGAACACGGTGATCGCCACCTTAGGTTTCCCTATCCGTTTCGTCCCGCTGCCCTCCTCGCCCTCCAGATCCCCCCTATTCGCCGCCTCAGCGGCCGCAGCCCAGAAGCGTAGCATACCCTCCGGCCCAGATAACCACATCACGCTTGCCAGGGTAACCAACTCATCCTTCGTAAACCCAACACCCCCTCCCGTCCCAGCCGCATCCCGCAAACCCTTCAGCACAAAAGCCAGCATCCCCACCGGCGAGTCACAGAGGGCATACGACAACGTATTCGGATCAGCCACAACCTCACGGATCCGACCATATCCCCCCTCCCGGTCCCCGTTGCCGATGTCTGGCTTCCTACTCCTTTCCAACGCCTCAAAATCCCCCCTTTCATACCCGCCGGAACCCTTCCCACCCCTCGTCACCCTCGCAATCCTCCACCTCACCCACACCACAATCCCCTCCAGCCTCCACCTCGGCGCGCACAACCGCGGCGCAATCAGATGTGTACCCACACAGCTGTCAGCATGTGCCGAGGCTAGACGACGGGCAACACGTTCGTCGATCGCCGCGCTACCGGGAGAAGAAAAAGAAGAGGAAGGAGAGGAAGGGCCGACGGTGGTGACGAGGTAGCGGGTGTATCCGAGGCGGTGCATGAGGGAGTTGAATAAGGTGGCTGTTGTGGGGATTGGGTTGTTGGAGGAGGTGCTGGTGGTGAGGTTGGCTGGGAGGGAGTCGGAGAAGGCGGTTCCTGGGAAGGAGGGGATGACGACGTGGAAGGTTTGGGTGTCTTCCCCTGCTTCTTCATCAACTTCCGCTGTCTCCTCTGCTTCGTCTTCGTCCTCGTCGTCCTCTTCTTCCTCCTCCAAGGCAGAATCAGACGCGGACACAGCAGTCTTGGTGAAAAGCGGAATCAGCGGGGCGAGGGAGATAGCGGGTAAGGGAAACGGAGGGATGACTAATAGCGGGATAGGGGCGGGTGTAGTGGTGTTGGTCGGTTGTTGCCGGCCACGGGCGTGGAGGAAGTGGATGCGGATGGGAGCTGGGTGGTTAGGTAAGGTGAGAGCGGTGCGGAACTGGGGGATGGTGTTGAGTTGGGCTTCGGTTGCGCGCCAGGAGTAGTTTTCGAGCCTGGGTACCTTGGTCAGGAATGCATATTACCTCCAGGCGGGCAAAGGAGGAGGATGTGAGGAAGAGTGTGTGTGAGAGAGAGAACAAGTATACCAATGATCAATAAGCGGCTCGATAATCGGCTTGGGAGCCCACGCGCCCGAGCCCAAGTGTGATGGTTCATGAGGGAGACGGGTCAACTCGAGCTTCTGGCGCGTCAAGTCGAGGTGTTTGGTCGGAATCTATGCCAATTTCAACATCAGTATCTCGGCGGTGTCTTCCCTTCTCAGAGAGTGGCTGCATTGGGTTGGCTTACATGTATCCTGTACGGTTTAACCTCGTCGGCCACCGGAGATGTGACTCGCTCGGCCATTGCGGATGAGATTACTCTCAAAATCTCGTGAGATGTTGCGACGCGAGCGTGGTGTTGATGCAAGTCAAGTTCGAGCTACCTTATCGATATAACCAAGGGAGGACGGGCGCGCATTGACTATTCGACGGGGAAGGGAACGAAACTACCAAGTAATCGAGGGAGTGTAAACAAAAATTAAATAAAAAAGAAAACGGCGGGAAAATAATGATGACGGCTCGCTGTGAAACAGAAAATGGAGCGACAGGGAGTCAGGGACGGACGGGGACAGCCGAGCGGGCCGAGTGTGTCTTTTGTCATTTACACGTACATGTCTACTGACGAATCCAATTGTAAGCCCGGTCTACTACGCAGTATTCGATTTCCGCATCAAAGACCACATTTCTTCACCCTCTACGTTTCAAGACGCGCCATTCAACCTCTTCCACATCATGACCCATGGGCCCATAGCCAGCATGCAGCACGAAAGATGACTGCAACTCGCAACCCACCACGCCCACCTCACCCGAAGCCACCCCGAACCGTTCCACCGGACACCCAGGCACCCAAGGCTGAACGAAACGAAAAACCCGGCGGCTGCAACAGAGAATGGAGGGGGGATTTGCTCAGGAGCTTCTCCTCCGCTCTCAGGGTCCATCCATTCTCCATCCATAACGACAAGGATGTCTCACACTTCTTTTTCAGGGTCCTTTTCCGCACAACACAACTCCACTTTTCCCAGGCTGCGGGTGGATCTCATCCGCCAAGACCGAATTGGGTGGGAGCCAATTGAAGCGCATCAGAAGCGCATCAGCGGCTGGAATTTGGTAATTTATGCATATGATTGGCTGAGAGTTCCCGGGCGTTCAAGCCACAAGGGTCCAACCGTTGCGGAAATCCATGGCAAAGGCCCTGGCCGGGTCTTCTTCAAGGGTGAATGATGAAATGGATCCGTGGAGACCTTCATGGTTTTTGCCGGTGATGGTTACCACCTGCGCAATGAGGGCGACGGGAGCTCGGCAGATCGGCAGGGGAATCTCACTCTAGTCTCGATTTCTGTCGAAGGTTACAATACGCGCCGAAAAACTACAGCCGGAATGCTGCGCGAGTGAGAGAGAAAAAAGACAAATTCTTGATTACGAATATCTACCGGACCTGTGTACGCTACCGAAAGAGGGGAGTCTTCTCGTACCCTCCGGGCTTCCATTCCTCCCGACCCATCTCATTCAAACACCTGCCCACATGCGTGGCCGCTGATCGCGAGGCAGGAGATTCTTGTGCTCCGCCGGTACGGGTGTGCTTATATACCTCCCATCTGTGGCATCGGTAAGGTAGCTCTCAAACCCGCTCAATATTTACTGATGCCTTCGGTATCATCAGTTGTAACTGGCCCGTCCCATGTGGTGACACCCGTTCAACCCTAACCCCAGCGCCGAACCCACAATGACACATTCTAAGCGTCCTGTATCGACGGCGCTGTCCCCGTCCCCATCCCTCCCACGGCTGGCCCCGTGGGGTTGTTGTTGCCGTTGCTGGTGTTGTTGTTATGGTTCCCCCCTCTCAAGTTCATCGCCCCAATCCGCGACACAATATTGCTGCCGACCGCATCAACAGCCCCACGCGGGGACGTCAGCGACGGCCCCTGCGCCGCCGTTTCCTGGACCCTGAACAGCTTGATCTGCGTCGTGTTCCACACCCCCACCGTGCCCTTGGCCACCTGCATCTCGCTGGCGAAAATGAACCCCCAGAGGAGCGACTCGTACCACCCTAATGCCAGAGGTGACCACTCAAACGAATGCACTCGTACCGGTGACGGCTCGACCCCGACCAGCTGTACCTCGCGGATCTTCGCTAGGGTTGTGGCCGTGGGCGCGTCCGCGGACAAGACCTGACGCGGGAGGAGCACCGTCAGTTGCTGGAGGACGGTCAAGATGGTATGAAGCGGTAACTCGGGCAGCCAGCTATCTATCCAATGGGCGGATGGCTCGAATAGGCCACTCGACGATTGGCCCGCGACGGGGCTGCTGAGGCTGGTTGTGCTGTTTTGGCGAGAAAAGTTGCTCGCCCCGGCTGGCATCTTCCCGCGTGCCTTCTCTGACATTCCCTGAAGCTGTCTTGGCACGTCGTCGTCGGCCACAGACGCAACCGATGAAGCGGCCGAGGGATTGTCGCTGGGACTGGACGCAGCCGGTGTCGGCCGTGCTTCTTCGTCGTCGTCGCTATCGTCGTCGTCGTCCTCGCCGATGGCAAAGGTGCCGTCTTCTTCCGGAACATTATCCAGGGTTGGCGCTCGTAGCGGTGCTGTCGGGCTCCTGATGCTCTCGATCGAACTTCGGGTCGAGTTTGGCTCCAATGGGTCGTGGGACGCGTTGCTGTCCTTTCTGCGGCGGTTGCGGCGTTCTATCTCCGCTTGCCCACTTTCCAGCGTCAGAGAGCGCAACGCTTCAAACCGTTTCTTGTTCTTCATTATGGCGAAGATAAACTGGGGGTTTCCTGTCCGTTCGTTAGCGTCGGTTTTGTGGCGGAGATATCCGGTCACCTACTGTTGTACTTGTGTTCAACAATAGCATTGATAGCCTCCAGTAGAGACTGTAACAGGCTGTGGTTGGACTCGTTCGCAAGTAGAAACGAAGGCGAAGACATCGAGTTGTACAACTGCATAATCTTGGAGCACGTCGGCCCACTCAGGCCTTCAAGGTATGCCGCAATGTTGTTAATGACCGCCAGGAGAGCGGGGTAAATGGCAGTCAACTTCCCCTGACTTGTCGTGATGAGTCCGTAGATGGACTAACTACTCCGTTAGTATTCGGTAGAAACGCCATCAACTATCCCACGACCACGAACCTGAATGAGGTAGTCACCATATGTGCCTCTAAACCCAGCAATGCGGATGGCAGCTGGCAAGGTGTCTTGCGCGTCAAACGACTTGTTCAGGTTCACCCCAAAGTTCTTCTCGACGCTCAGGGTCTGCAGCAGAAAGGCGCACATTCTGACAACCCCTTGTTTCGAGGCATCATTCTTGTACTCGAGCGCGTAGAAAAGAATGAGCACGATGAAGTCGTGCGCCCTCTCCGTGTCGACAATGAAAGATCGGAACCGCTTGTTGCACTGCGTGACCTCCCAAAACAACATTATGATCTCGGGAGAAAATCGGATCGACGACTGTGCTCCGGGTATGTAGGAAGAGTTGGACTGTAGCGGCTGGTTCAGGATCCGTGTCATGCCGTCCACGACGAACTGGAAGTCCTGCGGTCGGTGTAGGCGGCCGAGAAAGTGGCGATAGTAGTTCTTGGAGGGAGTGACTCCATTTTGCTCTGGGATGGGGTAGAGCAAGACCACCAGCAGGAGCTGCAGCGTGTAGGTGACCAAATTCTCTTTGGGATCTTTAAAGACCAACGCATTGTACGGAACTCGCCAGCTCGCCGGGTTGTATTTGAGGGTCTGTGTGGGTCAGCAGCTTGCTACATACCTATGAGAGAGAGAGAAGGAGGAATATGGCTTACCGTGTTTAGCAAGGAACACAGAACTGAGAGCACGACCTGCTTGTCCGAATTGGAGCATATGTAGGTGAGTGCCTTGGTCCCCTGCTGCGGCAGGACATTCGGCGACAAGTACATGCTATGGCTCGCCAGAGTCAGGAGCAGTCGCAGGATCTCGCATCGGTTGCTCTCATGCTCCCGCGTGGTGGGAATCGACGTGTTGCACCCCACGCCGCTCTGCCAGATGGCGTAGGTAACCTTGGGTTTGCCCTGCGGGGCCTTAGGCACGGTGAGATCGGAGAAGAAGAGGAGATCGAGCAGGGTGTCAATGAGCTCTTCGGCGAGCGGTTTCGCGTCCTCGAATTCCTCTGCGGGCGGTTTGGTTTGTGGGTCCTGGGCTCCGTCGAAGAGCACCTCGTTCGCGATGGAAGACTTCCTGGTAGGCTTGCGCCTCGAAGTCCAAAAGAGCTCCTCTTCCCATTGCTGCAGCGACTCCTTTTCGTAGACAAATGGAAGCACCCGGGTCAGAACCCTAATACAATTCAGGACCTCTCGGTCGGGAGCTAGCTCGGGATCGGGAAACGAGGGGTGATGGCGGAGCATGAACAGGCGGTCCGTCGTAGTCCGGATCAGACTTTCGAGATTCTCGAGCGCATTGTCACGGGTGCGGCGCACATCGGCGGGGGCAAAGAGGCTAAAGATATCCTCGGAGGATTCGGGCAACTCCCAGAACTGTTTGGCCGGCGACATCTACGGTTAGGGACGAACTCCTTAAACAGGGACGACGACGACAACTGACCGAGGCCCAGTAAGCATCGCTCGCCGCAATGCGCCGTTCTTCCGAGAGCCGAAAGATGCCCTTTTTGAAGACAAGTTTCGAGTCACTGGCACCCATTTTGGCAGCTATGATATTCGCATCGTGCGGTTGCCCGGCTTGTGTTGGTGGTGGATTGCGTGTCGTCCGAGCTGGAGAGTTGGGCGAGAGCGGCGGAGCAAGCGGTGGCTTGCGTGCATGAGCAGAGCGTCGATCAAGTGTAGCAACAGGTGGGCAGCTGGCTTCGGCACGACTGACATCACAGGCAACCCACCCAGATCGGGTTCTAGGCCAAACGATCGGCCAACCCTAACCCTAGCGTAGTGAATTGCCGAGCTGCAATCTGGGGTGCTTGCCAAGCTTGCGTGGAGAACCGTAACCTCGATTGATGCATACGTACACGGTGTGATGTATGCACGCAACAACGATCTGGCCTTTCGTTTACTTATCGCTATCACCACCAGCATTGGGGGCTGTTCCTACCAACGAGTCGCGAGCTTCGCGATACTACTTCCCACGCCAACTAGCCCATGACACGGTCGAGGTGACGCCGGCTGTTTCTCCCCGCCAATTGGGAGCCCAATTCGATCTAACTCTCAATCCCTGAAAATCAAGGGCGCAACGGCCCCAACCCATCGCCCGCCATGTACTCCTCCGTCGTCCGTCTCCAGAACACCTTCGGCTACTTCACCACCGTAGTATTTGCCGTTGCCGCCGTCATCGCCTTTTCCGACCTTTTCTCGCCGCGTACCCCAAGCGTAGGCGTCCTCAAGGCAACCAATGTCCAAGTGTACGCCCATTCCCTCCCACCATCATCACCTCAAGAGCCATTCGTGCCGCTCCATAAACCTCAACCTAACTAACCTACCCACCCCCCCTCAACAGCGTCCGCGGCCGGCCACACTACTACTCCTCCAAAAAAGAAGAATACGCCATCATCAAATTCTCTCTCGACGCCGATCTCTCCTCGCTCTTCACCTGGAACACCAAGCAGCTCTTCGTCTATGTGACCGCTGAGTGGCCTTCCGCCGGTGGCTCGTCGGGGTCCGGCCAGAACGCCACCAACCAGGCCGTCATCTGGGACAGCATCATCACGGCCCCGAGCTCCGACCACCTCGCGAACCTAGGGCCCGTGGCCATGAAGAAGCTGCGCCGTAGCGCCGAGGGCAAGAGTATCGATCCCAGCCGGTTCGTCCCCCACTCCCCCGTCCCCCATTATCCCGTGAAGAGGTATCTACAGGTGAACTAACATCCGTACCACAGCGGCAAACTCACCCTCAAGAACCAACGCCCCAAGTACCAGATCACCCACCCGAGCGGCAAGCTAGCCGAGCAGGACGATGTCGTGCTGCGGCTACACTACAACGTACAGCCGTGGGTTGGTCTGCTTACGTGGAACCAGGACGTCGACCTGTGGAACTGGAAGACGCTGCGCAACAACCTTAGCAAGAAGTTTACCCTGCCGGCGATTAAGAAGAAGAAGGCTACGGAGGAGAAGAAAGCGGGGAAATAAGAGGAGGGTAGAATGGGCGTGCGGGCGAAGGAGAGGTGTTGGGCGTTAGATACCATCTATAAACAGGAAGCTTTAAAAGCATGCTGTGTTCAACCAGCATTAGATACGGGAATGCATTCGCACTTTGTGGTCTTTGGAAATGGATTCGCTGAGTTTCAGGTTTTACATTGACGTATAGTCCGTCTGTACAGCGGGCAAGAAAGTCCAGCGCGCACACCCCACGCTACAAGTCAGCTTGGGATGACTTTCAAACCATTCCGCTCATATACCCGTAACATATATCGCCCATGGCCCGTTGTCATCATCTATCATTACCTTATCCAGACAGAGCCCCCAAACCCACATCACAACCCTTCAACACTCCGCTTCCTTGGCCTACGCAAACAGTACCTAACCTTGCAAAGCCGCCGGCTGTTGCGCGACACCCCTTCCACCACCTCCACGTCCTCTAAACCCCTGTCCATCACCACCACCACGACCCCTCCCACCGCGTCCACGACCCCGTCCACCACGGCTCGGCGCATCCAAGCTCGCCGGCGGTGGCACAGCGCCGTAGATACCAGAACCGCCATTTCCGTTACCACCACCACCGCGTCCACCCCTAAACTGGCCACCTCCTCCGCCACGGCCCCGGCCTTGGCCGTTCTGCTGGAACCCGTCGCCGCCCTGGGTTTGATGGTGCGGACGATACGGGAGGTTACCCTGGATCGCACCACGCTGTCCACCGCCGCCTCGACCACCACGGCCGCCGCCGTTCACTGCGCCGCGCCAGCTGCCTTGCAAGGGGGGCGGGGCTGAGGCATCGGTGTAACGCTTGCCATTCATGTGGTAGCCGCCGTGGGCCGTGAGCGTCGTGACCGAAGGGCTGACGGGCTGGCGGGCCACTTGAGCCTTGGAGTCGGCGACAACCTGGTGGTGGGTCAAGTTGAGGAGCGTAGTCGAAGGGACAGTCTGCCCGCGGAACGGCGGGCACCGGTCGCCGAGGGTGGTGCCGCTCATGAAGGTGACGTCGAAGACGACGTCGAGGAGCTTGGCGGTTGGGGTGCGGCTGATGCCAACGACGGTACCGTGGAACGCAATAGGGACTTTGCCGGTGGAGGCGACATACGCCACGCGATCGCCGAGTGAGAAGTCCTGGTTGCCGAGGCGGTGCTCCGCATCTTCGGGACGCATGAGAGCGTTGCGTGGCACACCGTTCATCTTCTTGGGAGTGGCCGGGATGGCGCTCAGCTGCAGGTTGTCGGCCTCGGTAGCGAGCCGCATGACCACATCGGAGTCGAGCTGTTCAGCATCGAGAGGGACACGTTCCATGGAGCTGGTCTTGAGAGTCTTGAGCCAAGCACCGATCTCCTTAACGCGGGTAGACCCAGCGGTAGCATCGGCCCAGAGATCGCTCTCGGTGAGCTCGGCGCTCGAAGGGTTCCGCTTGACACCAGCGAAGAAGTCGGGGAACCGTGTCATATACTCCACGATCAGGTGGACTGCAGCGGGGCTAAACTCCCAGCCAGTCTGGGACTTGCGGGAGTACCCGAGCACCTTTTGTTTCCTCCCCTCGAACTTGAGATTCAGTCCGAGATTGACACGGAGATCCCCCAGGGTCCGGATGAAGTAGGACGAAGTGATCTTGCTTAGCGTCAGTGGATGCAAGTCGAGCTGTTTCGCGACCATGTAGGACGGCAAGTAGTGCATGCCCCTTTCCGCATCGTGGATGATTTTCTTCGCAAATATAGTCTCGCCCTTCTCCTGGACGACCTTTTTGTCCTGAACGGCCAACCAGATCGTGAGCTTGCCACTCGAGTGACCACCAACCTCGAAAGGCTGGCCGTAGTTGAAGTCGCCGAGGAAGAAGCCGACGGAGTTGAGAGGAAATTCAACCTCGACCGGCAGAGCTGCCCTCTCAATAAAACGCTCGTCCTCATTGACCACTTCATCCACGATGATCTGGGAGGCGTACTCAGTCTCCATACCGGGAATCTCGCCATATTCCTTGATCGTGGCGCCCTCGTTGGTCTTGATCAGACCCTTGAGCATGTGAACGGAAACGAGCGACTCGACAGGGCCAATCAAGATACCCAGCCGCTTGCTGTAGAAATTCTCAATCCTGTCCGCCTTCTTGCTCCAGTCCTCGATCTCACGGTGTGAATGGTTCTGGGGGATGACCTGCCCGCTACCATCTTCCGCAAGCGTGTAGTCAAACAGCTCGTCAGAGACCTTGACGATCTTGGCCTCCTGCAAAAACGGGAAGCCAACAAAGCAGCGTTGGCCAAGCTTGACCTTCGCCGACTCCACATTCGTCCGCAGTTCTGTGTCCAGCAAGTTGACAACCATGCTCTCGTTGCGGCTGTCCTGCTGGAAAACATTGACACCGTGGAAACCCAGGCTTGCGACGTATGGCAGCGTCGCCAAACTGGGGAACCCGGCCAACGCCTCGATGTTGAGCAACGCACCATCCGTCAGGCCAGCGCGGTATTCCAGTCCTTCAACGGGCGGCAGGTCAAAGATGTTCTCCACGCAGTGGCAGTGAGCGATGGGTGGGAAAACATCGACTAGCGGGGATGGGTACACAAAATTCATGTCTTCCGAGTACGTGAACTTCAAGGCAACCCCGAAATCGTTACGCGCCTTTTGGTCGTCGGACAGAAGCGCATCCTTGGGCTTCATGGCCGCCAACAACCGCTTCTCGTCGATGAACGGGATCTTGACAACAGCTTCCCAGTCCATCTTTTTGCCGTTCATGTCCAATTCGAAATCCCTAGGGTAGAAATCGATGATGGGTGAATTGGCATCCGTCATGAGTTCCCAGTACACCGTGGGGACGATCTTTTTACTGCGGTCCGGCAGCACACCCATGAGTTGTTCGTTCGGCCTGAATGGCTGGCCAAGCTTGAAGTTGAGATCCGCGTTCAGGCCCTTCATGACGTCCGAAATCATGGGCGAATAGTGATACCGGTAGAACCAGGGCCATGACGCGATTCCACGGTAGTAGTAGTAAAGCACCCATTGCAGGCCTTGGACGTAGTTCTCCGTTAGCTTCCGGAGCTCCTCCTCCTTGTTCTCTTTTGTCCAGTCCTCAAACTTTTGGAAGTAGTACTCGTCCTTCCATTCCTCGAATTTCTCTTTGTACTTGGCATCCATCGCAGCCTGGGCGTCGGCCGCCGTGAGGTCTAGAACCTGTGCATTGTCATATCTTTTCACGATACGCAACACTGCCGATTGCGACTCTTCATCCTCTTCATCCTCCTCGTCCTGTGGGGGGTAGGACAGGATCAGATGGCGGTGCCCCTCGTCGTCCGGTTTTGTGGCCCATTCAAGATGGGCCGCTTCAGCAAGGTCCTGGACAAACTTGCGGTCCTCGGCGTTGAGTTTTGAGCCTAGATCGAGGGACTCGGACGTGCGGCTGGTAAGGAACTTGCGAATTTTCTGTTTCCAGATGGCCTTTTGGCCGGTGCTAACAATGAGCTTGCCCTTGGCTTTCGCCCGAAGCTTCTCCGTCTCATCGTTCTCGAGCATTCGCTTCCCACGCAGCCAGCTAGCATCCTCATTCTCGTGCTCGAAGAAGCGGTACTCCTCCTTTCCAAGCTCATCGAGGAGACGGCCAAGGCGGTGCAGGTTCACCGTTCCATTCTCGTTGATGTAGCCGTCACACGTCGGCAGGACAACCTTGTATATCCTGAACATGGTGCTCAAGGCACCCTCGTTGATGTGAAGGTGTGGCAAATTCGGCAGAAAATCGTTGCCGACAAAAAAGGCCATGAGAATGAAGTCGTCAATCACCTTTTCCATGTCGAATGGGAAAGGCAAGGCCCCCTCCTTTTTCAAGTCTTGGAACTCAAGCTCCAAATACTCTCGAACGATACATAAGTGCATCAGATAGAAGTTTTGGTGTTCCAACTCTTTCGACTTGTTCTTAGACTGGCGTCCGAACGTGACCTCCTCGCGGAGGAGACAGAAGTGTGGGTCGTGGCTCAAAAGCCCCAACATAATCAGATCCGCATCGAGACCGTACAAACAATGGCGAACGTTGGGGTTGTAGTCCGGCTGGGCGCGGGCGTTCCGGATGTACTCCATAATTTTGTGCTCGCCTTCTCCGGGCACTTCATGGCCGGAAAGCACAATCTCGGGAGACTGCCAGTCCCTATCCTCCGAGACTTTTTTGTTGATGAAGTACTTGAGCTGCTGCGTCAGCTTTGCCATGAACTCGGTCCCTGCAAACAAGAAATTAGCGCGGGCAAACCGCCAACCCAAAATTACGGAATCCCACCTGGCGTGATGCAGTTGCTATCAAACGGCTCTTCCTTGGGCAGCTCCTTGCCCTCCTTGATGGCCTTATCGCGCGCCTTTTCGGCATCCAGGGCCGTCCGGAAACGACGAGCACGTTGCTGGTTCATCTTGGCGCGCGGGGCAACGCCATCGATGGCCATGAAGAATAGCTTCTTGGGTTTGATTTTCCCGAAGAGATGTTCGATGTAGTTGAAAATGGCGATGAACATCTCCTCCTCGCTGAGTCGAAATTGCACATCGTCGGAATCTTTGTGGGTACAGTTGTGAATGATACCGTTCATATCCAGCTACAGACCTCAGTCAGCACAATGAGAGGATTGCTAGTTCAACCACTAGGAGGGATATTCGCGCACGTAAAGGCAGTCGAACTCGGGGATCCGGTTCTCGGCGATCAACTGGGAGATGGCTGGGTAGCGCTCCGAGAGCCATCGGAAGAACTTGGGAACACTGCAGCCAGTTAGCAATTTGCCAACGCTTCGAAGTCAATCGAGGAACACGAACCCCATGATGGATACAAGGTGCGCGAGGCAGCGTAACTCAAATCAAGCGGTTGGAGGTTTGAGAATTCGGTCCGTCCTTCGGGGTCACGGTTGGCCCACGGAATTCGATGCCTCAATTCAATGACGAGAGATCTTAACGGCGCGGAGAGGGCCTAGAAAAAAAGATATACGATTGCCGGCGCTGAATAAAAACGGCCGGTCTTTCTCTGAGACTTTGAAAACGAAACAAGGGGCGAAAGAGAAGAAAACAAAGCAGGCGATACTCCCAGAGCTAGAATATCGCACCCAATCCACCCCGGGCTCGAAAGGCGTGCTAGAAACGGAGGTTTCGTAGAGGTAGTAATGGCGCGAAAAAAGGTCAGACAGGAAATCCCGAAACCAATGTCCTTCGTGATGCGGTCTTCCGCTTTGTAGGAGGATGGAGGTTCTGCTTTCGCCCGAGACTGGAAGTTAGGCCCTGCCGGTGACTGCTGGCCGGAGGCCCCCACTACGGTACCACAGCCCGTAGCCGTGAGCCCCACCAGTCGGCAGACATCGAAATGCGTGCCCCCGCCGCACTGAGGCCCTCAGTGCAGCAAAGGCGCAGCAATCGATGTGTCTAAATGGACGGTGCAGCCTGTCTATTGTGACGGTGCAGACCTCAAAACGGCTAGAGACCTCCACACCAACTCTTAGCCTCAGTCTCGATTCAAGTCCCTCTTCTTCTGCTCCTCATGTACCTACCTACCCAATTACCCATCGTAACCAACGCGTCACGCCAAAGCATTGATTCACGATCGCAATACTAGGAGTCATGTGTTTTATTGAAGCCCTATTACGATATATCGTACTTGCGGTTGTGATGTTGCGAATTATGTTGAATCAATGTCTTCGTTTATCTATTGCGATGTATGTTGCTCAGGTACATGGAAAGCAGGAGGACGATGTACTTTGATCAAGGTTGCAGCCAAGAATTGGTGTGGAGATGATCGACTTCTTTCTAGCCGTTTTGAGGTCTGCACCGTCCATCAGACACGTCGGCAGCAATCGGGCATTGAGGACCTGTGAGGTCGTTAGTTAGTGGGTCCGTGCTGGGCAAGCCGGGCATGATCACGTGGCCAGTGCTGTTCCATAGCTTCCATTCTCCACTAATCCCATTCCAGTAAGGCGGTCTTTACAGTGCAGGCGCGGGCAGGCAAGGTCAATTAACTCAAGATCACGTCGCGTCTTGTACGGCGCGCTTCCTGCAGCACCAGAGTACCTGAACAAAACCCGAAAAATCTCATTCTTCCACTTTCATCTACCCCTACATCTTTCACGGAACAATCCTTTCCCAATAGAATTTCGGTTGCCATCCGGCCCGCCACCGCACTGAAAATCCATCACCTATCTTTTCATTCACCCATCATGGCGCCCGGTGAAGCGGTGGACGACGTTGACAGTATGCCTCCTGGTTTTTTATCAATCGATAATTCTACTATTCATTTTTCTACCTGAATGTTTTGCACAGGGAGCTAATTCTTCCTGTGTGTAGTCAGCATGGAGGACCAGGACGATGCCGATCAAGAGCAGAGGTTGATCAACGAAGGTACGTATCCATTCATCTCAGTCCGATATTAGACCCATCGCTAATTTTTCTTCCAGAGTATAAGACATGGAAGAAGAATAGCCCTTTCCTCTATGATATGATTCTGAGGTCCGTTAGGTTCGGTCTTTTCCGTGGGGAATCAAAGCTGACCAACGTTGAAGCACTGCTTTGGAGTGGCCAACACTTACCACCCAGTGGTTTCCCGACATTAAGGATGTGCCCGACAAGAACCACACAGTCCACAGGCTACTAATTGGGACGCACACTGCCGAGGGAAAGCCCAACTATCTCCAGATCGCCGAACTTGAGCTTCCGAAATTTGTTGACCCCAACCCTCGCGACTATGATGAGGATCGCGGGGAGATCGGGGGCTATGGGAAGACCTCCTCAGGCGAGCCTCCGGTTATCAAGTTCAACATCACACAGAAGATCGACCACCCAGGCGAGGTCAACAAGGCCCGCTACCAACCTCAGAATCCTGACATCATTGCGACGCTTGCCGTTGACGGCAAGGTTCTCATCTTCGACCGCACCAAGCACAGCCTGACGCCCACGGGCACCCCTAACCCCCAAGTCGAGCTCATTGGTCACAAGGAGGAGGGCTTCGGCCTGAGCTGGAACCCACACGAGGCTGGCCATCTGGCATCTGGTAGTGAGGATAAGACGGTCCTCCTTTGGTACGTATTGACGACTAACATTTTTGAGAGGGGATCCTTGAAATGCTAAACGTGAATCGTAGGGATCTCAATACTCTCCAGGGCACGGGTAAGACACTCAAGCCTTCGCGTAAATACACGCACCACAGCCATATTGTCAACGATGTGCAGTACCACCCAATGGTCAAGCACTGGATCGGTACCGTGTCGGACGACCTGACGCTTCAAATTATCGACGTCCGGCGCTCCGACACCACGAAGGCGGCTGTTGTCGCTCGCGATGGCCACAGCGATGCGATCAACGCTCTCTCTTTCAACCCACGGACCGAGTTCTTGATCGCCACTGCGTCCGCCGACAAGACGATTGGTATTTGGGATATGCGTAACCTGAAGCAGAAGATCCACACGCTCGAGGGCCACGTTGACGCCGTCACCTCACTCTCGTGGCACCCCTCGGACATTGGTATTCTGGGGTCTGGTGGCTACGACAGGCGGGTCCTCTTCTGGGACCTCAGCCGCGCGGGCGAGGAGCAGCTTCCGGAGGACCAGGAGGACGGCCCGCCGGAGTTGCTGTTTATGCACGGTGGGCACACCAATCACCTGGCCGACTTTAGCTGGAACCTCAACGACCCGTGGCTGGTCTGCAGTGCGGCGGAAGACAACCTGCTTCAGATCTGGAAGGTTGCGAATTCCATTGTCAACCAGGACGACGTCGAGTTGCCGATGAACGAAATGGGCGCGTCCAACTAGAAGGGGGATGGAAAGAAACCGGGGTCGCGACGGTCGTCGCAAAGGTCAGGACGCGGGAGTGGATCCGGAACTCGATCAAGGTCAGCCTCTCGCCCATCGACAGCTCTCGGTCCGTCTGAGGTGACAAACACCGAGCCCACGGCCGTACCTGCTGCGACCGGAGACGAGCCCGAGCCTGATCCTGCTGCGACTGAAAATGAGCCCGAGCCCGAGCCTCAAGCGGCGGCAGAGGAGACGTCCTGGAGGGAAGAAAACCGGTTTTCGTATATGACCACCAGAAGGGCATGGAGAGAGCAGCAGAACTAAAACCAGTAGGCAGTGAAGTGGTCACAACAGGAGGTACAGCAAAGACGGTACAGAAGCAATCAGTCACGTTTGCCAGGTAGCACTCGGTATTCTTGAAAATGAGAACGTGTTTCCGGCGAAGGCTAGTGGCCAGCGGATGCAAGTCCGAACATTCCTTGAATTATGTGTTTCGTTTGTCTCACATGGGCGGTTTCTCTCTGTCTTGTTTTGGCTCCTTCCTATTGTCTAAAGGGTAAAAGTACGGCGACCTCATGAGCGTCATCTGCCCGGTCTATGAACTTCTCAAGGTACCATCCCTCCACCCTATGAGCTTCCCCAGGAATGCCGAACAAAAGGCCTTCCGCCCTATCGTGCAACCGGTTGCCCTATGTGTGGGTTCATCCGATGTATTGTGGTTGGCTAGGATTGTTCTTTTCCATTCCGAGCTCTCTTGAGCTCTATTGAGTTCTATTGTGGATGCTATTGTTGAATAACAACAATAGGGGAAGCACTCAATCACAACAATACCAGAGGGCTAAAGCGAACTTCCGTGCCTGCCAGTCCGCACACGTACAAGAATTTTACACAACACGTAATAATGTTGGCCATATTTAATCCGGGCACACATGAGTTTCGACTTTTTCGACTTTCTCACACCAGATTTCTCACATTCCTTTCAAACTACTTGGGGCCTTTGTCAACAACCTATGGTCTACAAGTTGCCGTCCACAGCAAATGCACCAACTCATTCCTTTCTTTTATTCCCTTCTACCGCGTTAACTCAAAGTACTCGACTTTTCAGTCTGGCTTCATTCGAATCCACGAGACCCGTCGGCTAAGCAGTGTCTGCCCAACATGTCGGCTAACCAAGTCGGCGTGGGCACCCTCGAAGAGGCCCGTCGTCGGCTAGCCATCGCGCAAGCTGCTCGACGAAACGCCACTCGCGAGGAAATCGAGTCACAGGGGATCCAACCCTTTGTCGACATGACCATTGAGAACATGAACACTACCCAACCGATGTTCTCTCACTCGTTCAAACGAAGCAAACTGTTCGACTCGAACACACACAAGGTCTACGACTATGGAGCTGATAAGATGGAAGAGGAGTATGAGGACGAGGACGAAGATGAAGATGAGGATGACGCCGCAGAGGAAGAGTTTGAGATGTACTGGCGGTCGATGATCAAGGAGGTGGGCAAGGATGTGCGTGTGGATAACCTCAATGTAGTCCTCCTAGCCGAGTTCCGCCAAATCGCCCGCCAGCGACAGCGGATGATCACCAAGGCCGCCCTCGCCTGGCGAGAAGGGGTACCCCCGCCCGTACGTCAGGACCGCTTCGACCTCTTTGGTTCACTATGCAACTGCACCGACCTCATCATCGAAGTCTGCAAGCATATGCGGCCAAAGGACATCGTCACCTTATACAGCATCAGCAAGCGTTTCCACGCCATCGTCGACCAGAACATGCGCAACTTCGTCTTCGCCATGGCCGGTCACATGGCGCCCACCGGAGCCCGAATCTTCTCCAGCCCCGTCTACAAAGACTCTTTCATCCGAGACCCGTCCCAGCGCACCGTCACCCACGCCGACCAGGCGCTCAGCGAGCCGCAGTGGGGCCAGGCCAGATACCGGGGCCAGGATGAACTCAACGAGATACGGGGGCGAGTCCGCTTGATCCCAGGCCTGCTATGGCTCCAGATGGTGGTGAACCGCGAGATCCGCGTCCGCGACATCCTGGCGTGCCTCGCGAGAATGGGCCACCGCATGCCCAAGGGCTCGCACGTCACGCTCAAGAAGATCTGGCTGATCATGGACGCCTCGGCGAGCCGGGTGCGTGTCATGTTCCTGAACAACCCGGACTTTTTTACCGATGAGGACCTGTATATCGCCCAGATGTTCATGGTCAAGCTCGTGCTGGCCTTCAACCACCCGACCTTCGGCCCGCAGTCGTCCATGCTCATGCGCCTCATGCTCGGCCAGCGCGGACTATCCCCTCTGTGGGCGCTCCTCCGCAACAAAAAGTACCGCTCCGCGGCCGAGATCCGCCAGCTCAAACTCCGCTACGACGTCGGCGCCGCCCAGATCCAGGACGAGAACCTGGTAGCCATGACCGGCCACGAGCTCGACCGACTCGGCACCCTCCACTTGGAGGGCTGGGGCGTCGGCAAAGATCATCTGATGCGGCTCGACGAGCTGATCCCGCTGGAGTGTGCCCGCCGTCAGCTTGGCTACGACCAGTGCGTGGAGGAGATGATGATCTACGGTCACGTCGACTTTGACACGGGTAATTCGCTGGTGCCGTCGCTGGACGAGATGTACATGAGCGACGACGAGCTCCCCGAGGTCACCAAAACCTGGAAGCCGCTCCGGCATGAACTGATCCATTCCGGCTGCGGTAATGTGCCGTTTAATCCGAGCAACTGGCAGCCCAAGCATGCCCGCAAGGCGCGGTGGGACACGCTCACGGAGGAGGAGAAGGCCATGATCCTCGAGGCAGAGCAGGAGGAAATGGAAGGACTCAACGAGCTCGACCTTGCGCGGTGGCACCAGAGCGTGGCTTGGGCTCGCCTGGCGAAGCTCACGAGCCAGGAGCTGGCTACCAAGAAGATCAAGACCAAGTACATGGTAAAGGCTCCGTCGAATGCGGACTTGGATTCCCACCTCCACCAATTCAACCACGTCCGACCGCTCCGGCTTGCTTCCCGTCGTTATATCAAGCCCAAACCCGAGCCCATCCCTGAGCCTACGCTCCAGCACAGGCCCAAGCCCAAGTCCGAATCCCAGACTGAACAACCCAAGTTCAAACCTCGTCCAATCTCTTCCGACGATCGGTTCACAGACGAGGAGCTGGCTGAGACTCATGGTCCGGATGCAATGGACATTGATGGCCCGGCTCCGGCTCAAGACCACGACTCGGACAATCTCTCCGACATCCCCGACGAGGACCTCATCCTCGATGCCATTCCCGAGACCGAAGTGAACCGCATCTTCCGCTCCTTCGGCCCGCGCCGACCCTACCGTGAAGACTCCGATCTAGGCTCCAACGACGAGGGTGACGGCCCCAACAACCAAACCCACAACCAACAGCACGGCGCGCACGACAACAACCCCCAAGCCCAGGCTACCCAGCAGCCGCTGTCCCAAACCCAATACCACAACCTCCACCACCCCCACCTGCAAATCACCGGCCCAGCCCTAGAAGACCAACCCACCACCGGCAACAACAACAACGCCGAAGAAGCCGAATCCGAGCTCGAAACCGAATACGACGACGCGACCGACTCCTCCGGCCCCGACTCCGACGACGAAGACGACATCTTCGGCAACTACCCCGTGCGCGTCAGCAGCGCGGTCAACCTGTTCCCCGTCAGCATCTACGACGTCGCGCCCGAGATGCGCACCACCTACTACACGCCTGCCACTGCTACGGCGATGGATGTGGATGATATGTTGCTTGCGCTGGCTGAGATGCCGTATTCGGAGGATGGAATTGAGGAGGGCACGGCGGGGGGTGGTGGTCATCAGGGTCAAACGGTTGGGGTTCAGGCCAATAATGGAGGGCAGGGAGATGGGGGTGGCAATGATGATGATGAGGATGGGGATGACGAAAATAGCGAAGATGAAGAGGATTCCTATGACGACGATCCCGAGGGAGAGTATGACGGGTACGCGACCTACGAGGAGTGGTCGCAACACAACACTGTGTATGACTTGCCCGTCGTCCTTGGGAGCCCTGACGAGGGAGAGATTGTCATCGACAACACCAACGCAGAGGACGAAGCTGAAGCCGACGCGGATGCCGACGCAGACATGCACATGAACGGCCCAGACGACGAAGATGACGATGATGACGTCGACGATGACGATGATGGAGCCAATGTCAACGCCGCCCCAGGCATCCAACTTCCGGTTCAAGGCTTTGAAGACGTTGCGGGTATTAACTTGCTTATGAGCGAGCTCGCCGTCGTGCCTGGCAGTTCCCAGGATCAAGATCAGGGCCAAGATCAGGAGGACTCGGAGTCCATGGACCCGGGTGAGTCGGCTGAAGAGCAGAAAATCATGAAGTTGCGGGATTGGTACCGGCCTTGGTAGGCTGGATCAGGGGTTCTTTTTTTCTTTTGTTTTGTTTTTCCTTTTATTGTTTCTTCTTCTTCCCCCTTGTTTCTGTTTTTCTTCATCCTGCACTTTGCTGTCTTTTATTTTTCCTACGCTCGGTGTTGGGGCGACTTTCCCAACAAGGCTGAATTGCCTGGCGTATGGTTGGGGTTTGTTGTTCTTTGCTCGGGAACAAAGGCATGGGAAGAGAAACGGCTGGATTCTAATACTCTGGGATAATCCTCATGATATGGGGATAGTGAGAGAAGCGGACAGTCTCCAGGCTCACAGGAGTTTAGTTTGTCATGAAGAAGACACTGTAGCATACCACACAGATAGTTGCTTGCGAAATTCACATTGATCAAGTCATCTCGGACCGAGTACGCAAAGTGAATCACAGTGTAGTTCCCCTACACTGAATATCATAATGTTCTCCCCCCGGCGCGTGATATCGTAACCAACTGCGGGGCCTGAAACTGAATATGTTACCTGGTTACCTAGAGTCTAATACAGACGGTTTAGCACAAGCAGAATACAACATCACAAACCAGCCTCGCAATCCTACCTTTACACCCCTTATGTGTTGATTAATATTCGATATTAACTAGAGGCGGGGCGTTGATTATCAGGTATAACCAGGCAGTAATATATCTTGCAAACACCTTATATTGAGAAAAGCAAAAAAAGCCAAAAGAAAAAAGTGACACGAACAGGACTCGAAAAAAAGAACTGTGGTCAGCCGCATCACCCAGGGGGGTGATTTCACCCTGGGCGGTGACCAAACGAGGTACACAGTTCTTAACCACTACACTACCGGCAGGTGTGATCCTCGTGATTTCCTTTTGATGTTGGAAACCAGGACCGTGGACCTTCCTTATATACTGCCTTCTTGCCTCAACTTCTTGCCTCAGCCTCTTGCCTCAATTTCTGACACCCCCCACAACCAAATTAAAGACATGGGACTAGCAAACATAGTTGATTAAATTAGGCGAAGATATTTAAACCCACCGTCATCTACACCTTGAACTAATCTATGCCGATGAACCGAGCTACAGGGGAGAGTAACGCGTCTCGAGAACCATAACTTACAGGCCCGGTCTCGACAACTAAAGGAAAGGGGGCTAGATTTTTTTTTCTTGGACGAGATGGGGACGTTCCCAAACAAGTCAGCCATCGTGCCTGTATGCCGTGGGGGATAGGAGGGAGCTTCAAGTATCGGTCCACCCCCATCTGTGTACATCCATGGGCGTATGTGTGCATACAACTCAACCCACCTGAGCGTATGAAAGAGCAAAGTCCAGCACAGACGGTCCTCTCTGGTCCCTAAGGAGGGTAGGGAACATGTGGCGTCGAAGGTAGAAAGGTTTGGGAATAAAAAAACGGTAAAAACACATCAAGGGTAACATCAACAACCACCTTTCCCCTTTCGCTTTCACTCCGACCACACGGCCATCCCCCCCAAGCCGGCGCGCATCAACCCAACCAACCAACGCATCCCATCCATCCATCCCCCTCCTCCGAAAAGGCCCGAAATCAACAACACCCCTTCGCCCCGGTCCCCCGAATGGTTGACTTTCCCGCTGTACCCCCGACCCCCACCCGCTTGCCAGTCCGCCGGAGAGCAAACTTTTTTGTACCGTATGTGAGCAAATTATGAAACGAGAGAATAGACCTCAATCTGAGAGCATACTAGTTGAATAGGACGAAAAAAAAACGGGAGAGCAAGAGCAAAGAGAGAGAGAAACAACAGAATCAGAAATGAAAAAAAGGGTAAAACAGGGAAGAAATGAGATAGAAGAGAAAGAGGACAAGAGGGAAAGACAAGATTAACAAGCAGAAATAGGGCCAAAAAGGGCATGATACAGTTCCAGCCGCCATCCGCTCACGAGCACCAAAAGGCCAGAAAAATAAAAGAACCCTTATACACTCCCTCGCTATGCACGCCGCCTTCTTTCCCTCTGTCCTCTTTCTTCCTTCTTTTCCCACACGCCCTGTCCTGTCCTACCCTGCCTTGCCTTGCCTTGTCCTTGCCTTGCCTTACCCCAACCGACCAACACCCCGCCCAGATCCTGAACCAAACCCGCCCAACCCATGATGCCTGACCTTGACTCAAATCGATGTGTGTTGCCTATTTGTTGCTTGCGAGGCCCCGAAGTCGGAGAAGAATCGGAAAAGATGGAAGAAAGACAACCGTATGCGTGCGCGTGTGTTGAAAGTATGCGAGAAAGGGGGGGCGCCTCCAGACGACTGACTGCGAGGGAGAGTAAGGCATATAGAACACACCGTGCCCAGCCCCCGAACTCCCAAACATTGCGACCCCCTATGCCGGAAAGAAGAGAGTCAGGTACAATGTATTGTTGTCGGCCCGGAGAAAAAGAAAACCCCGTCCCGAGGGAACCCGTATTGTGTAAGAATGGCATGTTCTTTTTTGTCTTTCCAGCCCTTTGTACTTTTTGACCCCCCCAACGCGCCGTCCCAACCATCGATCGCCGCAAGCCTCGAGCAGACGAACCCCCCTTACACCTCCCAAGATTCACCACATAAACCCCGTAAATGACCGGCCGCGGTATCTCTCCCAAAAATCCCATTAACCCGCACCTTTGATGACGAAACAGACGAAATTTGCCGCAATTATTGCCAAGGCCCAAAAGATCCTCTATTCCCACCAACCCCTTGCCCCCAACCTTGCCGAAAAAGAAAGCCACGCGCGACGGAACCACACAAAACAAAATTGTGGTAGCCTCGAAGCAACAGGTCGTCCCCTCCCCCTCTCCCTTCCCTCACCTTAACCATCGATGAGGACACTAGCGATGCCACTCGCTTACGCGGGCGATTTGCTCTGGGGAGCGCCACTACCGTTCTGACGAGCATCCTGGTTGCTAACGGAGAGCGAACCAATACCCGAAGAGAGGAAGGCAAAGGGGTCGGTCTCGCCCTGTGAGTAAAAGTTGTTGTTATTGTTGTTGTTCGGGCCGGCAGACGCAGGGCCGTTACCAGCCGATTGGAAAGCCGCCTCAGCGGCACGGCTGTCAAAGGGGCCGGCCGAGTGAGAACCCGGAGCAGGACCGAAGTGGGTGTTCAACGGAGGGTACGGGGCAGCGCCACCGCCGAGGCCGGAGGGAAGGGCATAGGTGCTGGGGGGCCCACCAAAGTGCTGGCCATACTGGCCGCCAGAGTTGAAGTTACCGCCACCAGAGCCAAAGGGGCCGCCAGGACCGCCAGGACCACCGGGGTTACCACCCATGTTACCCTGTCCCATGCCATACGAGGAAGGGCCGTCCATGGGAGATGGGTAGCCGGAGTCGGCAACTACAGCAGCACCGGCGCGGCTCGCACCGCAGCGCAGGCAGCAGACGTTCTTAGCGAAGTTATGGTAGCCGCAGACCTCGTTTCCGCACTTCCAGTCACCGGCACGGAACGGTACGACCCCAGAGCCACCCATGCGGCCGTGACCACCGCCGCCGTGGCCGTGGTGGCCCATGTGAGGAGGCGGGGGCATCATAGCCGGAGGCGCGTACCCGTACCCATAACCCATCTCGCCCGCAGGGCCGGCAGTCACGGCAGGGAACGAGCAGCGGAAGCACGCAGTGCGGCGCTGGAAATTGGAGAAGCCGCAAGACGGGCAGGTCCAGTCGCCGGGGCGAGGGCGGTTCTTGCTAGGTGGGAAGGGTGTCAGGATCTCAGAGGCCCGGTCCAGAACCCGGCTCGACGATGGGGAGACCTCGATGGCCTTCTCGTTGAGAGCACGGCCGTTCATGCACAGGCTCTCAGCGGCCTGATCACAATTAGTCAGCAGCTAGGGACGACACGAAGAACAAGCAAGGAGCCGCGGAAACCAAACTCCAGAGCTAGAGCATCGATTGGTACTAACCTCTTCATGGGACGAGAAGACGGCAAAACCGGTGCCGGTCGGCTTGTGCTGTTCCGGAGTGCGAAGAGTCCAGAACGCAATCGGACGACCACCGAATTGGGTGAACCAGCTCTCAAGTTCCGACTGGGTGGTGTCGTGGGGCAGGCCGGACATGTGAAGGACCTTGCTCCGTTCCGAGAGGAATGCACGAACATCGGCACGAGCGTCCATGGGTCGGGTGAGCACATCCGGATGCTCATGGGGTGGCTGAGACTTTCGAATCAGTCCGCGGAGCACACGAGCAAGCGTCACGGCCTCCTCCATAGCCCGACGGGGCGACGCCGGGGCCAGGGCCTGCAGGTGGAAAGGCAGGTTGTGCTTGATGGGGGCACTGGACTGGACAGCCTCAACCTCCAGAGCGGCACAGATGTTGGCCAACGACGAGGGCCCGAAGGGCAGCGACTCAGGGTGGTGCTGCTGCCACCGTTGGTATTCGGTACGGAGCTCAAAGGCGCGAGAGTGCTGTAGGTAAGGCGGAAGCACGACCGACTTGTCGCGTGCCTCACGGGGGAGCTGCACACGTAGGTCCCATGCCTCGAGAGTGACGAAGACAAAGTCGAGGTTCTGCGAGGTCAAGTGCTCGGAGGCAAAGGCATCGAAGCGGTTTATAGCGTCCCTAAACGTCCCGGCGTTCCGCACATGCTCCCACGTTAGGGTAGTCAGGCTCGCTGTGGGAGAATTGGTCAGCTAAAGGCGACTCGCTAGAGAGAGTACCGGGGACCGAATTGGCCGATGACGATTTATAGGGCGTCAAGGGTTGCTTCGAAGAAAAAACAGAACCAGGCGGACTCACTACAAAGGGGCGTAATAGGAGTGTTGACGGGCTTGACAAGCACGCTCTCTCGGTGAAGCTATAGGCGAGAGATGGTGAGCAACCAACAGGATCTTTGTTTAAATATTCAGGGGCCGGCTTGGCTTACCTCGTCGAGTGTGTTTGCGTCTAGCAAAATCCAGCCGAGCTCGATGACCTCGGCCGAGTCCTTGGTCACGTAGACGCCGTGCTCATCACAGGTTGTAGCAACGTGTACGACGACGTATCGGTCGACCTTGAACGGCGGGTTCTGTTGAGTAGCCATGACCGCGGTCTAGAGAGAGTAAGGGAGACGACGGAAGGGAAGGAGATGGTCGACAGCGTTCGAGCTCGGAAGCCGAACTTTTGGTTCGAGGGATTCGAGAGAAGCGGGAGATGCGGCTACCCGGGGGAATACTGCCTGCGAGAGAAGGGGAAAGAAGACAAAATGTCAGCTAGGGCACTCGGAACGTTCAATGCCGAGAGAGCGGTGTCGACGGCAGTCTCTTACCTTCCTAGTTTTGTTTTTGTCGCCCGGTGGACGTCCGCAGCAAACAGCGGGTTTTCGGGAAAATGAAGCAGCAGCAGAACTGCTGAGCAAGGTCCACGAAGTTTACCGAGTCCACTTTCTTTACAGCCCCTTGCAAGGAATTGCGGAGCTGAGAACGGGTTCGGGTCCAAGCTTCGTACTGTATGTAGGTACCTTGCGGCAGGAGCAGACCAGAGCCACAACGGGCGAATAAAAATGCAGAGCCCTCGCAACGACGTTGGTGCAGACACGCTTAACGCGTTCCTTTTCCCGGGCTACGAAGGATGAATTCGAAGTTCTGTAGCCTCTTTTTCCCTCCTCGACGCGAGCAAGCACAGGGTAGAGTAGGAAAGAGCGGAGTGGAGGAGGGTTTGGTGGAGAGGCGAAAGGGGAAAGGGTTAAGTGTCAAAACTGGAGACACGCGTGAGAAGGGAAAAATGACTGAGAAAAGTCAACGCAGAGACAAGAGGTGTGGACTAGTTTGACTGGTCGACTGGTTGGCCCCGTGTCAACGGTAACCTCACCCTTTTCCTGCCGTCTCTTCTTTTTCTTCTTCTAAATATTACACTCCTTCATGCCTTCCCAGTGAGCTTGTTTTTTCGGGTTTACACAGTATTGTTTCGGAATTTCGACACCAGCTGTGTAAGGATGGTTTCTTAGGGACTTCAATGTCACGCTGTGCTCAACCGTTGTGGTGGGTGGGTCGGCGCGTTTTGTGGCTTCCCCTCGTATCATGTATTGAAAAGGTTTCCGTTGACGACGACGAAGACTGCTCGCCGAAGGAACAACCCATGGCGGCCGTGTAGTCCCTATCTCTCGTCGGCAAAAACATATTCACTTGAGTCAACATCGGGACTTCATCGCCTCTTGCTAGGGGCTTCAGTTGATTTTTTTGGGGTTTGGATCTGGTGGAGCTTCCATACCGACGAACTGTGTACTTGTACTGTGTCCGGTACGGTACGGTACACACGTCCCGCCGGCTCGGCCCTGCTTCCATCCGCGCAATCGCCTATCAAGTTCCCTCATCAATTCCTGTCCCATTTGGGGTGAACCGTGACGCGGTGATTGACGCAACTAGCAAGCGCCATCGACGAGTCCATTGGCAGATATGCCCCATGAATCAATACACTGCCCATCTGCCAAGACGGCGGATCAAAAAAACGAACAAGCCGAGCCCCCGAACTCGCTGAGCAATCCGCAGCCGCACCAAAGAAAAAGGAATCATACGAAGACAGATTCGGGATGTCGTGGATGTGGCCCAGACTCTTGTCTCATCAACAATCAACTACGACACTTCCTCGACACCGTGTCCGCGCCCGTGCTCTAGGACTCCCTCCTGGGCTCCCTCTCGCTTTCGAGGCGAAGGCAGCCCTTTTCCGTCGTCATGGGTCGCATCCCGGCACTCGGAAGCGCATCCGGTAACCGTGGGGATTGGATTGCGGTGTGGGGCGCGAGTCGGTTTTCATTCCTCGACCACAGGGGCAAAAATTGGTGGAAGAGAGCGCTGACAGATACACTACTCGTACAATACGTCCCTTTTATGCCCCTTCCTGTCCCCTTTTCTTGTTGCACACCACACAGCGACGAACGCTCAACCTGTGTGTTGGGTCCAGAGACATCGATTTCCAAAACCAGGCAAGGACTCCCGCTGTGGCGGGACTGGTGAGACGTTTTCTGCTCCACCAAGATTCTGTGCTCAGGTTCCACATGCGCGCTCGCAGGTACATAATACCAAACACTCCAGTATTCCATGTCTGCACCACGACATCATCTGTGACACTTTCACGGACACCTCTTTACGGAGGCGAGCCCCTGACCAAAATGGGTCGAAATATAACATAAGCCGCCGGGATGTGGTCTCTTGGGCCCAGAACATTTTGGCCTGCTGTCGGCCCAAATGTGGAAGCGAGCTCAGGAGGCAATTCAAGATGTCTTGTCAAGTATTTCGCCCCGTTTCACTCCAAGGCTACTCAAGTCACATGAGCAATTCAGCTCGGGAATGCAGCAATCCAAATTCATCCAACACCGACTGTGTTACAGTGAGGAAGGCGCAAGGTGGTAAAGTGGTCTGTGCATCGCTACGTCATACCCTCTTGCCATCTTCATTTTGCCATCCATGAAGATGGCAAGAATAAGTTCGAGTTTCGACTGTTCACTCCTCTTGCAACACTGTAAACCCAAAACCAATCCGTAGTGGACCATCATAAACACAGACGTGCCGTTATTTCAAAACGCAAAAGTAATGGAAGGCGCAGCGGGAATCCTCGTTGCGATATTGAGTTTCTTCGGTCAGCTCCAGATTATACTCCTCGAACTCGCTATTGAAACCCCGTACTAACTACAAGCCACAGTCCCTCCTCTCGGAGTCGCTCTCATAGCAGGATGTGGAGCGGATCTACTCATCAACATATTACTCACCATCTGGCTGTATGTCTCACATCCTCAAATCACCTTCGTTGGTGTTATGGAAGAGAAACGCTGCTAATAGAACACGACAGGTGGTTCCCAGGCGTGATCCACGCATTCTATCTCCTCTGGGTCTACTACGACCGTCGGGAGAAGTACAGGGCTGGCATCCCACCGGCCCCGAGGGCGCCATTTGTGTACAGCGATAAGGTGCAGGCGGGCGGGCTGACGAGGCATGGGCGGATATAAGTTGAGACGTTAGTGCAGGTGGTGAGAAAGAAGGGGATCCCTTTTTTTCGGGCAAGGAGCTTCTCTTTCTTTCTCTTATCTTTTCTACTTTCCGTCCGATAGAGAACTCCAGCAATGTGCGGGTTTCAAATTGACTGAAACAACAAAAATAACACTCATCTCGCACTCAACATATCCTATTTGTCTGCTTCCTAGGGTAGGTTGTGAGATTCGAAATGCTGTGTTTATAGATGTGGGTGCACCGAGCCACCCAGCGAGTGGCCCTGAGCTGCCTAATATGTTTTAGATTTATGAATAGTATGGGCAATGTGTTTTGGAGGAGCGCAGCTGGAAAAACAGGATGCGGTGAGGTTGATAACCGGGCTGCAGGCGTTCACTGCCCATGATGGCAGGTTTGCCATGGAAGAAAAGATGGAAGAATGTATGGAAGTCGGCAGTGGTCGGGGAGGTCCCTGAAGCTCTCTTGGCGGGGCAGCACTGTCCCCATTGGCTCCGTGACCAGACCCCTGCTCACCCACTGCAAGGTGTTTGGGGCACACCTCTGAGAGACAGCCACGACTGCTTGCAGCAGCGCGAGCCCGTGATCATCCAATGGTGGCTGCTCTCACCATGGGCACTCTTCCTGATCTGCTTGACTGCGACTGACGGTCGGCCAGTCACGACGCTTTGCACGCGGCCGAAACGCCAAAAGACGCCAAACTGAGAAGCGGAGATTCTGCGGCCGCCAATCTGAAGATTGCACCGTCCATGCGCGCATGCGGGCGACTTTATCCCTCTGGCCATTGAATCGAATCAGCGACGAGAAAGCTCAAAAAGGGAACGAGAGAAGGGGGAACGAAAGGAGGGAAAAGGGAGAAGGGGCCGTCGAGTGGAATTGAACCGCGCACCGCTCAGACAGTACCAGCACTGGGCAGAGGACAAACCAAGCATTTTACCTGACATTCCAAACATTCCCAGACGCAACACAACGCCAGACGCAGGCACCATTTAGTGGAACCGACTCGACGGTCCATACCCAGACAACCACGTCGACACGGCCTCCGGACTCGTTCCTCCGTCTTCCACCGTCCGGCCGAGGTCAGGACAAGACGGGACCAAACGACACGCAGCGGCCAATCGCTCCCGGACGACGGCCAAGCGCTGAGGTGACTGGCATGCCGCCCATGCTCTGTCCTTGTCGACTTGTTGATTGTTGATCGGACCCACTCCACGCTTGACCCCTCAACGCTTTTTGCCCGCCATCTCGAGAGTCTCGCGGGCCCCCTGTTGCGTGGACTGGGGCTCTACCGCTCTGGTTACGGCTTCGGGACGTTAGGAACTTCTTCAGTTCTTCGGCTTCCAATTGCCATCACAGCGCGTCGGCACGGGACGGTCCCTACCCGTCCTCCTTGCGGCTTGTACATCCTGCATCGCCGTCGCCCGCTTACCATGGAGATGCCCAATAAGCCGGCCGCTCCTCGCCCGACGGCCTCCGAGTCTGCAGATATCGATGCTGCGGGCGTTGCCAGCGCAGAGCTGGCCCCTTCATGCCGTCCAGGGGACCAGGAAGACCGCTCGCCACCACCCCCTAGTCCCACTCCTCATGTCCATGAACCTCATCCCCTTCTTACGTCTTCTTCTTTTTCTTCTTCCCCTTACTCCACTTCCCCTCTCCCAGGGCAACCGTCCCCCACAGCTGGACCCTCCCTCGCTGAAACGACGTCGTCGTCCAAGCCGGGACAGACCTCCTTGCCTACCTCCTTTCCTCCCATATTTTTCCAGTCCAGCAAGGTCCCTTCGGCCTCTTTAGCCCCTTCCACGGCCGAAGGCAAACCGGTACGCCTCGCCGATCCGGCCGACACCCGCCATACGGGCTCTGCGTTGCAGAAGCTGAACAGCAAGTACCCGTCCGCCGCTGTCCGCCGTCACGGTTACGCCCCGGAAGCCTCGAGTGCCCAGAGCAGCACGTATTCGCAGCCCGTGCTTGTGCGCACTTACAGCGGGCCCTCGCCTTCGCAAGGCTCGCGCAGTACCCGGTCTCGTCAGTACCGGCCGCCGAGCAGTAACCGAGGAACTTCCCGACGCGTTCCTCTACCATCGGCCTCAGCTCCAGGGAGTGGGGGACCGGGCCGGCCTGCCCAACCCACGTTGACTGACGTTGGTGTTGGTACGACGAGCAATATCAGCGCCAGTATCAGCAAGCGCGGCAACGTCAACATTAATACTAACAGCAACGACCCGGCGTACAACAACAATGCTAGTCCAGTAAACATGTCAAAACCATATAAGGCCGAGAAGGCCACGACCACGGCCACGAGCACGAGTACGACGACCGGTAGCAGGATACCCTTGGCATGGCCCTGGCCACTCTCCACGCGGCGGGAGCCCGAAGAGCCGAAGCTACCCCCACTAGACGCCTTCTCTTTCAAGAGTTTCATGGCCGACCTCGAGACTCGCGGGAGCGATAGCGACATTGGTGCAGACCTGGACCGCATCGCCGAGATATGTGCCCGCTCGCGCTACTCCCTCAGCAACCAGTACGAAGTCCACGTAGCACCCCACGGCTCCGGCGCATCATTCACATCCAGCCCCCTCCCGCCTTCCATCTCACGCACAAGAGATGCCCAAAGCGGCCACCACCGCAACCGCAGCAGCGGTTCCGTCGCCAGTACCGGCGGCGGTCCCACCCTCCAGGCCATCACCTCTGACGATGAGAACCCCGCGCGACTTCACTCCCGAAGAAGAGCGGGCACCAAACGGCGAAGTGCGGCTTACGGAACCCTCGAGACAATCATGTCGTCGAGCCGGTCGTCCGAGGAGGACAAGAGCAAGAAGAAATCGGCCGCCGAGCTCGTCACAGAGGTCCGCGGACGGGCCGCCAGGAAAACATGGGATACTAACCCGAGTGCCTCAACGTCTGGATCCGTCGCAGTATCAGCATTGGAGTCCACATCAACCAAAAACAGCAGCAACAACAGCAGTGCCAGCCCCGATGCCACAGCCGAGCAACAGCAGCAAGGACAACAGCGCCCCACGTCCACATCCTCCATCACCGACGCCACGCGCCTCCTAGCCCGCAAGAAATCTGCCACCTTCGCCAACGCCAGTATCTCACCGTCCTCCGTCTCCGCATCATCATCAAGCCACCGAAACAGAAGACCCGGCAACAACAAGGACGACCGTGGGAAACAAAAAACCACCGCTACGGCTGAGAATGCCTCCTCGGCGCTGGTCAGCAGCAGGCAGGACGATGAAGGGACTACTACTACCACGGGCCGTGTACCCCAACAGGAGTTGGCGGCTGTCCAAGCCGGAAATATCAACCCCCACGACACCGGCGAGAATATTGCCAGCAGAGGCTCCGCCGGGGTTGGGAATGCGAGCGGTCAATCCTCATGGGGCGCCTGGATCCCATGGCGGTCAGGGCAGCAAGAACAGATGCAGGCCCGACGGGTGGTGAGGAGTCATGCGGAGGGGAGTCTGAGGCAGTTGTTGCGGACTCGGGGGAATTGAGAGTGGATGTGTGATGGGTTTGGAGGCGGGGGGGTGTGTTTGGGAAGAGTGAATTTGATTTCCTTGTGGTTATTTGATCTTTGGGATATTGGGCGTTGGGGTTATTCGGGATGATGATGAATGACTTGGGGGTTGGGGATGAATCAAGCTGGCTATGATGAATGAATCACTGGTAGGGTTGGGTATGACTGATGTCAAAGCGGTATTCCATCCATCCTCTATGTTTTCTTTACCTCACTCTCGTTTCCTTCTCCTGGCTGGAAAAGCTTAAGATGGGAAACGAGATATAAGAAATGACGGGTCGGGAACCCATCTGGTATGGCACCGGGGAGACAGAAAAAGAGGACACAGGGATGAGGTCGTTTTCTCTAATACGGAGTTTTCACCGATTCAGGCGTTCATGGAGGAACAGACAAGACAGACTGGATTAGCGAACAGGTGGACGAACAGAACACTATGTACCTTGCGTTTATGTACGTTATCTACACAGTGAACAGGACAAAGCAATTGTTGGGCTAGTAAACTCTGTGTGTAGAGAAGAGATAGAGTGAGGGGAAATATGAGTGTGTACTTGCGAAGATGTTCACAACCTTCATGCTGATAACTTCAGGTTGAGAGGGAGCAATAACAGACAGGGTTGGATGTGATGATGCTTCTTTATGTTGGCGGTGAACGATAATGATAATGGTATCAAGGACAACACAACAGAGAAAACCTAACCGATAGCCAGTGGCTAGTTACTTTCCCTGAGGTTGGGTTCAATGAGCATGGATTCCCAAGTTTTAGGTGTTCACCCTGTTTATTTATTTACATTTGTCAGTCTGTTTGGGATGTGCATTCACTGCGCGAATATCAACTTCAATAACAAGCCGCTCACTGCGGCCTGGTTGTCTAATTTACCCCTTGAAGGGCAATACGGTTGTAGTGCAATCAATCCCATCAATAGTATCCCCACTCTAACTGGAAAAAAGAAGACATGAGGTGTGACGTGAAGTGAGGTGCGGCGTTAAGTTAAATATAGATAAATAGCGCAGGTGTGTGAGTAGGTTAGCAGTGCTGGTTTGAAGTAGCTGTACATTCATGTCATCACATCCCTCATCTCTCTCTTTTATCCCAGTTCATTTAGGCCCCCTGCTTTTCCCATCCCCTCTTTTCCACATTCTGCCTGCCTGCCTTAACCCATTTTCAATACCTGTATGGATTCCCCGCCGTGGCCATCATCTCCACGGCACCCACCCCTGCATCCCACCTCGTCTCTAGAGGTTGACTTCGGTCCTCGTTCTCACCCATGGGTTGTTTGATTCTCGCTTTGGCCGCTAGCTTCACTTCCCATTGGCATCCAGATGCGGCCTCTTGGCGTCGCGTTGTGCCACATCCGCAGGACCACCGCCTTCGATTGGTCGCTTCCGCTCTTCTTTCCGCTCCTCTTTCTGCTGTTGCTGCTGTTGCTGCTGTTGCTGCTGCTGCTGTTGGGCGGCACGCACACGTTCCTTTTCCTTCTTTTCCTTCTCCCGTCGGAGAGCCTTAGACTCAAGCTCGTGCCATTCGCCGTCGATGTCTTTGAGTCTGCGGAGGAGAAATCACGTCATGTTAGTGAGCTGAATCTTTTTTAATTGGAGTAATTGACAAAGGGTGGGTGGGCATACTCAATCGCCTGTCGTGGACGGGGCTCCTCGGCGGTAAAGTAGGCGTGATTCAACACCTCAGCGGCGGTGGGGCGTTTTTTGGGATCATAGTGAAACATCGAAGCAAGCAAGTCAAAGGCGGCAGGGGTGAGTTGATGTTTGTACTTTTCCTCCAACAGGTTCGGCTTCCGGTACGCCGGTCGCAGCAAAGCAAACCAGGGCATCTCGCCGAGTTGCGGCCAATCACGTCGATTGGGTGTGCCGAGCACGGCGTAGATCTTCTCAAGTTGATTGATCTCGCTGCCGTCGCCGGGGAAGATGGCCCGTTTTGTGAAGATCTCCACGAGCACGCAGGCAGCGCTCCAGATGTCAACGGCCGGTGTGTACTGGGTCTCGCCGAGCAACAGCTCGGGCGGGCGGTACCAGATCGTGATGACGCGGTTTGTGTAGTCCAACTGGTGGTGTTTGGCATAAAAGCGGGCCAATCCGAAGTCAGCGAGCTTGAGAACACCCTCGTTGCTGACGAGGATGTTGGCGGCCTTAATATCGCGGTGAAGGACGCCCCTCGTGTGGAGATAGTCCAGCCCATCAAAGAGCTGCTGTGCTAAGTGCTTCTTATGCCCCATCTCCAAGCTGTAGGTAGGGTGGTTGAGCAGCCCTGTCAAGTCGTGAGATAGGTACTCAAAGACCATGAAACAGTCATTCGCCTCGACCATGACCTCCTGGAGTTTTACGATATTCTTGTGACTGAGGGAGCGGAGCAGCTTGATCTCCCGCACAGCCGTTACCGGGAACCCATCCCGTTCGCCTTCCATTCGAATCTTTTTGAGGGCGACCAGCTTCTTAGTGTAGACGTTCAGCCCCTTGAACACCTTGCCATAGGTACCCGAGCCTACAACTGACCCGTCTCCTGGCTTGCGGAAGTACACCGATTTGGAAGCGGCCAAGTCGGCGGGGAGCACGGGCTTCTCCTTAAGACACCTCACAATCTTCTTCACCTTGCGCGTCCTTGGTGTCGGCTCGGGGTGCCTCGCTGGCTCAGGTGCCCTACGGTCGCTAGGGCCAGTTGGTACCCCAGGGCGGGGCCGTGCGGATGCCGGTTCAGTGGGGGCATTCCTCGGGAATCCGCCTCGGTCTCGTTCTGGTCTTGTTGGGGGTGTTTTCTGTGCTGCCGGTTTGGTCGGGGGTTCTCGTGACCCAGGAGCAGCGTTGAACTTAGATGATATCTCCGGCCGCGGTGCCGTCACAGCCGGTTTCGCCGCGTTCTTCATACTGAAACTAAACTTATTAGGTGTGCTGGACTGCGGTCCAGTCGGTGGCGGCCGGCTCGGCGGAGGCATCTTGTCGTTCTTCGCTTGCTGCTGTTGTTGCTGCTGCTGTTGTTGCTGCTGCTGTTGTTGCTGCTGCTGTTGTTGCTCATCCTTGCTGGTATCCTCGACCTGCAGGTCCTTGGATGGTCGGAAGGGGTTTTCACCGCTGTCTCCCATCGCGACATCGTCCTTCTCAGACTGGTCGCCAGCATGCTTATTTGGGGATTGGTGGCCGGGAGTGTGAGACGCTTCTGAGCCCTCAGCCGATCCGGATGGATTCCGCCCGTTATTTCCCTGAGGGTGCCATTGTGTGCTCTTGAACCCACTTCTGAGGCCGCCGCGGGCAGGGAACGAGTTGCCCCGAAAGGAACCCCCTCTATGTCCCCCGCCACGGTATTGCCCTGAGGGATACTGGGCAGCAGGCCCGGTTGGAGCGTAAGGAGGAGACTGGCCTGGACCGGAGTGATAGTGCCCCTGGGGGCCTGTAGGGGGGCCATAGTTGTTGTGAGGGTACGGTGGTGAAAATTGCCCACTGCAACATGAATTAGCACGGTTAAAGTTAAGGAAAACAAAGGAACAGATTGTTGTCCAAACGTAGTCAGATGAACTAACCCTTGAGGTGAAAATTGTGGCTGGTTGTTCCAACCACGCCCATTACCACCGTATGGAGACTGGGCAGTCGGTGAACCATGAAAAGACGAGTTAGGAGTCCCATGGCCCGGCGATTGGGCATAACCACGGCCGTCATATTGGCCTTTTGGATAGTTAGGCTGCGGAGCATAACCGCCACGGAACCCGCCCCGTGCGGACATATTTACCTCGACGGAGTTGGCACCCGACGTCGGATCAAATTTCTTGTCCGCGCGCGGTCCTTCCCGGCTCCTCCCTCTCTCGGACGGGTTGGCGTGCCGACCACCACGCGGTGAGTCAGGCGGCGCTCGCCCGTGAGGTGCACGAGAGGATGGTCGACTCGCACTTTCTCGACGTCGCTGTGAGCCGGTATCGGATGGGCCAGGGGGCCGGTTGTCCAAGGGAGCAGGGGCTCTCCGTGGGCTGCGACGGCGTGATCTTGATCGATGCCGAGGCCGAGCAGGAGATCGACTCCTCCGGCGAGACTCTCCACGTTCGGGTAAGCGAGGGCGCGATAGACGGCTGTCACGTGGGGATCGAGAGCGATGTCGGCGGGGTGGGCTCGGAGATCTAGTACGGCCAGACCGTCGGCTAGGCCGAGAACGTTCGTCACGCGAGACGGGGGAGCGTGGGCGATGTGGACGGGGGGACAAGCCTCGGTCGGTCTTGGTCGGCAAAAGTTTCGGTGGCACACCCCTCTCGGGGTCCGCTAGATTTGTTTGCTGTCGAGCCTTCTTCGACTGCGCCTCACGGCCAGGAGACGGACTACGGCTCCGGCGACGTTTGCTCGGAGCGGGCGAACGGGATGGCCGGCGCTGCCTCTCTCGGTCCTGATGATCCGGCCGTTCGCGAGGCTCCTTTCGCGGTCGGGATGATGCGTGGTCAGGGCCACGGCGATCTGGGGAAGCTCGGGTCTCACGATGCCGGGGAAGTTCGGGAGAGCGGCCTCGATGGCTGTTGCTGCGTGGCGAGCGATGGGATGGCTGCGATGGACGCTCGGGGCGATTGTGGTAATGGACGGGGCTGCGGGCGTGATCACGCTCACGATCACGCTCACGCTCACGGCGACGATGCTGCTGGCTCTCTTCCAGCTGCTGCGGATCGCGTCGCGACGGCTCGGGCGAGCGACCACGAGAATGGTGCGGTAGGGCTGCAGGTCGCGAGGAACGATGTTGATGGTCTTTTCGGGTCCGTACTCGCTCGCGATCCCGTTCACGGTCTCGCTCTCGCTCACCCTCCCGATCCCGATCCCTTTCCCGCTCTCGCTCTCGCTCTTTTTCTCTGGGGGCGTCTAGCGACCGGGGCGCGGCAACAGCGGTGGGCGAGGTGGGCCTTCGTGAAGTAGTCATGCCGAGGTCGTTACCGTCCTGACGGCGGTGTTGGTGCCTCTGGTGGCTGCTACTGCCATTTGGTGATGCAGCGTTGTGTCGGCGTTGACGGTGTGCAGGGCTGTCGTCCATGTGTGGTGCGAGATTCGACATTCGAGTTTTAGTTGGCCAGAGGGCCGCGGCCGACAGGGGTGCGGTTTAGGTGAGGTCCCCAGTGGCTACGGTTTTCGACACGCACCGACAGGGCAGCCCGCCTAGAACCGCCTGCAACGCGCCTTGTCGGGGAAGTTGAGTGCTGTGGAGGGGCGGGGAAAGCGCCTGTTTGGGCCCGTGCTCAACCTCAGCGGAGACCCAGGAACGGAGACCACGCGTCCACCACTGTCTTGATAACCCTCACACCCAGACGGCAGGTAGAGAGGCTCGGAGGTTATTTGCAACCTCGAACCAACAAACACAACCGATTTTGGGCGCTCCTCACTGCACCTCAATCAACCAACCAAAAGCACCCAATTCCCCGCCCAGCATCGATCCCGATAAGCGGTGGCTCTCAGAACAAAATGTTCGCGGAGAGCCTGCGTGAGCTTTTCACAAGAGTAGGAAAAATACCTACCCCATTCCCTGAAGGACAACAATCGTAGAGCCTCAATGTTGCTCCCGTCCTCAAGCACTTTCCCAGCCCCCTCCCGTCTTCAGCTTCTCCCGAGTCGACCTCGAGTTATTCGTTGTTGCGGGGGCCACTTCGCTTGTGCGTGTAACCCGAACGACCACCAGACGCCGAGGAAGTGGCCGATGGTTCCTCATCAGAAGTCCTAGCAGATGTTCCTCGGTGCAAAACTTGGTGTTGTCTGTGATGGTAGTAAACAAACCGTCGCATCCAGAATCCCACTTCATCGTGGTTGACGCCGGTTGACGTTGACGAGCAGCAAAATTTCACCCGCTGCGTTAGACCGAAGTGCTCTGCGTTGTGGCTCGCAAACGTCCAGAACCCCGTCCACGGGTATTCGGGAAATGCACCGCCCTAGCCTTTCAGATATGCGGTATGCGCAGCGGTGCAAAATTTTGGGGGGTGGCTGCTCCTTTCCTAACCGTCCGTGACTATCCGTAGGCGAGGAGAATGCGAAGGCATCTCACCCACCAGAAAAGGCGGCCGAGAGAACGTTGCCCACTTTCCCAATTTTCCAGCAGCTAGAAGGCCGATGGGCCCACGGGTTAAGAGACCCCAGGCCCGTAGACTTCTTGGCTATTGCAAACACTTCATCACCAAGCAAAGACCACTATATACGACAAGATATGCTTTACGGGCGCAATGGGCCGCCTCAAGTCCAAACCCACCGAACAAGGGAGCCTAGCCGAGACTACCATGAAGGTTCATCGTAATCCCACCCAGAGATGGCTGCCAGATTAGTAGGGTTGCCGTCCGTCGTGCAAGCAGAAACACTTGTCTCAGCAGAGCTATCCGCGCCGAAGCCGTCGGCCATCTTTTGTTGTTGTACGCCGCCGACGGGCGTGTGTCTTGATGGTTTGAAAATTCGTATCGGCATGGTGAAAAGTAGCCGTATTATCACTCAAGGGCTTGTGTGTCGAAGTTGAATTTGGAAAACACGCCAAAGCGTGAGCCCCAAATGGCTGCGGAGTTGGTCCCGCTGTTCCACTGCGTTTTGCTGCGAATTCGTTCCCAATCGTACGGGTCGCAATTGTTCGAACGTCAAAAGTTCGCGGAGGCAGGTTGGCCACTGTTCTGAACAAAACAAAACCCATGTTCATATCAATGAGGGAGCTCGACAGCATCATTCAAGAGTGTTGATGTCGGTGCTTGGCAACTTGGCGCGGTCCGCCAGATCGGGGCCGAGGGGAGGACAGCCTGCGTTAGACCGAGAGTAACGAGGCTCTCCGGTACTTCATTCAAGGAATCGAATCGTTCCCACCCTCTGGCTTGGGTGTAATAAGAATGACGTGGAAGTGGTCTCTCGAAGTTACTGAATAACATCCTCCGACGAGCGGTCTGTTGGCAAACCCCGCAGATGGAATCCGTTCACCCAAAGACCACATTGCCGGGAAGTCGACGACGGCCGCAAGCGACCGATATCGGGAAACGGCGACATTTTAAGCGTCCTATGAATAGCGAAGGCAATGAAATCGGAAATGGTAAGAAAAGCGCGCCCCGTCGCAGGAGGTCAATCGTGGTCTCGCGAAGATGGCGTTCTGCAGGGAGAATGGTGCAGGAGAGAGAGGTGGGCGCTTGGGCTGGGCTGCTTCGCCGAAATTAGACCTGGACACGGGCCATCCAGTCACGTGCAGTGCTTGTCACATGTGTCCCGTTGAATTCCTTGAAACAAAACAACAAAACACAAAAAAAAGGATAGCTATCTTCAAGTAACCCTAGGTTTTGCCGGAACAACTGCGACAGAGCCCGGACCTGAGGTGCAGACGGTTAGGGGTAGTTAGTGTGGTGTCCTCCCCCCTTCCCCAGGGTAGGTAGCAAGTTCGGTCTCCCCAGGGTCAGTCAGTCTTTGACTTTGACGATACACTATTATTTGCCTGAGTCTCATCTCATTTTCATTTTTTTTTCTTGTTTACTTCTACATGTGAATAACATATCCTATCAACCCGATACTATATCCACCGCCTAATCCGGCCCTCAGCGAAGGGAAGCAGAGTGTTATTTTGCGTCTAATTCATTCTCCCACCACTTGCCCGTTTGGGATCGAGACCCGCGGAGCCTGATTTATTGTGAATTTTGCAGCATTTCCATATACGATTGGTCTGCCCGAATGGCATTGACTCGACGCTTGCGCTCCTCAGCCGATGACCAGCATCGGCCCTTCTCACCGGCCAGATTTACCAATGCTTGCAAAATGTCGACGAGCGGGCCGTCCCCGTGTATCACACCAGCGAGGTCGGCATCTACGGGGGGTTCAGCGCCGGCCATGATGGAGTCGCCTTCCAAGTCGCAACTAAATCCCAAGAGGCAGAGGCGAACGACCCATTTGGCCTGCAGCCAGACCAATTTCGATATCGGTACTGTCCAGACAAACTGCTGGACGTTCATCCCAGCGCTAAGGCATTGAAAAAGTCCGCATGTAAGCGTCTTAATGCTTGTGATGAACATACTGGCGGCTTCCTCCCCCTGGAAGGGATGCGCCTGTAAGAGGTTCAAGGCATGGTTAGTGAAGGGTGAGCCCCGGTGACCTGAGGTGTCCCTGCGGCTAGTATTACCTTTACTGCTGCTGTCATCGTCGGCGGCATACCCATCGCGATGGCCGAAGTTGTTGTTGGTCTTCTTGGGTCTTTGGGGGTAACTCTTCCCAATCCTACTTCCTTTGCCGTTCCAGGGGCCGTCACCCCTGCCCTGTGAGTTGTATGGTGCTTGATATTGCTTACCGCCACCATTACCGGCGCGCTGGCGTCTCTCTCGGACCATGGTGTAAGGACGAATTCGATATTTGATCGCAGTTCGGCGTACCTAGCCCATGCGGATGCCTTCGTTTCTTCTGTCCAACTTCCAAAAGCAGTGGTAGAGCGTGCGTTAAAATATACCCCCCAGCTGGCCTTTGAAGCCTGTCGTAAGTATGAGGAACTCAAACTCAAAGACCAAAACAGGAACCAAACCGCCAACCGAAGGCAAGAGCACGGCTGGCCTCCGGCCCGCTTCTGCTATAACCCATCCGAAACTAAGTCATTGTTCCATGATTCGGCACTATTATAATAGCATTGTTCCCCGAGCCTCAACCTCTTGAGGTCCCGAGGCACTTCGCTTTGTCCACCAGCCGCTCGACTGTCAGGTGCGAATATGGGAACCACGTGAGGGCAACTGCTTTGGGAGCCAAGGAACCAACGGCGATCATTCTCGGAAGTTGGAGGGATGGTTTATTCTTAAGGTCTGAAGCTCCGGCCCAACGGCGCCGAAGTGAGGCCGTTTTCGGCGCAAAAGAGAAAATACTTCGCGGGGAAAAGAGGCGCGGGAATTGGCAAGAAACTCTAGATACCTGAAGCGTGCAGCTGCTATATGTTACACGGCATTGTCGACCGCGAGAATCGACTCGAGTTGTAAGTTATACCTTAATCATGCGCCTGGCAGAGAGCAATGGTTGTCAGATAAAGAACTTTTAACAAAACCTCCTGCCAGTCTTTGACGTTTCGCGGTGGACCGCGGGCCCCCGCGAACGAGTTGGGGCGATGTCGTCATCCTGGGTGGGATGCCCCACTTGTGAAGCGCGACGATCGACCGATCAACACGAACCGACAGACATTCGGGTAAATCTGTGGCTCTGGTCTCGAACCCCGGTGGCGATTGCAAATCGCGAAAGTTTTTCGCGCTGAGCTCGTACTGAGTGGATGAGAGGTTACCTTGCTTGCCTTGATAGGCTATCATGGAAAGAATGGTCTCGGCATTGCCACAGGCTTGCAGGCCTGACGGCAGTTGAAATGCGGCTAAGGGGATGAGTGAGCGGGTGGCTGGTAGAAAATCGTGAAACGCCATCGATGCAGAAAAAAAAATTGTTTGGCAGAGAGGTTGACGGCATGGACCTTTTTTTGTCCATCCCTGCCGTTCTGCAGGCAGTGACACAGTCTATGGGCAAGCGCGAGAAAAGCTCCCCCTGTCGGAGGCCCATGCTCGCCCACGGTGGTGCTAACAGGAGAACGGCTGCAGGCCCAAGCAGCTCGCCCCCCACTGTTGCCTCCTCTGTTGTAATGCGTCAACTTTGCGCTTCCAGCCTCTTTACCCTTCGAGCCTTCCCACCAGAAGTAATTATCAACTGGTTGAAGAGCCAGACACCAAGTACATAGTCAAGCCGACGGGAGTAAGGACCAGCCGTCAGCTTCTCAGCTCTTCACGCTCACCAACCCGCTCATCTGCGGCAAACGCCTCCCCCTTCCGCCTCCCACGACCCGCATTGGCACCCTTGTGTCTTCACACCTTTCCCGTTCGAGTTTCGCGCAGCTCCCAACCGTCAACTTCGCCGCACCAGAACATCCTGCGACAGGGCGTCTAGATCCGACGTCAACCCACCGGCCGCTGCATCTGGCCGCTATAAACCGGGTCACTAGCCTGTCTTTTTTCATCCGGCCTCAAATCTCGGCTCGCCCCGATCACCTTCCTCGCTTGGATCCCCTCTGGAAACTTTTCACCCGGCCCGGCCGTTGAGTCTTTCTCTTGTCGCTTATTTTATTTTTACCAAAAGCCGTACTTAGCCAGCAGCGTTATCGGCGCCCGGCCCACCTCCCCAGCCTTCTTCGCGGGGGTCTTTGGCCAAACCATCTCGATCCGCATATCTTTTTGCGATATCGCAATCCCTGCCGTGCGAGCTGACTCTTGGTGACTTTAGCTCCCAGAGCTTAAGAAAAGGGGGCCTTGCCTCGAAGTTTTCTTCGTCTTCTCTCTTTTCTAGCGCCAATTTATCCCCCACCCCCCACAGACAACCACCAGACAACCACCATGGCGAACGAAGAGACAGACCGCGCGCCGCGCGAGGTGAAGAACCACATGCTGTTCGAAATTGCCACAGAAGTCGCACACAGAGGTACGCGACGCGACCCATGATTTGGTAGAAAAAGGCCACTCAGTTAGTTTGGACGGGTTGGCTGACTTGCGCCTGTTTGTAGTTGGTGGTATCTACTCCGTCATCAAGTCCAAGGCGCCTGTGACGACGGCCGAATATGGCGACCGCTACACCCTCATTGGGCCGCTCAACCACCAGTCCGTACGTATATGCGCCCAAACCGCGGGCTCGTTGCCATTGGTGCCTATCTCGTTGTCTCGCCAGTGGTTCTGATATGTTTTCTCGTAGGCGGCTGTGGAGGTCGAAGCTGTAGAACCTACCAACCCCGAACTTGCCGCGACGATCCAGTCCATGAAAGACCGGGGCATTGGCGTCTTGTACGGGCGTTGGCTGATCGAGGGCGCCCCACGAGTTCTCCTCTTCGACACAAAAACAGCGTATGGGTACATCAACGAGTGGAAAGCAGATCTGTGGAACGTTGCTTCCATTCCATCGCCAGACAACGACGACGAGACCAACGAGGCAGTCGTTTTTGGATACCTTGTTGCTTGGTTCCTCGGCGAGGTTAGTTACCCCATTTGGACTTTCCGTGGCTGGATGTTTGGAGTAAAAGCTAACACCGTCCCATTTAGTACGTGTGCCATGAGAAGAAGAAGGCCGTCATCGCCCATTTCCACGAGTGGCTGGCAGGTGTTGCCCTGCCACTCACCAAGAAGAGACAAATCGATGTGACCACCATCTTTACGACTCACGCGACCCTTTTGGGGCGATACCTGTGCGCCGGTTCTGTCGACTTTTACAACAACCTCCAACACTTCGATGTTGATGCGGAAGCGGGAAAGCGTGGCATCTACCACCGATACTGCATTGAGCGAGCCGCTGCTCACTCTTGCGATGTTTTCACGACCGTCTCCCACATCACAGCTTATGAGAGCGAGCACTTGCTCAAGCGCAAGCCAGATGGTGTGCTTCCCAACGGACTGAATGTCACAAAATTCGCTGCGGTCCACGAGTTCCAGAACTTGCACCAGCAATCTAAGGAAAAGATTCACGACTTCGTCCGAGGCCACTTCTATGGCCATTACGACTTCGACCCCGAAAACACACTTTACTTCTTCACGGCCGGCCGTTACGAGTTCAGGAACAAGGGTGTCGACATGTTCATTGAGTCACTCGCTCGGTTGAACCACCGGCTCAAGTCGGCTGGTAGCAAGACGACAGTCGTCGCTTTCATCATCATGCCAGCGCAGACCACCTCGCTGACGGTCGAGGCCCTCAAGGGGCAGGCCGTCATCAAGTCTCTCCGGGACACCGTCGACACGATTGAGAGGAATATTGGCCGGCGCATTTTCGAGCGGTCGCTCAAATGGCACGATGGCGAGCCCCTGCCAGAGGAGAAGGAATTGATCTCCAGCCAGGACCGCGTCCTGCTCCGCCGGCGCTTGTTTGCCATGAAGAGACACGGTCTGCCGCCGATTGTCACGCATAACATGATGAACGACAACGACGACCCGATTCTGAACCAGATCCGCCGGGTACAGCTCTTCAATCACCCCAGCGACCGGGTCAAGGTTGTGTTCCATCCGGAGTTCCTCAACTCCGCTAACCCAGTGTTGCCCTTGGACTACGATGATTTCGTCCGGGGCACTAACCTGGGCGTCTTTCCGTCCTACTACGAGCCATGGGGCTACACCCCCGCCGAGTGCACCGTCATGGGCGTGCCCAGTATCACCACGAATCTCTCTGGTTTCGGTTGCTATATGGAGGAGCTGATCGAAAATTCGAGCGACTACGGCATCTACATTGTCGACCGCCGCACGAAGGGTGTCGATGACTCGGTCAATCAGCTTACCTCGCAAATGTTTGACTTCGCCCAGAAGAGTCGCCGGCAACGCATCAACCAGCGTAATAGGACTGAGCGGCTTAGTGATCTTCTGGACTGGAAACGCATGGGCATGGAATATGTCAAGGCGCGCCAGCTCGCCCTGAGACGGGCGTACCCGACGTCTTTCACCGGCGAGGAGGAGGAGGATTTCATCCCTGGCGTGGACCAGAAGATCTCGCGGCCATTCTCTGTGCCGGGATCCCCCCGCGACCGGTCAGGCATGATGACCCCGGGAGATTTTGCCAGCCTTCAGGAAGGCCGTGAGGGCCTCAGCACCGAGGACTATGTCGCTTGGAAGCTCCCGTAAGTACTACCGCATATCGCTTTTTCCGTGTTCTCGCATGGCCGTTAATACGTTGCTTGCAGTGAAGAAGAAGACCCCGATGAGTATCCCTTCCCTCTGACGCTGAGGACGAAAGCGCCTGAAGCCGGTGGACTTCCGTCCAACGGAACCCCGCTCAACGGCGAATGAGCCAACAACCCCCTACTTCTTTGGGAAGCCCGTAATGTTTGGACAATCCCGGCCATCATCATTATCTTCATCATCACGAGCACCATCACCTTTGCTCCTATCATTATAAAAACAAAGGATCCCAAAAGGAACCCTTTCTTGTTCATTCCGCCGGACACGTCTAGCAGCATTATCGGCATTGCATATGCATATTTACTTTCTGTGGGGTTCAAGGGGGTGGCAGATGGGCGAGCCCCAGCCACCCAAGGTGTACGAGAGTTTGGGATTGTGAACTTGCCAGCTACTTTTCTTTTCTTTTTTTGTTTGGTAACGGGGTTCGGAGCATGTGAGCAGCGTCTAATATTTGCTGGCCACAAGCCATGGTGTTTTTCTTGTTTCCCGCTGCTCGTAAAAGTCAATTCTCAAAGTTTATTTACTTTGCTTCCTTCCGAGTATGAAATCAGAGTGTGTTTCATGGAATGGCCTTTTTTTCTTCATTGGAGGTTGAAGGTTGTTCACCGGCTTAGCCAGGATCTCAACTGAGAACTGACAGCAATGATCCGGGGACGATTTCTAACGGTCGATGATAGTTCAACCAATTCAAATAAACCAAAATGTCAGCGCTCTATTGCAGTTAAGCCACAGCGGCCTCCACTTTGTTTCGAATCAGGACCCCTGAGGGTCAGTTGTCTTTCAACATTTCGTTTCTGAAAGAAAGGGAGCAGAGGCAAAAATCGTCAACGGGGAGCAAAAGCGAAACAAGCATGGTCGAAGCTGGCAAAGCAAAGAATTTGCGTGCCTTCACGCCTGACCTGCCTCCCTACTTGAGTCAGCTACCAACCTGTCATCTTTCCCCCTTTTGAGAGCCGGCTTGAGCTGTGTTCAGCTTGTATCGTGATTTTCAAGAACTCCCAGAATCTCGTCCGGACTCACATTGGGCATTGGCAACCCAATAAATTTGTGCATCCGTGCCTGACGGCCAGAAAACCCAATTCCACAACCGTCAAACACTCCCAACACAATTGCTCGGTTTCCAGCAAGAGAATCTCCCTCGAGCCAACCCAGGAGCTGCCGCTAGGAAAATACCCTGCCAAGACATTATCTGCGCCCTGGTCATCGTGCAGGTCCATTCATTGTTGTGGCATGCGCTGGAGCTGGGAGCCGCTGTAACAAGCGACAGCGCCGCTCACTGACAGCGCTGGCCTATCAATTCCAGGATTATCGCAGCGGTTCGCCCCTCAACAGGGGTTTGTCCATCGGGCTGCCTGGAGAGCAAGCAAGCACGACGGACGGCTACCAGCCCCGGAACGCCCCCAAGATAGCAGGAGCCACCAACCGGGGCCTCCCGTCAGCCGAGCCGTTCGTTCACAACCAGGTTCCATCAGGGAGGTCCCGCTGTGCCTCTTCTCGGCCGAGCGAGGGAGGGACCTGCCTTCCTTGGGCGTAAAGAAAACTCCCCCACCTCTTTCTTTCTTTGCGAATGCGATTCCTCTTCTTCTCCTTCACACCCGACCGCATCTTTTCGGGACGGGAATCGGCACTGCGACCTCGAGCACAATGAAGTTCTTCCGAAGAAAAGACAAGAAGAGGAACGAGAGCGACGGCGGCCATAGTCACGGCTACATGCCGGGTTTCGGCAGCGGTTCGAACGGCGGCAAGCACTCGACACCCGTGGGTTTCAGCGGGTATGGCGGTTCCGGCGCGTATGACGACTCCCGGCCCGAGAACCACCGACCCTTTGGCTCCTCTCCGCCAAACAACAAATCGTATTTCCATCACTCTCCCCCGTCGGGAGCAGGAGAGTACCTGTCGTCTGCCCCATACTCTCAGCAGCCCCGGCCCACGCGTGGGTCCGCCGCCCTCCTCGCCCAATTCCCACCAGCCGTCTATGAACGCATCTTCGCCTTCGTTTGCCCCCACAGCCAGGACGAGACATATTCCACGTGCGAACAGAGCTCAATTGACGATGGTTGCATGCTCTGCGACCTGCGCGACTTGGCGCGCTGTGTGGCCGTCTGCAGGCGCTGGAAAGAAGAGGCCGTGAAGTTGCTGTAAGTGAACTATCGCGGGGCCGGTTGCTGTTGCCCCCTCCCTTCCCCCATCTTTCTACCCCTGCGATAGCGAACTAACCCAACGGTCTGCGTGACCCCGCCCCTTCACAGGTATCACAGCATTCGCATTGACAGCGTCCATTACTGCGAGCTCGAAGCTATCCTCGCCGAGCGCCGAAAACGACGATCGTTCTTCGACCGGAATGGCGAACCCGAAGACCCTGCGCAGGCACGCCTGAAGCTGCTCTGCCGCACCCTCCGCGAAGACCCCGTGCGCCGCGGCCGCCTTGTGCAATTCCTCAAGATGCCATATATGCTCCGCGAATCATGCCAAGCCGACCTCGCCCGAACGATAGCCGTGACGCCAGATCTACACTATGTTGACCTGCCCGAGGGCCTGTTTACTGACGAGCCGGCCTTTTTGACGCTCCGCCTCGAGGTACAGGCGCGTTGCCTTGAGCTGCGCAAGATGACGTACATGAGGGGTTCCGAGAACAGTCTTCAAGCCTTGGCATCTGGGCGAGTATGGACGAAGCTGGAGGTTTTGGAACTCATCGGGATCGAGATGGAACCCAGCATGCTGCGCCATGCGCTGGGCTTCCTAGGGAACCTCCGCGCACTCAAAATTACTAAGACGACAGCATTCACCGACGAGACTTTGGAATGGAGCGATATGTTGCCGCCTTTTCCACCAGTGGAGGAGCTAATTTTCACCGATGTGCCTAATGTCTCGTGTGAGGGCTTAAAGTCGTGGCTGATGCTCCCGGAGGCCCGCCAGGCGCTGCGCGTGCTGACTCTCAATGGTACTGGCGCGCGCGTGTGGGGGCTACAGGATCTCATGGCGTATGCCCCGACTCTGAAGCACCTGTCTATCATGGACAGCGTGTCAGCGACCTTGCCGTCAGCGGCCGGCTCCCACAACATTCCCCCGCTGTCCTCCACGAGTCTCGAGTCTCTCCACTTCGAGATTACTGCCGCCGCATCCGCCCCAAAGTATTCGAATGTCTCGGCTAGCTACTATAACTATCTCGCCGGTTCGCTTCTTTCTGGGGGGTTGCCCAACCTCCACGCCGTCTACGTCCGCGATCCCAACTTTGCCGACCTCCTCCTCGGTCTACCCCCGCCTACCCCAGCTTATGCCGACGGCCGCACCGCTCACCCTTCGAGTAGTGGTTCTTCCTCGCCGTTCGGTTCCCCGCCAGGAAGCAATGGGGGGTTCAATCACAACAAGAGACCGTCTCAGGGTGGGTTCCCATCCCCACTACTCCCTCCTTCGGTTCCCTTTGGCAGCGGAGGCGGCGGTCACCGTCAGCAAGGATCTCTGTCTTCACTCAACGGGGCTTTCAGCCCTTCTTCGGGGCTAGGCGTGGGTACCAACCCCAACCCACGGTTCAGCAGCAACAATCCATTTGCGAGCCCCATCGCGTCTCCTACCACGGGCGGTATCGGCCCGGCTACGGGGTTGAATGCTAGCTTCCTGAATTTACCTGCGAAGTTAGAGGTTTTCACCAAGGGTGAGGACGACGACCAGCTCGGGTGGTCGTTTGTACAGGTTGGCGGCGGTGCTGGTATGGGAGGGGGTGGCGGCCGGGCTCAAGGAGAGCGACCGCTAAGTAGCTACGGACTTGGAGCCGATGTTCTCGGTGGTAGCACCTCCGGTTGGAGTAGCGGAGCCGGCGCAAGACGAAGTGTGCTCGTCAGTGGGGTGGGCGCCGGTGGTGGAGGCGGGTTCTTGGCCGTGCCGAATGAGAGTGTGGGCGGTGGACAAAGGAGAGGTAGTGCTGTTGGTGTTGGCGGTAGGACCGGTGCGGGGAGGAGGGAGAATAATCTGAGCCTCGGTGGTGGAGAGGATGAGTGGCCGAGACCAAAGAGCAGTGCCGGAGAGAAGAGGAGGGAGAAGCTGGATCTTTGGCGTTGAAACCTTCGAGAGAGTCGCTTTGTCACTGGGAAATGGCTAGGCAGGATTTGGGGGCGTTGGGCGGAATTTTCCAAAACGCTACACTGAGCTGGCTCGTTTGTTTACTTTTTTTCTTCTTCCGGGAACCAGGGTGCATAGGGTGTTCTGGCGTGGGCATTATGATCCGCACTTTGAAGGGGACCTTTCTAGAATGAAGGTACCCAGGCTTCGGTTTATTGGGTTGAAGTGGGTGGGCGATAGGGAGTCATGATGCTTCGCGGTTTATTTCTGCTTCTTTTCAAGGGATGGATGCTGCGCCTCTTGGTGTTCCATATGTTGGTAGATGTACTATACCCCCTCAATATTGAGAGATCTTTGCATTTCGAGGTGGTACATACTGTGCGAGAAGAAAAGATGTGAGTGGTTCCTCAACGGCTCCCACTAGGCGCACGGGTCCGTGCGCTTACGTAAACCTGAAATAGCTTAT